AGTTTATCTTGCTGTAACAAATGATAATTTAGATTGAAAATATAGTGAGTGCAATGAAAAAATTTGAACGTGCCTGTCATTTACATTAATTAATAGTTAATAAAGACCTAATTTCAAAACTCTTACTTGAATTTGTATAATGCATGTTTAGAACAGCCACATAAAAACTGACGCTATATTGGTAATTCTACACCCCCCCCCCAACAGAGCGACACAGGCCGTAATTGTATAGAGCGACATTACTGTCACACCTAGGTATACGCTGGATAAGATAATAGACCTAAAGTAACCGGACAGTGGTGAATGAAGTTGACACCCCCCCCCCCCGTACTGATCTGCTAAGTATATTTGGGAAAACGCGTAATGAGGTACCCAAAGCGCCATGCCACCAGACTCCGCAATGCGGGGGAAGGGGGGGGTGCGTTTAGGGGTCTAAAAATCCGACCAAAACCAAGAAAATAATTTTCCTTGCACCTTGATAGACAAGGGTTGTTTTTTAAATCTACTACAGCAGTGATTGTTCTACAGTAACTCAGTAACTAACACACATCACACATTATTGCTTAGACCTAAAAAAAAAAAAAACTTGAGCTTCCAAGACTATCTCCCCCCCCCCCCCCCCAAATTTAAATAGTCTGATTTTAATTTAATAGTTTAAAAAGCATATTAAAAAGCAATTTCTTCTATCAATTATTATTAAATTCAGGTATACTAAAAATGACACAGAAGTAAAAAGAAATGTGTTTAAAATTATTAATATTAATGCAGAAAAACACAGGAATAAAACAAACACGGGAAACCATTACAATGCAGAACTTTAAAAAAAAAAGTTACAAATGTGATATAGGGATCATCCATAAATGACGTCACGCTTTTTTGGACGATTTTTACCTCCCCCCTCCCCTCCGTCACACATCGTCACAAAAAGCCAGAACCCCCAAATGACGTCACACCTCCGCCTACAACCCCACTAAAAATTGCAGATGAATTTTTCTTAAAAACATCGATATTTTTCTGAACACTGTCGACATAGAGTATTTTGATCAATTACTATTACAATTTATTAAAACAGTTTTCTAAAACGCAAAATAACTTTTAAAATTAGTTTTCTAACATTGCTTTAATATTATCCAAAAGTGTGAACCCCCCTCCCCCTCATCACACACCGTCACAAAATTACGGACCCCCCTCCCCCCTACGAGTGTGATGTCATTTATGAACGACCCCATAGATCTAAACGTTTTTAAACACAATTATATCTCCCCCGATATAAGATTGAGCAAAATTTCTTGTGATTTGCAGTCTCATGATATACTTTGCGATGAAATAGGTTATTAGGAAATGGTTTAAATAATTAGTTTAAAATTTAGTCTACTTATATATATATATATATATATATATATATATATATATATATATATATATATATATATATATATATTAATAAAACAGTTGGCTGTAGCATTGTTTTCTCTATAGTTAGTGCGTTTACGTCATGGTGTCGACCTCACCCCCTTGTTACAGTTGTCGATTTGTACTTAAAAGACTATTTAACTGCAATGAAGCTGGCAAAAAAACCCTTTTTCTTCTGAACATTTTGCAATTTTTTGCCTTGGTGTCCAGTGTTTCTTCCAGACTTTTTTCTCCGGGGGGGGGGGGGGGGGCACTTGAAATTTTCGGGGGGGGGGGGGTGGTAGACTTTCTTCGGGGGGGGGGGGGCGGACACTGTTAAAAGTATATATTTTATATATAAGTAATATAAATTTAATTTCGTTCGGGGGGGGGCGGTAAATTTTTTCGGGGGGGGGGGGGGGGGCGAAGCCCCCCCGAAGACATGCCTGGAATAAACTCTGTTGGTGTCACACACCCCCCCCCCCCACCCCCAATGGTGCGGTCCGGAACTCCCCCCCCCGTCTCTCTCTATATATAAATATATAAAATATATATAATATATATATATACCTTATATAAGCATACATATAGATTAAACAGACAAGACCACAGGCCTACACCTAAAGAAAGTGAAACCTCGTGGATTATAATAATGTGGACTTACTGCGTTTTTATTTTGTTGCCAGTTAGGATCAAATAGCGTTTATAAATATAACGGGGATTTTACAAATCTGTCAATTATTATCATCCAAATTGTAAGTCAGTTTAATATAAATATGTAATTTACACTATCTCTGTTTTGAATTTCGTATTATTTTCAGCTATAATGGGTTTAACAATAATTATAAACTTTGGCATGCACATCAATAAAAAATAAAAATGGAGTCCAATCAAGCAGACTATTTTTGTTGACATTTCACCATTTGTTAATTTTACTTATCAGATGATTCATGATCTAGAATATAGATAGATCTAGATCTAGATCTATAACTGAATTGTAAATTAACACAATCTAAAGGATATTCCCCACAGCAACTTTTTAAAACAGTATTTCAGGTTAGACTAAAATCTTACAATGAATTAAACACTCTGTTTATTTTTAATTTTACTGACTACTCGGAAGAAGATTTTTCTCCCCAACGTCTCCACTTAGTTGGCAAAAGATAGCTCTGCGCATGCGCAGTGATCTATGCCTAGGGTTAGGGATAGGATTAGTGTTGGTGTTACTGTTAGGGTTATGCGGTTGTAAACACACGCATTCGCAGTACCATCGAAAACATCGCCCCGATGGCAAGTCGGCGTAGTTTCTCTCCATTGCACATTCGTATCTTTTTCCGGCTAGCATCGGCCTTAATTTGTTTTTTGGTAATCTATCGTTTTAGGTACATATAAAATTGCCCGCGACTAGTAATGTGAAAAACAGGTGACTCCTTAAATTTTAATAATTATTTCACATTTTGAGGAGGATTTATGTTTTGAAAAATACAAAAAAGTTTCATTTATTTATGTACCTGTTTTTAAACAATTGAATTAAAAATTTTACAGTAATAAGTAATAAATGAAGACTAGCCATGTTTCCAACAGATGCAACCATGCTCATTTACTATAGCAGCCATCTTGTTTATTTTTTTAGGCCGATGCTAGCCGGAATAAGATACGCATGAGTGACGCATGGGCAATGGAGAGAAACTACGACTTGCCTTCGCGGCGATGTTTTCGATGGTACTGCGCATGCGTGTGTTTACAACCGCAGAAGACTAACATCAACCCTAATCCTAGCCCTAACCCTAGCCATAGGTCACTGCGCATGCGCAGAGCAATCTTTTGCCGACTAAGTGGAGACGTTGGGGAGAAAAATCTTCTTCTGAGTAGACACTTCGTTTTTTTTATTGTAAACTTATAGCGCGAGATTCAGGGGGAAGCCACTCTAACTTACTTCTAAGTTCTATTAAAGCTTTGACAATGAGGTAACTTTTTCAGACACTACTAGCCGCAGGCGATTTTTACGTATTTAAAATGATAGATTACCTGTTTTTTTAATCTTTTGTGAGGCTAAAACTAGTAATAGATCTAGTAGGCTAAGAAAATTAATATTGAAAATTGGTAGTTATGTTAGCAGCTTAGCTGTTAGGCCTAGTAAGTCACCCTCCATGAGTACATAGTGTAGAATTTAGAATTTAGTCTTAAGTTTTTAGCTTATATAAAATATATCTAGATCTAGATAGTTGGCCAAAGCCTAATCATTTTTTATCTTTTATTTTAATTTTATGAATGTAAGTATGTAAGGCATTGGGTAATCTCACGATATAGCGTCAGAAATTATCTGGTTATGTTTGTTGAGTTTCGATAACATTAATTACTATAAATCATAGTTTATTTGGATGATCAGGTCTATGGATTTATAGATATCGATGTCCGATACTAGACTCTTCCATGAAATTATTGAAATAGGTGTGTTGGGTTGTTAATAGTATTGTACTAAATCAGTAGTAAATCTAGATCTAGATTGATTCTAATGTTGCATATTTTTTTCTGTTATTTAAAAAAAAAATTAAATTGCTACAATTGACTTTATTATTTAGGCTTAGATCTATAATTTGATCTACTATGCCTAATACTTATCTATATATATAATTCTCTTCATCGAGACCATAGAAAACACCAAGCTGTAAGCACGCCAAGCAGCCCCCTCTCTTCCTCTCTAGGCATATCCCTACCACCCACACATGGTCTGGTGAGCTGTGGTTCACGCTAAATGTTTACAATCGTAGATCCGGGTTTAGTGACGGCTATTAGGTGCAGATAATTTAGTTTGAAATGATTTTAAACTTAGGGGAGGTAACTAAGAGATGGCTGCTTTCACGTAGGGGGGGGTGGGGGTGTAGGGTTGGGGGAAAGGAGGGGGGGGGGGGGTTATCGTCCTTAACGACCTACTGATAGTGTTTTAAAGCAAATATTTTCAGTGGCAGCATTGGTACTGTCGAATTCACAAATTTTGAATTACTGAAAAGTAGAAAATAAAACAACTAAATAGCGGCGTATGATATGCAGCGGGTCTGCTCATTGGTTTTAATTTTCTGTACATTTAGTACACTCGATTTTATTTAGGCCTATATTACACTTACACCAGTCAAATAACAGAACTAAATTGTTTAAAAACTGTTACTTTTTAAAAAATACAAATATATCCAATATCACAAATGTCAAACCTTCTTTCATTCAGCACAGGGGTTAAGTTGATGCTGCTTTTCAAATATGTTAAATATGTTCCCAATTTTTCAGTCTGAATTTTCTGCTGATGTTTTCTGTTAGTTATTTAGTAACATTTAGTAAACATTTAGTAAAAAAGAAGATCATTTATAAAATGTTGCTGTTCTTTGAAGAAAAAATACTTCACCCAAGCCTGATTTCTTTGCCAGTAATTTTGCATGCGTGTTAGTCAATTTGTAACTTATTTACTAGTATTTTAGTTCGTCCTGTTTTAAAAGCTACCCCAGGTACCATTTCCCTCTGCTTTCCATTTTATTTTGGAACAGTGAATTTTAAAATGCCTTCAAAAGTTTACTGATTACTAGACTAATCCTCATTAGAGGCATTGGTGAACTCACCATGTTCCCGAGTTTGTGTTTGATACAGCTTGTTTTAGGAAAAATAAAATTGATGTCATGGCCGATCTCAGATAGCTGTGTTCCTACTGTGAAGTATGTTCTAGGCCTACTGATTCCTAAACTAAAATGAACTCACTGTGGCCTTTATACTTTGTCTTTTTCAGAGGGGGGGGGGGGGGTATGATACCTGTAATTTGTAAAAGCAGTCTTCTAGGCTAAAAGCATAAAAAACAGTGTGGCTTAACTGCTATCAAGATTGTTTTTGTTTTGGCTCAAACATTTTTCAAAAGAATTAGTCCCAAAACAATAACTACCAAGCAACTGATGTTTTTTATTTCACTCAGTACAAAGATAAAACGATGAATAAATATTGGCTTTCAGATCTTATACATAATTTTTATGGTAAATTCACAAAATGGTCAAACAGTATTTCCACACAATTGGGAAAATGGAAAAGAGTGAATTTTTCAATGAAATATTCTAGTTGTTAAAATAGGGAAATGAGTAAATTTTTCCTGCAAGGCCTTATTATGTTGTAGTCAAAATAGCTGAATTTAACTTATAACCATGTCTGTCCTAAAAAAGTAAGACAGAGCGAAACAAGAAAATAGATGTTAAAATTTGGCTCCAGGCTTTAAATGATAAAGAACAACAAAATAGGTTTTGATCATGCTGGCATGACAAAGTAAGTAATAGTGGGAGAGAAATTTTGTTAAAACTACATTATGGGAAAAGTAACAAGCCTAAATTAGCTGTCATTTAGTCTGTAATTAAATATATTAGTACTCATATAAAAAGTCGTGTGCCAAGTTTGAGTCAAATCTAGTGGTGGGTAACACACACAGGCATGTAAGTTGTGAGCCAGTTGTCACATGTATCAGGCACATTGGCTTGAGCTGTTGATTGCCAGATGTTGCAGATGTATGGATCCACAAACTAAACCCAGAAGCTATTCTCTGCTGATCTATTTTATTGAATTTCTGGCTAAGTGCTATATGTAACAGATGTTTTCTCCTTTTTTAAAGTTTTAGTGATTCATTATAACCCACTATGTATGTTCTAAACCAACCTTGTTGAATCTAGTAGAGGGAATTTAGTAAACTAAAAAAATGTTTTATAATATAAGTGAAGCGTCATCCTGTTGACACTGACGATAACTAGCAGTGAATATTGTTGTTACACTACATTACATTTTATTTTGAAATCTTAATAGAATGTTTGTTTTATAAAAGTATTGACGATTATTATGTATTTTAAAGCTGTGCTATTATCAGTCTAATCTTAGGTTTAGTTTTCCATGTTGAGATGTTGAGATATCCAAGTTCTGATAGACACATTATCAGTTGAGTGTGATAAAAGATAGCCCACTATAAGCAGTACTTCCCTCTGGTATAGACATGAAAGAGTTGAATACAACCCTTACTCTTGGGACTCACTGTTGTTTCTCTCATGGCTTCTTTGAATAATTAGTTCCCTGTGGCTAATGTTTATGGAAAGTTCATTGCTATTTGGTGTTTAACTTAATGAATCTGCTGTGAATTGGTAGACACTAGAATGGTGTGGTGCAATATTTATCATGTGACCTACACTATTGGATAGAAATTTGTATACTGATTCAACGTTTACAACTGTTACTTCCACTTATCTTTCTGTAACATCTGAGCCATTTGTGGCACAACTGTATCATACACAGTGCTATTTCTGGGAACAGGATGGTTAATCCAGTGTTAGATTAGGGTGGTAGTCATTTTTCTTTGCTCTTATTGTTTTTTTATTAAATCAAGCATTCACATATCTGATGCTCTTGTTAAATAGTATTCAGTATTGAAAGGTTTGACCAGTTTTTTTGTTAAGTGTAATTATTTGCAGTAAAAACTATGAGAAATTGACCTATTTGTTAAGTGCCAGTGGGACTTGTTTTGTATGATGCTTATAGTGTAAACCATGGTCCAAATACAAATTTTGATGAACCAATGGAAGTCCATCTTAGTTACTTGAGCATAAATAGTTTTCTGTCAGATATAACACTAAGAGAAACATTCCAGGTGGATCTTACCTTATAGTCAGGGTATTTAATCCATAAGATCACATAACCCCTTGTTTCTATTTATAGCTTTGAACCATGTGTGTGAATTGTGTTGTTGTAAGTTGTTGAATGTAGTACATCACCCTGCTGTTGCCAGCCACTATTGCCTGCATTCATAAGTCCAGCATGAGGTTTGTACTCACACACACATAGCTGGATGTTGGTTTGTAAAGAAATAAAGACCATCATTACTTACTCAGTGTCACATTAAGCTGATAGTTTCACATGTGTGATAAACTCTCTTGAACTTAATCAACAGAAGGTATCCCCCCTTTAATCAATACTGATTGAGTTTTTTAGCTAAGTATTTTTCTGACATGATTTTATTAATCTAAACCATTACCCCTATTGGTTAGAATTGACAAAGTTTGTTTTCTGTGACTCATACATTGGAAGCTTGAACCTGACAGCATTGTTTACATTACTAGGACCCAGAAACATAGTTGTGTGACATTTGAACATCTGGTGATACTGGACTGCTTGTCTCCCCTGTATCTATGCTAGTCAACTAGTTAGTTGATGCACACAAGTCAAATTAACTATCCAGGACATTGTTCACAGTTTTTAATTGGAAATAGGTGTAGAGCAATATGTTTAACATTTCACTACATTCAGTGACCGCAGGACCTCGTTTTTTTTTGTTTTTTTAATGTATATGTTTATAGAGAAATAATTGTTATCCATATTCTATCCATTAGCTTATAACTTAATCTATTTTATCTGTCTTCTATCACCTATTAGAACAATGGAGGATCCATATTTTATCCATTAGCTTATAACTTAATCTATTTTATCTGTCTTCTATCACCTATTAGAACAATGGAGGATCCATATTTTATCCATTAGCTTATAACTTAATCTATTTTATCTGTCTTCTATCACCTATTAGAACAATGGAGGATCCATATTTTATCCATTAGCTTATAACTTAATCTATTTTATCTGTCTTCTATCACCTATTAGAACAATGGAGGATCGACGAGTGGCTGACTATTTTGTTGTTGCTGGTCTAGACAGAAACCAACTGCTGCCTTTAGAAGAGTTTTCAAATGAAGCAATAACTAAACCCACCAGCCGTTTGGATCCAATTACTGATATTACAGTTATAAACAGGTTGGTGGAAACATTTTCCAGCTGCACTCTCTGTGTCTCCTGGTCAGCTGTACACCACCCACTTCCCCTGGTCAGCTGTACACCACCCACTTCCCCCAGTCAGCTGTACACCACCCACTTCCCCTGGTCAGCTGTACACCACCCACTTCCCCTGGTCAGCTGTACACCACCCACTTCCCCTGGTCAGCTGTACACCACCAACTTCCCCTGGTCAGCTGTACACCACCCACTTCCCCTGGTCAGCTGTACACCACCCACTTCCCCCAGTCAGCTGTACACCACCCACTTCCCCAGTCAGCTGTACACCACCCACTTCCCCCAGTCAGCTGTACACCACCCACTTCCCCTGGTCAGCTGTACACCACCCACTTCCCCTGGTCAGCTGTACACCACCCACTTCCCCTGGTCAGCTGTACACCACCCCCTTCGTCAGCTGTACACCACCCACTTCGTCAGCTGTACACCACCCACTTCGTCAGCTGTACACCACCCACTTCCCCTGGTCAGCTGTACACTACCCACTTCCCCTGGTCAGCTGTACACCACCCCCTTTGTCAGCTGTACACCACCCACTTCCCCTGGTCAGCTGTACACCACCCACTTCCCCTGGTCAGCTGTACACCACCCACTTCCCCTGGTCAGCTGTACACTACCCACTTCCCCTGGTCAGCTGTACACCACCCCCTTTGTCAGCTGTACACCACCCACTTCCCCTGGTCAGCTGTACACCACCCACTTCCCCTGGTCAGCTGTACACCACCCACTTCATCAGCTGCACACCACCCACTTCCCCTGGTCAGCTGTACACTACCCACTTCCCCTGGTCAGCTGTACACCACCCCCTTCGTCAGCTGTACACCACCCACTTCGTCAGCTGTACACCACCCACTTCGTCAGCTGTACACCACCCACTTCCCCTGGTCAGCTGTACACCACCCACTTCCCCTGGTCAGCTGTACACCACCCACTTCCCCTGGTCAGCTGTACACCACCCACTTCCCCTGGTCAGCTGTACACCACCCACTTCCCCTGGTCAGCTGTACACCACCCACTTCCCCTGGTCAGCTGTACACCACCCACTTCCCCTGGTCAGCTGTACACCACCCACTTCCCCTGGTCAGCTGTACACCACCCACTTCCCCTGGTCAGCTGTACACCACCCACTTCCCCTGGTCAGCTGTACACCACCCACTTCCCCTGGTCAGCTGTACACCACCCACTTCCCCTGGTCAGCTGTACACCACCCACTTCGTCAGCTGTACACCACCCACTTCCCCTGGTCAGCTGTACACCACCCACTTCCCCTGGTCAGCTGTACACCACCCACTTCCCCTGGTCAGCTGTACACCACCCACTTCGTCAGCTGTACACCACCCACTTCCCCTGGTCAGCTGTACACCACCCACTTCCCCTGGTCAGCTGTACACCACCCACTTCCCCTGGTCAGCTGTACACCACCCACTTCCCCTGGTCAGCTGTACACCACCCACTTCCCCTGGTCAGCTGTACACCACCCACTTCCCCAGTCAGCTCACTGTTTGCTTACTCTATCAACAACTAACTCTCTTATTTTAAAAAAAAAATTGTACTGTCAGGATGCTTTGATGTATTTTCTTGAATATAACTGTAGACTAATTGGTTGTCATAAGTAAACTGTAGACCCAACTGAATAATGAATGTTTTAGCATGTTAAAAATATCTAATTTATTTCAGCATGAAATTTGTCTCTCCTTGAGAGACAAATTGAAAAGTGCATTTAAAACTTGGATTGTAATACACTATGATCAGTGTGTCAGGTTAAAGCCAATATTTGTGATGCAAAAACATCTGACTTTACCCATGCATCAGCTTCAGTCAGTTGTAGTATTTATTGTTGTATTGACAGGAGTTTAGGTGAGAAAGTCCCCAAAGGATTTGAGTGTATTGAACAGACCCCCACAGGATACCCAGCTAACCTCAACCATGGGAGTATACGCTGTCCTGATATGTTTATCTGCTACAGGAGGGGGAGGGACAAACCTCCTCTCAAAGATTTAGGGTAAGCTCATAATCTACTCTAGCACAGATCTTAAGTGACTGCCTTGACTTAATCCTGTGAATCACCTCTGTTTTCGGCAGCTCTCTTTAGTTAAGCTCTGTAAGCCCTACAGACCATGATTCTTCTTCCATGGTCCTTATCCAGGATTGTTCAGTTCAGTCTACATTGTGGGTCTGGCAGCATGGTAGTTGTGTGGTCCTTATCCAGGATTGTTCAGTTCAGTCTACATTGTGGGTCTGGCAGCATGGTAGTGTGGTCCTTATCCAGGATTGTTCAGTTCAGTCTACATTGTGGGTCTGGCAGTATGGTAGTTCTGTGGTCCTTATCCAGGATTGTTCAGTCTACATTGTGGGTCTGGCAGCATGGTAGTTCTGTGGTCCTTATCCAGGATTGTTCAGTTCAGCCTACATTGTGGTCCTTATCCAGGATTGTTCAGTTCAGCCTACATTGTGGGTCTGGCAGCATGGTAGTTCTGTGGTCCTTATCCAGGATTGTTCAGTTCAGCCTACATTGTGGGTCTGGCAGCATGGTAGTTCTGTGGTCCTTATCCAGGATTGTTCAGTTCAGCCTACATTGTGGTCCTTATCCAGGATTGTTCAGTTCAGCCTACATTGTGGGTCTGGCAGTATGGTAGTTCTGCCCCTGCTTCTCTTCTAAGGGCTTGTCAGATCCATCCTCATTATGGTTTTTTTTTTGTTGCCTTGTCATGTTACATAAGTGGTCTTTGGACATTTTGTGTGGCCATCATATCTTTAGTATTTTTTATAGGCATCTATTTGTAAAGGACTGTAGCCTGTTGTTTGATTTTGTAAACCCCCCTCCCCCCACATCTAAGCCATATAGCAATGCTGCTTTGGTAGTACTTACACGGAACTTTAATTATAATTGTTTTATGCATTCTTGTGCATTTAAGTATTATTGTGTTGTTTCTGTTTTATGTGTTGTTTTACCAGTGTTTTATGTGTTGTTATACCAGTATTTTATGTGATGTTTTACCAGTGTTTCATTTGTTATACCAGTGTTTTATGTGTTTTATGTGTTGTTATACCAGTGTTTCATGTATTGTTATACCAGTGTTTTATGTGTTGTTATACCAGTGTTTTATGTATCGTTATACCAGTGTTTTGTTTCTACACAGAATATTGTACGAGGGTAAAGAGCGTGTAATGGATGGCTGTGAAATTGTCAGCACAACAATGGAAGGTCATCCTGCTAATGTAAACAACAGCAATAGCAGCCGAACATACGTAACATTTCGTAGAGCTGACAAATCAGCTCCTAGTGACACCTTGGTTGTTGTAGACATATGTGTTATCTTAGGTAGTCGGGTAAGTTACTCTAACATCAAATGTTTGCATTGAGACTCTCTGCATGGTGCTATGCTAGAGACTGTGGTTCTGTGTTTGTCTGTGTGTTGATATGCTATAGTCTGTTCAGTGCTATGCTAGAGACCATATGTGTGGTTCTGTGCTAGTCTGTCTGTATGGTGCTATGTTAAAAAGTATATTATGATCCACAGGGAGAAGAACCACCTTTGACATTCTTGAAGATTTTGAAAAATTTAAACAAAGGCATGGTAAGAAATACTGTCTTTATCTCAGACCAAATAGAATGCACACTATCAAAAGTTTCAATTCAGTACTAGTCGACAGATTTTGTTACAGTCATTTACCTGATTTATTATTAGTCGACAGATTTTGTTACAGTCATTTACCTGATTTATTAATAGTCGACAGATTTTGTTACAGTCATTTACCTGATTTATTAATAGTCGACAGATTTTGTTACAGCCATTTACCTGATTTATTACTAGTCGACAGATTTTGTTACAGTCATTTACCTGATTTATTAATAGTCGACAGATTTTGTTACAGCCATTTACCTGATTTATTACTAGTCGACAGATTTTGTTACAGTCATTTACATGATTAATTAATAGTCGACAGATTTTGTTACAGTCATTTACCTGATTTATTAATAGTCGACAGATTTTGTTAGTCATTTACCTGATTTATTAATAGTCGACAGATTTTGTTACAGCCATTTACCTGATTTATTACTAGTCGACAGATTTTGTTACAGTCGTTTACATGATTAATTAATAGTCGACAGATTTTGTTTCAGTCATTTACCTGATTTATTACTAGTCGACAGATTTTGTTTCAGCCATTTACCTGATTTATAACTAGTCAACATATTTGAATTCAGTCATTTACCTGATTTATTACTAGTCGACAGATTTTGTTTCCGTCATTTATCTGATTTATTTTTTGATCATTTTTCAACAGCTGGGTTCTGATGTTTTTTTGTGTTACAAAAAAGCTATGGTAAAAACAGATGTACTAGCTTACAAGGCATGTGAGTACACCATTTGTTATAAGAAGGTTTTATAGTGCTAGATTGTAGACCAACATTGTCTGCATCTAGTCACTTGTTATAAGAAGGTTTTATAGTGCTAGATTGTAGACCAACATTGTCTGCATATAGTCACTTGTTATAAGAAGGTTTTATAGTGCTACATTGTAGACCAACATTGTCTGCATCTAGTCAGTTGTTTTTCTGCTGTGTCACACACACATCTGTCTTGGCCTTCCCTGTTTTCTTTTGCATTGATGCCTTCAGTTTGGCAATCTGACCATTTCTGTAGCTTACATGTGTGATCTGACCATCACTGTAGCTTACATGTGTGATCTGACCATTACTATAGCTTACATGTGTGATGTGACCACTGTAGCTTACATGTGTGATGTGACCATTACTGTAGCTTACATGTGTGATGTGACCACTGTAGCTTACATGTGTGATCTGACCACTGTAGCTTACATGTGTGATCTGACCATTACTGTAGCTTACATGTGTGATGTGACCACTACTGTAGCTTACATGTGTGATCTGACCATTACTGTAGCTTACATGTGTGATGTGACCACTACTGTAGCTTACATGTGTAATGTGTTCACTGTAGCTTACATGTGTGATCTGACCACTACTGTAGCTTACATGTGTGATCTGACCACTACTGTAGCTTACATGTGTGATGTGACCACTACTGTAGCTTACATGTGTAATGTGTTCACTGTAGCTTACATGTGTGATCTGACCACTACTGTAGCTTACATGTGTGATCTGACCACTACTGTAGCTTACATGTGTGATCTGACCACTACTGTAGCTTACATGTGTGATCTGACCATTACTGTAGCTTACATGTGTGATCTGACCACTACTGTAGCTTACATGTGTAATGTGTTCACTGTAGCTTACATGTGTGATCTGACCACTACTGTAGCTTACATGTGTGATCTGACCATTACTGTAGCTTACATGTGTGATCTGACCATTACTGTAGCTTACATGTGTGATGTGACCATTACTGTAGCTTACATGTGTGATGTGACCACTGTAGCTTACATGTGTGATCTGACCATTACTGTAGCTTACATGTGTGATCTGACCATTACTGTAGCTTACATGTGTGATGTGACCACTACTGTAGCTTACATGTGTGATGTGACCACTACTGTAGCTTACATGTGTGATCTGACCATTACTGTAGCTTACATGTGTGATGTGACCACCACTGTAGCTTACATGTGTGATCTGACCATTACTGTAGCTTACATGTGTGATGTGACCACTACTGTAGCTTACATGTGTGATCTGACCATTACTGTAGCTTACATGTGTGATCTGACCACTGTAGCTTACATGTGTGATCTGACCATTACTGTAGCTTACATGTGTGATGTGACCACTTCTGTAGCTTACATGTGTAATGTGACCACTACTGTAGCTTACATGTGTGATCTGACCATTACTGTAGCTTACATGTGTGATGTGACCACTACTGTAGCTTACATGTGTAATGTGACCACTACTGTAGCTTACATGTGTGATCTGACCATTACTGTAGCTTACATGTGTGATCTGACCATTACTGTAGCTTACATGTGTGATGTGACCATTACTGTAGCTTACATGTGTGATGTGACCACTGTAGCTTACATGTGTGATCTGACCATTACTGTAGCTTACATGTGTGATCTGACCATTACTGTAGCTTACATGTGTGATGTGACCACTACTGTAGCTTACATGTGTGATCTGACCATTACTGTAGCTTACATGTGTGATCTGACCACTACTGTAGCTTACATGTGTAATGTGTTCACTGTAGCTTACATGTGTGATCTGACCATTACTATAGCTTACATGTGTGATCTGACCATTACTGTAGCTTACATGTGTGATGTGACCACTACTGTAGCTTACATGTGTGATCTGACCATTACTGTAGCTTACATGTGTGATCTGACCACTACTGTAGCTTACATGTGTGATCTGACCATTACTGTAGCTTACATGTGTGATCTGACCACTGTAGCTTACATGTGTGATCTGACCATTACTATAGCTTGCATGTGTGATCTGACCATTACTGTAGCTTACATGTGTGATCTGACCATTACTGTAGCTTACATGTGTAATGTGACCATTACTGTAGCTTACATGTGTGGTGTGACAGTTTTTATATCTTATTTGTTACCTTTACTCTGCCTTCAGTGTCATGTGACCTCTACCTTGTGAGTATATCTGGATTGTATTAATCTCCCACTTAATTAGAAAGCAACGTCTCTAAGACATCACCTGTATTGTGTTTTCACATTTAGCAATCCTTGGACGTTATCCATTAGAAGACCGTGAAGAGTTTCCATTACCAGAATCTGTGCCTATGTTTTGTCTTCCTATGGGAGCTACTATTGAGTGCTGGTCAGCTGATGCCCAGCATCCAGTGCCAAGTTTTTCTACCTTTATTCTAACTGGTGCAGGCGGAGAAAAGGTAACAACTAAATTTGTCACAGATCTTTAGAACTGTTGCCTCATGTCCACTATTGTATTCCACAAGTCTATGGTGCAGCTGTTAGTTCTTATGTCCACTATTGTATTCCACAGGTCTATGGTGCAGCTGTTAGTTCTTATGTCCACTATTGTATTCCACAGGTCTGTGGTGCAGCTGTTAGTTCTTATGTCCACTATTGTATTCCACCAGTCTATGGTGCAGCTGTTAGTTCTTATGTCCACTATTGTATTCCACAGGTCTATGGTGCAGCTGTTAGTTCTTATGTCCACTATTGTATTCCACAGGTCTATGGTGCAGCTGTTAGTTCTTATGTCCACTATTGTATTCCACAGGTCTATGGTGCAGCTGTTAGTTCTTATGTCCACTGCAGCTGTTAGTTCTTATGTCCACTATTGTATTCCACAGGTCTATGGTGCAGCTGTTAGTTCTTATGTCCACTATTGTATTCCACAGGTCTATGGTGCAGCTGTTAGTTCTTATGTCCACTGCAGCTGTTAGTTCTTATGTCCACTATTGTATTCCACAGGTCTATGGTGCAGCTGTTAGTTCTTATGTCCACTATTGTATTCCACAGGTCTATGGTGCAGCTGTTAGTTCTTATGTCCACTGCAGCTGTTAGTTCTTATGTCCACTATTGTATTCCACAGGTCTATGGTGCAGCTGTTAGTTCTTATGTCCACTATTGTATTCCACAGGTCTATGGTGCAGCTGTTAGTTCTTATGTCCACTGCAGCTGTTAGTTCTTATGTCCACTATTGTATTCCACAGGTCTATGGTGCAGCTGTTAGTTCTTATGCCCACTATTGTATTCCACAGGTCTATGGTGCAGCTGTTAGTTTTTATGAAGAGCACAAGGAGGAAAATCTTACAGATATGCAGATGAGAGCTTTAGGTCTAAAGAATAAGCATATCCGCCAACAGTTTCATATCCTTAAAACTGTTCATGTGCGCAAGTCTATAGCTCTGCTGTCTCACTGGCCTTTCTTTGATGCCTTTAAGAAGTTCCTCTCACAGCTCTATAAGATCTCTATCACTGGACCACATACAGTACCCATGGAGAGACACATTTCACATTTTATGTATGATGTCCCATATCCTTCTCCTGAACGTCCACGCATACTGGTTCAATTAACACATGATTCTATTTCCTTGTGTATGCCTGAAGACTCACCACTGCCCCAAAGGTATGTTGAGGGCTAGATACAATTCAAGGTTTTAAAATCAACTGCTTTTTAAAAATATATGAGCTACTTCAGCATTGACTAAATGAGGTGTTTGTGAACTGTTAGAAATAAAAAAATACTTCCTTGTTTCCCTACAGTGGAGCATCCTTCATTACATTGTTGAGGAATTTGGGGCCTGAGTTGACCATGAATCTTCTCTTGTTTGTCTTGCTGGAAAACAAAATCTTGCTTCATTCCCTGCGACCAACTGTCCTGACAGAAGTGGCTGAGGCTGTATCCATGGTTTGTAATTTCTGGCTGATTTCAGGAAACTAACCCAGGACCTTGTACGTGTGTCTGACACATTGGGTACAACTAACACAGGACCTTGTACGTGTGTCTGACATGTTGGGTACAACTAACACAGGACCTTGTATGTGTGTCTGACATGTTGGGTAGAACTAACACAGGACCTCGTACGTGTGTCTGACATGTAGGGTACAACTAACACAGGACCTTGTACGTGTGTCTGACATGTAGGGTAGAACTAACAGAGGACCTTGTACGTGTGTCTGACATGTTGGGTACAACTAACACAGGACCTTGTACGTGTGTCTGACACATTGGGTACAACTAACACAGGACCTTGTACGTGTGTCTGACATGTAGGGTAGAACTAACACAGGACCTCGTACGTGTGTCTGACATGTTGGGTACAACTAACACAGGACCTTGTACGTGTGTCTGACATGTAGGGTAGAACTAACACAGGACCTTGTACGTGTGTCTGACATGTTGGGTAGAACTAACACAGGACCTTGTACGTGTGTCTGACATATAGGGTAGAACTAACACAGGACCTCGTACGTGTGTCTGACATGTTGGGTAGAACTAACACAGGACCTTGTATGTGTGTCTGACATGTAGGGTAGAACTAACACAGGACCTTGTACATGTGTCTGACATGTTGGGTAGAACTAACACAGGACCTTGTACGTGTGTCTGACATGTTGGGTAGAACTAACACAGGACCTTGTACGTGTGTCTGACATGTAGGGTAGAACTAACACAGGACCTTGTACGTGTGTCTGACATGTAGGGTAGAACTAACACAGGACCTTGTACGTGTGTCTGACATGTAGGGTAGAACTAACACAGGACCTTGTACGTGTGTCTGACATGTAGGGTAGAACTAACACAGGACCTTGTACGTGTGTCTGACATGTTGGGTACAACTAACACAGGACCTTGTACGTGTGTCTGACATGTTGGGTACAACTAACCCAGGACCTTGTACGTGTGTCTGACATGTTGGGTAGAACACAGGACCTTGTACGTGTGTCTGACATGTAGGGTACAACTAACACAGGACCTCGTACGTGTGTCTGACACATTGGGTACAACTAACACAGGACCTTGTACGTGTGTCTGACATGTAGAGTAGAACTAACACAGGACCTTGTACGTGTGTCTGACATGTAGGGTAGAACTAACACAGGACCTTGTACGTGTGTCTGACATGTAGGGTAGAACTAACACAGGACCTTGTACGTGTGTCTGACATGTAGGGTAGAACTAACACAGGACCTTGTACGTGTGTCTGACATGTAGGGTAGAACTAACACAGGACCTTGTACGTGTGTCTGACATGTAGGGTAGAACTAACACAGGACCTTGTACGTGTGTCTGACATGTTGGGTACAACTAACACAGGACCTTGTATGTGTGTCTGACATGTTGGGTACAACTAACACAGGACCTTGTACGTGTGTCTGACATGTAGGGTAGAACTAACACATGCTGAAAATTAAGTCCTCAATTTGACCAATGTATCTAACTGTTTACAGATGATATTCCCATTCCACTGGCAGTGTCCTTATATACCACTGTGTCCACTGGGTCTCTCAGATGTCCTCAATGCTCCTTGTCCTTTTATTGTTGGTAAGTATGAACATGCAGGCACACTGTGCAGCAGGGCTGTCCTTTTATTGTTGGTAAGCATGAACATGTAGGCACACTGCAGTAGACATAGGCTGTCCTTTTATTGTTGGTAAGTATGAACATGCAGGCACACTGTGCAGCAGATATAGGCTGTCCTTTTATTGTTGGTAAGGAGGTAAAAATTGTTAAAAGAATAAATAATGATGGGACTTGTTCCAAATGTTCCAAAACACTGTTTAAAAAAAAAATTAGACCCTTTCTAATTTCTGCTAATGTGGTTGATTTTACTCTCCATCACATTAACTATGAACTAAAACTTTCAAGGTACAATTAATCTAAATCTAGGCTCATTCTTAAAAGAATATACCTTACATTTTTAGGCATAATTTAAAAGTTGAAAACTAGTACAACTAGATCATTATAGTTTAAATTAGCTTAACCATTAATGTCCCATTCATTCTACCAAAACTCCACCCATGACGGCCCAATGTAAGGAGCATAACTCTGTATGATCAAGTGAATAGTTTCACAAAATATTTGTTTTTGTCTAAATGAAATTGAAAATTAAGATAAAAACTACTGCTTAATGTTGGGAATAAACCTGGCTTCCCAACAGTATTAAATAGAATATATTATATTCGGTACAAGTACAGAATAAAAATAAAAAATGTCGGAGAAAATTCAAAACAGGTCATTTTTGGTAGTCAACTTTATTTATTTTTGTCTAAACAACTATGCATCGAATTTAACAGTTAAATATCAATTTGATTATCTTTAAGATATATAATTCATAAAATACATTCCTAGATACGTTTAGAGGCATTCTTTTATTTTATTTTTAATATTAAATCAACTAAAAATTGGACAGATGAGTCTAAAATTTCGAGATGGAAAGAAACTATTATTTTTTATCTTTCAAAAGCGCCATTGAAATTAGAAGACTGGAAAAGGATGCTGAAACTAACCGACTTCCTGTTTAGTTAAAAATTAGGATTTGTTGGCCAAATTTTAATGAAACAAATTTAATTTTTCTATGCGTATTGTAAGCGGGCGGCAGCGGGCGTTACGGGACATTAACGGTGTCGGGCGGCAGCGGGCGTTACGGGACATTAATGGTTAATGTTAAAATAAAACTTGCCTCCTTTGTTACATTGTAAAATTTAATTTAAAAACATAAAATTGCAATTAGACAAGGCTTTGTGTTATTTTAGAGTGAATAACTTAAACTTCTTTTATTTAAAACAATCGCAATATTAAACAATTAATTAGTACAGTAATGGCGTGGGACTGCTTTAACTGCGATAAAAAAAATAGATAAAACATACGAAGTTCTTGTCCGAAAAAAAATTCCAAATTTTTGTCATGGTCTTGTCACATCCCTAGTAATGGCGGACAAACGACTGGTTACCTTATGAGATTTTCAACTCTGTTTCACTTCGAGGGTTAGTGCTGAAAAAAATGTATAATTTACCTATGTCAGCCATTTTCACTCATCTATTTCTGTTCCACATTTTGTTTTCTATTTACCTATAGCTGATTTTTTTTGCAGAGTTATTTTTCACTTACCATAAATAGTGGCATTTGTCTGTTTTTAACTAGTTTTTGTGTGATACTCCACTCTCTGGGCCACTTTTGTAACATGGGTTGTAGTCAGTCATGAATCACCCAGCACTTTAATTTAATACAGTAATTTTAATAGGTTTTTTGGACTGAGTAGAAAGGCATTTTCTTTATGGCAAAAGGGGAAAATAGGTTATTTATAAATTTATATAATAAAATATTAATAAATGTTATCAGGATACTGAAATTTCTTTTACCACAATTATACTGAGCCTAATAGCATTATTAGAGTTTTAAAGGCTTTTAGTTGGATCATAATATCTGTTTGTATGTGGGTTTTTTGGCAAATCTTGTGCAGCTCTATTTTGACCCACTTCTATTGCAGCAATTCAGTTCTAACTATCCAGACATGTCCATCTTTGGTGACAATGCAAGAATACATACTTTTTAATCTAATTAGATTAATTGTTAAAATGTAATTAACAGTTCACTAAATTCAATAACAAAAGCAGTAATAACGAGATTAAGTGCCAGCAGAAGCTGTGAACTGTTGGTCGCGGATGATTGATTTCGCACATTGAGAATTCACCACAGACTAAAAAAAAGCAGCTAATTGTCTATTAAAGATCACAAGCTACTGATAAGGGTATTAAAGCAGATATTTTAAGTTGTACATAATGTAGAGTTCGATAATAAACAGAATGTAAAAAATAAAATTCAAATAAAGTAAACCCACAAGTCGTTTTTAAAAACTAAATATCAATTTACCTTTTTTTCCTTTCTTACTAAAAAGTAGAAAATAAAACAAATTAAAAACAAAGTTTTAATAATAAGCTATTTAATTGCACTAAAAAATAAAATAGTTTAAACAAAGCACTGGTTGCTCATGAAATTTTTTTTTTTTAGCGATCAATGCTTTTATTAAAAAGCAAATTTTGTTTTCAAATTTTCAGTGCATTTAAAAGCATATTATTCTAAGATGTTTTTAAAAAAATAATTTAATGCAATAATAATTCCTTGAAATTCTAATCTCCATCTGAAAAAATCCTAGAAATACTCTAAAGTTTTAATTAAACTTGGGAAATATTTCAAATTTGTTATTTGTTGCTTTCTTACATCTCTTGAAAAACAGTTGCTGTCACTTAAGTTGGCTTCGTTATATTGAGAGCAGTTTGAACAATTGAAAACTGTTTTAGAACTATGATTTCTAAACAGAATAAATATTGATATTGGCTAGGAAATAAAAGAAAGGCCAAGAGAAGCATCACCGTGTATTGCTATTTTGTTGCAGGTGTTGATTCCCGTTATTTTGATCTGTATGACCCACCTCCAGATGTTATATGTGTGGATCTTGACACTAGCAGAATTTCCCCGTAAGTTGTTCTAGGTTTAGTTACTCTCATTTGGTTACTGGATACTGTACAATGACGTGAAGGCCAGGCTAAAAGAAATGTACTAAAAGATTGGAGCATATTAATAAACATAGACATAAATATATACAAAAACATCAGCAACATATATATATATATATATATAAAATCTAGACATGATTTTAAGAGAATGGACTTATCACCTCATTCTTTTTTATCAAGTTATTGAGTGCTTTATGTATAATTTTTAATGTTCTGACATTTTTTCTAATGCACAGACCTGAAGACAAAAAGTCTTTGAGTTTTAAAAACTTGCCTAAGGTGAGTTTTTCAAATATTCTTCCAAAATCCTATTTATTTTTGGGTGATGGTGAAGTTAAATTTTGCTGCCTGTGTGTTGATAGGGCTGGGTGCAGGGCGGTGAGCAGTGGAGGCAACATTTGAAATGTCCAATTCTGCTAACTTATAGAATGAGTAGCGGCTTACTGTCCAGTGTTACATGGTCTAGTGTATTGTATGTTACATGGTCTAGTGTATTGTATGTTACATGGTCTAGTGTATTGTATGTTACATGGTCTAGTGTATGGTCTAGTGTATTGTATGTAACATGGTCTGGTGTATTGTATGTTACATGGTCTGGTGTATTGTATGTTACATGGTCTGGTGTATTGTATGTTACATGGTCTGGTGTATTGTATGTTACATGGTCTAGTGTATTGTTTATATGTTACATGGTCTAGTGTATTGTATGTTACACAAGCTTACAAATCCACTATTTGACAGAAGCCCAGTAAAGTGATGCTTAAATAAGTTTATCCCCTATTTGACAGAAGCCCAGTAAAGTGATGCTAAAATAAGTTTATCTCCAATTTGACAGAAGCCCAGTAAAGTGATGCTTAAATAAGTTTATCTCCCATTTGACAGAAGCCCAGTAGAGTGATGCTAGAAAGTTTGTCTAAACTTTATGAAGAAGCCAGCCAACCCAGTGTACATAAACATGGAAATGATGAAGTCTCTCTGGAGATGACACACTTTGATTTGGATTTTAGACGGAAAAAACAAGATGTGAGTAGTATGACATCAGCATCACTGCAGTTAGTTTCATTGTCTTTGATCACATTTAAGTAGATCCTAGATCACAAGTATAGTTGTCTGATTATGTCTCCTTAAAAAACCTAAAAAATGGGCTTGTCATTTCAGATGCAGCTTGAGTTTGCAATCCAGGAAGTTTTTCTAAGGTTCACAGCTTGCTTATTGAAAGACTACAAAAATTTCCTGAATCCAATAATGAAACAGCCTAACAGCCGCACTACTGATGCTTCATCTCTATTTGATATGCAGGGTAATTTTGTCTGCTTAGATTAGATCTATATGTAGGTCACTTGTTTAATGAACATGATCTTTAGATATCCATCTGTAAATGTTTATTGAACATGATCTTTACATATCCATCTGTAAATGTTTATTGAACATGATCTTTACATATCCATCTGTAAATGTTTATTGAACATGATCTTTACATATCTATCTGTAAATGTTTATTGAACATGATCTTTAGAAATCCATCTATAAATGTTTATTCAACATGACTTTGGATATCCATCTGTCAGTAGCATACGTTAAATAAAGTTAAATATGAACCAAGTTCCACAACACACAAAAAAACAACAACAACACGTTACTGAAAAACTGTCATTCTATGTACCCTGAATATCACATTTTTAGACAACTCTATAGCCTACGTCTTGGCTTACTTAGCGGCGCCGAGCTTAGCACAGGTGTGTGCAAAGCGCTTTTTTGTCTGTGCCTGTCCACTTTAAGGCATCTGCTGTTTGTGCTATTCGTGCTGTATATAGACCGTCAATAATGATCTAATTCACAATTGTGGTCTTTGCTTGAGTTGTCTAGCTCAATTCAGCTATCTATCATTTATGTTGGAGGCTCAATTCAGCTATCTATCATTTATGCTGGAGGCTCAATTCAGCTATCTATCATTTATGCTGGAGGCTCAATTCAGCTATCTATCATTTATGCTGGAGGCTCAATTCAGCTATCTATCATTTATGCTGGAGGCTCAATTCAGCTATCTATCATTTATGCTTGAGGCTAAATTTAGCTATCATTTATGCTGGAGGCTCAATTCAGCTATCTATCATTTATGTTGGAGGCTCAATTCAGCTATCTATCATTTATGCTGGAGGCTCAATTCAGCCATCTATCATTTATGCTAGAGGCTCAATTCAGCTATCATTTATGCTGGAGGCTCAATTCAGCTATCTATCATTTATGCTGGAGGCTCAATTCAGGTATCTGTCATTTATGCTGGAGGCTCAATTCAGCTATCTATCATTTATGCTGGAGGCTCAATTCAGCTATCTATCATTTATTCTGGAGGCTCAATTCAGCTATCTATCATTTATGCTGTAGGCTCAATTCAGCTATCTATCATTTATGCTGGAGGCTTTTTCATCGCTTATAGTAGAGTGATCGCTTGCATTATTGTGATGTATAGCATTTATTTTCTACTTTTTAGTTCAATCAGAAAACGTGGGTTTTTATTTTTTATTTTTAATGATAATTATTTGTAAAAATAAATAGTGATACGCAACTACAACTGAAATGTTTAAATAATTATTGATTCGGTAGAATTTGAAATTTACAATTAAATGTGTAGACCTATAGGGCTGGTAAGTAGGTCACCAACCAGTTCTATTTCTCAATTAAAACCTGCATGAGCCATAGAACTTGTTGGTGACCTACTTACCAGCTCATTACATATCTATATTAACAGTGGTTATTTCCCCTACTGTGGTTTGGTTGCCTTTATTAATATTCCATTATGTCATATTGTTTTGTTTTACAAAGACTACAAAACAGATTCTATTGCGTTGCTTGTTTTTGGTTGTGTTGTGTGTGTATTTTGTGTTGTATTTTGTTTTGTGTGATACATTGTTTTGTTGTGGGCCTACTTAGTGTTGTGTTCTTTTTTTTTACAGAGTAATGTTTGAATGTATTTTTCACCTTAGCGAAGCAATGTCATACAGCTAGTATATATATAAATATATATATATATATACATATATAACCCCTGGAGTTATATCCCCCCCCGGTCAATTACGGGGGGGGGGGGGTATATATATAATAAATATATAAATATATAGCCTTTTTCTCCCCTCCCCCCCTAACCCGAAAACCTGTGTATGCCTCTGCCATCTGTAAATGTTTACTGTACATGCAGGATTTCTTAAAAGCCGAGACAAGGCCAACACCAAGTTTTTCTCCCAATTGATGCATACACAGATGTTTTTTCGCTTTATCGAGGAAAGATCTTTTGTGTCAGATAAAGATGCTAGTCTTGCTTTCTTTGATGAATGTGCAGAGAAGGTTTGGCTTCTTTTTGTATACATTTTTAAAAATTAAATTTCAATAAGTCATTGTCTAGCTTGTAATTTTGACACCCCTGTCCTACTGTTGACACCCCTGTCCTACTGTTGACACCCCTGTCCTACTGTTAACACCCCTGTCCTACTGTTAACACCCCTGTCCTACTCTTGAGACCCGTGTCCTACTCTTGAGACCACTGTCCTACTGTTGACATCACTGTCCTACTGTTAACACCCCTGTCCTACTGTTGACACCCCTGTCCTACTCTTGAGACCCGTGTCCTACTCTTGAGACCACTGTCCTACTGTTGACATCACTGTCCTACTGTTGACATCACTGTCCTACTGTTGACACCCCTGTCCTACTGTTGACATCACTGTCCTACACTTGACACCCCTGTCCTACTGTTGACATCACTGTCCTACTGTTGACATCACTGTCCTACTGTTAACATCACTGTCCTACTGTTGACATCACTGTCCTACTGTTGACATCACTGTCCTACTGTTGACATCACTGTCCTTCTGTTGACACCCCTGTCCTACTCTTGAGACCACTGTCCTACTGTTGACATCACTGTCCTACTGTTGACATCACTGTCCTACTGTTGACACCCCTGTCCTACTGTTGACACCCCTGTCCTACTGTTGACACCCCTGTCCTACTCTTGAGACCCCTGTCCTACTGTTGACATCACTGTCCTACTGTTGACATCACTGTCCTACTGTTGACATTACTGTCCTACTGTTGACACCCCTGTCCTACTGTTGACATCACTGTCCTACTGTTGACATCACTGTCCTACTGTTGACATCACTGTCCTACTGTTGACATCACTGTCCTACTGTTGACATCACTGTCCTACTCTTGAGACCACTGTCATGTTACTGTCTTATGTATCTGTCCAGGTTGATGAAACTAGTGACACACCAAAACTGATTGAGATTGATAACAGCCAGATGAGGTAGGTCAGCAATTTTTACATGAGTTCTAGTTTGCAGTTGTGATGTTTCATTTCACAGTCTCTCAAGATTATTATAAATTCTACTTGTCCAATTCTTTTTTTGGCCAATTTTTAAAATTTCAATTATTCAACTACAAAATTTTTGACTAGTGAAATAAACTGCCCTAAAAATTTTACTTTTTGTTGTTTCATCTATGTTAAATATAATGTCTTCTTCTTATGTTTTCAGTGAAAGAACAGTGTTCATAATGCCGCCAGAGCCAGTAAATTTACCTGAAGGAGTTAAGTACAGGTAAATCATCATTTCCTCATTGCTGTAAGACAGCTGTGTTGCTATGTTAAGCAAAAATTAGTGGAAAAATATTTAACTAATTACCATCACTTCTCTATCCCAATAATTATTCACATTTATGGCATAAGTGGGGTGGGGGGGGGGGGGGGGGTTAAGTCCCAAGAGTTTTCTTCTTTGTTCATGTATGTGTTTAATAGGTCAAAAAAATATATCTGCTAACATGTCCAGAAAATATATCTGTTAATATGTCAAAAAATGTCTCTGTTCATGTATGTTTTTAAAATGTCCAAAAATATATGTTAACTTATCCAAAAAATGTCTCTGTTCATGTACGTGTTTAATATGTCCAAAAAATTTATCTGTTAACATGTTCAAAAAATATATCTGTTAATATGTCCAAAAATGTCTCTGTTCATGTATGTGTTAATATCCAAAAAATATATCTATTAAGGGGATATGCTGGTTTTTTTTTCTATTTTTTACAATTTAAGATCTAAAGCCTTTTGAATTCTGTTACCATGTTTGGCACATGAAAGTAAGTATTAAACAGCAAAAAAAAAGGGTTAAAAACAATTTTGTTTGTCATGGAAACCCAAAAAAGAACCTCTGCCAATTTGCATTTTTCAGTACTTTTAAAAATGCTAAGGCTTATTTATTTATGCACTTATAGCAATCAAATTTAAACTGCTTATATTTCAGTATATATTAAAACTTTTGTCACAACAACTTTTTGAAATAGCTACCAGTAAGAATTTTACAAGGTCAAATAAATTGTACCCTTTTTGGAATTCAAAAGTTTCAAAATTTCATATTAATTACAAAATAGTTTTTTTTATGAAAGCCATCACAATTCCCCCACAATAAAAGTTGTATTTTTGCCTGAAGAACAAGTACTGAAAATTTGGTTGGCATTGTTAAATCAATAAATAAACAGGGAGTGATCTCCCCTAAAGGGTAAACTTTCTCAAATATTCTTATATAACGCTACGGAGGATGGCAACTCGGAATATAGACAACATTTTAAATCCATTTTTAATTACTTAAACTTTTTAAAAATAGAATAGAATCTTGTAGAAAAAAGAATTGCACACCAAGTGGACGCCAAACAAAATGTGTATAATAGTGCGGAATATTATTAGTACTTTATAAATTCACATTCATTTTTTGAGAAATCAGAAATTGCTTAAATTATACTTCCGGTCAACGGAAATTACTCAACATTTGACAGAAGGCAGATAATTAGATCTACTGAAACAGTACTCAAGTTATAGGCTTTTGATAAAGTTCCACTTCCGGTTATCAAAAATTGCTGAAAAGTTGATACAAATCTACAAATAAGTACTGAGGTGTAAAAGGGTAAAAACTGTCAAAATTTCATGTGATTTTTGTGCACGATAACAATACTTCCTCTATACTCTGTGTACGAGAAAGTAAAAAGAAGTAGGCTTTTAAGTGTTAAAAACCTACAAACTGAGAAAAACAGCCAAAAGTAATGAAAAGGAGATCATGAAAATACCATATCTGTGTAAACTGCAAAGCCGATTGTAAGCTTTGGGTGTTTCGGAGATGATGGAAATTAAGGTTATCAAATACATGCGAAATCCAGCTTTCCAATGATGCCAAATACAATATGATGACGGATATAAAACTTTTCAAATAGAGATTGTAAGATTGGGAAAAATAATTTTTTAATTAATAGGGTCTTAAAAATGGTATTTTAAACACATAAAAATAATTTTTTTCTCATTAAAGTTATTATTTTCTTAACACAAAATGGACAAAGTATCCAAAAGTACAAGAAAGTCATCATGACAAAAAACAAGAAATTTTGGGATTTTTTTTTTAAGGCGCATATCTCCTTAACCCTTTGAGCCTGACAAGCTGGTAAACCAGTTTCAAAATTAGGCATATATGTCTGAAAAGTCAATTTTCCAGCCCGATGATCTAGTGTCAAAGTCCTAGGGGCTGGTACACCGTCTTATTAAATATAATTAGCAGTGGACTGAATAAAACATGTCTTTAAAGTGCGGGGTTATAATTCTAAAAATAGACTTTGGGGGAAAGTTGAAAGTGAAAGTGTTTGCATTGTGTGAAACACATTGTCAACAACAACAACAAATCTATTATTTTATTATTCGGTTATAATTATTATTGCTGAATTGTTGTTCTATACTGAGCCTTGATGCAAAATTTGGCTTGATTATCTCAAACCATTCAGAAGTTATAGGCAAAGTTAGAAGTAGATAAGAGAAAATTGGTTTGGGCCTGTTAGCTCAGGAAATGGGAGAAATTAGGCCAGGGAGGCCTGGGTTCAAAGGGTTAATATGTCCAAAAATGTCTCTGTTCATGTATGTGTTAATATGTCCAAACAATGTCTATATATGTGTAGTTTTTGTTGACTCTCGCAGCTACAATGGCTTCCCTGAGTTGAACCAAGAGCTGTTTCTTGCTAACAAGAAGTCAGTGTTGCCTGTACCAACAAAAGCAACTTGCCCCAACAGCCCACTAGCCAGGAGAACAAAGCAAGAAGTCAAATCTGCACAAAAGGTTCTTCACTTTAACCATTACCTTCATACATCATGGATACATTTCACATGGACATTACCTTCATACATTATGGATACATTTCACATGGACATTACCTTCATACATTATGGATACATTTCACATGGACATTACCTTCATACATTATGGATACATTTCACATGGACATTACCTTCATACATTATGGATACATTTCACATGGACATTACCTTCATACATTATGGATACATTTCACATGGACATTACCTTCATATATTATGGATACATTTCACATGGACATTACCTTCATACATTATGGATACATTTCACATGGACATTACCTTCATACATTATGGATACATTTCACATGGACATTACCTTCATATATTATGGATACATTTCACATGGACATTACCTTCATACATTATGGATACATTTCACATGGACATTACCTTCATACATTATGGATACATTTCACATGGACATTACCTTCATATATCATGGATACATTTCACATGGACATTACCTTCATATATCATGGATACATTTCACATGGACATTACCTTCATATATCATGGATACATTTCACATGGACATTACCTTCATATATCATGGATACATTTCACATGGACATTACCTACATACATTATGGATACATTTCAAATGGACATTACCTTCATACATCATGGATACATTTCACATGGACATTACCTTCATATATCATGGATACATTTCACATGGACATTACCTTCATATATCATGGATACATTTCACATGGACATTACCTTCATATATCATGGATACATTTCACATGGAAATTACCTTCAAACACACTAGATAGTTTTAGTTTGTTATCCTTTTGAAATGTATCCACATGAAATGTATCCATGTTTAACATGTCCATATCAAATGTATCCATGTTTAACATGTCCATGTGAAATGTATCCATGTTTAACATGTCCATGTGAAATGTATCCATGTTTAACATGTCCATGTGAAATGTATCCATGTTTAACATGTCCATGTAAAATGTATCCATGTTTAACATGTCCATGTAAAATGTATCCATGTTTAACATGTCCATGTGAAATGTATCCATGTTTAACATGTCCATGTGAAATGTATCCAAGTGTAACATGTCCATGTGAAATGTATCCAAGTGTAACATGTCCATGTGAAATGTATCCATGTTTAACATGTCCATATGAAATGTATCCATGTTTAACATGTCCATATGAAATGTATCCATGTTTAACATGTCCATATGAAATGTATCCATGTTTAACATGTCCATGTAAAATTTGCTTGCAGGTAGCTCAGCAACAGGTGGGCAATCCAAAGCTATGGGCAAAGTAAGTTTTTTTTTTGTTTGTAGTGCGTAGGTTGTTTGTAGTGCGTAGGTTGTTTGTAGTGCGTAGGTTGTTTGTACTGCTGTAGGTGGTGTTTGTACTGCTGTAGGTTGTGCTGTGGAGGTTGTGTATGTACTGCTGTAGGTTGTGTTTGTACTGCTGTAGGTTGTGTTTGTACTACTGTAGGTTGTGCTATGGAGGTTGTGTTTGTACTGATGTAGGTTGTGTTTGTACTGCTGTAGGTTGTGTTTGTATTGCTGTAAGTTGTGTTTGTACTGCTGTAGGTTGTGTTTGTACTGCTGTAGGTTGTGCATGTACTGCTGTAGGTTGTGTTTGTGCTGATGTAGGTTGTGTTTGTACTGCTGTAGGTTGTGTTTGTACTGCTGTAGGTTGTGTTTGTACTGCTGTAGGTTGTGTTTGTACTGCTGTAGGTTGTGCTGTGGAGGTTGTGTATGTACTGCTGTAGGTGGTGTTTGTACTGCTGTAGGTTGTGTTTGTACTGCTGTAGGTTGTGTTTGTACTGCTGTAGGTTGTGCTGTGGAGGTTGTGTATGTACTGCTGTAGGTGGTGTTTGTACTGCTGTAGGTTGTGTTTGTACTGCTGTAGGTTGTGTTTGTACTGCTGTAGGTTGTGCTGTGTAGGTTGTGCTTGTACTGCTGTAGGTTGTGTATGTACTGCTGTAAGTTGTGTTTGTACTGCTGTAGGTTGTGTTTGTACTGCTGTAGGTGCTGTTTGTACTGCTGTAGGTTGTGTTTGTACTGCTGTAGGTTGTGTATGTACTGATGTAGGTTGTGTAGGTACTGATGTAGGTTGTGTTTGTACTGATGTAGGTTGTGCTGTGTAGGTTGTGTTTGTACTGCTGTAGGTTGTGTAGGTACTGATGTAGGTTGTGTTTGTAATCCTGTAGGTTGTGTATGTACTGTTGTAGGTGGTGTTTGTACTGCTGTAGGTTGTGTTTGTACTGCTGTAGGTTGTGTTTGTACTGATGTAGGTTGTGTTTGTACTGCTGTAGGTTGTGCTGTGGAGGTTGTGTATGTACTGCTGTAGGTGGTGTTTGTACTGCTGTAGGTTGTGTTTTACTGCTGTAGGTGGTGTTTGTACTGCTGTAGGTTGTGTTTGTACTGCTGTAGGTTGTGTTAGTACTGCTGTAGGTTGTGTATGTACTGCTGTAGGTTGTGTTTGTACTGCTGTAGGTTGTGCTGTGGAGGTTGTGTATGTACTGCTGTAGGTGGTGTTTGTACTGCTGTAGGTTGTGTTTTACTGCTGTAGGTGGTGTTTGTACTGCTGTAGGTTGTGTTTTACTGCTGTAGGTGGTGTTTGTACTGCTGTAGGTTGTGTTTTACTGCTGTAGGTGGTGTTTGTACTGCTGTAGGTTGTGTTTTACTGCTGTAGGTGGTGTTTGTACTGCTGTAGGTTGTGTTTGTACTGCTGTAGGTTGTGTATGTACTGCTGTAGGTTGTGTTTGTACTGCTGTAGGTTGTGCTGTGGAGGTTGTGTATGTACTGCTGTAGGTGGTGTTTGTACTGCTGTAGGTTGTGTTTGTACTGCTGTAGGTTGTGCTGTGGAGGTTGTGTATGTACTGCTGTAGGTGGTGTTTGTACTGCTGTAGGTTGTGTTTGTACTGCTGTAGGTTGTGCTTGTACTGCTGTAGGTTGTGTTTTACTGCTGTAGGTGGTGTTTGTACTGCTGTAGGTGCTTTTTGTACTGCTGTAGGTTGTGTTCGTACTGCTGTAGCTTGTGTTTGTACTGGTGTAGGTTGTTTGTACTGCTGTAGGTTGTGTTTTACTGCTGTAGGTTGTGTTTGTACTGCTGTAGGTGGTGTTTGTACTGCTGTAGGTTGTGTTTGTACTGCTGTAGGTTGTGCTGTGTAGGTTGTGTTTGTACTGCTGTAGGTTGTGTTTGTACTGATGTAGGTTGTGTTTGTACTGCTGTAGGTTGTGTTTGTACTGATGTAGGTTGTGTTTGTACTGCTGTAGGTTGTGTTAGTACTGCTGTAGGTTGTGTTTGTATTGCTGTAGGTTGTGCTGTGTAGGTTGTGTTTGTACTGCTGTAGGTTGTGTTTGTACTGATGTAGGTTGTGTTTGTACTGCTGTAGGTTGTGTTTGTACTGCTGTAGGTTGTGTATGTACTGCTGGAGGTTGTGTAGGTACTGATGTAGGTTGTGTTTGTACTGATGTAGGTTGTGCTGTGTAGGTTGTGTTTGTACTGCTGTAGGTTGTGCTGTGGAGGTTGTGTATGTACTGCTGTAGGTTGTGTTTGTACTGCTGTAGGTTGTGTTTGTACTACTGTAGGTTGTGCTATGGAGGTTGTGTTTGTACTGATGTAGGTTGTGTTTGTACTGCTGTAGGTTGTGTTTGTATTGCTGTAAGTTGTGTTTGTACTGCTGTAGGTTGTGTTTGTACTGCTGTAGGTTGTGCATGTACTGCTGTAGGTTGTGTTTGTGCTGATGTAGGTTGTGTTTGTACTGCTGTAGGTTGTGTTTGTACTGCTGTAGGTTGTGTTTGTACTGCTGTAGGTTGTGTTTGTACTGCTGTAGGTTGTGCTGTGGAGGTTGTGTATGTACTGCTGTAGGTGGTGTTTGTACTGCTGTAGGTTGTGTTTGTACTGCTGTAGGTTGTGTTTGTACTGCTGTAGGTTGTGCTGTGGAGGTTGTGTATGTACTGCTGTAGGTGGTGTTTGTACTGCTGTAGGTTGTGTTTGTACTGCTGTAGGTTGTGTTTGTACTGCTGTAGGTTGTGCTGTGTAGGTTGTGCTTGTACTGCTGTAGGTTGTGTATGTACTGCTGTAAGTTGTGTTTGTACTGCTGTAGGTTGTGTTTGTACTGCTGTAGGTGCTGTTTGTACTGCTGTAGGTTGTGTTTGTACTGCTGTAGGTTGTGTATGTACTGATGTAGGTTGTGTAGGTACTGATGTAGGTTGTGTTTGTACTGATGTAGGTTGTGCTGTGTAGGTTGTGTTTGTACTGCTGTAGGTTGTGTAGGTACTGATGTAGGTTGTGTTTGTAATCCTGTAGGTTGTGTATGTACTGTTGTAGGTGGTGTTTGTACTGCTGTAGGTTGTGTTTGTACTGCTGTAGGTTGTGTTTGTACTGATGTAGGTTGTGTTTGTACTGCTGTAGGTTGTGCTGTGGAGGTTGTGTATGTACTGCTGTAGGTGGTGTTTGTACTGCTGTAGGTTGTGTTTTACTGCTGTAGGTGGTGTTTGTACTGCTGTAGGTTGTGTTTGTACTGCTGTAGGTTGTGTTAGTACTGCTGTAGGTTGTGTATGTACTGCTGTAGGTTGTGTTTGTACTGCTGTAGGTTGTGCTGTGGAGGTTGTGTATGTACTGCTGTAGGTGGTGTTTGTACTGCTGTAGGTTGTGTTTTACTGCTGTAGGTGGTGTTTGTACTGCTGTAGGTTGTGTTTTACTGCTGTAGGTGGTGTTTGTACTGCTGTAGGTTGTGTTTTACTGCTGTAGGTGGTGTTTGTACTGCTGTAGGTTGTGTTTTACTGCTGTAGGTGGTGTTTGTACTGCTGTAGGTTGTGTTTGTACTGCTGTAGGTTGTGTTTGTACTGCTGTAGGTTGTGTTTGTACTGCTGTAGGTTGTGCTGTGGAGGTTGTGTATGTACTGCTGTAGGTGGTGTTTGTACTGCTGTAGGTTGTGTTTGTACTGCTGTAGGTTGTGCTGTGGAGGTTGTGTATGTACTGCTGTAGGTGGTGTTTGTACTGCTGTAGGTTGTGTTTGTACTGCTGTAGGTTGTGCTTGTACTGCTGTAGGTTGTGTTTTACTGCTGTAGGTGGTGTTTGTACTGCTGTAGGTGCTTTTTGTACTGCTGTAGGTTGTGTTCGTACTGCTGTAGCTTGTGTTTGTACTGGTGTAGGTTGTTTGTACTGCTGTAGGTTGTGTTTTACTGCTGTAGGTTGTGTTTGTACTGCTGTAGGTGGTGTTTGTACTGCTGTAGGTTGTGTTTGTACTGCTGTAGGTTGTGCTGTGTAGGTTGTGTTTGTACTGCTGTAGGTTGTGTTTGTACTGATGTAGGTTGTGTTTGTACTGCTGTAGGTTGTGTTTGTACTGATGTAGGTTGTGTTTGTACTGCTGTAGGTTGTGTTTGTACTGCTGTAGGTTGTGTTTGTATTGCTGTAGGTTGTGCTGTGTAGGTTGTGTTTGTACTGCTGTAGGTTGTGTTTGTACTGATGTAGGTTGTGTTTGTACTGCTGTAGGTTGTGTTTGTACTGCTGTAGGTTGTGTATGTACTGCTGGAGGTTGTGTAGGTACTGATGTAGGTTGTGTTTGTACTGATGTAGGTTGTGCTGTGTAGGTTGTGTTTGTACTGCTGTAGGTTGTGTAGGTACTGATGTAGGTTGTGTTTGTACTGCTGTAGGTTGTGTTTGTACTGCTGTAGGTTGTGCATGTACTGCTGTAGGTTGTGTTTGTGCTGATGTAGGTTGTGTTTGTACTGCTGTAGGTTGTGTAGGTACTGCTGTAGGTTGTGTTTGTACTGCTGTAGGTTGTGTATGTACTGCTGTAGGTTGTGTTTGTACTGCTGTAGGTTGTGTTTGTACTGCTGTAGGTTGTGCTGTGTAGGTTGTGCTGTGGAGGTTGTGTATGTACTGCTGTAGGTTGTGTTTGTACTGCTGTAGGTTGTGTTTGTACTGCTGTAGGTTGTGTTTGTACTGCTGTAGGTTGTGCTGTGTAGGTTGTGCTTGTACTGCTGTAGGTTGTGTTTGTACTGCTGTAGGTTGTGTTTGTACTGCTGTAGGTTGTGCTATGGAGGTTGTGTTTGTACTGCTATAGGTTGTGTTTGTACTGCTATAGGTTGTGTTTGTACTGCTATAGGTTGTGTTAGTACTGCTGTTGGTTGTGTTAGTACTGCTGTAGGTTGTGTTTGTACTGCTGTAGGTTGTGTTTGTACTGCTGTAGGTTGTGCTGTGTAGGTTGTGCTGTGGAGGTTGTGTATGTACTGCTGTAGGTTGTGTTTGTACTGCTGTAGGTTGTGTTTGTACTGCTGTAGGTTGTGTTTGTACTGCTGTAGGTTGTGCTGTGTAGGTTGTGCTGTGGAGGTTGTGTATGTACTGCTGTAGGTTGTGTTTGTACTGCTGTAGGTTGTGTTTGTACTGCTGTAGGTTGTGTTTGTACTGCTGTAGGTTGTGCTGTGTAGGTTGTGCTTGTACTGCTGTAGGTTGTGTTTGTACTGCTGTAGGTTGTGTTTGTACTGCTGTAGGTTGTGCTATGGAGGTTGTGTTTGTACTGCTATAGGTTGTGTTTGTACTGCTATAGGTTGTGTTTGTACTGCTATAGGTTGTGTTAGTACTGCTGTTGGTTGTGTTAGTACTGCTGTTGGTTGTGTATGTACTGCTATAGGTTGTGTTAGTACTGCTGTAGGTTGTGTATGTACTGCTGTTGGTTGTGTTTGTACTGCTGTAGGTTGTGTTTGTACTGCTGTAGGTTGTGTATGTACTGCTATAGGTTGTGTTAGTACTGCTGTAGGTTGTGTTAGTACTGCTATAGGTTGTGTTAGTACTGCTGTAGGTTATGATACTATCTCTGGATATATCATCAGGTGTCTGGTCAGCTACTGCTACAGCCTCTGGTTTGTTGTGTTCCCTGCTTTTGTCCAGGCTCGCCCCAAGAAAATAGAAGCTCTAAAAATTGGATTTGCTGTTCTAAGAAAGATGCAAGAAGCTAAGCTAATCACAGTGGACGAGGTACAAATTTATATTTGTGGGGTTTTTAAAATCTCAAATGTCTCTATAAAATTTCTATACTAATGCCAATTATGTGCCTATTGAGCGTCCTTAGCCATTGACTTATCTAATATGCCACTTTGAAAGTCCCTAATTGTGCCAAAAGTCCATAGCTGTTTAAATGTCTCTATAAATTAATCCTAGTTGTGCCTATAATCTACAGAGGATGGACCCTTGGCAAAAGTAGCACATAGTAAACAACTCTACTTGATCGCCGTAGTGTAATATTCTTAAAGCGTTTATTCTACAAATGAATAATTTTTAAAAATTAACATGGATGGTTTTGTATAAAAAAGGCATTTTAATTAACGTCATGTAGAATAGTCAAAGTAAATGTATCATTCTTCACAAGAATTTTAAAAGTGTACAAATTACTTCCTTTATAGCCTATTACTTCCCTTGATAGATAAAACAAACAACTTCCCTTTAAAAAAACATTACATTGGGGGGGGGGGGGGGATACTTTTTATTAGTTTGTTTTGGTGTTGGAAAAAAATCATTATAATTAGCATGGATGGATAAAGTGCTATGTGGTAGGTAAAACAGATATTTTAAAGGCTGCCTTTTATTTATTTTATACACAGAACGTACTGTTTACTAATTTAAAAAAAAATCTGTAACAGTTTAGAAGCCGCTCCTAAATGTCCTTTATGTTTACTTCTAACTTTTGGTTTGCGTACAAGCTTGTGGTATTATAGTCATTCACTAAATTCAATCAGGCACGTCTGCTGACGCCTCAGCAGGGTTCAATTTGACGCCTGGGCTATCCTTTGGGCGCTATGGTGCATACATTCATTTTAAACAGTGCTATAGACTTTGGATAAAAAAGGTTACTATAGTCCTTAACTAAATTGAATCCGTGCGTCCTCCGGCGCCCCGACAGGGTTCTATTGTGAGCACTATTATTTTGCATTTAGGTTTGCATTTGGATTTTTGTTTGTGTTTGCTTTTGTGTTTGCGGTTAAGTTTGTGTTTGCGTTTGCATTTTTGTTTGCGTTGCCTTATGTGTTTGTATTTGCATTTGTTTTTGGGTTTGTGTTTATGTTTACGTTTATGTTTGTGTTTGGATTTATCTTTGTGTTTTTGTTTGGGTGTGTTTTCATTTTGGTTTTGGTTGGTTGTGGTTAGGGTAAATTGGAAAAGTAATATATTTCGTAAACTCGAGCAATGCCAATTATATACTGCTTAATAAACACACAAGTCCTTTACAGATAGGTTTTTCACAGAGGCCAGTACAGGCCTGGCCGGGACAGCTTGTATCTCTATAAATTGGCCGTAGCTGTACCTAAAATGTCTCTAAATTGTCCCTAGTTGTGCCTCAAATGTCTCTAAATTGTCTGTAGCTCTACCTAACATGTCTCTAAATTGTCCCTAGTTGTACCTAAAATGTCTCTAAATTGTCCCTAGTTGTACCTAAAATGTCTCCAAATTGTCTGTAGTTGTACCTAAAATGTCTCTAAATTGTCTGTAGTTGTACCTAAAATGTCTCTAAATTGTCTGTAGCTGTACCTAACATGTCTCTAAATTGTTCCTAGTTGTACCTAACATGTCTCTAAATTGTTCCTAGTTGTACCTAACATGTCTCTAAATTGTCTGTAGTTGTACCTAACATGTCTCTAAATTGTCCCTAGTTGTGCTATCGTGTCTTGATGCAACTAGCTGGCCAGTACAACAAACCTGGTTTAGCTGTCCAGGTTTTCTCACAGATGAAGAAAAATGGAGTCCAGCCTAATGCTATCACTTATGGTTATTACAATAAGGTAACATTTATTCTCCATTATAGTTGACATGTTGGACTGTGATTTTATTTATTTCAGCCTCCAACTTTCTATTGAATGTCATCTATAACAGGTTATGCTTGAGGCAAAATGGCCTTCTCCGCAGTCCAAAGGTCGTCTAAGGTGGTTGAAAATTCGCAATGTTATCATTGGGGTAGCTCAGTTCAGGCGAGCCATTAGACGCAGAAGTATCTCCATCTACTCCAACTCTGGTAGTGAGTTTGATCAGATCAGCCACACAAGTGTGGACAGTTATCTAGGGGAGTCCAAGGGGGACAAGATGCAGCCTACCCAAGATGGTGGGCCTGCCAGTGATGACCTCAACACCAAGTGTACTGCCAGTTTGGAGGAGAGGATGAGTACAGGTCAGTCTCGTCATTACATCTGTCTCTCAGTATCTTCATTACATCTGTCTCTCAGTCTCTTCATTACATCTCTCTCCGTCTCTTCATTACATCTCTCTCCCAGTCTCTTCATTACATCTCTCTCCCAGTCTCTTCATTACATCTGTCTCCCAGTCTCTTCATTACATCTCTCTCCCAGTCTCTTCATTACATCTCTCTCCCAGTCTCTTCATTACATCTCTCTCCCAGTCTCTTCATTACATCTCTCTCCCAGTCTCTTCATTACATCTCTCTCCCAGTCTCTTCATTACATCTCTCTCCCAGTCTCTTCATTACATCTCTCTCCCAGTCTCTTCATTACATCTGTCTCCCAGTCTCTTCATTACATCTGTCTCTCAGTCTCTTCATTACATCTGTCTCCCAGTCTCTTCATTACACCTGTCTCAGTCTCTTCATTACACCTGTCTCAGTCTCTTCATTACATCTGTCTCCCAGTCTCTTCATTACATCTCTCTCCCAGTCTCTTCATTACATCTCTCTCCCAGTCTCTTCATTACATCTCTCTCCCAGCCTCTTCATTACATCTGTCTCTCAGTCTCTTCATTACATCTGTCTCCCAGTCTCTTCATTACACCTGTCTCAGTCTCTTCATTACACCTGTCTCAGTCTCTTCATTACATCTCTCTCCCAGTCTCTTCATTACATCTCTCTCCCAGTCTCTTCATTACATCTGTCTCTCAGTATCTTCATTACATCTGTCTCCCAGTCTCTTCATTACATCTCTCTCCCAGTCTCTTCATTACACCTGTCTCAGTCTCTTCATTACATCTGTCTCCCAGTCTCTTCATTACATCTGTCTCTCAGTCTCTTCATTACACCAGTCTCCCAGTCTCTTCATTACATCTGTCTCCCAGTCTAAATCTGCTTTAAAAACAAACACAACCTGCTTGATAATGTTTTTGTTCTGTTGGGTCTAGCTATGGGAAAATATTCAGTTGCTATAACTATTAGGTTTCAACAATATTAGCAATGAACTTTCAGTGTGATAAGTTAGATAAGTATTCTAAAGTGACATTTAAAGAAATTGATAATTACATGCAACTTGACTTGTACTATTTTAAAGATGGTGTTACACACTACATGACTTGTACTATTTTAAAGGTGGTGTTACACCCTACATGACTTGTACTATTTTAATGGTGGTGTTACACGCTACATGACTTGTACTATTTTAATGGTGGTGTTACACGCTACATGACTTGTACTATTTTAAAGTGGTGTTACACGCTACATGACTTGTACTATTTTAAAGGTGGTGTTACACGCTACATGACTTGTACTATTTTAAAGGTGGTGTTACGTTACATGCTACATGACTTGTACTATTTTAAAGGTGGTGTTACACGCTACATGACTTGTACTATTTTAATGGTGGTGTTACATGCTACATGACTTGTACTATTTTAAAGGTGGTGTTACACACTACATGACTTGTACTATTTTAATGGTGGTGTTACACGCTACATTACTTGTACTATTTTAAAGGTGGTGTTACACGCTACATGACTTGTACTATTTTAAAGGTGGTGTTACACGCTACATGACTTGTACTATTTTAAAGGTGGTGTTACATGCTACATGACTTGTACTATTTTAAAGGTGGTGTTACACACTACATGACTTGTACTATTTTAAAGGTGGTGTTACGTTACATGCTACATGACTTGTACTATTTTAAAGGTGGTGTTACACGCTACATGACTTGTACTATTTTAAAGGTGGTGTTACACGCTACATGACTTGTACTATTTTAAAGGTGGTGTTACACGCTACATGACTTGTACTATTTTAAAGGTGGTGTTACACACTACATGACTTGTACTATTTTAAAGGTGGTGTTACACGCTACATGACTTGTACTATTTTAAAGGTGGTGTTACACGCTACATGACTTGTACTATTTTAAAGGTGGTGTTACACGCTACATGACTTGTACTATTTTAAAGGTGGTGTTACACGCTACATGACTTGTACTATTTTAAAGGTGGTGTTACACGCTACATGACTTGTACTATTTTAAAGGTGGTGTTACACGCTACATGACTTGTACTATTTTAAAGGTGGTGTTACACGCTACATGACTTGTACTATTTTAAAGGTGGTGTTACACGCTACATGACTTGTACTATTTTAAAGGTGGTGTTACACGCTACATGACTTGTACTATTTTAAAGGTGGTGTTACACGCTACATGACTTGTACTATTTTAAAGGTGGTGTTTCAGACAGAGGCTACAACTCAATGACACAGGAAGATGTCAGACACTTGGCCCAGATTGTCATGTCTGTCAGTTTAAATGACGGCAATGACAAGCCCAAAGGTCCTACATGGAACCCTCTGAAGGCTGGGGGCAAGTCTAGACATTCAGATAAACCCAAGAAGGGTAAGTGTGGTTCTAGACATTCAGATAAACCCAAGAAGGGTAAGTGTGGATCTAGACATTCAGATAAACCCAAGAAGGGTAAGTGTAGATCTAGACATTCAGATAAACCCAAGAAGGGTAAGTGTAGATCTAGTCTAGACATTCAGATAAACCCAAGAAGGGTAAGTGTGGATCTAGTCTAGACATTCAGATAAACCCAAGAAGGGTAAGTGTGGATCTAGACATTCAGATAAACCCAAGAAGGGTAAGTGTAGATCTAGTCTAGACATTCAGATAAACCCAAGAAGGGTAAGTGTGGATCTAGTCTAGACATTCAGATAAACCCAAGAAGGGTAAGTGTGGATCTAGTCTAGACATTCAGATAAACCCAAGAAGGGTAAGTGTGGATCTAGTCTAGACATTCAGATAAACCCAAGAAGGGTAAGTGTGGTTCTAGACATTCAGATAAACCCAAGAAGGGTAAGTGTAGATCTAGACATTCAGATAAACCCAAGAAGGGTAAGTGTAGATCTAGACATTCAGATAAACCCAAGAAGGGTAAGTGTAGATCTAGACATTCAGATAAACCCAAGAAGGGTAAGTGTAGATCTAGTCTAGATATTCAGATAAACCCAAGAAGGGTAAGTGTGGATCTAGTCTAGACATTCAGATAAACCCAAGACCCCCCCCCCCCCCCCCCCCTCCCCCCATTTCTACTTTGTAATTTTAAAAATAAAATGGGAATTAGCTCCTTTAAAATTTCTGCTCATGTTTATTGTTATACCCGGCCTACAGAAATGGTGTGTAGTTTTATTTAGTTTCACATTGCTTTACCTCAGGGGTCTCCAAACTACAGCCCGCGAGCCGGATGCAGCCTGCTAAGTCATCTGATCCGGCCCGCGGAGATTTTTTGTCCAAGGAAAAATCATTTGTTGGTGATGGCTGAGGAACTTTGCCCAGAAAAATCAAAGACATGCCTGGAAGAAACTGGCCCCCGAACTGAAATTTGATAGTTAATGCGGCCCTCGGACTGAAAAGTTTGGAGACCCCTGCTTTACCTAAACAGATTCTAAATTTGACATTTCTCTCAAGCCTCTGTCTAAGCTAGTAGAATGAATGGCTCCTGTGTTGTTGATAACAGAATGTGGAGCTGCCATTTGATATAAAATCTCTGGTTTCAGATGTGCACATCTTATCTGACAGACAGCACAGACCTCGTGTAGGGAGCATTGTAAAGCGCTCCATTAGCAGCATACAGAAAACTCATGTCAGTGATATGGAGACTCTTAAAGGCTCAATCTGTAAGTAACACATCTTTATAACAGATCCCTCCCCTTGGTCAGCACTTGTGGTTTGACTTCCCCCCCCCCTCTAGTGGTCAACTGTTTGACCTCCCCTCTAGTGGTCAACTGGTTGACTTCCCCTCTAGTGGTCAACTGTTTGACTTCCCCTCTAGTGGTCAACTGTTTGACCTCCCCTCTAGTGGTCAACTGTCTTCCCCTCTAGTGGTCAACTGTTTGACCTTCCCCCCTCTAGTGGTCAACTGTTTGTCTTCCCCTCTAGTGGTCAACTGTTTGTCTTCCCCCCTAGTGGTCAACTGTTTGACTTCCCCCCTAGTGGTCAACTGTTTGTCTTCTCCTCTAGTGGTCAACTGGTTGACTTCCCCTCTAGTGGTCAACTGTTTGTCTTCCCCCCTAGTGGTCAACTGTTTGACTTCCCCTCTAGTGGTCAACTGTTTCTCTTCCCCCCCTAGTGGTCAACTGTTTGTCTTCCCCACTAGTGGTCAACTGTTTGTCTTCCCCTCTAGTGGTCAACTGTTTGTCTTCCCCTCTAGTGGTCAACTGTTTGACTTCCCCTCTAGTGGTCAACTGTTTGACCTCCCCTCTAGTGGTCAACTGTTTGACTTCCCCTCTAGTGGTCAACTGTTTGTCTTCCCCTCTAGTGGTCAACTGTTTGACTTCCCCCCTAGTGGTCAACTGTTTGACTTCCCCTCTAGTGGTCAACTGTTTGACCTCCCCTCTAGTGGTCAACTGTTTGACTTCCCCTCTAGTGGTCAACTGTTTGACTTTCCCTCTAGTGGTCAACTGTTTGACTTCCCCTCTAGTGGTCAACTGTTTGTCTTCCCCTCTAGTGGTCAACTGTTTTAATTTCCCCCTCAAGTGGTCAACTGTTTGTCTTCCCCTCTAGTGGTCAACTGTTTGACTTCCCCTCTAGTGGTCAACTGTTTGACCTTCCCCCCTCTAGTGGTCAACTGTTTGTCTTCCCCTCTAGTGGTCAACTGTTTGTCTTCCCCCCTAGTGGTCAACTGTTTGACTTCCCCCCTAGTGGTCAACTGTTTGTCTTCTCCTCTAGTGGTCAACTGGTTGACTTCCCCTCTAGTGGTCAACTGTTTGTCTTCCCCCCTAGTGGTCAACTGTTTGACTTCCCCTCTAGTGGTCAACTGTTTCTCTTCCCCCCCTAGTGGTCAACTGTTTGTCTTCCCCTCTAGTGGTCAACTGTTTGTCTTCCCCTCTAGTGGTCAACTGTTTGTCTTCCCCTCTAGTGGTCAACTGTTTGACTTCCCCTCTAGTGGTCAACTGTTTGACCTCCCCTCTAGTGGTCAACTGTTTGACTTCCCCTCTAGTGGTCAACTGTTTGTCTTCCCCTCTAGTGGTCAACTGTTTGTCTTCCCCTCTAGTGGTCAACTGTTTGACTTCCCCTCTAGTGGTCAACTGTTTGACCTCCCCTCTAGTGGTCAACTGTTTGACTTCCCCTCTAGTGGTCAACTGTTTGTCTTCCCCTCTAGTGGTCAACTGTTTGTCTTCCCCTCTAGTGGTCAACTGTTTGTCTTCCCCTCTAGTGGTCAACTGTTTGTCTTCCCCTCTAGTGGTCAACAGCTGTGGTCTGGTGATGCTGAGCAAGGCGTGCCTAGAGAAAAGTGTAGTGAGCCCTGACCTGCAGCTGGAGGAGGTCAAGAGACGCAGACATCGCAGTGCAGGGGAGAGCAAGCCTGGCCGCTCCATGAGTCTGTTTGCCAGCTGGATGCCTCAGACACAGAGAAGCAGTGCTGAGCCACAGTTCACTTACTCACAGCTGTTAAAAAATGATGCTGACAGTCAGGAAACTTGTCAGGCGCAGTCTTATGGTACACAAACACTCTCATCTCCTAGTGAGGCTAGCAGTCACATACCAGAGTCAGAAAATCCTAGCACTAACACAACAGATCATCATCAAGTCAATAACTCATCATGCAGCTGTAAAGAGTCTGACCATCTCCTGATCACCATCAAAGAAAATGATGAGTGTTTATCTAGTAGAGAACCAACAGAGGCTTCTCCTGACCCCACCCACACCTCATCACAAGACATTAGTGCCACCCCTGACCCCACCCACACCTCATCACAAGACATTAGTGCCACCCCTGACCCCACCCACACCTCATCACAAGACATTAGTGCCACCCCTGACCCCACCCACACCTCATCACAAGACATTAGTGCCACCCCTGACCCCACCCACACCTCATCACAAGACATCAGTGCCACCCCTGACCCCACCCACACCTCATCACAAGACATTATTGCCACCTCTGACCCCACCCACACCTCATCACAAGACATCAGTGCCACCCCTGACCCCACCCACACCTCATCACAAGACATCAGTGCCACCCCTGACCCCACCCACACCTCATCACAAGACATTAGTGCCACCCCTGACCCCACCCACACCTCATCACAAGACATTAGTGCCACCCCTGACCCCACCCACACCTCATCACAAGACATTAGTGCCACCCCTGACCCCACCCACACCTCATCACAAGACATTAATGCCACCCCTGACCCCACCCACACCTCATCACAAGACATTAGTGCCACCCCTGACCCCACCCACACCTCATCACAAGACATTAATGCCACCCCTGACCCCACCCACACCTCATCACTGGACAGAAAACTGAGAGAAAAAGGTGAAACTATTTCTGTCCGACGTGAAATCCGGCGCTCAGTGTCCATCCCTGAGGACAGATTGAGTGGTCAGCTGAGTGAAGCTCTAATGAAGCAGTCCCTGAGTGAGAGCGGCCACACGCTGAGCTCACCTGGCCTACCTGAGCCAGCAGTTGGCCAGCAGCCAGAAGACACCCAGTCCATCTCCTCATTGACTGACCAGAAGAGACCTAGTGAATTCCTCTTCAAACGGACTCAGAGTCTTAAAAAAACCAATGAAAAGATTGGAACTTTTCTCAAATATGCATCCTATGCATCCAAAGCAGCATTTAGCAAACTGAATGAGCTAAAGCAGACTATAAGTACGCCCATTAAGAATGGCTCGTTGGGATCTCTGGCTTCACTTAGCCAGTCAGTGGAGGAACTGGACGCTAGCAGCACCAGTGGCACTCTGCGGGAGAGACTCAAGCATGGGGGCAGCCAGGACCTGCTCACTCCAAGTGAGGACAGTGACCCAGAGGACACCGACAAGAGGTTGTCTGGACTCTCATTAGGTGAGTGCCACTATGTTATACACATGGCAGACTCTCATTAGGTGAGTGCCACTATGTTATACACATGGCAGACTCTCATTAGGTGAGCGCCACTATGTTATACACATGGCAGACTCTCATTAGGTGAGTGCCACTATGTTATACACATGGCAGACTCTCATTAGGTGAGTGCCACTATGTTATACACATGGCAGACTCTCATTAGGTGAGTGCCACTATGTTATACACATGGCAGACTCTCATTAGGTGAGTGCCACTATGTTATACACATGGCAGACTCTCATTAGGTGAGTGCCACTATGTTATACACATGGCAGACTCTCATTAGGTGAGTGCCACTATGTTATACACATGGCAGACTCTCATTAGGTGAGTGCCACTATGTTATACACATGGCAGACTCTCATTAGGTGAGTGCCACTATGTTATACACATGGCAGACTCTCATTAGGTGAGTGCCACTATGTTATACACATGGCAGACTCTCACTAGGTGAGTGCCACTGTTATACACATGGCAGACTCTCATTAGGTGAGTGCCACTATGTTATACACAGACTCATTAGGTGAGTGCCACTATGTTATACACATGACAGACTCTCATTAGGTGAGTGCCACTGTTATACACATGGCAGACTCTCATTAGGTGAGTGCCACTATGTTATACACATGGCAGACTCTCATTAGGTGAGTGCCACTATGTTATACACATGGCAGACTCTCATTAGGTGAGTGCCACTATGTTATACACATGGCAGACTCTCATTAGGTGAGTGCCACTATGTTATACACATGACAGACTCTCATTGGGTGAGTGCCACTATGTTATACATATGGCAGACTCTCATTAGGTGAGTGCCACTATGTTATACACATGGCAGACTCTCATTAGGTGAGTGCCACTATGTTATACACATGGCAGACTCTCATTAGGTGAGTGCCACTATGTTATACACATGGCAGACTCTCATTAGGTGAGTGCCACTATGTTATACACATGGCAGACTCTCATTAGGTGAGTGCCACTATGTTATACACATGACAGACTCTCATTAGGTGAGTGCCACTATGTTATACACATGACAGACTCTCATTAGGTGAGTGCCACTATGTTATACACATGACAGACTCTCATTAGGTGAGTGCCACTGTTATACACATGGCAGACTCTCATTAGGTGAGTGCCACTGTTATACACATGGCAGACTCTCATTAGGTGAGTGCCACTATGTTATACACATGACAGACTCTCATTAGGTGAGTGCCACTATGTTATACACATGGCAGACTCTCATTAGGTGAGTGCCACTGTTATACACATGGCAGACTCTCATTAGGTGAGTGCCACTATGTTATACACAGACTCATTAGGTGAGTGCCACTATGTTATACACATGGCAGACTCTCATTAGGTGAGTGCCACTATGTTATACACAGACTCATTAGGTGAGTGCCACTATGTTATACACATGGCAGACTCTCATTAGGTGAGTGCCACTATGTTATACACATGGCAGACTCTCATTAGGTGAGTGCCACTATGTTATACACATGACAGACTCTCATTAGGTGAGTGCCACTATGTTATACACATGACAGACTCTCATTAGGTGAGTGCCACTATGTTATACACATGACAGACTCTCATTAGGTGAGTGCCACTGTTATACACATGGCAGACTCTCATTAGGTGAGTGCCACTGTTATACACATGGCAGACTCTCATTAGGTGAGTGCCACTATGTTATACACATGACAGACTCTCATTAGGTGAGTGCCACTATGTTATACACATGGCAGACTCTCATTAGGTGAGTGCCACTGTTATACACATGGCAGACTCTCATTAGGTGAGTGCCACTATGTTATACACAGACTCATTAGGTGAGTGCCACTATGTTATACACATGGCAGACTCTCATTAGGTGAGTGCCACTATGTTATACACAGACTCATTAGGTGAGTGCCACTATGTTATACACATGGCAGACTCTCATTAGGTGAGTGCCACTGTTATACACATGGCAGACTCTCATTAGGTGAGTGCCACTATGTTATACACAGACTCATTAGGTGAGTGCCACTATGTTATACACATGGCAGACTCTCATTAGGTGAGTGCCACTATGTTATACAGATGGCAGACTCTCATTAGGTGAGTGCCACTATGTTATACACATGGCAGACTCTCATTGGGTGAGTGCCACTATGTTATACATATGGCAGACTCTCATTAGGTGAGTGCCACTATGTTATACACATGGCAGACTCTCATTAGGTGAGTGCCACTATGTTATACACAGACTCATTAGGTGAGTGCCACTATGTTATACACATGGCAGACTCTCATTAGGTGAGTGCCACTATGTTATACACATGGCAGACTCTCATTAGGTGAGTGCCACTATGTTATACACATGGCAGACTCTCATTAGATGAGTGCCACTGTGTTATACACATGGCAGACACTCATTAGGTGAGTGCATTGTTATACACATGGCAGACTCTCATTAGGTGAGTGCCACTATGTTATACACATGGCAGACTCTCATTAGGTGAGTGCCACTATGTTATACACATGGCAGACTCTCATTAGGTGAGTGCCACTATGTTATACACATGGCAGACTCTCATTAGGTGAGTGCCACTATGTTATACACATGGCAGACTCTCATTAGGTGAGTGCCACTATGTTATACACATGGCAGACTCTCATTAGGTGAGTGCCACTATGTTATACACATGGCAGACTCTCATTAGGTGAGTGCCACTATGTTATACACATGGCAGACTCTCATTAGGTGAGTGCCACTATGTTATACACATGGCAGACTCTCATTAGGTGAGTGCCACTATGTTATACACATGGCAGACTCTCATTAGGTGAGTGCCACTATGTTATACACATGGCAGACTCTCATTAGGTGAGTGCCACTATGTTATACACATGGCAGACTCTCATTAGATGGGTGCCACTATGTTATACACATGGCAGACTCTCATTAGGTGAGTGCCACTATGTTATACACATGGCAGACTCTCATTAGGTGAGTGCCACTATGTTATACACATGGCAGACTCTCATTAGGTGAGTGCCACTATGTTATACACATGGCAGACTCTCATTAGATGAGTGCCACTGTGTTATACACATGGCAGACACTCATTAGGTGAGTGCATTGTTATACACATGGCAGACTCTCATTAGGTGAGTGCCACTATGTTATACACATGGCAGACTCTCATTAGGTGAGTGCCACTATGTTATACACATGGCAGACTCTCATTAGGTGAGTGCCACTATGTTATACACATGGCAGACTCTCATTAGGTGAGTGCCACTATGTTATACACATGGCAGACTCTCATTAGGTGAGTGCCACTATGTTATACACATGGCAGACTCTCATTAGGTGAGTGCCACTATGTTATACACATGGCAGACTCTCATTAGATGAGTGCCACTGTGTTATACACATGGCAGACACTCATTAGGTGAGTGCATTGTTATACACATGGCAGACTCTCATTAGGTGAGTGCCACTATGTTATACACATGGCAGACTCTCATTAGGTGAGTGCCACTATGTTATACACATGGCAGACTCTCATTAGGTGAGTGCCACTATGTTATACACATGGCAGACTCTCATTAGGTGAGTGCCACTATGTTATACACATGGCAGACTCTCATTAGGTGAGTGCCACTATGTTATACACATGGCAGACTCTCATTAGGTGAGTGCCACTATGTTATACACATGGCAGACTCTCATTAGGTGAGTGCCACTATGTTATACACATGGCAGACTCTCATTAGATGAGTGCCACTGTGTTATACACATGACAGACTCTCATTAGGTGAGTGCCACTATGTTATACACATGGCAGACTCTCATTAGGTGAGTGCATTGTTATACACATGGCAGACTCTCATTAGGTGAGTGCCACTATGTTATACACATGACAGACTCTCATTAGGTGAGTGCCACTATGTTATACACATGGCAGACTCTCATTAGGTGAGTGCCACTATGTTATACATATACCCTAGATTCTTCTGGCCCTAATATAGGGAATAAAATTTGTGTTGTAAGGATGGACATGAGGGGCAGTTAGAAGGTTGTAAGGATGGACGTAAGCGGCAGTTAGAAGGTTGTAAGGATGGACGTGAGCGGCAGTTAGAAGGTTGTAAGGATGACAAAATAGAGAGAGATTAAACAGACGAGTCTTACCCTAATCACAAAGAGTTTTGTTGGTGTGTTCATATGTGAGTCATGACTGTATATACACACACACATGAAGTGATCTGGCCAACATACTTACCTTTCATACACAACACCGCACATACATATTTACCCCCTATTTTGTACATTTCCATGTATTTTCCCCTCCTTTTAGTCAGGACTGCTGAAATCTTACTGATAATTATATATCATGCATTTCAGAAAGTGTTCCATCTCCATCAATTTTGGAATACAGTCACTTTAAAGATGTCTCTGGTGGACCAGCAATAGGGTCAGCCAGTGATAAGTCATCTGTTGATCTCATCAATGTAAGTCATCTGTTGATCTCTGTAAGTCATCTGTTGATCTCTGTAAGTCATCTGTTGATCTCTGTAAGTCATCTGTTGATCTCTGTAAGTCATCTGTTGATCTCTGTAAGTCATCTGTTGATCTCTGTAAGTCATCTGTTGATCTCTGTAAGTCATCTGTTGATCTCTGTAAGTCATCTGTTGATCTCACCAATGTAAGTCATCTGTTGATCTCTGTAAGTCATCTGTTGATATCTGTAAGTCATCTGTTTATCTCTGCCTACTGGTACAGTTAGACCCCAGTCCCATCTGCCTACTGGTACAGTTAGACCCCAGTCCCATCTGCCTACTGGTACAGTTAGACCCCTGTCCCATCTGCCTACTGGTACAGTTATCTTAGACCCCAGTCCCATCTGCCTACTGGTACAGTTAGACCCCAGTCACATCTGCCTATTGGTACAGTTATCTTAGACCCCAGTCCCATCTGCCTACTGGTACAGTTATCTTAGACCCCAGTCCCATCTGCCTACTGGTACAGTTATCTTAGACCCCAGTCCCATCTGCCTACTGGTACAGTTATCTTAGACCCCAGTCCCATCTGCCTACTGGTACAGTTAGACCCCAGTCCCATCTGCCTACTGGTACAGTTATCTTAGACCCAGTCCCATCTGCCTACTGGTACAGTTAGACCCCAGTCCCATCTGCCTACTGGTACAGTTATCTTAGACCCCAGTCCCATCTGCCTACTGGTACAGTTAGACCCCAGTCCCATCTGCCTACTGGTACAGTTAGACCCCAGTCCCATCTGCCTACTGGTACTGTTATCTTAGACCCCAGACCCATCTGCCTACTGGTACAGTTAGACCCCTGTCCCATCTGCCTACTGGTACAGTTAGACCCCAGTCCCATCTGCCTACTGGTACAGTTATCTTAGACCCCAGTCCCATCTGCCTACTGGTACAGTTAGACCCCAGTCCCATCTGTCTACTGGTACAGTTAGACCCCAGTCCCATCTGTCTACTGGTACAGTTAGACCCCAGTCCCATCTGCCTACTGGTACAGTTATCTTAGACCCCAGTCCCATCTGCCTACTGGTACAGTTAGACCCCAGTCACATCTGCCTACTGGTACAGTTATCTTAGACCCCAGTCACATCTGCCTACTGGTACAGTTAGACCCCAGTCCCATCTGCCTACTGGTACAGTTAGACCCCAGTCCCATCTGCCTACTGGTACAGTTATCTTAGACCCCAGTCCCATCTGCCTACTGGTACAGTTAGACCCCAGTCCCATCTGCCTACTGGTACAGTTAGACCCCAGTCACATCTGCCTACTGGTACTGTTATCTTAGACCCCAGACCCATCTGCCTACTGGTACAGTTAGACCCCTGTCCCATCTGCCTACTGGTACAGTTAGACCCCTGTCCCATCTGCCTACTGGTACAGTTAGACCCCAGTCCCATCTGCCTACTGGTACAGTTATCTTAGACCCCAGTCCCATCTGCCTACTGGTACAGTTAGACCCCAGTCCCATCTGCCTACTGGTACAGTTAGACCCCAGTCCCATCTGTCTACTGGTACAGTTAGACCCCAGTCCCATCTGCCTACTGGTACAGTTAGACCCCAGTCCCATCTGCCTACTGGTACAGTTAGACCCCAGTCCCATCTGCCTACTGGTTCAGTTAGACCCCTGTCCCATCTGCCTACTGGTTCAGTTAGACCCCTGTCCCATCTGCCTACTGGTACAGTTAGACCCCTGTCCCATCTGCCTATTGGTACAGTTATCTTAGACCCCAGTCCCATCTGCCTACTGGTACAGTTAGACCTCAGTCCCATCTGCCTACTGGTACAGTTATCTTAGACCCCAGTCACATCTGCCTACTGGTACAGTTATCTTAGACCCCAGTCCCATCTGTCTACTGGTACAGTTAGACCCCAGTCCCATCTGCCTACTGGTACAGTTAGACCTCAGTCCCATCTGCCTACTGATACAGTTATCTTAGACCCCTGTCCCATCTGCCTACTGGTACAGTTAGACCCCAGTCCCATCTGCCTACTGATACAGTTATCTTAGACCCCTGTCCCATCTGCCTACTGGTACAGTTAGACCCCAGACCCATCTGCCTACTGGTACAGTTAGACCCCTGTCCCATCTGCCTACTGGTACAGTTAGACCCCAGTCCCATCTGCCTACTGGTACAGTTAGACCCCAGTCCCATCTGCCTACTGGTACAGTTATCTTAGACCCCAGTCCCATCTGCCTACTGGTACAGTTAGACCCCAGTCCCATCTGCCTACTGGTACAGTTAGACCCCAGTCCCATCTGTCTACTGGTACAGTTAGACCCCAGTCCCATCTGCCTATTGGTACAGTTATCTTAGACCCCAGTCCCATCTGCCTACTGGTACAGTTTGGCCCATAATTTGACAGCCTGTTTACCAGTCTAGGGTAATATCTTTCTAAATGGTTACCCCTATAATATCTATCTAAATGGTTACCCCTATAATATCTATCTAAATGGTTACCCCTATAATATCTATCCAAATGGTTAGCCCAGGGGTTCCCAACCTTTTTTTACTCTAGAGCCCATTCTAAAATATCGGTAGGGTGGCGGGCACCACCTATTTTAAATCGACAAAATCCTTTTCAGAGGCGTAGCGACCCTTCCCGTCACCCGGGGACAAAACTTTCGATTTGCACCCCCCCCCCCACTCAAACTTTCGATTTGCACCCCCCCCCCCCTCAAACTTTCGATTTGCACCCCCCCCCCCCCCCTCAAACTTTCGATTTCCATCCCCTTCAACCTTTCAATAATGTTTATGAAATAAATTATGTCTCTGTCGAATAGTGAGAGGCGGGCACATACGAATCGTTTGGCGGGCACGGGGTTGGGAACCCCTGGGTTAGCCCTTTAATATCTATACAAATGGTTACCCCTATAATATCCATCTAAATGGTTAGCCCTTTATTATCTATCTAAATGGTTAGGTGTATAATATCTATCTAAATGGTTACCCCTATAATATCTATCTAAACGGTTAGACGTATAATATCTATTTAAATGGTTAGGTGTATAATATCTAACTTAATGGTTAGCCCTTAACCCTCTGCAAATATCAAAGTAATCTTCCGCATAAAATAGTAGTAATTTCTTTATTTTCTTGTGGTAACTTTCCTGACTTAAGCATTCAGCTTATTAAATTGTTAGCAGTATTGTCCAGAACTGGCTTACATGCTCCTTTTCAGTCTAATGTCCAGGTAGGTAGGAGTCATTAGGTATATGGGTTACATTTCTTTGAACCCAAGAATGTGCTGTTGCTATTAAATATAAATTACTCTATAAACCTTATTCACTGATCCAACACAGACAATAGTTTTATTAAACCGAGAACTATATTTTTTTTAATGAAAAATAGTCCAAGATTTCAATCACTCAAAGTGCCGGCGTAGTTATTTATTAAAACACCATGAAGTCAAGATTCAAATTACAATTAGTCTTTTTCGTTAAAGATAAACTAGAGTAGCCAAGCCAGTCATGAACCATTATACCAACAATGTCCAACAAGTTGTGATAATATAAGATTTTGTTTACTTGTATTTTTAAAGAATTAGTAAGAAAAGTATTTTATATTTATTTATATATATATATATATATATATATATATATATATTTATATATATATATATATATATATATATATATATATATATATATATATATATATATATATATATATATTACAACACAAGCCCTTTATTAACCCCTTATTTACGGAATTAAGTTCTGAATGAAGTGTTTCTTAAACATTGTGTTACGTATACTATATTGCTTTTGTCAAACTTAAAGCATTTGTTGAAGGAAATTCAGATTTGTACATTTTTAATAGCCCAAAAACACATTGGTACTTATAAGTACCATCAGGAATATAGGACATTTTTTCCTAAAGATAAAAAATTGACTTCAACTATACAATTTATTAACTAATAACATGGCAATCATTATAACAATCATTTTTGTATTTTTCACACTTAAACACAGCTTAAAAGTATATTTTGAGTTCGATTTTTACTGGATTTTGTATGGGAACATATCTTAGACCTTTTTCTGACTGTACCAAATACATCCATCCATTAACCCCATATGTGTGCCATCAATGTAATTCATCCATTAACCCCATATGTGTACCATCAATGTAATTCATCCTTTAACCCCATACATGTACCATCAATGTAATTCATCCTTTAAGCCCATATGTGTACCATCAATGTAATTCATCCTTTAACCCCATATGTGTGTCATCAATGTAATTCATCCTTTAACCCCATATGTGTACCATCAATGTAATTCATCCTTTAACCCCATAGGTATGCCATCAATGTAATTCATCCTTTAACCCCATATGTGTGCCATCAATGTAATTCATCCTTTAACCCCATATGTGTACCATCAATGTAATTCATCCTTTAAGCCCATATGTGTACCATCAATGTAATTCATCCTTTAACCCCATATGTGTGTCATCAATGTAATTCATCCTTTAACCCCATATGTGTACCATCAATGTAATTCATCATTTAACGCCATATGTGTGTCATCAATGTAATTCATCCTTTAACCCCATATGTGTACCATCAATGTAATTCATCCTTTAAGCCCATATGTGTACCATCAATGTAATTCATCATTTAACGCCATATGTATGCCATCAATGTAATTCATACTTTAACCCCATATGTGTACCATCAATGTAATTCATCCTTTAACCTCATATGTGTACCATCAATGTAATTCATCATTTAACGCCATATGTATGCCATCAATGTAATTCATACTTTAACCCCATATGTGTACCATCAATGTAATTCATCATTTAACGCCATATGTGTACCATCAATGTAATTCATCCTTTAACCCCATATGTGTGCCATCAATGTAATTCATCCTTTAACCCCATATATGTACCATCAATGTAATTCATCCTTTAACCTCATGTGTACCATCAATGTAATTCATCCTTTAACCCCATATGTGTGTCATCAATGTAATTCATCCTTTAACCCCATATGTGTGCCATCAATGTAATTCATCCTTTAACCCCATATGTGTGTCATCAATGTAATTCATCCCTTAACCCCATATATGTGCCATCAATGTAATTCATCCTTTAACCCCATATATGTGCCATCAATGTAATTCATCCTTTAACCCCATATGTGTACCATCAATGTAATTCATCCTTTAACCCCATATGTGTGTCATCAATGTAATTCATCCTTTAACCCCATATGTGTGCCATCAATGTAATTCATCCTTTAACCCCATATGTGTGTCATCAATGTAATTCATCCCTTAACCCCATATATGTGCCATCAATGTAATTCATCCTTTAACCCCATATATGTGCCATCAATGTAATTCATCATTTGACCCCATATGTGTGTCATCAATGTAATTCATCCTTTAACCCCATATATGTGCCATCAATGTAATTCATCCTTTAACCCCATATGTGTGTCATCAATGTAATTCATCCTTTAACCCCATATGTGTGTCATCAATGTAATTCATCCTTTAACCCCATATGTGTGTCATCAATGTAATTCATCCTTTAACCCCATATGTGTGCCATCAATGTAATTCATCCTTTAACCCCATATGTGTGTCATCAATGTAATTCATCCTTTAACCCCATTTATGTGCCATCAATGTAATTCATCCTTTAACCCCATATATGTGTCATCAATGTAATTCATCCTTTAACCCCATATGTGTACCATCAATGTAATTCATCCTTTAACCCCATATGTGTGTCATCAATGTAATTCATCCTTTAACCCCATTTATGTGCCATCAATGTAATTCATCCTTTAACCCCATTTATGTGCCATCAATGTAATTCATCCTTTAACCCCATATATGTGTCATCAATGTAATTCATCCTTTAACCCCATATGTGTGCCATCCATGTAATTCATCCTTTAACCCCATATGTGTGCCATCAATGTAATTCATCCTTTAACCCCATATATGTGTCATCAATGTAATTCATCCTTTAACCCCATATGTGTGTCATCAATGTAATTCATCCCTTAACCCCATATATGTGTGTCATCAATGTAATTCATCCCTTAACCCCATATATGTGCCATCAATGTAATTCATCCTTTAACCCCATATGTGTGCCATCAATGTAATTCATCCTTTAACCCCATATATGTGTCATCAATGTAATTCATCCTTTAACCCCATATGTGTACCATCAATGTAATTCATCCTTTAACCCCATATGTGTGTCATCAATGTAATTCATCCTTTAACCCCATATGTGTACCATCAATGTAATTCATCCTTTAACCCCATATATGTGTCATCAATGTAATTCATCCTTTAACCCCATATGTGTGCCATCAATGTAATTCATCCTTTAACCCCATATGTGTGCCATCCATGTAATTCATCCCTTAACCCCATATATGTACCATCAATGTAATTCATCCTTTAACCCCATATGTGTGCCATCCATGTAATTCATCCCTTAACCCCATATATGTACCATCAATGTAATTCATCCTTTAACCCCATATGTGTGCCATCCATGTAATTCATCCCTTAACCCCATATATGTACCATCAATGTAATTCATCCCTTAACCCCATATGTGTGTCATCAATGTAATTCATCCTTTAACCCCATATATGTGCCATCAATGTAATTCATCCTTTAACCCCATATGTGTGCCATCAATGTAATTCATCCTTTAACCCCATATATGTGTCATCAATGTAATTCATCCTTTAACCCCATATGTGTGTCATCAATGTAATTCATCCTTTAACCCCATATGTGTACCATCAATGTAATTCATCCTTTAACCCCATATATGTGTCATCAATGTAATTCATCCTTTAACCCCATATGTGTGCCATCAATGTAATTCATCCTTTAACCCATATGTGTGCCATCAATGTAATTCATCCCTTAACCCCATATATGTACCATCAATGTAATTCATCCCTTAACCCCATATGTGTGTCATCAATGTAATTCATCCTTTAACCCCATATGCGTGCCATCAATGTAATTCATCCTTTAACCCCGTATATGTGCCATCAATGTAATTCATCCTTTAACCCCATATATGTGCCATCAATGTAATTCATCCTTTAACCCCATATATGTGCCATCAATGTAATTCATCCTTTAACCACATATATGTGCCATCAATGTAATTCATCCTTTAACCCCATATGTGCCATCAATGTAATTGAGCCTAACATGAACCCTACAGGTAGCAATGGAGGTTGAGATGAGTTCGTGTTCCCGGTGTACTAAGTGTAACAGGCTACTTTATGATGAGGAAATTATGGCTGGTTGGTCAGCTGAAGATTCTAATCTAAATACCAGGTTAGTTTAGTTTTTTTTTGCACGTTAAGAGCTGAAGATTATAATCTAAATACCAGGTTAGTTTAGTTTTTTTTTGCACGTTAAGAGCTAAAGATTATAATTTAGAATATTTGTGTATCTAGTTGTTAAGTTATATCCTAACATTAGTTTAGTTTTTACAAACCAATATCCCATTATGCCCACCCCACCCTTATACCCAAACTCCCACCCAGTTCCTTTGGGACATTTATTTATGATGTGTTAGGAGGGGGAGGGAGGGTTAGCTTGGCTTAGCTGTGTTGTGAAGGGGGAGGGGGGGGGGGGTTAGATTGGCTTAGCTGTGTTGTGAAGGGGGAGGGGGGGGGGTTAGATTGGCTTAGCTGTGTTGTGAAGGGGGAGGGGGGGGGTTAGATTGGCTTAGCTGTGTTGTGAAGGGGGAGGGGGGGGGGTTAGATTGGCTTAGCTGTGTTGTGAAGGGGGAGGGGGGGGGGTTAGATTGGCTTAGCTGTGTTGTGAAGGGGGAGGGGGGGGGGGGTAGATTGGCTTAGCTGTGTTGTGAAGGGGGAGGGGGGGGGGGTAGATTGGCTTAGCTGTGTTGTGAAGGGGGAGGGGGGGGGGTTAGATTGGCTTAGCTGTGTTGTGAAGGGGGAGGGGGGGGGGTTAGATTGGCTTAGCTGTGTTGTGAAGGGGGAGGGGGGGGGGTTAGATTGGCTTAGCTGTGTTGTGAAGGGGGAGGGGGGGGGTTAGATTGGCTTAGCTGTGTTGTGAAGGGGGAGGGGGGGGGTTAGATTGGCTTAGCTGTGTTGTGAAGGGGGAGGGGGGGGTTAGATTGGCTTAGCTGTGTTGTGAAGGGGGAGGGGGGGGTTAGCTTGGCTTAGCTGTGTTGTGAAGGAGGAGGGGGGTTAGATTGGCTTAGCTGTGTTGTGAAGGGGGAGGGGGGGGTTAGCTTGGCTTAGCTGTGTTGTGAAGGGGGAGGGGGGGGTTAGCTTGGCTTAGCTGTGTTGTGAAGGAGGAGGGGGGTTAGATTGGCTTAGCTGTGTTGTGAAGGGGGAGGGGGGGGTTAGCTTGGCTTAGCTGTGTTGTGAAGGAGGAGGGGGGTTAGATTGGCTTAGCTGTGTTGTGAAGGGGGAGGGGGGGGTTAGCTTGGCTTAGCTGTGTTGTGAAGGGGGAGGGGGGGGTTAGATTGGCTTAGCTGTGTTGTGAAGGGGGAGGGGGGGGTTAGCTTGGCTTAGCTGTGTTGTGAAGGGGGAGGGGGGGGTTAGCTTGGCTTAGCTGTGTTGTGAAGGGGGAGGGGGGGGGTTAGATTGGCTTAGCTGTGTTGTGAAGGGGGAGGGGGGGGGGGGGTTAGATTGGCTTAGCTGTGTTGTGAAGGGGGAGGGGGGGGGGGGTTAGCTTGGCTTAGCTGTGTTGTGAAGGGGGAGGGGGGGGTTAGCTTGGCTTAGCTGTGTTGTGAAGGGGGAGGGGGGGGTTAGCTTGGCTTAGCTGTGTTGTGAAGGGGGAGGGGGGGGGTTAGATTGGCTTAGCTGTGTTGTGAAGGGGGAGGGGGGGGGGGTTAGATTGGCTTAGCTGTGTTGTGAAGGGGGAGGGGGGGGGGGGGTTAGATTGGCTTAGCTGTGTTGTGAAGCTAGTTATGGACAGGGTTGTACACACTGGTCAACACAAAGAATGTCAGAGTTGATGTAACTTGTTGTCTCTTCTCTTCAGTTGTCCATACTGTCATGCCAAGTTTGTTCCCCATCTGCAAGTCTATATCAAGGTAAGAACACGCTGTCCTGGCTCAGTGCACCCTCTAGTTGATTGGTGCACAATTTTTTATTTCACATGGAAAACATGTTCAAGTTCATTATACAAACAAGTTCTTTGGTTATGAATATTAGAGTTGAATAGTTTAATTGTGTTGAACTAGGACTGGCGAGCTGACGCAAAAAGCTTCACCTTTAACAATGAGCAAGCCTACCCAGCCAGTGAGAAGCTTCTAGCCATTGCAAACAAGCAAAATTTAACCGAGCCAAGTTCACTGGATCGAGGTGAGATGCCTTTGTCAATGGAGGAAGCTGAGCTGACCATGCGCAGACGCTGCACCAGTGAGTGCCTGATCAGTGAGCTTGCTGGCTCCAACATGGACAGTCCCAGCCACCAGTTCCAGCGCTCACCTCTTAGTCTGTCCATTGAAGAAGAATCTTCAGACAGCTCACCTGAAAAAAATTGCATGAAAAAAGAGTTTATGTCCAGGTCAGTACAGGTAGCCTGAATGAGTGAGAAATGTTTAATGTATCAGTACAGGTAGCCTGAGTGAGAAATGTTTAATGTATCAGTACAGGTAGCCTGAGTGAGAAATGTTTAATGTATCAGTACAGGTAGCATGAGTGAGAAATGTTTAATGTATCAGTACAGGTAGCCTGAGTGAGAAATGTTTAATGTATCAGTACAGGTAGCCTGAGTGAGAAATGTTTAATGTATCAGTACAGGTAGCCTGAGTGAGAAATGTTTGATGTATCAGTACAGGTAGCCTGAGTGAGAAATGTTTAATCTATCAGTACAGGTAGCCTGAGTGAGAAATGTTTAATGTATCAGTACAGGTAGCCTGAGTGAGAAATGTTTGATGTATCAGTACAGGTAGCCTGAGTGAGAAATGTTTAATCTATCAGTACAGGTAGCCTGAGTGAGAAATGTTTAATGTATCAGTACAGGTAGCCTGAGTGAGAAATGTTTAATGTATCAGTACAGGTAGCCTGAGTGAGAAATGTTTAATGTATCAGTACAGGTAGCATGAGTGAGAAATGTTTAATGTATCAGTACAGGTAGCCTGAGTGAGAAATGTTTAATGTATCAGTACAGGTAGCCTGAGTGAGAAATGTTTAATGTATCAGTACAGGTAGCCTGAGTGAGAAATGTTTGATGTATCAGTACAGGTAGCCTGAGTGAGAAATGTTTAATGTATCAGTACAGGTAGCCTGAGTGAGAAATGTTTAATGTATCAGTACAGGTAGCCTGAGTGAGAAATGTTTAATGTATCAGTACAGGTAGCCTGAGTGAGAAATGTTTAATGTATCAGTACAGGTAGCCTGAGTGAGTGAGAAATGTTTAATGTATCAGTACATGTAGCCTGAGTGAGAAATGTTTAATGTATCAGTACAGGTAGCCTGAGTGAGAAATGTTTAATGTATCAGTACAGGTAGCCTGAGTGAGAAATGTTTAATGTATCAGTACAGGTAGCCTGAGTGAGAAATGTTTAATGTATCAGTACAGGTAGCCTGAGTGAGAAATGTTTAATGTATCAGTACAGGTAGCCTGAGTGAGAAATGTTTAATGTATCAGTACAGGTAGCCTGAGTGAGAAATGTTTAATGTATCAGTACAGGTAGCCTGAGTGAGTGAGAAATGTTTAATGTATCAGTACAGGTAGCCTGAGTGAGAAATGTTTAATGTATCAGTACAGGTAGCCTGAGTGAGTGAGAAATGTTTAATGTATCAGTACATGTAGCCTGAGTGAGAAATGTTTAATGTATCAGTACAGGTAGCCTGAGTGAGAAATGTTTAATGTATCAGTACAGGTAGCCTGAGTGAGAAATGTTTAATGTATCAGTACAGGTAGCCTGAGTGAGTGAGAAATGTTTAATGTATCAGTACAGGTAGCCTGAGTGAGAAATGTTTAATGTATCAGTACAGGTAGCCTGAGTGAGAAATGTTTAATGTATCAGTACAGGTAGCCTGAGTGAGAAATGTTTAATGTATCAGTACAGGTAGCCTGAGTGAGAAATGTTTGATGTATCAGTACAGGTAGCCTGAGTGAGAAATGTTTAATGTATCAGTACAGGTAGCCTGAGTGAGAAATGTTTAATGTATCAGTACAGGTAGCCTGAGTGAGAAATGTTTAATGTATCAGTACAGGTAGCCTGAGTGAGAAATGTTTAATGTATCAGTACAGGTAGCCTGAGTGAGAAATGTTTAATGTATCAGTACAGGTAGCCTGAGTGAGAAATGTTTAATGTATCAGTACAGGTAGCCTGAGTGAGAAATGTTTAATGTATCAGTACAGGTAGCCTGAGTGAGTGAGAAATGTTTAATGTATCAGTACAGGTAGCCTGAGTGAGAAATGTTTAATGTATCAGTACAGGTAGCCTGAGTGAGTGAGAAATGTTTAATGTATCAGTACAGGTAGCCTGAATGAGAAATGTTTAATGTATCAGTACAGGTAGCCTGAGTGAGAAATGTTTAATGTATCAGTACATGTAGCCTGAGTGAGAAATGTTTAATGTATCAGTACAGGTAGCCTGAGTGAGAAATGTTTAATGTATAAGTACAGGTAGCCTGAGTGAGTGAGAAATGTTTAATGTATCAGTACATGTAGCCTGAGTGAGAAATGTTTAATGTATCAGTACAGGTAGCCTGAGTGAGAAATGTTTAATCTATCAGTACAGGTAGCCTGAGTGAGAAATGTTTAATGTATCAGTACAGGTAGCCTGAGTGAGAAATGTTTAATGTATCAGTACAGGTAGCCTGAGTGAGAAATGTTTAATGTATCAGTACAGGTAGCCTGAGTGAGAAATGTTTAATGTATCAGTACAGGTAGCCTGAGTGAGTGAGAAATGTTTAATGTATCAGTACAGGTAGCCTGAGTGAGAAATGTTTAATGTATCAGTACAGGTAGCCTGAGTGAGAAATGTTTAATGTATCAGTACAGGTAGCCTGAGTGAGAAATGTTTAATGTATCAGTACAGGTAGCCTGAGTGAGAAATGTTTAATGTATCAGTACAGGTAGCCTGAGTGAGAAATGTTTAATGTATCAGTACAGGTAGCCTGAGTGAGTGAGAAATGTTTAATGTATCAGTACAGGTAGCCTGAGTGAGTGAGAAATGTTTAATGTATCAGTACAGGTAGCCTGAGTGAGAAATGTTTAATGTATCAGTACAGGTAGCCTGAGTGAGAAATGTTTAATGTATCAGTACAGGTAGCCTGAGTGAGAAATGTTTAATGTATCAGTACAGGTAGCCTGAGTGAGAAATGTTTAATGTATCAGTACAGGTAGCCTGAGTGAGAAATGTTTAATGTATCAGTACAGGTAGCCTGAGTGAGAAATGTTTAATGTATCAGTACAGGTAGCCTGAGTGAGAAATGTTTAATGTATCAGTACAGGTAGCCTGAGTGAGAAATGTTTAATGTATCAGTACAGGTAGCCTGAGTGAGTGAGAAATGTTTAATGTATCAGTTCACATATAAAAATAACTCTAAAAAATGTTTTTGTCCATTAGGTCGGCATCATCCTCCGAGCCTGTTGTTGTACCATATCTCAGCCCTCTTGTGCTTCGTAAAGAAGTGGAATATGTGCTGGATCATGAGAGCAATTTGTGCCTTGCTTCAGATGGTTTTGTAGAGGAACATCCCATAATCTTTTGGAACCTGGTTTGTTTTTGTCTTAGTGAGCAGAGTAGTCTGTCCACATCTCACTGCTACCTCTGTCCACATCTTACAATATCTTCCATATAGAATATAGTTTTCTGTAAAACAACACAACTGTTAGAGTACATCCATGCAGTTTGTTATATTTTTTTTTTCAGATTTGGTTTTTTCGACGAATTGAGGTCCCAACACATTTGATAGACTTTCTCTTAACATCTAAAATTTTTAATTCCCATCATTCAACAGTAAGTTTTCCCATCATTCAACAGTAAGTTTTCCCATCATTCAACAGTAAGTTTTCCCATCATTCAACAGTAAGTTTTCCCATCATTCAACAGTAAGTTTTCCTATCATTCAACAGTAAGTTTTCCCATCATTCAACAGTAAGTTTTCCCATCATTCAACAGTAAGTTTTCCCATCATTCAACAGTAAGTTTTCCCATCATTCAACAGTAAGTTTTCCCATCATTCAACAGTAAGTTTTCCCATCATTCAACAGTAAGTTTTCCCATCATTCAACAGTAAGTTTTCCCATCATTCAACAGTAAGTTTTCCCATCATTCAACAGTAAGTTTTCAATAGTAATCTTTTAATTCTAGTATGTTATTTGTAATTGAGGTAAACAAAGATGTATGTTGATGATGTTTTAGGCTGGACACAAAGGTGTATTTAGCAGTCAAAACATTTTGATTCGACCTCAGTGGGACAATGTGAGGATCCATGATGAAGCAGGACTTCCCATGTACTCTGCTTGGAGAGCAGGTCAGCACTGCCAGATTTTACTTGCATATTACTAGCAAAATGGCTTTCACCTATCTCTTAAGAATCTCTCCTCCCCCCCCCCTCCCCCCCAATAATTGAAACAAAAATGAAATTTACATAGAAAATATAGTTTTCACCAGCCAGACCAAAAAGCCATTACAGCCAGACCAAAAAGCCATTACAGCCAGACACAAAAGTCATTACAGCCAGACCCAAAAGCCATTACAGCCAGACACAAAAGCCATTACAGCCAGACCAAAAAGCCATTACAGCCAGACACAAAAGCCATTACAGCCAGACACAAAAGCCATTACAGCCAGACACAAAAGCCATTACAGCCAGACACAAAAGCCATTACAGCCAGACACAAAAGCCATTACAGCCAGACACAAAAGCCATTACAGCCAGACACAAAAGCCATTTTATGTAACCGCTCTAACAAGCACCCCATATGTCCACAGGTCACAAATCTACAGTTGTTGATGCTTTAGTTATAGAATCCGAGTCTTTTAGTCGACCGTAAGTAAACATGACTTTTTTACTCTGTTTCATTAAAAGGTTGACCTATGGCAAATGAGAGGATGTTAATACTTACAGGTGCTTAAAAAATGTATAGACATAATGATGTGTCTGTTCTAATAACTTTTTTCCAGCCTTATGTGGCAGATAATTGCTTCTATCAAACGTAATGACGTGTCTGTTCTAATCAATTTTTTCCAGCCTTATGTGGCAGATAATTGCTTCTATCAAACGTAATGACGTGTCTGTTCTAATCAATTTTTTCCAGTCTAATGTGGCAGATAATTGCTTCTATCAAACGTAATGACGTGTCTGTTCTAATCAATTTTTTCCAGCCTTATGTGGCAGATAATTGCTTCTATCAAACGTAATGACGTGTCTGTTCTAATCAATTTTTTCCAGTCTAATGTGGCAGATAATTGCTTCTATCAAACGTAATGACGTGTCTGTTCTAATCAATTTTTTCCAGTCTAATGTGGCAGATAATTGCTTCTATCAAACGTAATGACGTGTCTGTTCTAATCAATTTTTTCCAGCCTTATGTGGCAGATAATTGCTTCTATCAAACGTAATGACGTGTCTGCGGCCATCAGGCAGCTGGTTGCTGCCAGGCGTAAAATGAATTCACGAAAACGCAGATTCAGGAGCATGTACAGAGAAATTCTTTTTTTGTCATTTGCTGAGTGTGGAAGGGAAAACATTGATCATGGTATAAACATTTTACATACTACGCATTTTCTCAACCACTGCAATTAGAAACAAATTTTTAAAAATTTAAATAACCATGTTAAAAAATAAAACTAAAAGCATTATACATAATATTGGTCTACGTTTATTATGTATGAGGTTAAACAGCATAATAGTTTACTAATAATAAATAAATCTCTGAAAAAGTACTTCTAATATTATTTCTAAATAAAATTTATGGGCGACTGTGTGCATAGGCCTGCAAAGGGTTAATCTGTTTTAGAGAGTGCAACTACTGGTCCACATTTTAATTTGATTAATGGATGTTTCAGATGCTTTTGACAGAGAGTACAGCCTTGCATTTGAAACAAAACTTCAAGCCGCAGATATCCGTCGTCTACAGGTGGATGACCATCCCAAGTCAGAGAAGGTTCAGTGGTGTAGAAAGGTATTTGGGGAGCTAGAAGTGTAAGACACAAATTTCGGTGTAGAATTTGGTGCTAGAAGAATTAGGTTGTAAAGGTCTTAGTAAAACTAATAGCATCAGGTCAATGGAAGCTTGATGAATGATTAACTTATTGATTTTTGCTCTTGTTAGAGAGCTTGTACTATAGTGAACTTGTTACTGCCATTCATTGGTGCCTACTATGTACAAGCACTGAATGTTTTCATACCATGTTAGTTTAGATTGCACTCTTTGAATCGTTACAATTATGTTGTACATATTTTACCAATTTAAACAATAATTACAAGATTTTTATCTCTTATTTCTCTGATTGTCTAGAAATAGAAGCCACAATGATTGTCTTGCTTTAGTGTTCCATGTTTATACTGGTTTTGGTCCATATTTATTCTGGTCCATGACCATTGGTTTATACTTTACTGGCTGTGTTAGGTTTCCACTGCACTACTGCAGTCAACATTCCAGAAGTGGCTTGGGCAACATCTGGGCAAATACAGACATTTGTAAGCTTGCCTACAACCTCTGGGAAAATACAGACATTTGTAAACTTGCCTACAACCTCTGGGCTAGACAGACATTTGTAAGCTTGGCTACAACCTCTGGGCAAATACAGACATTTGTAAGCTTGCCTACAACCTCTGTGCTAGACAGACATTTGTAAGCTTGGCTACAACCTCTGGGAAAATACAGACATTTGTAAGCTTGCCTACAACCTCTGGGAAAATACAGACATTTGTAAGCTTGCCTACAACCTCTGGGAAAATACAGACATTTGTAAGCTTGGCTACAACCTCTGGGAAAATACAGACATTTGTAAGCTTGCCTACAACCTCTGGGAAAATACAGACATTTGTAAGCTTGCCTACAACCTCTGGGAAAATACAGACATTTGTAAGCTTGCCTACAACCTCTGGGAAAATACAGACATTTGTAAGCTTGCCTACAACCTCTGGGAAAATACAGACATTTGTAAGCTTGGCTACAACCTCTGGGAAAATACAGACATTTGTAAGCTTGGCTCTGAGTTTAACACTTGTAATGGTATTAACTCAGAGCAACAACCATAGACACATTTCACAGCTCTGTTATTCTTGTAAATTCCTTGCCTGCAAGTGTTTAAATAATGAGCATAATATTTATTTGTTTCATGTTAAAAAGATAATTTTTTCTTAATCTTTATATGTTGTCAAATACTAAAGATACATTTCTGTGGGCAGTTAATTTTTGTCATGTTTTGATACCTGATTGATAACTAAATTCCACCTATATAATTGTGCTCATTCTTTCTACTTGACATAAAAAAAGCAATATGACTAGTAGAAAGATGTTTGCAAACTAGTCAAGTTTGATGAATGTGATACGAGGCAACTTTATATATTTTAGTGCTCATTCTATTGATGTCTTTCTAAATAAACCATTTCTCACATCTACTTGTTCTGTGCATTTCTTTCAGTAGCTCTCTGGACATGTGCTAATGCTGCTTTTATTCAGGTCACCAGCTACTGCATGGAACCTCACAAAGTTTGCTGTACAGATTTGGTTTAAATCTTTCTACTCAATTACATTGATCAGCAAGTTTTCTAACTCCTTGACAGTTAATGAATGCTCTGGTCCCTCAGCCAGCTGGATCTAGCTGTTACCATGCCAACAAACACCAACAGGACCATTTCTAATGGAGCTAATTCTTTCAAAATGCATCTATTCTTATCACTTGATTAGGTATTAAATTAGTCATTTAAACTAATTTAAAGATTCCATTTTTTTTTTAAAGCAAATTAATCATTGATTAAGCAGTTTTAAAGAATAATAGGTCCTTAGCATTGTTATAATAAATTACTATTACAATTCCATGACACTAAAAATTGTAAAAATAAAGAGATTAAAAACCTACTTAATATAACAGTATTATTAGTATCTTACCTTAGCTTTTAAAAATATAAATAAAGCTAATATTTTCATAACTTTTTTTTTCCACCACAAATTATGTCTAGTACAGATAAGTGACAAGCAGAAAAAATGTGTACCAATTTATTACAAATGTAAATACTGATAATACAAATTCTATATATAGTATCTATGTCATGATCAGACTACCAGGAAATGTAAGACTTGTGACACCTGTTGCTAAATGATACTACATGTGCCTCTACACACACCATGTGAAAAGCCACTCATCACAAACATGCACCAAAGATAAATAGCTGGAGTTTATAGTAAATAAAGAATTGTAGAAATAAAATGTGTACAGTACTAGACAAGGACTTTTTGGGACATCATCAAATTGGTGTACATTTTATTTTGTCATATATTACTTTTAAAATGTTACAAGTAAGACAACCCAGTCTAAAAATTTGAAAAACTTTACATCTACAAGATTTCATTAAAATACATGTTTCACTTGACTCTATCAATAGAGAAGTGCAGATCAATAAAGGCACATAATTAAAAGTAATTGATAAACATCTTCATTGCGGAGTAGTCAGGCTAGCCACACAGGACTGGCTACCACAACAAGACAGTCACACCAGTCACACATTTAGTTAATAACACCAGCAGCAAGACCCAAACATTAACCCATTCATGTCCTGTGGGCTCAACTTTTACGCCACCGTAGTCTATTTAGGTCTGTGGAGTAATGGAAGTCTTACTGGTAATAATAGTTTGGAGATACAATCAGCAGTAGAAAATGTTTTACTTGCGTTTTTCTTCTTCAATCACTAGCAGTTATTTCCAACAATTGTTTAAAACTAAAGGCAGGTTAATTAGCGACAAACAAAACCAATCAAAATCTGACTGCTGATGAATCAGGCTTAACTTATTATTTACATATAGCATAGTGAAATTTGAGGAAAAACTACGTCTTATTTTTTTTTAAATTTCATTGAAATAGTAAAGATTGGAGGTTCTGGAAACAATCACTGAAATAGTAAAATTGTATGTTTTTGAAATTTTGTCTAGATTATTTTGTATTTTATTCAACCATTTTTATTGAAACATAAACTAAGACTATTTTCCTAAATAAAGTGGTTTTTTAAAAATATATGCAGATATTTTTAAATAGTTTTTAAAAGTGTTATGGTGGAAAAAAAAGACTCAGTTTCCTTGGTTCTGTGATTAGTGTGCCCAACCAGTTAAGAGATTGCTTTGTACATTCTACACTTTTTGCCAGAAAAAATTAGAATAACTAAACAGTGACTCTATTGCCTGCAATGAGGGGTTAGTTATTACTGCAGGTATTCAGCCAGTAAATCACATCTGTTAAACAACAACTCAATCACATCTGTTAAAAACTCACTGAGCATTTACACCAGATTCAACAACCAACAGCTTGCTAGATTTGATCAACTGTCTCAGACTGGTGCTCAACAATGATAGGTGGTAAGAGTGGACTAAAGGAAAGACTTGAGATACAAGCAAGGAATGTGTACAATCAGGTTGTCTTCTACCTCAGTCAGGTTGTCTTCTACCTCAGTCAGGTTGTCTTCTACCTCAGTCAGGTTGTCTTCTACCTCAGTCAGGTTGTCTTCTACCTCAGTCAGGCTGTCTTCTACCTCAGTCAGGTTGTCTTCTACCTCAGTCAGGCAATACAATCAGGTTGTCTTCTACCTCAGTCAGGCCATACAATCAGGTTGTCTTTTACCTCAGTCCAAATGTCATTTATCTCAGTCAGGCCATACAGTCAGGTTGTCTTCTACCTCAGTCAGGCAATACAATCAGGTTGTCTTCTACCTCAGTCAGGCCATACAATCAGGTTGTCTTTTACCTCAGTCCAAATGTCATTTATCTCAGTCAGGCCATACAGTCAGGTTGTCTTCTACCTCAGTCAGGCCATACAATCAGGTTGTCTTCTACCTCAGTCAGGTTGTCTTCTACCTCAGTCAGGTTGTCTTCTACCTCAGTCAGGCCATACAATCAGGTTGTCTTCTACCTCAGTCCAAATGTCATTTATCTCAGTCAGGCCATACATTTTTTGTTACAGTTGTACTTAAAAACGACTCAATAAAATTCTGAATCAGAACTTTGTAAAGATCCGGAATGTTCTTTATGATCTGCATTGCCAGTGTTAGTTACATTCAGTGTTTCTTGTACATCCAGACATTTTGTAATACCTGAGGAAACAAACAATAGCTCAAGATCTGCAAGCACAAAGACATTGGTAAGATCAAATGTTTTCAAATGTTCAGACCCATCTACTCTATCATGCCCAACACATTTATCCCACACTCCTGTCAACTGCATCATGCCCAACACATTTATCCCACACTCCTGTCAACTGCATCATGCCCAACACATTTATCCCACACTTCTGTCAACTGCATCATGCCCAACACATTAATCCCACACTCCTGTCAACTGCATCAAGCCCAACACATTTATCCCACACTCCTGTCAACTGCATCATGCCCAACACATTTATCCCACACTCCTGTCAACTGCATCAAGCCCAACACATTTATCCCACACTCCTGTCAACTGCATCATGCCCAACACATTTATCCCACACTCCTGTCAACTGCATCATGCCCAACACATTTATCCCACACTCCTGTCAACTGCATCAAGCCCAACACATTTATCCCACACTCCTGTCAACTGCATCATGCCCAACACATTTATCCCACACTCCTGTCAACTGCATCATGCCCAACACATTTATCCCACACTCCTGTCAACTGCATCATGCCCAACACATTTATCCCACACTCCTGTCAACTGCATCATGCCCAACACATTTATCCCACACTCCTGTCAACTGCATCATGCCCAACACATTTATCCCACACTCCTGTCAACTGCATCAAGCCCAACACATTTATCCCACACTCCTGTCAACTGCATCATGCCCAACACATTTATCCCACACTCCTGTCAACTGCATCATGCCCAACACATTTATCCCACACTCCTGTCAACTGCATCATGCCCAACACATTTATCCCACACTCCTGTCAACTGCATCATGCCCAACACATTTATCCCACACTCCTGTCAACTGCATCAAGCCCAACACATTTATCCCACACTCCTGTCAACTGCATCAAGCCCAACACATTTATCCCACACTCCTGTCAACTGCATCATGCCCAACACATTTATCCCACACTCCTGTCAACTGCATCATGCCCAACACATTTATCCCACACTCCTGTCAACTGCATCAAGCCCAACACATTTATCCCACACTCCTGTCAACTGCATCATGCCCAACACATTTATCCCACACTCCTGTCAACTGCATCAAGCCCAACACATTTATCCCACACTCCTGTCAACTGCATCATGCCCAACACATTTATCCCACACTCCTGTCAACTGCATCATGCCCAACACATTTATCCCACACTCCTGTCAACTGCATCATGCCCAACACATTTATCCCACACTCCTGTCAACTGCATCATGCCCAACACATTTATCCCACACTCCTGTCAACTGCATCATGCCCAACACATTTATCCCACACTCCTGTCAACTGCATCATGCCCAACACATTTATCCCACACTCCTGTCAACTGCATCATGCCCAACACATTTATCCCACACTCCTGTCAACTGCATCAAGCCCAACACATTTATCCCACACTCCTGTCAACTGCATCATGCCCAACACATTTATCCCACACTCCTGTCAACTGCATCATGCCCAACACATTTATCCCACACTCCTGTCAACTGCATCATGCCCAGCACATTTATCCCACACTCCTGTCAACTGCATCATGCCCAACACATTTATCCCACACTCCTGTCAACTGCATCATGCCCAACACATTTATCCCACACTCCTGTCAACCCAATTACAAATGGCCAAAGAAAACAATTTTACCGTAACTTGGTGCAGATGTATTGAAGCGAGTGGACTTGGACAAGACATGATTACAGGTGGAAGAAAAAGGCATATGAGCAAGAATGATGGCCAGACAGTCTGCTATTTTGGCTGTTGGTGCACAGGAAAGGGCTGGTGTATAACCTGTGGAGAACAATTGTTTCACATTAGTGTTTACACAGCTCATTGGCTAGAACTTACAAGACCTGCTGTTTTACATTAGTGTTGATACAGCTAGTTGGCTAGAACTTACAAGACCTGCTGTTTTACATTAGAGTTGATACAGCTAGTTGGCTAGAACTTACAAGACCTGCTGTTTTACATTAGTGTTGATACAGCTAGTTGGCTAGAACTTACAAGACCTGCTGTTTTACATTAGAGTTGATACAGCTAGTTGGCTAGAACTTACAAGACCTGCTGTTTTACATTAGTGTTGATACAGCTAGTTGGCTAGAACTTACAAGACCTGCTGTTTTACATTAGTGTTGATACAGCTAGTTGGCTAGAACTTACAAGACCTGCTGTTTTACATTAGTGTTGATACAGCTAGTTGGCTAGAACTTACAAGACCTGCTGTTTTACATTAGTGTTGATACAGCTAGTTGGCTAGAACTTACAAGACCTGCTGTTTTACATTAGTGTTGATACAGCTAGTTGGCTAGAACTTACAAGACCTGCTGTTTTACATTAGAGTTGATACAGCTAGTTGGCTAGAACTTACAAGACCTGCTGTTTTACATTAGTGTTGATACAGCTAGTTGGCTAGAACTTACAAGACCTGCTGTTTTACATTAGAGTTGATACAGCTAGTTGGCTAGAACTTACAAGACCTGCTGTTTTACATTAGAGTTGATACAGCTAGTTGGCTAGAACTTACAAGACCTGCTGTTTTACATTAGAGTTGATACAGCTAGTTGGCTAGAACTTACCATTTTCATCCAGTGCCAGAACACTACCACCTTTAGCAATCAAATCTTGAACTACAGGCACTAGTCCATTTCTGGCTGCTATGTGTAAAGGTCTGGGGACAAACAACAAATCTAATAAAAGGGCAAACTGTCAAGGCTTTCAATGGCTAGATTTACTTGAAGCAATACTTACGTTCTCAATTCTGTATTAGCCATGTTGATTGTAACAGAATCATCTATTTTATCTAACAGCAACAAGGCAATGTCTTCTCGACTCTAGAATTCATCATTTAAGTATTTATTAGAAGGTATATAATCTAAACATGTTAAAAAAGGCAACAAATCTATAACCTTAGTTTTTTTCCTCTTTACTGGGTATAGGCTTAACCAAGAAAACTTATATGACTGATAACATTTAAACTAAAAAAACTTATCTCACCAATACGTAGATGTAACGACCTCTTAAGAAAAAAGTAGAATTTTTTTATGGGGTGGGGTGGGGGTGGGCGCGCAGTGAAGGCAGTAGAAAGTTGGAGGTTTTTTACGCAAGTTTCAAGACCATCAGATCTAGGCCCTGATCGATCATGTTTTATCCACATCATAGTAAGCCTACAGAAGTATTTCGGGGAAAAAAAAATTAAGACTTAAGAAAGAGCGGCAATTGTTTTTTCTCCAAAAAATTTAGTAAAAATCTCATAATTGCCACAGTTAAAATAAGATATGTAAATAAAAACGCTAGAAGAATATTCTCGTGCTGTCTCGCGTCGTAGGCTTCATGGTCAGCATGACCATGATGAAGGCTGAGGTAATAGTAATAAAATCAGAACAGCGCATTTCTCAGCACATTTCTGTTTCATACTTCATAGTCATCCAAATCAATTCACTTTTTTTGTAAATTCAAAATAGGAAGAGAAACAAATAGTCTAGGATGGCGCAAAATCTTTCTGCCATAAAAATGGAAAAGTTACATCTCTGCTAGAGAAAATCCTATAAAGAACCACATTGGTAAAGTAATTTAAAAGGTGCAGCCAAGTGGTCATACATAAATGACGTCTCGTTAACCAACCAAACTTTACGTCAATCCATATCATTATTAATAGCTAGGCAACCACACAACTAATGGTATCAAAAAGTTTGGTCTACAGACGTGCCCACCTTACCAAAAAAAATTTCCTTAATTGCCTGTAAATTCTGACTAGCTTTATGACATTATGAAAAATAGTGGGTAAAATCGAGAGGTTTCAAAGTGATCACTTTCAATAAATAACATTTTAAAAAAATATAGTTGTAGCACATTCACGTGGCCACAGTAAGTTTACATTAGATCAGGGGTTCCCAACCTTTTTTATCTCTAGAGCACATTCTAAAATATCGGTAGGGTGGTGGGCACCACCTATTTTAAATCGACAAACTCCTTCCATAACTTGTCATTTTCCCATAATTTATTTTCTTATTTTCTTATAGTCATAATGTATTAATAAATAATAAACAAAATTGTTTCAAAATAATAAAATTATTTGGCATTTTTTTCAAATTTCATACACACAGAGAAATCTATTTACAAAATGTAAAGAAAGTAAACATAACACATAAATACAAAGAAAACATTTAATTAAAAAATATAATATAGTCAATGTGATCTTATTTTAAAATAATGTTTATGAAAAAAATTCTGTCTTTGTCGAATAGTGAGAGGCAGGCACATACGAATCGTTCAGCGGGCGCCATGGCGCCCGCGGGCACAGGGTTGGGAACCCCTGCCTTAGATTAATTATTACCCATCCATGACTGACGTAGACTAGTTACTGACTGAACATCATTCTTTTATAAACTAGCAAAACGGTCATTAAGCCGGAGGGGAAGATGCGATCACTTGAATATGAGTAGCAAAACGGAAAAATGGATCTGCTGAAAAGATTTCCAAAGTTTAGTGGAAAAGTCACTCCCGGAAAACAAAAAATTTTTGGCGGAAAATTCCATTTTTTTTTTTTGCTGGAATCTTTTTTTCCAAAAAAAGTGGCTAACGTAATTATCTATCTATGACATCCAAACTAAAACATTAATATATCTCAAAGATGGTGTACTAAATTGCATTTTTTGTTGTTGCAAGAAATATAAGATGTAAATGTGTTTGTGTAAGAAACGTGTACTTACATTGAAGCAAGCGTGGTGTAAGGCTGTGTTGCCATCTCTATCTGAGGTAGTCAGCTCAGCTCCATGTTCTAAAAGTAGTTCTACACAATCATGGAAAAAGTCCATCAGTTCAAATCTTTTGGCTAAACCAATGAAACACATTTTAAATTTGTCTATTCCTACATGAGATAAAAGCTACCAACCTACGGCAGCCACATGTCCGTTAGCTGCAGCATACATGACTGGAGACTTGCCAGAGGAGTCTTGTATGTTGACCAGAGCTTTGTGAGTGAGTAAAAGTTGCATAGATTCTCCCTGATCTGAGTAGGCTGCAGCATGGAGGGGAGTCCGACCTTTGCTGTCTTGGACATTGATTAGAGCTTCCCCTAATAAATCAATGAGTAATTCTGTGCAGCTATCATTGCCATTTATCCTGAAGACATCAACCAATTTACATTGTGTTTAAGTAACAGCAGACTGGCTACAAGTTCCTAATATACAAATATTACCCACGTAGAACATGTCCATCTCAAACATACTAACGTGCGCAGGCCCACGTAGAACATGTGCCCTAGAATATGCTAATGTAAAAATATGTAAATTTGCACATGTATAACAAATACATTCATCCTGTATAAAAAAAAAAATCCTATGTAAACAAATATGAAGGTAACTCCTACTTACACAGCACAATGTAATGGTGAAAATGTATTTCCTGTAAACCTTTTCATATTTTCTTGCTCCAAAAGAACTTCAACACTACTGTCATGACCTGGACATAGATAGTTTAATATTAACAATTTATCAGATCACAAAGTCAAGGTTACCAAAGTAGCGGCACAATAAATGATCACACAACAATGTTGATCAATTCTAAGGTTATACAGCAGTGGATATTGTATCATTTACACATGCTCCACTGGCAGAAAGGGTGGTAAAAATGCTCTGAAGTCTTGTTGATAAAAACAATTTGATTGACAAAATTCATTTTTAAAGAATAAAATAGTCTTGATTTTTTTTTTAAACTGCAAAACTGGAAATTTAAAACTCAAATTTTACAAATCCAAGAGGTAAAAAAATGTATTCTTAAATCCTGAATAACTGGCACTGCTGCTCTTGAAAAATTAGAAATCAAATATCATACACACACAAATGTTGAGCTTAAGAAAAATAGTGAAGTGGGGTGGAGCCATTATAAGGGATCATCCATTTATCACATCCACAAAAATTTTGAAAATGGCAGCAGGTCAATGTCATCCCCCCCCCCCCCCCCCCCCCCCCCCCCGTGCTTATAAAAATTTGCTGGTTTTTTTTTTTTAATTTTTAATGCTAGAACAGCTGATTTAACTCACAAATTTTATATGCAGTTTTTTATTTATTTATTTTTAAATTGTAGATGTAAATAAGTAATTTGATGTAAACTTCAACTTGACCTGAACCCCAACCCCCCCCCCCCCCCATTCATGAACAAAAGTCAATTTTCTGAGCAGCATAGTGAAGTGGGGTGTAGCCTTACCATTATAAGCAGCATAGTGAAGTGGGGTGTAGCCTTACCATTATAAGCAGCATAGTGAAGTGGGGTGTAGCCTTGGTTGTCTTCTAGTTGATCTAAAGGTCCTGCCTGAAAATGTAGAGCAACATTGTCAGCAAGGACATGATAGAAACTGTGGAGCTAAGATTGTTACATGATGAGAATTGTATGTGGAGCTAAGATTGTTGCATGATGGGAATTGTATGTGGAGCTAAGATTGTTGCATGATGAGAATTGTATGTGGAGCTAAGATTGTTGCATGATGAGAATTGTATGTGGAGCTAAGATTGTTGCATGATGAGAATTGTATGTGGAGCTAAGATTGTTGCATGATGAGAATTGTATGTGGAGCTAAGATTGTTGCATGATGAGAATTGTATGTGGAGCTAAGATTGTTGCATGATGAGAATTGTATGTGGAGCTAAGATTGTTGCATGATGAGAATTGTATGTGGAGCTAAGATTGTTACATGATGAGAATTGTATGTGGAGCTTGCAGATTGTTACAGATGAGAATTGTATGTGGAGCTAAGATTGTTGCATGATGAGAATTGTATGTGGAGCTAAGATTGTTGCATGATGAGAATTGTATGTGGAGCTAAGATTGTTGCATGATGAGAATTGTATGTGGAGCTAAGATTGTTACATGATGAGAATTGTATGTGGAGCTAAGATTGTTGCATGATGAGAATTGTATGTGGAGCTAAGATTGTTACATGATGAGAATTGTATGTGGAGCTAAGATTGTTGCATGATGAGAATTGTATGTGGAGCTAAGATTGTTGCATGATGGGAATTGTATGTGGAGCTAAGATTGTTACATGATGAGAATTGTATGTGGAGCTTGCAGATTGTTACATGTTGAGAACAGATGATTATTGTATCAGTCAGCCACTTACCATCAGGAGAGATGTCAGCAAGTTCATGTGACCTGACATTGCTGCCATGTGGACAGCAGTACGACCACGGTTGTCACGCAATGTTAAATCAGCACCATGACGTATTAAGGCATCAACACATTCTTCATGACCATTAGCAGCCTAAAGAAAAAAACAATGTTTTCAAACAAGTGAAAACTAGAAGCAACAAACATAACTAACTGCACATTAAGTATTGTCCCAACATTTTACCAGCATCCACTCAACAGTCTCAAGACATTTCTGATATGTGTACAGGAATTGGGCTTACCCCACGGTGAAGAGCAGATCTGCCATCAGTATCTCTAGCATTGACAATGGCATTATTCCTTATAAGAAAAACTGTACAGTCAATATGGCCAAACTCCACAGACAGCATCAGTGGGGTCCTTCAAAAAGAGAGCAATGGTTTTGGTTTTTAATGAGAAAAACAACAGAAACAAAACAAAGCCATACTAATAGAAACATCAAAGGGGCTTGTAACAAAGATAGGAGGAGAGCATTGTTTGCCAGTCATACTTTTTCATTGTTTGCCTGTCATACTTTTTCATTGTATGCCAGTCATACTTTTTCATTGTTTGCAAGTCATACTTTTTCATTGTATGCCAGTCATACTTTTTCATTGTTTGCAAGTCATACTTTTTCATTGTTTGCCAGTCATACTTGTTCATTGTTTGCCAGTCATACCTTTTCATTGTTTGCCAGTCATACTTTTTCATTGTTTGCAAGTCATACTTTTTCATGGTGTGTACAAGACATGGTGGGTGGGTGGTGTGTACAAGACATGGTGGGTGGGTGGTGTGTACAAGACATGGTGGGTGGGTGGTGTGTACAAGACATGGTGGGTGGGTGGTGTGTACAAGACATGGTGGGTGGGTGGTGTGTACAAGACATGGTGGGTGGGTGGTGTGTACAAGACATGGTGGGTGGGTGGTGTGTACAAGACATGGGTGTGGGTGGTGTCTACAAGACAGGGTAGAGCATGGTGTGAAAAAAAATTAAAATCACTGCAATAGACTCACCTGTCATACAAATCTGTACAATCAACAATATTACAATCATCTGCTGCTTCTAATAATAAACTTAAACATTTGGAATGTCCATTCATAGCTGAAAAAGGTAATTTATAAAATTTAACAGACTTTATCCACAAAAGAATATAGTGAGTACTCTACTTCCCCTACTACTGCAACACCAGCCCACTCTACTTCCCCTACTACTGCAACACCAGCCCACTCTACTTCCCCTACTACTGCAACACCAGCCCACTCTACTTCCCCTACTACTGCAACACCAGCCCACTCTACTTCCCCTACTACTACAACACCAGCCCACTCTACTTCCCCATTAGAGTAGCATTAAAGAAGTGAGTACCAGCTGCATGTAGTGGTGTTCGTCTGGTCACACTATCATTGACCAGGATAAGAGCATTCTGTGATACAAGTGTTTCCACACACTCTGTATGGCCACGAAAACATGCCAAATCTAGCATTGTGCGACCTGAAAAAAATCATAACTAATTACTGCAAAATAAAGTATTAAGGAACAGAAAATACAGGTGTCTACAACAAACATAGCTTTACTGCAGCTACTTCAGATACCTTGCACACTGTAAGTTTCTAGCATTTTTTGTTATTATTTTATACTCAGTTTACTAAATCAAGTTTTGGACAAATTTTTACATGTTTTTGCACAAATGGTCACTTCAGCATTAACGTAATTTTCAATTTGTTTTAAAGAATCAGATAGTTAAATAGATTCTATATACGTTAGATATTTAAGCTATTAAAATTAGCAATCGGAACCTATTGTAAAATGATAATTTTTAAAATATTAGAAATGATACTGAGGCATTCAGTGGCGGACTCTGACCACTAGTTGCATCACTAAATTCACTCAAAAAGATAAATTCATATAGCATATTAAATTATATTTTTTCTTTGAGATAATACATTTCTTTATTTAATAAGTATATTTTGAGCCTTTTTAATAATTAAACAAAGGATAGACTCATTTTTAAAACATCAAATAAAAATAGTTTGAGGTTACCTCCTGGCCTGGTGAAGTGTGCTGAGGCTTTAGTAGCTAACGAGTTAAGATACCATGCCCATTGTAATACTTAACTGTGGCTGATACCACAGACTTATACCCCCAGACAAAAACAGCCAGACTGAGTTTTGACCTGACTAAACTTTACATCTAGGTGGGACTTGTAATATGTATCTAGTTGTAACTCATATATGCATGCAGCTCAAGTAGAGGCTGGAGCTAGAAAATGGCAATGTAAAGCAAAGTCAGCTGGTGAACTGACCATTAGAGTCCTTGATATCCACATTCATCATATAACCCAGCAGGACAGTCAGGGCTTGGTTGTGACCGTTGTACGCCTAGTCAGAAACACACAATCAGAGCTTTACTGATAGAAAATTTGTTTATCTAAATGACAATTACAGCTTTATGGGTAATAACGTTTGTGTATGTGCAAGTTATGTGTATGTAAATAATATTCAGCTTTATTGATAGCAGGTTATGTCTATCTAAATGATATTCACACTTTATTGGCAGCAAGTTTCGTGAATGTAAATGACTTACTGCTAGATGTCCAGGTGAATATGGTGCACCACTTCGCAGTAAATCTGTAGGAGCAGCATCAAGTAACTGAAATTGATTAGACATAGTTTTCAACTAAGGCACTTTTAAAAAAAATTATTTTAAAATAGACACTGGTTAAAAATTATAATAAAAAAGGGGTATCTTTAGAATCATGTTACTGACTATCCCTTACTAATTGTATTATGTAAATAAATGCACTATACATAGATCAGATGAACGTGGATATATTGGACTCTACCACAAAATTCTCGCATATGGAATCTAGAGCTTAACATCATCTACACTGGGTTGAGCATTAAACATAATTTACATGTGTTTAGCATTAACATTAAACATGAGAAAAATCAGAAATTTATTTTAATTTATCACTATTTTTAAAAATATTATTTTTATTCTCATTAGTGTCATGTGTCAATAATGAATAATGCCTATTTTTAAATTTCAAAATAGTGCGAACATTTCTTACCATTTCTAGTGACAACTTATGGCCTTTTAGTGCTGCATAGTGGACAGCATTGTAGCCATCATCGTCTCGAATACCAGGCCTAGCATCATGATGTAATAACAACTCCACCACTCTGTGGACACACAATGTTTCAATTTCACACCAACACACCTCAGGCTACTAGACAGTATGTACACACCTCAGGCTACTAGACAGTATGTACACACCTCAGGCTACTAGACAGTATGTACACACCTCAGGCTACTAGACAGTATGGACACACCAACACACCTCAGGCTACTAGACAGTATGTACACACCTCAGGCTACTAGACAGTATGTACACACCTCAGGCTACTAGACAGTATGTACACACCAACACACATCAGGCTACTAGACAGTATGTACACACCAACACACCTCAGGCTACTAGACAGTATGTACACACCTCAGGCTACTAGACAGTATGTACACACCAACACACCTCAGGCTACTAGACAGTATGTACACACCAACACACCTCAGGCTACTAGACAGTATGTACACACCAACACACCTCAGGCTACTAGACAGTATGTACACACCAACACACCTCAGGCTACTAGACAGTATGTACACACCTCAGGCTACTAGACAGTATGGACACACCAACACACCTCAGGCTACTAGACAGTATGTACACACCAACACACATCAGGCTACTAGACAGTATGTACACACCAACACACCTCAGGCTACTAGACAGTATGTACACACCTCAGGCTACTAGACAGTATGGACACACCAACACACCTCAGGCTACTAGACAGTATGTACACACCAACACACATCAGGCTACTAGACAGTATGTACACACCTCAGGCTACTAGACAGTATGTACACACCAACACACCTCTGGCTACTAGAGCCAACTGAGAATGTACACACCAACCAAAAGCTACCACTCCTGAGACTTACTTAGCATCAGCATCATTAGCAGCAGCATAGTGCAGGGGAGAACACCCTTTACTGTCAGTAATGTTCACATCAGCTCCAGCATTGAGCAGAACCAAAACATTCTGGTAATGGCAATGTGCTGCAGCATAATGTAATGGTGTTCTGTGGCAACAAGAAATACATGGGTTAGTCTACAATGTTTCCTTTATCTCATCCTCAATCAAACACTGTGATTAACATCAAGTGCCATGAATATCAAGATACTGCCATCCCCATCCACTCACCTGCCATCCCTATCCACTCACCTGCCATCCCTATCCACTCACCTGCCTTCCCTATCCACTCACCTGCCATCCCTATCCACTTACATGCCATCCCTATCCACTCACCTGCCATCCCTATCCACTCACCTGCCATCCCTATCCACTCACCTGCCATCCCTATCCACTCACCTGCCATCCCTATCCACTCACCTGCCATCCCTATCCACTCACCTGCCATCCCTATCCACTCACCTGCCATCCCTATCCACTCACCTGCCATCCCTATCCACTCACCTGCCATCCCTATCCACTCACCTGCCATCCCTATCCACTCACCTGCCTTCCCTATCCACTCACCTGCCATCCCTATCCACTTACCTGCCATCCCTATCCACTCACCTGCCATCCCTATCCACTCACCTGCCATCCCTATCCACTCACCTGCCTTCCCTATCCACTCACCTGCCATCCCTATCCACTCAACTGCCATCCATATCCACTCACCTGCCATCCCTATCCACTCACCTGCCTTCCCTATCCAATCACCTGCCATCCCTATCCACTTACCTGCCATCCATATCCTGTAATGTTAAGTTACTTCCTTCATTTAGTAGATATTCAACACAGTCCACCTTTCTGATTCATGCATGTAGGATAGATACCATTATTAAAGCCAATGCATTTTTTAATTGTAATAATCTTTACTAAACTGTAAATAGCTTGGAATAAACTAAATGTATATGTGACAATGATCTGTTTTTCTTGATCAAGTCCTTTTAAGAGTGAAGAGAGTTGAAATACCAACCCACTGCAGGCAGCTCCATGTAGACACGTCCTGCCAGCATCATCAGATATGTTGATATCAAAAGCTGGCATTGCACAGCGCAGCTTATTCACACACTCAACAAAACCATTCAGTGCAGCAACATGGATGGGTAGCATGCCTAAGTAGCCACGTCTACAAGAAACATTTATTGCATGTCAGTAACAGTTGTTTAAAACATCTGCCCCAATACAATGTTACATTGTCAGTAGGATGTTTTTAACATCACCCCCCCCCCCCCCCTCCCACAATACAATGTTACATTGTCATGTATTTACATGGTAGGCTATGGTCTAGTATTACAAGTATAGTAGTGAGACAATGAAATGTTAACAAAAAGGACTTACTGAATGGGGTCAGCTGAATGATCCAGCAGTGTGTTGATTAGTAGCTCATGCCCATAGCGAGCTGCTACATGTAGGGCTGTGTTACCCAGACGATCACATGTGTTTACCAGACAGCCTAGGTAAGAAGGTATTTGAGTCAGGTAAGACATGACACAAGGCTGTATTCACCTAGCTAAACCTGTATTTAGAGCTTATCAAATGTTCATTTTTATAATCAACAACTGAAACAAATATACATAGTAATGACTGAATGACGATGAAAATTCAATGATTTAATTGAACAAACCATTTAAAAAGCTAATAATGTTGTATCACTAAAGTGAAAGTGTGAATGAATGAAGTAGATGGCAAGTAATGCCTACCATGGTGTCACATGTTCATATCTTGTCTATTAGGTATATTTGACCTCTCAATATTCAAATTAACAATGACTAAACTCTCACACAAAACATGATTACATGAATACACACACAAAAACACACAGACAGAGCAGTGAGGGAGACATAAGTAGACACTGAACCATCTCACCATGCTGGATTAAGCTCTGAGCTCGGGTGAATCTACCATGCAGCGCTGTCATATGAAGTGCTGTCCTTCCATCTTCACTCTGAAACACAGGTTAGGTATAACATGCACATATATGGATAGAAGTCATGCTCCCTTGTGGGTCACACTGACATAGAACAAGCAGCGCCACTCTGCTCCTTCAGTAAACTATCTATTAGAGCTACATACATTGTGGGTCACACTGACATAGAACAAGCAGCGCCACTCTGCTCCTTCAGTAAACTATCTATTAGAGCTACATACATTGTGGGTCACACTGACATAGAACAAGCAGCGCCACTCTGCTCCTTCAGTAAACAAACAGTGCAACAGTAAAAAGCATGCTCTCATAATGGGTTAGCAGGAACATCAAATTTTCTCTGTGCATTTCATGTCAAGGCATATCCAAATCATCAGGATTACTCACATACATATTATAATTACCAATTAGACAGCCTACTTAACATAAAGGAGTATTGGCATTAAGATCATTAAAGGTAGCTAGAAGATTTAAAGAGCAACATATAAAAAATGAAATGAAAATTGTTTTTTTAATGTAATTTTAAACTCAACTAAACAATGTATCAAGTTACAGGGATGTGACAGACATTTAGGAAATATTTACAGCTAATGTCTAATGACATTTAGGAAATGTTTACAGCCAATGTCTAAGGACATTTAGGAAATGTTTACAGCCAATGTCTAATGACATTTAGGAAATGTTTACAGCCAATGTCTAAGGACATTTAGGAAATGTTTACAGCCAATGTCTAAGGACATTTAGGAAATGTTTACAGCCAATATCTAAGGACATTTAGGAAATGTTTACAGCCAATGTCTAATGACATTTAAGAAACTAATTACAGCCAAAGTCTAAGCATTACTGTGTGTCTAACTTTAATAAACAGAAATTTCTAAAATTTATCTACATCCCTGACTAAACAGTTTTTGGAATAAATTTTTTTGTCCTACCAAATTTATAAAAAAAAAAGTGTACTTGTTGGACAGGAAGCCTGTTAACTGCAGTGTATGGTGTTCACTACTTCTCACCAGACCTATTAGATCTGTGTTAAGATACATGCATGGCTCAAACACTTCTCAACTCACTGACTACCAGTGAAGGATGTCAATCAAGAACACAATGACCCAATCATGTGCTTTATACATGAATCCAGGGTTCAAGTTTACCAAAGCCTACAAAAAAAAAAAGCCTATTTTGGAACTTTTGTTGGGTGGACTATGGGATCAATCAGAACAACAGAATTTTTTTTTCTTCCCCAAATAGTTGTGAGTTGATTATGTTGAATCACCAGCATCAACCAACTAGCAATTACACCAGACAGGCTCTAGATTGAAATCCCCAAAGGACAGAGGAAAGAAGGGAAACAAAAGTGGAAATGGTCAGCTGTAAGTGAAAGCAGCCGAAATGTTGTGAGCCCAACTTAGAGGAATCGCCCAAAACAGCATACGATGGACAGGTGTGGTTGCCTCCCTACACTTCACAAGGGGTTGACAGGAATGATGAGATGTTAAATCATTAAAAAAAACCACTTTATAATACCAAGCTTTAAATGTACCAACAAAAGTAAACATACTTTCTTTATCTTTAGCTATCATAATTATAAAGTAGGTTGCTAAAATGAATTGAAACTTTCCCAGAGCACCTAAAATATTTGCTTTCTTTCTTCCTTTTATAAGATTAGAATGATTAAAGCCTATATAGCCTTGTATCCTGGAAGTTGGTTTTCTTTAACCCTTTCCCCGGCAACATATTTGGTACCCTGTCCCCGGCAACTGGGTGGATCACACCCAAAGACTTTCTTATAGTAAATTCTTTTCTTTGTTCATTGTGGGGTGGGTAGCAATACTGACACAGTTGAGGTATTCAGGGCACAGAGGCCATGGGGAACACAAGACATGTTGTTGTCAATGGGAAAGCTGTAATATGATACTACAGGTTGATGGGATTCTCAAGCAAGAGTTAACCTGTGGGTGGACACTTGTAGTGATTTATACTCTTTGCTGGAGCTCTGACTTGCAGTTACAGACAGAACTGTAGTTTAGAGTTACAATAGGTTAATGAAATGCAGGGGTAAGATTGCCTGTGGGAGGACATATATAGTGATTTGTACTCTTTTAGGGAGCTCTGGAATGTAGATAGAGACATTCGAGCCTTTTAGAGTAACTTGACATAAACCTCGGGAGTACGAATGAGGACAAAAAGGCAAAAAAACTTTGTAATGCTGCTTGAAAGTTAATACTGGGCAATTAATTGATCAAACTGGGAGTGGGGTGGGTGTTCTACAGGTTGTGACCCTGAGAGTAAGGTTTATAAATAGTCACAAACGTTATTGAGAACACAACAGAAACAAGTCTTGAACGCTTTTGTCTAAACTCAAGTGCTAATGATAAAGGAATATATTTGCCAGTTTTAGTATAGCAGGTGAAAATGACCAACAAGTTTTGAGTCTGAACTATTAGTATCAGAGGTAGAAGATGAAGAATGGCAGCCATCAGTATCAAGCAGCTCTGATGACGAGGTCTACCCAATATACTGCATTTCAACTATCAATAATGTGTCAACAGTTGGCACTCATAATGAAATGAAACATCTGGTGCAAAGTGAAGAAAAAGAAATATTTTCAGGAAAGACAAAGTAACAGTACACTAGACCACTGCCTGAAGTGCTAATCCCAGGAAATTTATAAACAGCCTGACCCTAAATATTTCTTCTGTGCATGAATACAAAAAATAATACAACCAATATTTGACTTCATTAGCAGGGATGGAGAGAAAGCAAGAGGAGACACTGGCACTCTGCAGAATAACAATTTAGTTGTATGTTAATTCAGTTCTGCTTATGGAAGTTTTTGAAGGCAGAATTTTCTATGAAGAAATTCAGCAACCTTCTGGGTCATATTCACTTCACAACAATAACACTAACAGTCCATCAGGCTCATGGTATATATGCTTCCATTATGGTAGATATTCCATTCAAATTTAGAAAGGTGTTATGTTTCTGGAGAGATCATTACTAATTAGCAACTGGTTGATTTTAGAGGTGGGAGTAGATTTATCCAATACATACCAAGCAATTCCAATAAGTATGGAATTAAAATATTTTGGACCTGTGACTCACCACTAAAAGGGTGCCCATATTTTATAAAAAGAAAACTAAAGTTCCCTGCCAGCGAAAGGAAATGTCCAGTTATTTTAATTTTATCTAACAACTGTTCTATTATTTTATTACTAAAGTTGATTACTTCAATCCGGTTTGATATTTTTGTTACTCAAATACCTTCAGATTGTTAATTTATAGTTAAACTTTAAAAATGTAACACAATGACTTAACCCACAATGAGTAAAAACAAAATGTTAGAAGCCAGTTTATAAGTTATAAATATTTTTTCCATTCAAAATTGTGTACGGGTGTGTAGCACCCAGTTGCCAGGGACCGTATAAAAAAATTTCAAACCCTCATAAAAAAAAATTTTCCGCATATTTTTAAAATTTACAACCTCCAATGTGTTCACCCCAACCACCTTATAGATGGGAATGAGGCCCAGAAAAATTTATAAAACGAGACTCGAGATATGAGCAAAAATATAGCGACTTCGGGTCGATTACACCCAGTCGCCGGGGAAAGGGTTAAAAAGGTGCTCAATAAAACCTGTTCCTTTGTAATGTTATGCTCACCTCTCTGTACTGGTTGAACCACAGCTCACTAGATGTGCTGTCTTGCTATATTTCATCCTGTTTAAATACATGGCCAGCTAGAGAGGGGCTATGTCAGCTCTTGTTTTTTCAACACTACACAACTGATTTAATATAAAACAAATAGAAAAAAAACTAAATAATAAAAAAGCTTTAAAATGCACTGAAAATTAGAAAGTAAAGCAAACTAGCTTTCTTTAATACAAACATTAGTCACTCAGCTTAGTGACCAATGCATTAAGGCAAGCTTTTTCTTCCTTATCTTCAGAGCATTTAAAAGCTTATTATTATAAAGGTTTTTTTACGTTTTATTTGTACTTTTTAGTGATTATGAATTTTCAAATTAAAATAGTAGCCGGTATTCAAGTTTTTAAAACCATTTAGTACTTTCTTTTTTTTGCAAACTGTTTTTAATGAAGTCAACACCACAGATGGCTAAAAATATTTGCTTTAAAACATCAGTTGTGACCAACAGTTCAACTCTCAGATGAGAAACCAACCAGTTGTGACCAACAGTTCAACTCTCAGATGAGAAACCAACCAGTTGTGACCAACAGTTCAACTCTCAGATGAGAAATCAACCAGCTGTGACCAACAGTTCAACTCTCAGATGAGAAACCAACCAGCTGTGACCAACAGTTCAACTCTCAGATGAGAAACCAACCAGTTGTGACCAACAGTTCAACTCTCAGATGAGAAACCAACCAGCTGTGTCCAACAGTTCAACTCTCAGATGAGAAACCAACCAGCTGTGACCAACAGTTCAACTCTTAGATGAGAAACCAACCAGCCTTGACCAACAGTTCATCCCTGTCAGCTAGCTGATCAATCAACAGGGATGTGACCAGACCACCAAAAAAATAGGAAATTTGCGTTCAGACAAAAACTCAATATGTTTTATCTGTTTTTTATATCGCAGTTACATCAGTCTCACATCGTTATTGTACTAATTAATGGTTTAACAGCTGATGTTTAAAATAAAAGTTTATATTACTCTAAAATATCATTGAATTGCAATATTTACCTTTAAAAACCTTTAACTTTAAAAAAAAAAAAATTACAATGTAACAAAAGTGTCAATTAAGTTTTATTTTTAACACTAGTGTGCCCGTTCCCGCGGGGGTTAGAAGAAAGTCTGAGGAATATTTTAAGAGGGTTTCATCAATGTGTTACCAATCCTATATTCTTAGACATGTGATCTTGTTTTCTAAATGCCTGCGCTATATTTCTTGGATCTTATTTGTCAGGGCATGGGTTTACCTACCCCAGGGCGTGGTGCATGAAAGCCCCAGGGTATGGTGCATGAATGCCCCAGGGCGTGGTGCATGAATGCCCCAGGGCGTGGTGCATGAATGCCCCAGGGTATGGTGTATGAATGCCCCAGGGCGTGGTGCATGAAAGCCCCAGGGCGTGGTGCATGAAAGCCCCAGGGTATGGTGTATGAATGCCCCAGGGCGTGGTGCATGAAAGCCCCAGGGCGTGGTGCATGAAAGCCCCAGGGCGTGGTGCATGAAAGCCCCAGGGCGTGGTGCATGAAAGCCCCAGGGCGTGGTGCATGAATGCCTCAGGGCGTGGTGCATGAAAGCCCCAGGGCGTGGTGCATGAATGCCCCAGGGCGTGGTGCATGAATGCCCCAGGGCGTGGTGCATGAAAGCCCCAGGGCGTGGTGCATGAAAGCCCCAGGGCGTGGTGCATGAATGCCTCAGGGCGTGGTGCATGAAAGCCCCAGGGCGTGGTGTATGAATGCCCCAGGGCGTGGTGCATGAATGCCCCAGGGCGTGGTGCATGAAAGCCCCAGGGCGTGGTGCATGAATGCCCCAGGGCGTGGTGCATGAATGCCCCAGGGCGTGGTGCATGAAAGCCCCAGGGCGTGGTGCATGAATGCCCCAGGGCGTGGTGCATGAAAGCCCCAGGGCGTGGTGCATGAAAGCCCCAGGGCGTGGTGCATGAATGCCCCAGGGCGTGGTGCATGAATGCCCCAGGGCGTGGTGCATGAAAGCCCCAGGGCGTGGTGCATGAATGCCCCAGGGCGTGGTGCATGAAAGCCCCAGGGCGTGGTGCATGAATGCCCCAGGGTGTGGTGTATGAATGCCCCAGGGCGTGGTGCATGAATGCCCCAGGGTATGGTGTATGAATGCCCCAGGGTATGGTGTATGAATGCCCCAGGGCGTGGTGCATGAATGCCCCAGGGCGTGGTGCATGAAAGCCCCAGGGCGTGGTGCATGAAAGCCCCAGGGTATGGTGTATGAATGCCCCAGGGCGTGGTGCATGAAAGCCCCAGGGTATGGTGTATGAAAGCCCCAGGGTATGGTGTATGAATGCCCCAGGGCGTGGTGTATGAAAGCCCCAGGGCATGGTGTATGAAAGCCTTGAGTGTACGTTAATCCCTCTGTAATAGTGAGGTAGAACACACTTCATCAAACGTCCAGGTGTCAGGGGTGTCACGGGGCGCAAAAGTGCACCATGCAGTGTGAAATTTGAAAATTTTTTTCCAGCAGAAACCTTCACATGAGTATTCTCGACAACTTCCAAAAGTTTCACAACGGTCGGATGAAAGGTGTAGTAAAGCATAAAAGACAAATAAAGTCTGACGAAATATATTAGAAGTGTTTCATCAATGCTTTACCAATCCTATATTCTTAGACGCGTGTCTTAGACCTTGGTTTCTAAAACTGAGTTATGTAAGTGCAAACAATGCTTGCTTCATATTTATCACAGGTTTACCTATAATACCACCCAGCACGCCATGGACTAAAAAAATGTGTGCTCTGAAAAAAAATCAGAAATTTGCCAAAACTTATAATCTTGACCTACATTTAATCTTAATTGAGCACCGTCAGACCTAGCGCAATCATCCAATTGAAAAGAAATGCTCGTACTAGATTGTCTGTTTGACCTAAGTACTGTAATACTTGATTTAAATAGAAATATGTGGGATGCGAATGTGGACTGTTTCCGTAGGGGTCATTTATAAAAAATCGTCAAAAATTGAAAATTGGCAGAAATATTTAGAGAAAATAAAATCAGTGGAGGAAAATTGCAGCTGTTCATATATTTTAATTTATTTTTAATGATTAATACCCAAATATATTAAAAATAAGCTAGTCTTGTGTTATCTTTAGAGAGATATATCAAGATGTGCTACAAACTTAGCAAAAAAAAGTTAACTAAATAAAAGCTAATATAAATAATCTTCCTTTAATAAATAAGCATTTCATTTTCTAGTAATGTACTAATAATATGGCAGGTTAAAATTATTTTTAATACTATTTAATGATTGATTTGTGTCTTATTTTCAGCTTAATACACCCAGTGTCAAGATAAATAAAGAACTTTTAAGTGTATGAACAAGTGGCTAATTTACAAAAGTTAATACCACATCACTATCTGTACTTGATGTACAAATAACTAATACACAAAAGATGTGCCCAGGCCAATTTTATCCCATCAAAACAGAAAATGAAGTGACAATATATTTTTAGTGCATTTAAAGCTTGATTTTAAAGAGGTATTTTTATTTTTTGATACCTTTAAAGCGTTTATATATTGTAAAATTATAGTAACTCAGTATTTAAGTTTTATAAACAACTAGATCTAGTACTTACTACTATATAAATTTTTTCTTTAGTTGACACCCCTACTGATCAGTAGTTTGCAATACATTATGTTGCTAATTTTCTTTTCTAAAAGACATTATGTAGTATTATCACTAGAGTCTGTCACAGCATAAAGATTTGTAAAGAAGGTTTGTGAAGAGAGCAGCTCAGTGAATAGATTGCTACTACCTGGTCATCTCCCATTTTGGTGGTAAATATAGCAATCTTTTATTTACAATAATTGCCTGAAAAGTTTTAAAAGAAGTGGCTTTATTAAGTGTAGTTAATACAGGGTTACTAGATCTGCCCAAAAAACCAGACATTGTGACAAACAAAACTGGTCAAAAAGAAATAGTTCTGATAAATGCCTCACTAAAATGTAAGTATGCAGTAGAATATAGTGTAAACACCTATCTGAGATTGTTAGAGATGTCATTTTGTTAAATTCTCCCTAACTAAACATTTTTGTAAATCAAAAAAGAGTTTACATTAGCTAAAGCTGGACAGTGAAATGGAAGTTATGTATGAGTTTTTTTCCCATTCTGAAATGAAAATCAGGTAGCAGAAAACTGGAGGGGGAAAAACAGTTTCAAAGTTTAACTAAGAATTCCCACTGATACATTACACCAACCATGCTTGCTTGAATGGTTTAAAAGCAACCTCACCTAGTGAAGAGACTGGGCTCAGGAACACTAACTTAGCTTAAATATCAGCCTATAATTCTAAATCTGATGAATATTTGGAAGTGCACTATAATCTAAAAAATGTCACATCTCTGCAAGTTACTAAACATGATGCACAAAGTATTAGTGTTAGCATCTGTAGAGAAATCCATTTACCATTTAGATGACCAGCTTTCTTCCCATGGTGCCTAAGCTGTTGTGTAAATAAAATAGAAAATTCTCAAGCACAGACAATAAAGAGAAAAATATAAGCCAATGTTTGAGCAAGCAAGAAGCAGAGTGTAGGCGCTGCCAGCCTGTACACATGTCACTTTGATGTTGGTACAAGTCTTTGTTTCATTGAAAACAACCAGATTTGATCATGTTCAAGTCAGTCAATAAAACAAAGGTGGCTTTACTTGTATTCAAGTAAAACTATACAAATAGAAACATAGCTAGTTTTATCACATTCAAACATAACTATTCAGTTATTATTTTTGCTAGATGTACTCATATTAAATTTTAAAATATTTAATAAAAAGAATAGTTGGATGTACTCAAATTTAAGAAAAAGAATTAGTTAAGTATACATTTGGTTATAAAAATTGTAAACCTAAATCAGAACACTAATGTTTAAAATGATTGGTTAACTTCAGAGTAGTCTAAATCTATACAATTTATTCTAATGGATAGGTTCATTCCCACATACCTGAGCCTTTGTGTTGGCACCTTCTGCAACAAGAATCTCAAGGCATATACTTCCATGAGTTGATGCCGAGGCAAAGTGAAGTGGCGTCTACAAGAAAAAAGTGGCAAGTCTGAGAATCAAAGTGGTGTTAATGAGAAATACAAAGTGGTGTTAATGAGAAATAAGTGGCAAGTCTTAGAATCAAAGTGGTGTTAATGAGAAATAAGTGGCAAGTCTTAGAATCAAAGTGGTGTTAATGAGAAATAAGTGGTTAAGTCTTAAAATTAAAATAAAAAACTGGAGTTTGAGCATTGGAAAACTTTGGTGAAAACCCAAAGACTAACCATCCCCTTGTTATTGATAGCGTTGACTGAAGCTGAATATTCTAACAGTTTGCTGACCACTACATCTTGACCATTCAGACATGCTATGTGTAGGGGAGTGTTTCCATGTGTGTTAACAGCATCTGCCTCTACACCTAGCTCTAGAAGCAGTCTCACAACAGATATCTGACCACAGGAGGCGGCAGCATGAAGAGGTGTATACATCTGTAGATAAAGAAACACAAATATATTTTTATAGATTAGGCAGTAGACATTCATGCATATTTATAGATTAGGCAGTAGACATTCATACATATTTATAGATTAGGCAGTAGACATTCATGCATATTTATAGATTATTTAGCAGACATTCATACATATGTATAGATTAGGCAGTAGACATTCATGCATATTTATAGATTATTTAGCAGACATTCATACATATTTATAGATTAGGCAGTAGACATTCATACATATTTATAGATTAGGCAATGGACAGTCAAACATATTTATAGATTAGGCAGTAGACAGTCATACATATTTATAGATTAGGCAATGGACAGTCACACATATTTATAGATTAGGCAATGAACAGTCACACATATTTATAGATTATTCAGTAGACAGTCATACATATTTATAGATTAGGCAGCAACTAAAGACAGGGATGTGACCAGACATTGAAAATAAAATAAGCATCTTTTTCGGACCAGACTTTATACATTTTATGCAGCTATAATTTATTGGAGTTAAATACTTTCATACCATTACTGTAGTAATTAATAGCTTCATAATATAGTAATAACTTTTTTAAAAATAATTTCTGTATTCTATTGCAAATTACAATTTTCTCTTATAAAGTGAAATTACTTTACAACAGTGTAACTTAATTTTAACTGTAATTTGCACTCATTTTCAATTTAATGAAAATGTCTTGTTTTTAAAGATGGACAAGGTAACCCATGTCTATCTTTTGTAAATCTAAGGCTTCAACATTTAAACGTCTTAGTTCATGTGGTGAACAATGAGAGCAACCAGACTAGCTGAAATTAGATAGGGCCAACTAGATTTAGAATATATTTAGTTAGATGGGTTGATTTAAAAATAATACTTGGAAAAAAACACATTTGAGCAAAAAATAATCATTTTGATCATAGAAAAAACCAAATGCCATAGGTCGAAGCATCATAGTATGAACAGTTGGTGACGTCACTTGTATCCCACCCCCTCCAAAGCAAGCAGTATCAAACATCTAAACAGGGTCACAGTGAGTTCACATAAGCTTAGAAACCAGCGACCATTGCTACAAGGAAGGGGAGGAGGTAGTCTATTCCACATAATCACATTAATGCAAAGATTTCAAAAATAATTTCAGATTACAAAATTAAATGAAAAGTAGCGGGACACTGTAGAGGCGGTAGCTAATAATTTAAAAAACAAAATGTGAATAACATTTTTTAAATACCGGTAGATAAACTTTACCTAAAATACCATGCAGGCGAGTTAAGCTGTAAATAAACCGACCGCAGGAGATCTACTTTTTCTAATAATTTGGAATACTTTTTTCCAAATTTTTTTTGTCATAACAATAAATAATTGAAAATTATCTACAAAATTAGAACTGAAAATTCTAATTAGGAAAAATTTGGAAATCTGCAGAAATTTGGAAAAATCACATCCCTGCCAATGAATCTTGACCTAGATTTAATCTTTATCTAGTAACATCATCCAATTGAAAGAAATGTGTGTATTTGATCAACGTTTGAATGGAGTAACCACAAGCATAATACGGTACTTGATTTGAATACGATTGTGTGGAATGCGAATGTCTGCTGTTCTCCAAGGTCTTTTTTCCCCAAATTTTTTAAACTTCGTTAAAATCAGCAAATTTTTTTTTTAAATCTGCAGAGAAATGAGGAGTAAATGAAATAAGGAGGAAAAATTAGGAGAAAATGTAATTAGCAGAGGAAAACTACAACTCAGAAAAATCAGATTTCCACAAAATATTGAAAAGGTCACACCCCTGAAAAGATGTACATACCAACCAGTCATACAATTACCATTTTATCTCTGCAGTTAAGCTCTGCACCTTGGTCTACAAGCAACTTGACAACTTCAACATGACCCATATACGCTGCCCAATGAATTGCTCTTCTATCTTTTTTATCATACGCATTAATAGTAGCTCCTTTTTCAATAAGAAGTTGAACCATCTAAGTGTGAAAGAATTAAAGGAATTATGACAAAAAACAGTAAAATTTCTTAAAGACAAATAATGTATAAAAATTTTCAACAAATTAACAAGGTTACAAACTTTTTTACCTCCTTATGGCCATTAAATGCTGCATGGTGCAAGCTCGTGCGCCCAGCTCTGTCTGAAACATTTACATTGGTCAACAGGGGAATGATAGACTCGGCACATTTGACAGCGTTGTTGGCTGCAGCAACATGTAATGGTGTTTGCCAGTTTTTATCTCTGGCATTCACATCAGCCTCTTGACGCAGTAAGATTTCAACTGTTTCCTAAACATTCCAGTAGCACAGCTTCAACATTTTATAACACTTAACCTTTCTCCTATTAATTATAAAATCACTTCCAAAAGTTTCCACTGATGTTAGTTAGCTAATAAAATATTGCAACAATAATTGTGCTACGGGTAAAAAAAATGTTGAAGGACAATGGTGTTTGTTATCAAGAAAAACTTACATAACTTTTAGAACAACAGGCCCTATGTAATGGTGTCAACCATTTATTATCTTTTGTGTTCACTCTGGCTCCACTAAGAATTAACAAATCTGCTATTTCTGCTTCTCCACAGTAAGCTGCAGCATGAAGTGGACTTCGTTTTTCTGCATCCTAAATTAGATTGAGTTGCCAAGGTAACAATGAGCTTTTAAAATGACAAAAAACAAGTGTAAGATAAACCATTCATTTTTAATGGTGAAAATGCATATAACTGATCATTTATTTCGTCACCTTACACTAAATATATTTGACATTTTAAGAGACAAATATTTTTCATAGAATATTATGAATGGTATCTCAGTGTATTGCAAGGGTACAAGAGTATGTGCGTTGTAGAATGTGTTTATAATAATAAAAGATTGTGACTGTGGCGAGGTCAGTAAGGATGTGATGTTTGAGATTAGGATCTTGTTGCTGGGGAAGTAAGTAAAGCTGTCAAACATCTTTAGCCCACTTTGGTTCTCATTACAATATCACCACAAAGACTTTATCATGTGTAACTGATGTGTTTGGTATGATAACAATTGACTCTTTTTTGCTTTAACAAAGCTTAACCATTATGTTTTTGCAAAACTGTTAAAATCAAGGTTTTGCACATTAACATTATGTGTAAAATGTAAAACCTCACTGTTTTTGGAGCAAAGTATGAATCACCATTTTAAGTTACGGTAACCCTTGTATCATATTTGATCTAACATGTTCTCTAATAATCAAATGTATCATTTATGCAACAAAGGATCCATCAACACTTTTGTAACAAAAAACAAACAAACAAGTTATACAGTTACACATGTTCTAATCTATCTAATGACCTATAACCTATTACGTTTTCATTGATTTCTAATAACTGCAACATGAGGCCTGATCTAAAGGGTTAAGAGTTATCTAGTTATGTATTCCAATCAGATATGAGATTATTTATGCTTTTCATGTCAGTACCAATTATAAAACAAAACGTGATCAACTCAACAGTGTGAGGTAAAAGAACATTCATCAACAGTGTCAGGTAAAGAAACAGTTACAACAGCGAAATCTCTAGAAAGTATGCTAAACAGAGTCAAGAAAACATTTATCACAGTGTCAGGTAAAGAAACATTTACAACAGCGAAATCTCTAGAAAGTATGCTGAACAGAGTCAAGAAAAGAAACATTTATCACAGTGTCAGGTAAAGAAATATTTATCAACATTGTCAGATTAAGAAACAGTTAACAGTGTCATGTAAATGATTTTTAATAAAAACAATTTTTATGGAACCTCGTAACTGTCATTTAAATAACTTTTAAGCCTAAATAATATAGGATTTTAGTTTGCTAATAGCAAGGCTATAGAATAGCTAAACTTTCAATAACCATTCCTCACTGCCATCACCAACAACATTTATAGCATTTAAAAGTAAAGTGTCCTCAAACGAAAAATTTACAGATGGCTTGTTATTAAATTACTGAATAACAAACCTGATAATTCACATCCTCCCTTTTGTATAGTAGCGCCCTAACTTCATCAGGGTCTCCATGGAAACAGGCTTGAACTAGTGGTGGCTACAAGAAGGTATAAAATATTTTCTTAAAAGAAATTTTCAATTGTTTAAGTAAATAAGTTACACTATTAGTGAGAAATAATTCTCTTATCAGCATGTCTGTAGGTGCAGCAACAGAAATAGCTTTCTCATCAGCATGTCTGTAGGTGCACCAACAAAAACACCTTTCTCTTATCACACACAATCTGTCAGGATAAACAAAGTATGCTAATGCTATTGTATGGTTTTCTTAATTTCCCTCCCAACATTAAGATATCCAGACAGTATAAATAGTTAGACAATATATATTTCATTAGCAATGCAGGAAAATAATGAATAGCTAAAACGGTCATTTTTGAGTGATGTAGGCCTTCTTGGTAAAATTAATAATGTGATCAAACACACAAAGCATGCTGTGTTGTCAGTAAATTTAACATTTAATACATTTAAGATTTCTCAATTATTTAAAAAGATTTTTCAATAAAACAGCACAGAAGCATATTAAAATATCTTAGAAATGAATTTAGATAGCTAAAATTTATCACAATCAATAAACAAAACAAAACAAAAATAGAGTCCTTGCAAACACGTGACCTAAATCACGTGATACCTACGCCCGCCGCCACAGTGGTGTACATCAGACGTAAACACAATCAGCTGTTCGCCAGCGCTGGACGTGTTCACCAGCGCTGGACGTGTTCACCGCATGTAAAGAATCGCGACCGCGGAAAAGGAAAAATACGTTAAAAAACTTGAACTCTTAGGAATTGAAGATCCTTATACAGTTATTGACAGTTTCGTGGATAATATAAATATGTGGCCGAAATTTCTAAATAAAAATACTCTTAGTAATACCGTTTGCGTTTAGAGTTTAAGTAGACGAATCTGATCAAATGCAGTAATATATTAGAGGTTATCTACTGTAGCAAACGTGAGACCACTTAACTCCTACAAAACCCACACTACAACGGCTAATATAATCCATGGAATAACCAATCTGGGTAGCATGTTATACAATTTAAGACCCTTATAATCCAGCAGGGAAGTGATCAGACACATTAATACTGACGTTCAACCCTCACGATGGCTGCCCCCACCTGTATCTAGCCCACAATAAAACCAAAGAGGAGTCTGCCCTGCCCTCCCCTGAAAATGTCTCACCTCCGTGATACCCAGCCCCACAGAGATAGTATTTCTTATATAATTTTGACCCTCAGGGCCCAGCAGGGAGAACAAAAGGGAAAGTCCCACTGCTCTCCCCTCAACGCTTCTCACCTCGGTGTCATGTTATGTCATTTATAGCACACACGGCTTATCAGGGGAAAGCATTAAGGCATTAAGAATCTTAACTCTGGACAGCTACACACTAGTATACTAGCTACACACTAGGTGCCTACTGTAAACTACTAGACTGTAGGCCCTATGTAGACCTGCAATTGTATCAATTGTAGACTGGGTCCATTGTTATTATTCTAAACCATCTCACTTATAATGTTTCTAGCTTGATTTGTTTCTTTTATAAACAGTGGATTTAAAAAAAAATTAGCCTAATCATTAACCAAATAATAATAATGTGGTTATTTGTTGTTGGCTGGTATGATCTAGATTGTACTACTAGGCTACAAAAACTTAGTAGACCAATTACTAGATATGAATTTGAATTTAATTAAACTCAGTCCAGTATCAGATACATATTGCTGTAAAAAGACAACAAAGTAGTTAGGCCTTAGTAATTTATTAAAGCCTTCTACTACAATAATATCAACTACATGCTTGTATAAAGTTTTTACAATTTAATTTAAGTAGCAGATTCTAGATCTAAGTCTAGTCATATAATCTATTTCAATTTCAGAAAATTTCGTTTGCTAAAAAAATGATTAGATAATACTAATAGAGCGAGATTTTAGATCTTAGAGACAATTAAATGCTTTATTAGGCCTATTATGACTACTTTTGATTTATTATGGGTGTATTTTGAATCGAATGTAGATCTAAAGTAATTAAATTTAAGTAAAGAAGTAGATTCTAGATTCTATGTCTACCCAGCGGAGCCAGGTATTAGGCCTACTATTAGATCTTATTATTCTTATTAGCCTATTACTTTTGACTTTGTCTTTTACTATATATTAGTATTTGTGAAGGTCGAGCATATTTGTTTTATTAATTATTAATAGTTATCTTTTATAATTAAAATGAAGTTTATTATTTTACTGTCCTTACCTGAAACAAAGTATCGAGAACTGCATTTGATCAGATTCGGCTACTTTAACTCTAAACGCAAACAGTATTACTAACAGTATTTTTATTTAGAAATTTTGTCCACATATTTATTTATACGAAACTGTCAATAACAGTATAAGGATCTTCAATTCCTAAGAGTTCAAGTTTTTTAACGTATTTTTCCTTTTCCGCGGGTGCGGTTCTTTACATACAGTGAACGCGTCCAGCGTTGGTGAACATGTCCAGCGCTGGCGAACAGCTGATTGTGTTTACGTCTGATGTACACCACTGTGGCGGCGGGCGTAGGTATCACGAACGGACGTGACGTCATATGAAAGGACTCTATTAATGTATAGTATTGTATAGGCCTAGGGGTGTAGGATAGTGGTAGTAAAAAAATTAAAATTAAAATCTTTTTATATTTACTTAGGGTAAGTATACCATGTTACAAAAACTGCAATCTTAACTTATAATTCATATTTTTACTTTAAAAAAATTATAAAAACTATCATCAATTAGGGAAACGCTATACATTCTATTTTTACATATGACGCGACATGACTAATAAATCTAATCAAATTATTGGATTTTGGTGCGGCACACATTTTGCCATGATTTGTTTTCGACAAAAAGATTATACTAAAACTAAAATGGCATTATGCATGATTATGGGGGGGGGGGGATATATGTGCGTGTGATATAACTGACATCGTACCACAAGTACGAACTGAGCATTGGCGAAACTTTGTGAATAATACACCTGTCCTAAGTCCAGTGAGAGAGGAGGGTTAGATTCATTTTACAATGACATCACTAGAATTTTATAAATTGCCCTGATTAAGCATCGCTAAAACACTTACACTAGTTAATAAAACATGCATGGGATAGAAAATCTTTAAAAAGTTTAGATCTATTCTATAGGCCTATTCTTAAACATATTTTATTGACGCATATTTGTCATCAAATGCATTAATCTGGGTTTAGTTTTCCTTTTTAAACATCCTTCCTTTAAAAAAAGGAAATCAAATATTTAAAAAAACATAGATCTAGATCTAATTCCATCTTATGATTTTTATTCTGACGAAGACAGTGTCCATAAGAATAGAAATGTGGTAATAAAATCAAATGTACTGTGCATATTCTGCTAAAATCAAATCAGCTGCAAGGTCAACCCTTCAGAGTTCTTCTCTTCAGATAGGCATATGGTTGTCACGGATTTTTTGGCTTGCAATGCTGGGAGTGGCCAATTAATAAAAATCAGTAATTAAGCTCCAAATGAGTTTATTATCAACAAATTAAGTATTTGATTGATTAGAGATTGATCTCTAGTTTTCATTGGTAATGTTTAAATCGAAAAATAACGAAATTTAAAATTAGTGAGTATCGCTAAATAAAACGTGTTTTTCTAATGTTTTGGTGTGTTTCGGTTTTTATAATAAAATACGCTCAACTGGAGGTGAACGACAAGCGGAGAATAAAATACGCTAAAATGGAGTTTTACCTAGATTACCTATTCGAGAAAGTTTAGAGGGGAGATCACTCCCGGTTTATTTTATAAAAAAATAATTTTGAGATTTTCATCAAAATGCCTACTGTACTATTAGTATGTAATGCATTGAAGGTTCCCCCCCCCCCCCCCATCCTAGATCCAGATTCTTTCTAGATCTAGAAAGATCTAGACTCTATAAACTTAAAACTAAAGAGTAAGAGAATGAGAATGAGTGAGTAAGTTAACTCTAGGGACTTGGATGACGTAGATTTTGAGGCACTAAAAACGAGAGTTTTCTGCCCATACCGAGTTTCATCAATTTAGCCGTGCGGTCGCGGGTGATGATCGAATTTTTTTTTTATTATAAAGATAATTTGATGACTGATTCTGAAAAACAAATGGATTTTGTATGTTTTTTTTTTTATGTATTATTTTTGTTTTGAGATTTTGTTGAAGGTGAAAATGGATATTTGGAGCCAAACTTTTGGTAAGTAAAACTCTTTGTACCATAAAAACTTACAACGAAGGCCAATAAAAAGCCCTCCGACCATAATCACCATTTTTCTATATGTGTGAACATTTTCATAATGTTAATCGATAGCAAGGTATTTTTTTATAAATAGTTTAGAAAGTATAGGCTTAAGCCATTTTACGGCTACCGGGAAAGACAGAGGTTAAAACCGGAAGTGTACTTGTGTTGTTAATGACGCAATTGCTCTCAATTGAATTGATTTGTAAATCCAGCAACATCCACACGAATCTGACTTTAAAATCATTTTAAATTACAGAATTATATTTTATATTGATAAAACTTTGACTTTTTGATGACTTTTTGCGCATATTTTCTATTTAGATTCATTTTTTTTTGTAATTTTGAGTTAGGTCTAAAAATAGATTTCTGCCAAATTTTTCAAGTTGAATTATTGTTTCATTTTAATTGTATGGCCTAGATATAGATCTATATTGTTAACTTGAATGAGTTCTGTATTTTATATTACCTATATATGTGTACTTTCCACATTTTTCTTAAATTTTAAAGCTTGATATAGATCTAGAATCTAATATAAAATTCCATTAGCCTATCATTTGGTCTATAAAATATGTATGAATAGGGTAATTCTATATTTAACATTTGGCCTTCTGATTGCTTTTCAAGCGAATTTTTATTACCAATATTACTAATATTCAAACATTTTAGTAGTCCTATATTTTCTTTATAGCTCTAGGACTTTGTTCGTTTTAGTTTTATTACTACAATTCTTGTACAATGTTCTGTCTTCATCTGTATTTGAAGTACACGATACTACTGTATTTTTGCTGTAGTATGCATCTCAGTTGCTTTTTACTAGTCTTAGCCCTGAATAAAATAGAATCACAGGGAACAGTCTTGAAAGTAGATAGGGAATCTAAACATGTGAATCAACTCCTAAGCAACTACAGTGAGGAGAAATACTGAAGAAACGAAATGCCCCAGTCTCACCCCTCATTTTCATCATAAAATTTAGAATCAAATTTAATCAGTGTGTACATATTGAAGTAGCCTAAATAATAATATCTGAATTTTTACTAACTTTCAGGCTTAAAAGCCTAGTAATTCAAAATCAGCTCAACACTGTAGCTCATTCTTACTAGAAAATAGTTGCGCACAATAAAATACTTTTCAATTTTGAATAACACTGTACAAAAACCATATAAGATGGATGAAATATCTTGACCTTCTGTGAATGGGTACAATGTTGGCAACATTTAGGACAATTTTCAGTAAGATATTCCATGTGGTAAAAATGATGGAAACAACATTTAGGACAATTTTCAGTAAGATATTTAATATATTAAAAATTTGGCAACAGATTGTGTGTTGCCTATCAAAGACGCTTATTCAAAAATTTTAGGGGGGGTGTCCCTCTTTGTTAACATTATTTTTTATGATCTTTCTCATCCACTTCAATTATTTTTATCTTACTCTTTTACTGATATCATAAGCTTGATCTTAGTGAATTTTCATTAAAAAATACCTGCTATTTAAAAAGTTACAGAGATTTTAATTCGCATTCAAAAAAGTAGGGAAGCAAAAACTTGAGAAAACCCCATAGTAAATAAACCGGGAGTGATCTCCCCTAAACTTTCTCGAATATTCTAATATAACACTATGTGGGATGTCAACTCGGAATATAGACATGATTTTTGTTTACTTTAACTTTTAAAAATAGAATAAAATCTAGTAGAAAACAAAATTGCGCACCGAGCGAGCACCAAAACCAAATGTGCGTAATAGTGCGCAATATTATTAGTACTTTATAAATTCACATGCGTTTTTTGAGAAATCGGAAATAGCGTAAATTAGTACTTCCGGTCAACGGAAATTACTCAAAATTTGATAGAAGGTAGAGAATTAGATCTTTTACTTACATATCAAATTTCATTTATCTATCTGAAATAGTACTCAAGTTATAGGCTTTTGAAAAATTCAAAGTAGAAAAAGTACCACTTCCGGTTATCGGAAATCGCTCAAAAGTTGATACGGATCTACGATTTTGATAAAATACTTATAGAGTAAAGTTCCGCGTGTGGTCACACATAGCGAAAAATTCCTAACTCCCGATTTTCATCGGGCGCTATTTTGTAACAGTTTCACACAGAAACAAACCGAAAGTACTTTATTACTCCACTGCCATTCTACTCTAATATGCATGGGTTATTTTGTATTCATACGCATAGTATTTGAGATATTCATGTTTTAGTAACGAACCTCCTTGTGATCTACTTTTCCCCCCTTTTTTTTTGCCTGTGGTCACCTGTCCCTGCTTGTGATCACTAGCGTATTTTTTACGTTTTGATCCAATTTTAATAATTGAAATAAACATTTTACTCATTTAAACGTGTTGATGATTGTATAATTAATAGATTTGCAAAACCAAATAATAACACGTTAATTAAATTTATTAACTACAAATTATGGATGACCCAGTGATGACTCAAGGGACGCAACTATTATAATCATAACAAAGGGACGTAACAATCACTAACAAGACAAAACGTAACATTTGCTTCGATTGGATTGTATGTAGAGACACAAACTAGATTTAGAAGAAGTAGATGATTAAAATAATTTAAAACAACAGAAAAAAATAGAAATTATATAGGTTCTAGACTTAGCTTGAAATATAGAGCATCTAGATCTAGGCTAGTCTAGCTCAAGTCATTGGTGACCACAGCGAGGGTAAAACACAAAAATCGTTACCCCAGCTGTGATCACCCCCATTTCACCACTAAGATTCTTTTAATAGCCTTAACTACAGTATTTTCAGTGTCCCGCACACAAATAGAAGCTATTTATAGTTAACCTAGTTATAAAAAGCTTTGATTGGTTGGTTTTATTCATCTCATCCGGGACCTAGTGCTTTTCATACGGGGGAACTAGAATCGCCTACGACGTCATACCTCGAAACTTGAAAATTTAAAAACTCATCTTTCAGAAGGAGGGAAACAAAAGAATTTGACCTGGATATATTTAGAAATGGACATGTTTACAGCAGATATTGGTAGTTTCGTATAAAACATCCAAACAAATATTATACGAAGCCATAAACAGGAATGTGACTACACCGTGGTTTTGACCACACGCGGAACTTTACTCTATATTACTATATGAAATTTCATCAACCTAGCTGTAACGGTACTCAAGTTATCATGTTTACACACGGACACACACACACACACACAGACATACGGACAAGATTGCAAAATTGTCATTGAGTTGTAAAACGTCGAGATTTGTAAAAATCTCGATTTTTTTTTTTTTGCACGATTACAAGACTTTCTCTATAGGCCTACTTCGTATAATCGAGAAAGTAAAAAACCCGGGTAATCTATCGTTTTGGGTACGTAAAATCGCCCGCGGCTAGTAATGTACGAAAAAGTTACCTCATTGTCAAGGCTTTAATAGAAGTATATTTTGATATATTTGTGTCAAATATTATAGATAAATGAATAAATAACCTAAATCAATAGCTAAATATATCAATATAGAGTAAAGTTCCACGCGCGGTCACACATAGCGAAAAATTCCAAATTCCCGATTTTCATCGGGCGCTATTTTATAACCGTTTCACACAGAAACAAACCGAAAGCACTGTATTACTCCGCTGCCATTCTACTGTAATATGTATGAGTCATTTTGTATTCCTACGCATAGTATTTAAGATATTCATGTTTTAGTGACGTCCCTCCTTGCGATATTTTTTTTCCCTTTTTTTTTTGCCTGCGTACGCAAGAACCTGCTTGCCAACGAGCGTATTGTATACGTTTTGATCCAATTTTAATAATTGAAATAAATATTTTACACACTTAAACGTGTTGTTGATTGTATTATTAATTAATAGATTGCAAAAATAATAATTAAAAACATGTTAATTAAATTAATTAAAGACATTAAAAGTTGACCCAGTGATGACTCAAGGGACGCAACTATAATAATCATAACAAAGGGACGTAACAACCACTAAAAGACATAACGTAACATTTGCTTAGATATGCTTGTATGTAGAGACACAAACTAGATTTAGAAGAAGTAGATGATCGAAATAATTTAAAACAGCAGAAAAAAATAGAAAGTATACAGATTCTAGGCTTAGTTTGAAATATAGAGCATCTAGAACTAGGCTAGTCTAGCTCAAGTCGTTGGTTACGCAGCGATGTGAAACCACCGTAATCGACACCCAAGCTGCGGCCACCCCTATTTACCTATCAGGTTGCTTTATTAGCCTTATCTATCGTATGTACAGTGTCCCGCATATATTGTAGAAGCTATTTATAGTTAAACTAGTTATAAAAAGCTTTGATTGGTTGGTTTTATTCATCTCATCCGGGACCTAGTGTTTTTCATAGGGGGAACTAGAACCGCCTACGACGTCATACCTCGAAACTTTAAAATTTAAAAACTCGACTTCCAGAAGGAGAAAAACAAAAGAATTTGACCTGGATATATTTAGAAATGGACAGGTTTACAGCAGATATCGGTAGTTTCGTATAAAACATCAAAACAAATATTGTACGAAGCGATAAACAGGCGATGATCGCACCGGTGTTTTAACCGCGCGTGGAACTTTACTCTAGGCAAGAAATTAACTTTTAACAGCAGTGTTTGCGAGCAGGATTTCCTATATAAACAGCAGCCATTTGTAAAATAGAGTTGCCTTCCCCTGATCTCGCGCTATAAGGTAACAAAGAAAGAACTTAAACAAGATGGCTGCTATAGTAAATGAGCATGGTTGCATCTGTTGGAAACATCGCTAGTATTCATTTATTATTGAAAAGTTTTAATTCAATTGTTTGAAAACACGTACATAAATTTATTAAATTAAATGAAACAAGGAAACATTTTTGTATTTTTCAAAACACAAATCCTCCTCAAAATGTGAAATAATTATTAAAATTTAAGGAGTCACCTGTTTTTCACATTACTAGTCGCGGGCGATTTTACGTACCCAAAACGATAGATTACCAAAACCCGAAAATTAAATACGTTAAAAATTCATAACTTCGTAACCGTTTGAGCTAAAATTAAAATAAAAGTATCTTTGTTCTTGTCTGAATGAGCTCTATAAACTGGTGCTACTATATTTTTTATTTTTTTAAAATTGAAATTTCATCCAAGTCCCTAGTTAACTCAACTGAGGTCTTCTGTCGTCTGACTTTGTTGTTTGAACAAACCTCATCTTCAAGTTCCAGTACTGCAAGTGAACCAATCCGCATGTTTCAACAAGCAAAATTGTTTGAATTTTAATGTTCATTTAAACGTATATTCCGTTGTTAAAATGTAGAATCTAGATCTAGATCTAGAAGTCAAGAAAAAAGAAGTTAGAACTTTTTGACTTAATCCGCCATGTTAGAATGTTTCTACATCTAGATCCAGATTCTAGTTTTTGGTTGGGTCGGATTGTCATGTGACCAAAATGAATTGTCTTGCGTTATGTCTCGGCCTAGGCTTGATTTCTTTTAACTAATTCTAGATCAGAGTTTCCTCCAGGCATGTCTAACCCCCCCCCTACCCGAACGAAATGGAAATTATATAGGAAATATATACTTATACCAGTGTCAGCCACCCGGAAAATTTAATTTCCTCCCCCCCCCCCCCGAAAATGTCGAGTGCCGCCCCCCCCCCCCCCCGGAGAAAAAAGTCTGGAAGAAACACTGTTCTAGACGTAGATCTAGATCAGGGGTTCCCAACCTTTTTTTACTCTAGAGCACATACTTATAGTCATAATGTATTAATAAATAATAAACATAAATGTTTCAAAATAATAAAATTATTTGGCATTTTTTTTTCAAATATATTACAGCAAACACACAGAGAAATGTATTTACAACATGTAAATAGTGCAGTCTGGCTCGCCGCTAGACAAGTTGGGACACGTATCGAACATATTTAATAAACCTAGGCAGTCAAAAAAAATTAAAACTGTAACAAATAAATAAAAATAAATCATATTTTTATTTATTTTTATATATGTGTGTGTGTGTGTGTGTGTGTGTGTGTGTATAGCCTATAGGGGGCCCAGAATTTTTTTTTGCGGGGTGGTCCTTTTTTTCTAGTTCCGCCACTGGTGTGACGTAAGGGTCGTAAGGCGCGAGTTGCTCCTTGGCGGCAATACACGACGAAGGCATTGGCCGATAGCTTAACTAGCTTAAAACTAATTCAAGTGTAATTAGGGGTCGTCAATAAGTGACGTCACACTCGTAGGGGGGGGGGGGTCCGTAATTTTGTGACGATGTGTGATGAGGGGGAGGGGAGGGGGTTCAGATGGTGCGACGTCACATTTTTTGCAGTTAAAACACGAATTTTAGACGTTAATTTGCGTTTTAGAAAACGGTTTTAATAAATTGTAATAGGAATTGATTAAAATACTCTATTTTGACAGGGTTCAGACAAGATTTTGAGGGGGGGTGTTGTAGGCTGAGGTGTGACGTCATTTTAGGGGGGGGGTCTGGCTTCTTGTGACGATGTGTGACGGAGGGGAGGTAAAAATCGTCCAAAAAAAGCGTGACGTCATTTATGGGTGAGCGCTTATTACTATAAGCCAAAAGACCAAATCAAAGTATAACTAATAACCTGATCGTGCTTCAGGACTTTGCATATCTTGTCATGGATAATACATATGCGACGAGCGATCAGAGTTTCTTCCAGGGGGGGGGGGGGACGAAATGGGAATTTATAATGAAAATACATACATTTAACAGTGTCCGCCCCCCCCCCCCACGAAGAAAGTCTACCGTCCGCCCCCCCCCCCCCCCAAATTTCAAGTGCCACCCCCCCTCCCCCCGGAGAAAAGTCTGGAACAAACACTGGGAGCGATTGCTTCGAAAGGTTGAATGGTTAGGTCAGATGAAAACTCAGCTAGTCTAGATTCAATTTTTATTTTTAAGTGATAAAACCCGTGTTCCCCATATAGCCCGATAATATTGATTTAACACCATGCCGAGTGCGCGAACACTTTGTCTGCAAAGTATAGGATATTTGAATTTCGTTATAGCCTAATACATAAAACATGATATCTTTTTTCGCTTTTTTGTTGTTGTTATTTGTTGCTGCACAGCAAGAAGGTTGAACTAGTGTGTAAGATAGCGATTCTAAACTTTTCGTAGCGCTAGCGGCGGGCAATCATTTTCTGTTGGGGTATAGCATAAGACTGCTGAGCATAAGTACAGATCCTTCATGGCAGACGACATGCATTGATTAATTTATTGGGTGGCAGGGACTGCGTGATAGACAAAAGGGGTTGATAAATGCGCGTCTTGAGATAATTTCAGTCAGTATTTTGGACAGATAATCTGCACATCTGTGTCACGGCACAGACTTAGGTTGAATAAAAGAAGGGTCAGGGAGCTTTACTTTATTCGATCTAGCTTTTCAGGATCATTTAGCGTATTGTTTGGCTACAACAGATTTATTGTTAAAGAAAACGAAGTCAGTCTACAGACAAAACCTTTTAAGAAAATGGTCGAAAATGTAAGTGATAACTCCAGATAATGTTCTGTCTATGGGTTGTGTGAAATATCACTATTGTTTGTTGTCAACAGGTTCCTTAAGTATAATGTTGAAATACTATTAACAGTATTCTATTTTTATATAGAGTCTATATTCTCTACAGCATTACCTAAAATACAACAGGCTAATAGATTTAGATCTAGATCTACGTGTTAATTACTTTACATATAACTTTTTGAAACTTGTTCATGTAAATAGAAAAATGATTACGAAACTAGATTCTAACTATTCTTGTCTGCAAATGTTTTTATTTATTATTACCTGGCCAATTCTAAAAATGTGTTACCCAATTTTGTTGTACGTTCATGTAGTTTAAAACATAATAAAACTAAGCTTAATTTAACTAAAATTTTAATTTATTCATCTCTTAAAAAATATACACTAGAGTGCTAAGGACTATCAGTTATTGTCAGCTATGGCAGTAACAACAAGTGAGGGTGTAACTCCTTGGTCAAACGACAAAGATGACTACGAACTCATGGGAGTCATAGGTAAAAATAAAATGTTTTAAAACTTTACTATACTATTTATTTATTATAATAGGCCCTACTATAAATTTATAAAAGTATAAAACTGTAGGCCTACTAGAATCTATAGCCTACTAACTAACTAATAACTATATCACACTATAGTGTATAGTATAGAGTATAGACAAGTAGGTAATCCCTTAGTTTAGCGTCGGAAATTATCCGGTAATGTTTGTTGAGTTTCGGTAACTAGAGTTACGGTAAACCATGGTTTATTTGACCATTGAAATATAAATAAATTGAAAGTCGATTGTAGTAAATTAATGTTTTAATTTTTTAAGTTTAATCGACTAAAGTCTAAAGGAAACAATAATAAATATAATAGTAGATTTAAATTAGTAGATCTAAAAATAAAAAAAAAAACATATATTAATATAAATAATGAAGTCAAATGTAATAATTTAATGTTTTTGGCTTGCAGCGGATTTGCGACCATTAATTAATTAGATCTAGATCTAGAATCTAGCTAGATATCTAGCTGCTAGACCAAGTAAAAAAATCTAGATTACGAAAATAGTAAAAATGATTACAAAATGTAAAAATGATTACAAAAATAAATCTATCCAAAATTTAAACATTCTGTATAAAAATAAAAGATGACGCCAAATAAAGTATGGTTTACAGTACTTCCGGTGAATTCCGGAAGTGTGTGACAGACTTTGGCATTGTTTTACTGTTTTTTACTGCTATACGATTCCGGAATAATAACCGACGCTAAACTAAGGGATTACCGACAAGTATACTTGTATAGGCCTACTTAATACTTATAGTTAATTTATAATTATAGATCTAGAAATCTAGATCTAGTACTAATTTTAAAAAATTTAGTTACTATTGTATATAGTAGGTACTAGGATTACGCTCGCGCCGCGGCGTCCGAGGCGTCATTTTTCTCCCGTTACCAGGCTGTTGCGTTTTCGGCGATGGCGCGAGTGACGATGTTCGAAAATTTGCTTAATTCGCCGCTTCCGTGTGATCATTTTTCTTGTGATGATTGTTTTAAGGAGAAAAATGGATATCAAGCTTGTTTGGTTTTTTTTTGTTTTTTCTTCTGGACCCAAAAAAGAGGAGTTATTCTTTGAAAATAAGGTAAGTTTATTTTATTCATTACAAAAAAACTATTGAAGACACGCGCACTTTATGTCGAGAATCAAACAAAGGGACCATTTCTACGTATTATCTTTATTAATTTAGAGTTCTAAGTTGCTCCCATTGTTAATGGTTCACTCCCTAAAAAGGTATGTACTTCGCCATTTCTGATGGTTACGGCTCAAAACGAAAGGAAAGCCGGAAGTACCGTGAGAGGCCTAGCCCGATCACGCTAACAACACTACCGACTTATTAAATATGACTTTCAATTTACACTGTATTCAGTTATTTTTTTTATTATTTAGTATAGACTTTGTTTAATTAATATCACTATATCGTTTGAATTGACAGTTCTAGAAAATAATAGCACATTTCCCATTGACTCTTTATTTAGGCCTATATATTTTATTATCTGAAATGCTGTCATATACGCATACATTTAGCGGTCGGTTTTAAGGTTGAGACCGAGAGGGCATAACGTTTTGGATGATGTGTTGCACATAGGAGATGGGTGTTGGGAGGGGGGGGGGTTGAGTAAGTACGGTGGACTCCAGTTCCGTGACGTCATGTAGATCTATTGTATGGATGGCCCACTACTAAATACTAAACCAACACGCGAAACTGACATTATTATTGTTGGTTATGGTCCCCCCCCCCAATTAACTGCGTTCACCGGGAATCTGTCCTCAGTCCTCTGACGTCACTGAACGACGCGTTGACCAGAGGTTGACATTGTTCTACATGAGCATCGAGGGTTGGGGTTAAGAAAGGTGACGTAGTGTACCAATGAGGATAGGGAGAGGGTTAATGACGTCACTTATGGAAGATCGTTTACCGTAGTTTATAATGAAGGATTTAAAACAGTATTCCAAGTTTTCAACGCTCTGTTCTGATTGTAAACGCAGTAGTCCTGTTTATTTGAATTCTTCTTTAATGTTGTGGACTTTTTAGATCTTGAATACTAACAAAATTAGTTTTCTTTTTTTTTTATCTACGGCGTTTATTTTGAGCCATTTTGACGAGAGCTAGATTCTAGAACTGTATAGCCGTGAGCATTAATGACGGGAGTGATTGTCATGCACAGATTGCCGTGAGCATTAATGACGGGAGTCATTGTCACGCACAGATTGCCGTGAGCATTTATGGCGGGAGTCATTGTCACGCACATATTGACGCGAGCATTAATGACGGGAGTCATTGTCACGCACAGATTGCCGTGAGCATTAATGGCGGGAGTTATTGTCACGCACGGATTGCCGTGAGCATTAATGAAGGGAGTGATTGTCATGCACAGATTGCCGTGAGCATTAATGACGGGAGTGATTGTCATGCACAGATTGCCGTGAGCATTAATGACGGGAGTGATTGTCATGCACAGATTGCCATGAGCATTAATGACGGGAGTCATTGTCACGCACATATTGACGTGAGCATTAATGACGGGAGTCATTGTCACGCACAATATGTCATTAATGATGTCAAGGGGTTTGTCGGGAATTTTAATAAGTCGATCTTAATGTCTACAGTGGTTGGTCAGTTTACTAATTAGTTATGTTTCATTTATTTTAATGACATGTTACTAAAGTAATGTTCATTATTCCAGATAGAAACTGCAATTCTACAGCACAGGCAAAGGAAGAACAATGTAATATTAAACAGTGATGAAAATTAAATTTCTTTGATGGAAATAAATAACTTGTTCATCGTTAATTTTCTAAAACAAATTACAATAGTTTAAAATATGGTTTCATATATTAAAAAAAATTAGAATTCACATATAACCATTAATAAAACTTACCAATATCAATATTTATATAATATTAACAGACACACTTACAGAACTTCATTCTGATCAGTTTTCAGCTTGATATTTTAAATAGTTTGAGTTAATTTTGAGTTGTGTAAAAAGTTTCGGTGTTAAAAATATAGAGGGGTACATTCTTCCACCCACTATTTTAGGCAAACATATATAACTAAAACATACAATTTGATTGTATCTATTTAGGTTTAGGGTTAACTACAATCAGGCCAATTTTGAGACATAAATACTTAAAAGTTCAAATTTGGCATCATTTTCCATTTTACACTAACCAGATTTCGGTTTTTGTAAAAATGCATAATTTATCAGCTCATTTGCTCTTTGAACAAAAAACTTTCAAATTATGATCAATATTTTGATGGTATTAATGATCTCATCCATAGCCACACATTCTGAGCAATTTTCAGCTTGATATTTCAAATAGTTTAACTTTAAACTGTGATTGTATGAAAGCACTGTGAATGCAAAAACAAGGGGGTCCCCTCCTCCCCTCCAGTTTTTTTTAGAATTCTACCTATGAAGTTCTCTTTTTATTTTTTATTATGTTAACATATATGATAACTTAAGTTACTACAAAGTTATAACAAATTTGATCACACGGTTTACAGGCTATGACAATTTTAGTAAACGCTTAAAAAAAATTCTAACACAGAAATTGAAAAAAATCCTATGTTAAAAAAAACGCTTTTTTTAATACGAAAAAAAATCATAACTTTTTAACCGTTTGAGCTACATCAAAAATGAAAACTGTTCTGTTATTGTAATTTTCTGCTCCTTTTAACTGTAGTAGTTGTTTCCACAAAAACCCAATTTTGAAAATTTATCCTAGTACCTAGTATATAGTATATAAAAATATAGATCTATATCAATCTCTATAGACCAGTCTACTGAGTATCATAGGAAAGCTACTGCTAAAATAACTAAACTAATCTAAATATAGAATTCAATTCTAGATCTATTAGATAGTTAAACTAGTTATTTGTTAAGTAAGTATATTTTAGTATCGGCCTATTATATAGTTTAATTAATGAGTAGAATCCATCTCTATGGATAAAATTTTACTTAAAAAAAATTTAATAGCCCCATCTTATATGAGCTCATTTAGCCAGAAACAAAGATATTTTCATTTTAATTTCAGCTTACAAATAGTTACAAAGTTATGAATTTTTAGCATATTTAATTTTCTTGGTTTTTTTTTATTGTTTTTTCCCAATTTTCTGTGACCCTTGTTTTTTGGATGTGAACAAAAATCTCTAACTTTTTAAATACCTTGTATTTTTAATAAAAATTCACTAGGAACAAGCTTATCATATCAGTAAAAGGTTTAGAAAAAATAATTGCAGTGGTTGTGAAAAATGGTTAAAAGCAATATTAATAAAGAGGGTCACCCCCCCCCCCCCCCCCCCCCTAAAATTTTCATTCTAATGTCTTTAAAGGCAATACAAAATCTGCTGTCAAACTTTTATTATATGGAATATCTCAGTAAAAATTGGCTTTTTTTTTGACAATTAATACATCTCCTACTATACTACCCACTGTCACACATCATCACAAAAATTACTAACCCCTCCCCCCCTACAGAAATGTGATGTCATTTATGGACAACATACATTATACATGAATATGACTTTTCAATTTTTAGCGGAAATCCAATTTTTCCTTTTCAGTTAAATTTAAATTTTTTTTTACAAAGTTTTAAAAAATTAGGAAAAAAATCAACGGAAATTAATCTTATGGAAACACCCCACATGGGCATACCGCATATTCCTATTTAAATTGAGTATAACAGTACTTAGGTCAAGCTGACAATCCAATGCAATTTTTTAGTCCACATTTTCAGCTGATATTTTCTGTTAATCAAAAACACAAAAAAAGTAATTCAAAATAATTCCGCTCTTCAAATGAAACTTACTTCTCTTAAGCATGGTTTCTTTACAGTTAATCTCTCATGCACAGTAGTCTAAAGCCTAATTTATCTAACAGTTTTTAACTCGCCCAAATCTACTGTTTCTCTCTGCTTCTAATTCTATTTATTGCGCAATCTCAAATTAATATTGAAATCCTTGCAAAAGGTGAGTATTAGGACTAGATAACCGCCCCTCCTTGAATTAACGGTGGCTCTTGTGACTTCAACATGGCCCCAAGTACGTGTTTGGTACTACTTGTTTGACTGTGACGTCATTTTTATTTTTCCCCAATATCAAATTGCTGTGTAATTACTATTACGTATGCTAGATATAACCAAGGCCTACTATTTAAAAACGCATGTGAAGATATGACCCAGGCCATGTCTTGTTTTTTGGAAGAAAAAATTCGATACAGACAGTTTTTAATAATGGGGTCTTCCCTTAAATGACATCACACTCGTGGGGAAGGGGGGGTGGTCCATAATTTTGTGACGCGTGATGAGGGGGTGGGGGTCAGATAGTGTGGTGTCATACTTTTGCATTTTAAAAAGTAATGTTAAAAACCAAATTTTATCCGTTATTTCGCCTTTTAGAATACTGTCATAATAAATTGTAATAGAAATTGATTAAAATACCCTATGTTAACTTAGCTCAGTCAATATTTTAGAAAAAAAAATCAATGTTAAAAAAATAAATTTAAATGCAATTTTGTGGGGGTGGTTGTTGGCTGAGGTGTGACGTCATTTTAGTGTGGAGTCTGGCTTTTTGTAAGGAGGGGAGTTGGGAGGTAAAAATCGTCAAAAGAAAACATGACTTCATTTTTTGCATGAACACCTTACAATCTTCAGTTATTCCAAAAGTATAAATAACGATGTGGTTTGGGTATCAAAATTGTAAATTTAATTTTTTTACAAGTTTTAATTCTACAACACTTTTTAAAATATCACCTTATCTATCTGGTCAATTTAATTTTCCATCACTAGAACAAACTAAAATTTTCAGATTACAATTAATTTAAATCTAGGCTCTTTACACTTTAACCATGCTTATCTTTAAAAGAATATAACTTATATAAGTAATAATTTAAAATTGAAAACAAGAGTACAACTAGGCCAGTAGCTTAATGTTAAAATAAATCTTAATTGCCCCTTTTATTACATTTAAATTTTTTTTTTTAAAGGTGTTTATAAGTTAAGCATTAAATTGCATTTAGACAAGACTTCCATTGTTATTTTAGAGGAACATAAACTTCTTTTATGTAAAATATTAAGCAATCAATGAATACAGTAACTGGATGAGATTGCTTTAGAGTAACAGGTGGCTGACAAGAAGGCCCTGTGACACCCCTGACAACTAGGCTATCACTGAGGTGTATTTTACTTCACTATTAGTGAGGGTGATTAATGTACACTCAAGGCATGGGACATCTGGGTGGTAGTGTGGACAAACCGAGCCCTAACGACTAGGATCCAAGAAATAAAATACTGACGTTGTTTACATTTAAATAACACAGTTTTAGAAAACAAGGTCATGCGTCTAAAAATACATTGATGAAATACTCTTAAAATGTTGCGTCAGCCTTTCTTTTGAGACGTGACTGGACTAGATCTATAGTTAGTTTACCAGTAATAGTAATAGTTAAATAGTAGAAGCCTTCTAATTACTAATTAAGACTTTAATATTTTGTTTTAAAATAACCTAATTTATGATGTCACACACCTTGGGGGGGGGGGGGGTGTTTAGAATGCAAAGCGTGATGTCACACTTTTGCAATTAAAAAAAGTTATGTTAGAAACTGAATTGTAGTTGTTATTTAGCGTTTTAAAAAATGTTTTTGTAGATTTAAAATAATTTAATAGAAATTAAGATATGTTCTTTGTGTACTCAGTTAATATTTCAGAAAACAATCGACTTAAAAAACAAACAAAAAAACTCCTATTTAGAGGGGGAGGTGTTGTAGGCTGAGGTGTAGTGTCATTTGTAGGGCTGGGGTGTCTTTTTATGACAATGTGTTATTATAAAGCCTAACTGAGAAGTCTAGTAAAAGTTTCAAATGTGTTAACTGGATATCAGGATAAAATGTCTTAAAAGATGTTTTTAGAAATACTAAGCCAGATGTACAGTTATTATTTTTATTCACTATAAAAAATGTGCTGCGCAAAAAGATATTTTGTTCTGACTGATTTACTTTTCAAAAATGGATTCCTCATAAGTAATAAAAATGAGAAAATATTGCAACAAAAGGAAGGCCAGAAGTGAGAAGCATTCCTTTACAGATTTCATGTGCTTGAACTGTCAGATCATTAACTGACCTACTTCTTTCTAAAAGCTATCAATCTTTGACAAACTTTGGTGTCAGAGAAAGGTTATTTTTGTGCACAGCCTTTGTTATATAACTTAAGCATTAATTATATTCTAATTGACAATTGTATGTCCTGGACAGCGACACATTTTTCTGGTGAGCCTAACCTGGCTATTTTGACAGAGTTTAAATATTTAGAATTAGCATGCTACTGACCTTTTTTATTTGTTAGAGGAAAAAAAGGCAAAATAAATTATTCTGCATTACTACACTTCCCCCAAGTAAGAAGTTTATTAAACCATAAAAATACTCAGTTGCAAAATGGAAATATACTAGTTGAAATAATGTTTTGAATGATTAGGTGCTGGTGCAACGGCTGTTGTCCAAGCAGCTATGTGTAAACCTCGTAATGAAAAATGTGCTATCAAGCGTATTAACTTAGAGAAATGCAACACCACAGTCGAAGAGTTACTGGTATGTTTTTTCATCTATTTAATCTTGTTAGATAATTTGGTTTGTTGCAAGCCTCATGTAAGGGCAATAAGTATTGTTTAAATTGAACTGAATAGACATGAGTCCAGTGTACTTTCACAGGGCAGTGTTAATCAAATATGTAAATACTAATGTAACTTCAAAGTCAATAAATAGTTTCAAATTTTTGTTTGCAGATGGCCTAACTTCAGTTCTTAAAATATAACATTTTAAAAAGTAAGGCTACTCATAAAATGAAATGAACAAAAACATGTTTTAATCAATGTCAAATCTAGTCATCTAATCCTCTAGCTTACTTTTAAATCTATTAAGTTTGAATTCTTTTGATTTTGTAGAAAGAGATTCGAGCCATGAGCCAGTGCAAGCATGAGAATGTGGTATGCTACTACACATCATTTGTGGTTAAAGAAGAGCTCTGGGTTGTGATGAAATTGTGTGGAGGTGATTTGTAGTTTGATTGTATTCACTCTAGATATAAGAGAGATTATTGCAAGAGAAATAAGTTTCCAGTAAGAAATAAGTGTTGTGAACATTCATGTTTTCATCTTGGTGAAATGGCACAATACCATTATTCCACTGGTATGCTTCAATCAAAATTTGAAATTTTTCTGGACCAGGGCAGATTTTAAATATTTGCTTAAATATAAAAATACGTTCAGAAAAAATTTCAAATTTTACTATATTAGTCTAATGAAATAGAAAAACTTGTTGTCCTTTAAGTTAATAATTAATTTTCTATTTAGTCTGGTATTTGATTTGATTTTAAAGATATTTTAAGTGTGGAAGAGTTTGTTTTAAAGTCTCCAAGTGGACAATTTTTGGGAAAAGAAAGCTTATACAAAATTAAAGACGAGTTGATAAGCAATTGAATGACGTTATGTTGACTCAAATGTGGGTTTTATTACATTATTGCTATAGTTCCTACACATTTCTCTCTTGTTACTATAGTGCTATATTTCTATAGGATCAATGCTAGACATCATAAAATCACGCTTGAGGTCAGGCTATGGAAAAAACGGAGTTTTAGATGAAGCTTCTATTGCTACTGTGCTAAAAGAAGTTTTGAAAGGATTAGAATATTTTCATGCCAGTGGTCAGATACACAGGTAAGTGTTGATATTTGCATGCCAATGGTCAGATAGACAGGTAATTGTTGTTATTTTCATGCCAGTGGTCAGATACACAGGTAAGTGTTGATATTTGCATGCCAATGGTCAGATAGACAGGTAAGTGTTGATATTTTCATGCCAGTGGTCAGATAGACAGGTAATTGTTGATATTTGCATGCCAGTGGTCAGATAGACAGGTAAGTGTTGTTATTTTCATGCCAGTGGTCAGATAGACAGGTAATTGTTGATATTTGCATGCCAATGGTCAGATAGACAGGTAAGTGTTGTTATTTTCATGCCAGTGGTCAGATAGACAGGTAAGTGTTGTTATTTTCATGCCAGTGGTCAGATAGACAGGTAATTGTTGTTATTTTCATGCCAGTGGTCAGATACTGATAAACATTTAAGTGTTGATATTGTCCTGGATATTGTTTAACTCTTAAGTTATGAACTGGTCCTGCAACTGACTGGACTGTCCACTTGAACTACTAACCTCTGGTCTATTCAACAAGATGATCTGCTGCCACTGGCTCTAAACTGCTGGATGCATAATAGACTAGCTATCTTAGATTTTACTTTCCAACATTGCTGCCAAAAGTAACTTACTAGTTAAACATGTACTATGAAACACCAGAAATTATGGCAAAATGTTGACCCACTCTCACTGCAATTAGATGAGTGAAAAATGTGGGTGGTATTTAGTACAGGGGTCGGCATGATCAAGTTGGTAAAGCTCACGGTTGCTAAACCGTAAAGTCTTAAGTTCCGAACCCCCGGGCAGATGAGGCTTGTTAGCTGGGGACAGCTGGAGAGACAACTCCAAAATCAAACAACTGCTGCCTTGTAGTTTGTTCTTGTTCGGACTAAGGCTATGGAAGCAAATCCAAAAAGAAAAGCTGACTGAAATCAGAGTCAATGGCCTAAATGGCATATAACAAATTTACATGTATACTTAATTGTGTTGGAGAGGATCCCTTCCAACACTAAAATTAAGAATGAAGAAGAGTACAATTAAATATCGTTAAACTGTTTACTTCTGTGTGCGTTTGGTGTACAGTGTATTGGTGAAATGTATTTTTTTTAAAAAATATATCAAGTGCTTTTTTTTTAAATTTGATTTTTTCAGAGATATAAAGGCTGGTAACATTCTCATTGGGGATGATGGATCTGTTTTTGTTGCAGGTAGTGTCTTATCAGTCACTCTTCACGACACATTTTAAAAATACATTTTATTCCAAGTGCTTGGTTATATATAATTCATAATGATCTTTATAATGTGCTTTAGATTTTGGTGTAAGTGCTTGGTTATATATAATTCATGATGATCTTTATAATGTGCTTTAGATTTTGGTGTAAGTGCTTGGTTAGCCACTGGTAAAGATCTGACCAGAGAATCTGTTAGACATACTTTTGTTGGAACTCCCTGCTGGATGGCGCCAGAAGTAATGGAGCAGGTTAGTAAAGACTTGATTGAGTTTGCCTCTATGGTATAGTACGGTTTTCTTGGTTGATATAGAGAAATGCAGAGCTGGACTCTTTTGAAAAGGAAAGTACTTAACACATTGTTTCATTGCTCAATTTGTCTTTTCCCTCTAGGCCAAATTGATTTCTTTGCTCAAATATTTAACAATCAGTTGTACTTTTCTAAGTATCCATGGTAATAAAAAAAATTAAAAAGATGTTAGATGGAAAAATATGATTAAATTATGATTTCTTAAAACCAATATTAACTGCAGGTGACTGGATATGATTTCAAAGCAGACATTTGGAGTTTTGGAATAACAGCCATTGAATTAGCAACAGGAACAGCCCCTTATCACAAGTTCCCTCCCATGAAGGTAACTCTTCAGTAATTTCTGGTGTTGGTGTCCATTACACTGCTGCATACATGAGTGTGCTTTAGTATATGGTACTGCACAGTGTAACATGACCTATTCCCTCTCACAATAAACATGTATTTAACAATGCTTGATGAATTATTTTAGCCATGTTTACTATTATGGTGGTACCTCAAGACTCTGTAACATTGTTTGTATCTCAAAGCAATTTTTTCATTGAAATGATATCACATATTATTTGTTGAGGTTCCACTGTATGTTCTCTAGACTGCTCTGATCTAAAAAAAAATCACATTTTATATGTTGAGGTTCCACTGTACTTTTATTTTATTTTGTTTTAATTTTGTAAAATGTTTTATTTTCACTATGTAGGTGTTAATGTTGACTTTACAAAATGATCCCCCAACTGTGTTTTATTTTCACTATGTAGGTGTTAATGTTGACTTAACAAAATGATCCCCCAACTGTGTTTTATTTTCACTATGTAGGTGTTAATGTTGACTTAACAAAATGATCCCCCAACTGTGTTTTATTTTCACTATGTAGGTGTTAATGTTGACTTTACAAAATGATCCCCCAACTGTGTTTTATTTTCACTATGTAGGTGTTAATGTTGACTTTACAAAATGATCCCCCAACTGTGTTTTATTTTCACTATGTAGGTGTTAATGTTGACTTAACAAAATGATCCCCCAACTGTGTTTTATTTTCACTATGTAGGTGTTAATGTTGACTTTACAAAATGATCCCCCAACTGTGTTTTATTTTCACTATGTAGGTGTTAATGTTGACTTTACAAAATGATCCCCCAACTCTAGACACAAATGCAGAGGATAAAGACCAGTACAAAGGCTATAGCAAAATTTTCCGTAAAATGATTAGTGACTGTTTAAAAAAAGATCCAGAGAAAAGGTAAGAGTAGATATACAAGTCCATGTCACCTATTTGACAGATTGAATTCTTTAAACAATAGATATATACTGGACAGATGAAAGTCTTCAGCTAGGTAGCTACTAGTTAACTGATACAATATTTTTTCTTCATTTTTTCAGACCAACAGCAAAACAGTTATTGAAGCATGAGTTTTTTAAGAAAGCTAAGGTAAAAAATTAGTGTTGTGAACAAAGAGTTATGGTTGGATAAAAACGGTGAAGGAAGAACTAACGCTTAATTTTTATTTTTTTCAGGACAAGACATACTTGCAGAAAAGTTTGTTGGCAGAAGGACCAGCTCTTAAAGGACAAAAGGTAGTAGGTTGCTACAAATTGTTTACCAGTTGGATGCAGCTAATCCTTTTGATGCCTCCAGTTTCCTAGAGCTGTTGTTGTATATGTTGCAGGTGAAGCGTGTGCCTGGGTCTAGTGGCAGGCTGCACAAGACAGAAGATGGAGGCTGGGAATGGTCAGATGATGAAATGGATGTCACATCAGAAGAAGGGAAGGCCGCCATGGCTGAAGGAAGGGTGAGATATTCACTAAACCGACACTAGATTTTACTGGCGGGTAAAGTTGTAGGGTATTGACTTAACAGACACTAGATTTTACTGGCGTGTAAAGTTGTAGGGTATTGACTTAACAGACACTAGATTTTACTGGCCGGTAAAGTTGTAGGGTATTGACTAAACAGACATTAAATTTTTTTTGAATGGAAAATTAGTGCTAAACGGTGTGTAGGTATATTGTATACGCATTTACAAAAATGAAAATTGTTTCATTGGGTGTTGCCTTTGTTTTCAGTCCCCCAGAGTAAAAGTTTCCCCAGATCAGGTGAGTGCTTATTCATGGATTGTTGCTTATTAGATAGCAAATCACTTTTGTTTTATCTTGTTTACTTTAGATCTCTTAGATCATTCCCAATAGTTGATTAAGTTAAAAACTTTATATTTTAAATTAATTATTTAAATATTAGATATTATTTTCTTTCAAGCTACCTGAATTACCCATTCCAATAAGATCAGCTACTGTAGAAGATGGTAAGCCTGATTCAGATGATGAAGCTGAGACAGATCAACTTAAACTGGAAGTTGAGTCAGCAGAAGAAGCATCTCCAGAATCCAAGAGCTCGCCAGATGGTGCTAAGCTGGAAGATAAACCAGCTAGGAATATGGTGCTGCGCTTAAGGTGAAAGCACAACTCATTAGAATTAAAATAATCATTCTTAAAGATGACTAAATCTTGCACATAGTGTAGGAAACCAGCTCATAGCAATACTGGGTTGGCATTTTAGTGGAACATGTTACAATTCATGTTTTATTCATCAGAAGAAAATCATTTTAGTTTTATATTGTGTTAAAAAGCACACTTATGCAGAAAAAAAGTATGGTTTACTTAGTTTTGAAATTACTGAGGTTTGAAAAGCAATTACTAAAACATTCTAAAATAAACAAACAAATATTGATTTGCCAAAAACTATATATTTGCACCAAATTACTCCAAAATATATTTTGTGAGTGAATTGGAGTTGAAATATTAATGGTGCATTTGTTTAACTTTTTTTTTGTGTGTCTTTATTTCAGAAATGAAAAACGCGAGCTGAATGATATTAGGTTTGATTACAAGGTTGGACAAGGTATTTGTTCAGTCTTGTATTGCTTTCAGGGATGTGACTTTTCAGATTTTTGGTAGAAATCTGATTTTCTGTTTGAGCTGCATTGATTTTTTTTTTTGATGACTTTTTTAGAAGTTGAAAAAACCCTAACAGAAATGACCTCTGTGGTCTAGTCACATCCCTGTGTAGTCAAATGTAAATGTAAAAAAATGTGATGCACCTCCCTTTGCATGTTGCCATTAATGTCCTACAAGTTACTAGTCACCTGTTAATGTTTGACTTTCCTTTGTGGCCCATGTCTCATCATCTACTGTCCTTTTCCAGGATTTCCATGGCCAGTTTACTTTCCTCTTCCTCTTGGGATTTCAGCCTTAAATCTGTAACTCTCCCATTTGTTTAAATTTGTTTAATCCTGTAATCTGTAATCCTGCCATTTGTTTAATCACATCTGTAATCCTGTCATTTGTTTAATCGCATCTGTAATCCTGTCATTTGTTTAATCAAATCTGTAATCCTGTCATTTGTTTAATCCTGTAATCTGTAATCCTGTCATTTGTTTAATCAAATCTGTAATCCTGCCATTTGCCATCAAATCTTTCTCTCCCCTTTGATCAAATCTGTAACACTTAATAATAAAAATAATGAAGCCTGTAATCCTCCCAGATACAGCTGACAGTGTGTCTAGAGAGCTGGTGGAGGCTGGACTAGTTGATGGACGGGACATGATTGTTGGTGAGTACCTCCTTGTTGTGCTGCTCTCTTAACTAGTTGAACCACCAACTTAACATTTTACAAGATGTTAGTTGAACCACCAACTTACCATTTCACTAAATGTTAGTTGAACCACCAACTTACCATTTCACTAAATGTTAGTTGAACCACCAACTTAACATTTCACTAATTGTTAGTTGAACCACCAACTTACCATTTTACAAGATGTTAGTTGAACCACCAACTTACCATTTCACTAAATGTTAGTTGAACTACCAACTTACCATTTCACTAAATGTTAGTTGAACCACCAACTTACCATTTCACTAATTGTTAGTTGAACCACCAACTTACCATTTCACAAGATGTTAGTTGAACCACCAACTTACCATTTTACTAAATGTTAGTTGAACCACCAACTTACCATTTCACAAGATGTTAGTTGAACCACCAACTTACCATTTCACAAGATGTTAGTTGAACCACCAACTTACCATTTCACTAAATGTTAGTTGAACCACCAACTTACCATTTCACTAAATGTTAGTTGAACCACCAACTTACCATTTCACTAAATGTTAGTTGAACCACCAACTTACCATTTCACTAAATGTTAGTTGAACCACCAACTTAACATTTCACTAATTGTTAGTTGAACCACCAACTTACCATTTCACAAGCTGTTAGTTGAACCACCAACTTACCATTTCACTAAATGTTAGTTGAACCACCAACTTACCATTTCACTAAATGTTAGTTGAACCACCAACTTACCATTTCACTAAATGTTAGTTGAACCACCAACTTAACATTTCACTAATTGTTAGTTGAACCACCAACTTACCATTTCACAAGATGTTAGTTGAACCACCAACTTACCATTTCACTAAATGTTAGTTGAACCACCAACTTACCATTTCACAAGATGTTAGTTGAACCACCAACTTAACATTTCACTAATTGTTAGTTGAACCACCAACTTACCATTTCACTAAATGTTAGTTGAACCACCAACTTACCATTTCACTAAATGTTAGTTGAACCACCAACTTACCATTTCACAAGATGTTAGTTGAACCACCAACTTACCATTTCACTAAATGTTAGTTGAACCACCAACTTACCATTTCACTAAATGTTAGTTGAACCACCAACTTACCATTTCACTAAATGTTAGTTGAACCACCAACTTAACATTTCACTAATTGTTAGTTGAACCACCAACTTACCATTTCACAAGATGTTAGTTGAACCACCAACTTACCATTTCACTAAATGTTAGTTGAACCACCAACTTACCATTTCACTAAATGTTAGTTGAACCACCAACTTACCATTTCACTAAATGTTAGTTGAACCACCAACTTACCATTTCACAAGATGTTAGTTGAACCACCAACTTACCATTTCACTAAATGTTAGTTGAACCACCAACTTACCATTTCACTAAATGTTAGTTGAACCACCAACTTACCATTTCACAAAATGTTAGTTGAACCACCAACTTACCATTTCACTAATTGTTAGTTGAACCACCAACTTACCATTTCACTAAATGTTAGTTGAACCACCAACTTACCATTTCACTAAATGTTAGTTGAACCACCAACTTACCATTTCACTAATTGTTAGTTGAACCACCAACTTACCATTTCACTAAATGTTAGTTGAACCACCAACTTAACATTTCACTAATTGTTAGTTGAACCACCAACTTACCATTTCACAAGATGTTAGTTGAACCACCAACTTACCATTTCACTAAATGTTAGTTGAACCACCAACTTAACATTTCACTAATTGTTAGTTGAACCACCAACTTACCATTTCACAAGATGTTAGTTGAACCACCAACTTACCATTTCACAAGATGTTAGTTGAACCACCAACTTACCATTTCACTAAATGTTAGTTGAACCACCAACTTACCATTTCACTAAATGTTAGTTGAACCACCAACTTAACATTTCACTAATTGTTAGTTGAACCACCAACTTACCATTTCACAAGATGTTAGTTGAACCACCAACTTACCATTTCACTAAATGTTAGTTGAACCACCAACTTAACATTTCACTAATTGTTAGTTGAACCACCAACTTACCATTTCACAAGATGTTAGTTGAACCACCAACTTACCATTTCACAAGATGTTAGTTGAACCACCAACTTACCATTTCACTAAATGTTAGTTGAACCACCAACTTAACATTTCACTAATTGTTAGTTGAACCACCAACTTACCATTTCACTAAATGTTAGTTGAACCACCAACTTACCATTTCACTAAATGTTAGTTGAACCACCAACTTACCATTTCACTAATTGTTAGTTGAACCACCAACTTACCATTTCACAAGATGTTAGTTGAACCACCAACTTAACATTTCACTAATTGTTAGTTGAACCACCAACTTACCATTTCACTAAATGTTAGTTGAACCACCAACTTACCATTTCACTAAATGTTAGTTGAACCACCAACTTACCATTTCACTAAATGTTAGTTGAACCACCAACTTACCATTTCACTAAATGTTAGTTGAACCACCAACTTAACATTTCACTAATTGTTAGTTGAACCACCAACTTACCATTTCACAAGCTGTTAGTTGAACCACCAACTTACCATTTCACTAAATGTTAGTTGAACCACCAACTTACCATTTCACTAAATGTTAGTTGAACCACCAACTTACCATTTCACTAAATGTTAGTTGAACCACCAACTTAACATTTCACTAATTGTTAGTTGAACCACCAACTTACCATTTCACAAGATGTTAGTTGAACCACCAACTTACCATTTCACTAAATGTTAGTTGAACCACCAACTTACCATTTCACAAGATGTTAGTTGAACCACCAACTTAACATTTCACTAATTGTTAGTTGAACCACCAACTTACCATTTCACTAAATGTTAGTTGAACCACCAACTTACCATTTCACTAAATGTTAGTTGAACCACCAACTTACCATTTCACTAAATGTTAGTTGAACCACCAACTTACCATTTCACTAAATGTTAGTTGAACCACCAACTTACCATTTCACTAATTGTTAGTTGAACCACCAACTTACCATTTCACAAGATGTTAGTTGAACCACCAACTTACCATTTCACTAAATGTTAGTTGAACCACCAACTTACCATTTCACTAAATGTTAGTTGAACCACCAACTTACCATTTCACAAGATGTTAGTTGAACCACCAACTTACCATTTCACTAATTGTTAGTTGAACCACCAACTTACCATTTCACTAAATGTTAGTTGAACCACCAACTTAACATTTCACTAATTGTTAGTTGAACCACCAACTTACCATTTCACTAAATGTTAGTTGAACCACCAACTTACCATTTCACAAAATGTTAGTTGAACCACCAACTTACCATTTCACTAATTGTTAGTTGAACCACCAACTTACCATTTCACTAAATGTTAGTTGAACCACCAACTTACCATTTCACTAAATGTTAGTTGAACCACCAACTTACCATTTCACTAATTGTTAGTTGAACCACCAACTTACCATTTCACTAAATGTTAGTTGAACCACCAACTTAACATTTCACTAATTGTTAGTTGAACCACCAACTTACCATTTCACAAGATGTTAGTTGAACCACCAACTTACCATTTCACTAAATGTTAGTTGAACCACCAACTTAACATTTCACTAATTGTTAGTTGAACCACCAACTTACCATTTCACAAGATGTTAGTTGAACCACCAACTTACCATTTCACAAGATGTTAGTTGAACCACCAACTTACCATTTCACTAAATGTTAGTTGAACCACCAACTTAACATTTCACTAATTGTTAGTTGAACCACCAACTTACCATTTCACTAAATGTTAGTTGAACCACCAACTTACCATTTCACTAAATGTTAGTTGAACCACCAACTTACCATTTCACTAATTGTTAGTTGAACCACCAACTTACCATTTCACTAAATGTTAGTTGAACCACCAACTTACCATTTCACTAAATGTTAGTTGAACCACCAACTTACCATTTCACTAAATGTTAGTTGAACCACCAACTTACCATTTCACTAAATGTTAGTTGAACCACCAACTTACCATTTCACTAATTGTTAGTTGAACCACCAACTTACCATTTCACAAGATGTTAGTTGAACCACCAACTTACCATTTCACTAATTGTTAGTTGAACCACCAACTTACCATTTCACTAATTGTTAGTTGAACCACCAACTTACCATTTCACTAAATGTTAGTTGAACCACCAACTTACCATTTCACTAAATGTTAGTTGAACCACCAACTTACCATTTCACTAAATGTTAGTTGAACCACCAACTTACCATTTCACTAAATGTTAGTTGAACCACCAACTTACCATTTCACTAAATGTTAGTTGAACCACCAACTTACCATTTCACTAAATGTTAGTTGAACCACCAACTTACCATTTCACTAAATGTTAGTTGAACCACCAACTTAACATTTCACTAATTGTTAGTTGAACCACCAACTTACCATTTCACAAGATGTTAGTTGAACCACCAACTTACCATTTCACTAAATGTTAGTTGAACCACCAACTTACCATTTCACAAGATGTTAGTTGAACCACCAACTTAACATTTCACTAATTGTTAGTTGAACCACCAACTTACCATTTCACTAAATGTTAGTTGAACCACCAACTTACCATTTCACTAAATGTTAGTTGAACCACCAACTTACCATTTCACTAAATGTTAGTTGAACCACCAACTTACCATTTCACTAAATGTTAGTTGAACCACCAACTTACCATTTCACTAAATGTTAGTTGAACCACCAACTTACCATTTCACAAGATGTTAGTTGAACCACCAACTTACCATTTCACTAAATGTTAGTTGAACCACCAACTTACCATTTCACTAAATGTTAGTTGAACCACCAACTTAACATTTCACTAATTGTTAGTTGAACCACCAACTTACCATTTCACTAAATGTTAGTTGAACCACCAACTTACCATTTCACTAATTGTTAGTTGAACCACCAACTTACCATTTCACTAAATGTTAGTTGAACCACCAACTTACCATTTCACTAAATGTTAGTTGAACCACCAACTTACCATTTCACTAAATGTTAGTTGAACCACCAACTTACCATTTCACTAAATGTTAGTTGAACCACCAACTTACCATTTCACTAAATGTTAGTTGAACCACCAACTTACCATTTCACAAGATGTTAGTTGAACCACCAACTTACCATTTCACAAGATGTTAGTTGAACCACCAACTTACCATTTCACTAAATGTTAGTTGAACCACCAACTTACCATTTCACTAAATGTTAGTTGAACCACCAACTTACCATTTCACAAGATGTTAGTTGAACCACCAACTTACCATTTCACTAAATGTTAGTTGAACCACCAACTTACCATTTCACTAAATGTTAGTTGAACCACCAACTTACCATTTCACTAAATGTTAGTTGAACCACCAACTTACCATTTCACAAGATGTTAGTTGAACCACCAACTTACCATTTCACTAAATGTTAGTTGAACCACCAACTTACCATTTCACAAGATGTTAGTTGAACCACCAACTTACCATTTCACTAAATGTTAGTTGAACCACCAACTTACCATTTCACAAGATGTTAGTTGAACCACCAACTTACCATTTCACTAAATGTTAGTTGAACCACCAACTTACCATTTCACTAGATGTTAGTTGAACCACCAACTTACCATTTCACTAAATGTTAGTTGAACCACCAACTTACCATTTCACTAGATGTTAGTTGAACCACCAACTTAACATTTCACTAATTGTTAGTTGAACCACCAACTTACCATTTCACTAAATGTTAGTTGAACCACCAACTTACCATTTCACTAGATGTTAGTTGAACCACCAACTTACCATTTCACTAATTGTTGAACCACCAACTTACCATTTCAGTTGCTGCAAACCTCCAGAAAATGGTGGACAAACCAGATTTGACCAGCCTCACTTTTGCTTTGGTAAAGTTCAGATTTTCTTACATTTATCATTCAGAACTCATATCCACACACCAATCAATGTTTACAAGACAATATAATCTGATCTAGTCCTTTGTAGCATGGCAAATGGAAGCCCTTTCTGTAAATACGTTGTTATTTCAGAACTCAGGTTGTGGGCCCAATGAGGCACCAGATGACAAGGCATTGATAGGATTTGCACAGCTCACAATGAATGATTCCTAACTGCAGGCCAGTTCTTGCCACTGATGGATATCTGATATTGTTCACTCATTAGTTTATTACAAAACTGGTTTGGTTTGATACTCTTTAAAAATGATACCCTAGCATACTTCATTTATTCCAAAACTTAGCTTTTTAATCAAGCAAAATAACATGGATTTAAACCTCATCACAAATGCCTTCAGCTGCTGATAAAATAACTAAAAGGTCTCTGTACTTCATATGTTCTTTTACTGATTTTTATCTAATTGTATGTTAGCTAAAATCTAAATTCATAGCTAATAGATTGGACACATCAACGAAGCTTCTATTTTAGTATGGCAATGGGTGATGTTGTATAGACATCTTTTAAAAAATTTTTTTTAGCACAATCAAAAACTGAAGTGGATAAATCAAATGTTAGCGTGATTGTGTAACTAAGAATTTCCAGATTTGATGTGCTGCATCCATCTGTAATCAAAGATAGTCCGAAGTATTTCTTTGTGCAAACAAAACAGTTCTCCTGAATAGTTTCCAATTTTAATAAACATTTATGCTAGAAGAGCATCATTTTTTTAGTTTCTCTTTGATGTAATTTTAGCAAGCACCATGTCCTAACATGCTACAGAAACTGTTAACTCATAGCTTCACAAGTTTTCAAAAAAATGAAAATTCCCCTGTATTAGTGGATAACCAGCCACATCAAAACTGGAAGTAATAGAAGTCAGAGCTCTGTCGAACAGATGGTATTTTTATTATGCCTTTTTTAAGTTTTATTAATTTTTCTGTAATGTACTTTTGATCAAGGTTGTCTAGCCAAATTTTTGTCTTCTATCCCTCAATGTCAAAAGGGATTGCCATAACTTCTAAAACAATGTTAATCAGAAAAAGTATATATAGTGTATGTATACACAAATATATGTATATATTTACATACATACATGTGTATATATGTTTATATCTATACATACACATAAATATATATACATGTATGCATGTATATACATATATAAATATAAGCCCAGCAACTCCCAACCTTAGTGTAGCTACTTCCTAGGTCCCAGCAACTCCCAGCCATAGTGTAGCTACTTCCTAGGTCCCAGCCATAGTGTAGCTACTTCCTAGGTCCCAGCAACTCTCAGCCTTAGTGTAGCTACTTCCTAGGTCCCAGCCTTAGTGTAGCTACTTCCTAGGTCCCAGCAACTCCCAACCTTAGTGTAGCTACTTCCTAGGTCCCAGCCTTAGTGTAGCTACTTCCTAGGTCCCAGCCTTAGTGTAGCTACTTCCTAGGTCCCAGCAACTCTCAGCCTTAGTGTAGCTACTTCCTAGGTCCCAGCCTTAGTGTAGCTACTTCCTAGGTCCCAGCCTTAGTGTAGTTACTTCCTAGGTCCCAGCCTTAGTGTAGCTACTTCCTAGGTCCCAGCCTTAGTGTAGCTACTTCCTAGGTCCCAGCCTTAGTGTAGCTACTTCCTAGGTCCCAGCCTTAGTGTAGCTACTTCCTAGGTCCCAGCCTTAGTGTAGCTACTTCCTAGGTCCCAGCCTTAGTGTAGCTACTTCCTAGGTCCCAGCCTTAGTGTAGCTACTTCCTAGGTACCAAAGAACCACCCATTGCTTGAGTTTTCTTTGCTGACATGATTGTATGGAACATGTATGCGATGCCTTCTGAATTAAAAGTCAACTAAATGCTTAATTTTTTGGCTGAATTTATTGGTGTTGACCGAACACATGACAGCATTGTTAGTCATCTATTTATGACATCCATCCCCACCCCTGAAGTCACCAAAAAAATATAATTTGTTGCATGCATGGGTAACTTGTAATTCTATCATTTTCTGTATTTAATATTAAAAGTTGAATGAAGAATGAGTGGCAAAAAAATTAATTTCATTAAACTTTGAGCAACCAAAAAAAGATCCATGTTAGCTCAGTTCCATTAAAAGTACCTTTTTATAATTATGACCTATTATTCTGTAGCACTTAAATAATACATATATGTATGAACTGTTACTGGTAGTCTTTCATTAGATTTTATCCAAGACCTTCATGCAATGTGTGCAATTTATTTTTTGAGAACACATGTTTGAGGTGTAAAAAAATACAATGTTTACAACAAAATAAAAACAAGATGAAAATTTGATAAAGTTTAATATTACCCTCACATAAAATATAAGATTTAGAACAACAAACTAATGCAGCAGAACTTAATTTTTATGTTAATTTACTGAAATATTTACACCCAAATAATCAGTGTTACAATTAAGAAATAAAAAAATAAAGACAGGAAGAAAAAGCCAGTAGGAGGTGTAATCCCCAAACTGATTGATGCTAAGACAAGCATGGTTACTACCTGTCCATACAACACAAATTTTTAAACAAGAGTTGTATTCTTCAGAGTCTAACACTGCAAAAATGGTTGCCTTTTTTTTCTAGTCTAGAAAGACAATCATGACAATCTGAACTAGCCAGAATAAATGTAAAAATGGCAAGAACCTGATCACAGAATAGACAGCCAAACATAAAATCCTGATTCAGTTGGTTAGTCTAGACAGCCAAACATAAAATCCTGATTCAGTTGGTTAGTCTAGACAGCCAAACATAAAATCATGATTCAGTTGGTTAGTCTAGACAGCCAAACATAAAATCCTGATTCAGTTGGTTAGTCTAGACAGCCAAACATAAAATCCTGATTCAGTTGGTTAGTCTAGACAGCCAAACATAAAATCATGATTCAGTTGGTTAGTCTAGACAGCCAAACATAAAATCCTGATTGAGTTTTAGTCTAGACAGCCAAACATAAAATCCTGATTCAGTTGGTTAGTCTAGACAGCCAAACATAAAATCCTGATTCAGTTGGTTAGTTAAGTGTGTGCATTTAAACTCCATAACAAACTAGGATTTAATTGCTATCTACAAACTGTTGACTGCTCAACAAGAGGGACATACACACAAGATAAAAAATGACAAGGATGATTTGTGTCTGGTGAGAGCGCCACAGCAAACTAGTTGAAACAAAAGCAAAGATTCAAGTTTGGAATCCTACTGCTGCTCAAGGTCACTTGTTAGCTGGCAGCTCTCAGGTGCATAGTTGGTCAAACACAAAACTGAGCTCAGATGTGCTTGTCTACAGGCTGCAAACACTTCAACTGTTGTGATAACTCAATTTAAAAACTTGGGCTTTTAAAAAGGCAAAACAAGAACAATCCCTGTTTAAAAAAGGGACAAGTCCGTTAGGTCATGGGCCATGGTTTTAAGGGCCATGAGCCACAAGAAAGGTTTAAGGGCCATGAGCCACAAGAAAGGTTATAAGGGCTATTTGGTAGACCCTAGAAATTTTTAAAATCAGAAACTATCATACAAGAGTTTATAAACACCTATGAACAATGGTTCCTCATGTTACAGTTCAAGGAAGCCACCAAATTTCTACCCTCAGTGTGTTTTGTAAAGCAATCTCTGTATCTCATATTTGGATTTTGTGGAGAGGAATAGATCTGCACATATTGCAAGACAGGTGATAAAAATGTAGGTGTGATATTGATCACTAAGAAATTGAGGCCATTAAGGTGTTAAAACTAGCTGCGGCCTTGGATGGACCAAGCTTATCTTACAAATCTTATCTTTATTTATTGCTATTCTTGACATTTTTAAACTGTTCATTGACAATACATAATTTAGTTTCGTTGTAACTCATATATATATATATATATATAAATTAACTTAAAGGATAATAGTTATCTTTAGCGTAATCTTTTTGTTTTGACTAATTCAATTTCTATTTAGTGATACAATGCCTGAACAGTTTTTTTGACTAGCTTAACCATATAGTTGCCTAATAAGGACTACTGATTCTACCCAGAAAAAAGTAACTGCATATATTCAGCACCCAACTTCACCAGCAAGCAATTCTCTTGGGAAAGAATTTAGATTCTACTTCTACGTGGCCAGAGGTATAAAAGTCAGGACTCTTCACCCCCTCCAAATAGTATTTTCTTTTTGTGATATCACAATATCTTTCTAACTAACCAAGGTAAGCAATGAGTATACTGACCAATTTCTGATGCAATTTTTAAAACAAAGTTAATATTTTAAAAAAATACAAACATTAAATAGGACACCCACTCCCAAGTGGACATCATTTATGGATGTCAACTTCAGAGGTGTGATTAGTTTAAAAAAAGACCATTCTATAGAATAGGTATGTTATATCTTTAGGTTGTTGTGGGGTAAGCTTATAGTCACAATAAGCAAAGAATCATAGTTTACTGGTCAATATTTGTGCAAAATTTAAAATTGTATTCAACAATATAAAATGTTTTTGCTAGTTGCTGTTGTTAAGGAATATCTGGAGTACATTTACTCAACACAAAGCAAAGGGATTGTAATTTCATGCTATTTAAAATGTGTAAATAAAAGAAATACATATATGCCTAAGTTATTCCAGAATGCTGCAAAACCAAAGGTTTATGGGCCAAGAGCGGAAGGAAAAAGGTTTAAGGGCCATGACCCAAGGGAAAAGGTTTAAGGGTCATAACCCAAGGGAAAAGGTTTAAGGGCCATGACCCAAGGGAAAAGGTTTAAGGGTCATGAGCCAAGGAAACAGGTAATTTGTGCAAGGGATCTAGGACCACATGTTAACAAAATGAGTCCAGAGAAAACCCTTCTGTATATTCAGATGATATTATTGTTGTGACCATAGAAATATAATTTACGATGCTGAAGTTAATGCCTTATCATGAGTGAATCTATGAAAAGGATAACCATGTGTTCATGAACAAGGATGAAAGGGGGGGGGGGGGGCTCTCAGTTTTATCCTCTCTACATACATTAGGCATAGATGTAACCGTGACGGCCAGGCGCAGTAGTTTTTACTTTAGTGGATGCCCTACATGAATATTCTGAGTGAAAATAAGGAACAGTACTGGGATGTGTAGCTTCACCCCAAACCCTTAGAGCTATACTTCTTACATTCACATCATGTGGCTAGCTCATAAATTGGAACTATCATTGCCATTTTTTTTAATAATGTCCAAGAACTAGTAACCATGTAAGAACTAATTAAGATGACCATTTGAGACAAGAAACAACAGTTGACACTAAGTAAAACAGTGAGGAACAGGTGCACTCTAGGGTTTGACATTCTTCAATTCAGATACATTTCTATAAGGATTGACCAACATTGTCAAATTCAGATACATTTCTATAAGGATTGACCAACATGTCAAATTCAGATACATTTCTATAAGGATTGACCAACATGTCAAATTCAGATACATTTCTATAAGGATTGACCAACATTGTCAAATTCAAATACATTTCTATAAGGATTGACCAACATTGTCAAATTCAGATACATTTCTATAAGGATTGACCAACATTGTCAAATTCAGATACATTTCTAAGGATTGACCAACATTGTCAAATTCAGATACATTTTTATAAGGATTGACCAACATTGTCAAATTCAGATACATTTTTATAAGGATTGACCAACATTGTCAAATTCAGATACATTTTTAAAAGGATTGACCAACATTGTCAAATTCAGATACATTTCTATAAGGATTGACCAACATTGTCAAATTCAGATACATTTTTATAAGGATTGACCAACATTGTCAAATTCAGATTCATTTTTAACCATTAATGTCCCGTAACGCCCGCTGCCGCCCGACACCGTTAATGTCCCGTAACGCCCGCTGCCGCCCGCTTACAATACGCATAGAAAAATTAAATTTGTTTCATTAAAATTTGGCCTACAAATCCTAATTTTTAACTAAACAGGAAGTCGGATAGTTTCAGCATCCGTTTCCGGTCTTCTAATTTCAATGGCGCTTTTGAAAGATAAAAAAATAATAGTTTCTTTCTATCTCAAAATTTTAGACTCATCTGTCCTATTTTTAGTAGATTTAATATTAAAAATAAAATAAAATAATGCCTCTAAACGTATCTAGGCATGTATTTTATGAATTATATATCTTAAACATAACCAAATTGATATTTAACTGTTAAATTCGATGCATAGTTGTTTAGACAAAAATAAATAAAGTTGACTACGGAAAATGACCTGTTTTGAATTTTCTCCGACATTTTTTATTTTTTTTTGCAAATACCTATATGTTAAATACTGACATATTTGGTATCAGTTTTTAGAGCATTCATTTCTCTACAATATAAGATTTTTAAAAATTTAATTAGTTATTTACTGAAATGAGTTTAATTGATTGCTGTAAAATTAGTCATTTAATCATTTAGAGTTATTCCCCTTACGCTGGGACTCTATGGTTGGTAAACTTGGAGATGCTATGGGAGATTAATGGTTAAAAGGATTGACCAACATTGTCAAATTCAGATACATTTTTAAAAGGATTGACCAACATTGTCAAATTTAGATACATTTTTAAAAGGATTGACCAACATTGTCAAATTCAGATTAACTTCATTAAGGTTTAACCAACATAGTCAAATTCAGATACTTTTCTATAAGGATTGACCAACATTGTCAAATTCAGATTAACTTCATTAAGGTTTAACCAACATTGTCAAATTCAGATTAACTTCAATAAGGTTTAGCCACAACTAGTAACTTCAATGGCAGTGGCACTAAAACTTTAGATTTATATATTAAGACAATCTAAGAAGTGGTGGAGCGGTTATTTGATAAGGACAATGTGAGAGCCATCAAATCATGACTTCCCATTTCATAAGGACAATATGAGAGCCATAGAATTATAGCTACACCACTTCATAAGGATAATGTGAGAGCCATAGAATTATAGCTACACCACTTCATAAGAACAATTTGAAAGCCATCAAACTATGGCTCCATCATTTCATAAGGACAATATGAGAGCCGTAGAATTATGGCACCACTAAAGAAATTCTGAGAGCCATTAAAACCATGAGTCTACTCTAAGTAAACTACAGTGGTCAAAGGAATTCTTTTTTTTACAATTACAATCATCTTTGAATAAAAAACCTCAGTAAAAAATTGTGAAGCAGATTCCCAATGGAGTGACATCAACAACTGAGTCCAATCAATATTTGACTTTTCCCACAATCTTTTGAAGAAGTTGGTCTCTGTATGGAACAGCCACCTGAAGACAAATATCTACGGTCAGAATGGGCTTAAGGCAGCATATCTATAGCACTCAGTACAAGTCTCTCTCTACAGGTACTCAGGTCACACTCTACAGGTACTCAGGTCACACTCTACAGGTACTCAGGTCACACTCTACAGGTACTCAGGTCACACTCTACAGGTACTCAGGTCACACTCTACAGGTACTCAGGTCACACTCTACAGGTACTCAGGTCACACTCTACAGGTACTCAGGTCACACTCTACAGGTACTCAGGTCACACTCTACAGGTACTCAGGTCACACTCTACAGGTACTCAGGTCACACTCTACAGGTACTCAGGTCACACTCTACAGGTACTCAGGTCAGGTCTCTCTCTACAGGTACTCAGGTCAGATCCCACTCTACAGGTACTCAGGTCAGGTCCCACACTACAGGTACTCAAGTCAGGTCACACTCTACAGGTACTCAGGTCAGGTCTCACTCTAAAGGTACTCAGGTCACACTCTACAGGTACTCAGGTCAGGTCTCACTCTACAGGTACTCAGGTCAGGTGACTCAGGTCTCACTCTACAGGTACTCAGGTCAGGTCTCACTCTGCAGGTACTCAGGTCAGGTCTCACTCTACAGGTACTCAGGTCAGGTCTCACTCTACAGGTACTCAGGTCAGTTCTCACTTCAGGTACTCAGGTCAGGTCTCTCTCTACAGGTACTCAGGTCAGGTCCCCCGTCACACTCTACAGGTACTCAGGTCAGGTCTCACTCTACAGGTACTCAGGTCAGGTCTCACTCTACAGGTACTCAGGTCAGGTCACACTCTACAGGTCAGATGACTCAGGTCTCACTCTACAGGCACTCAGGTCAGGTCACACTCTACAGGTACTCAGGTCAGGTCCCACGTCACACTCTACAGGTACTCAGGTCAGGTCTCACTCTACAGGTACTCAGGTCAGGTCTCACTCTACAGGTACTCAGGTCAGGTCTCACTCTACAGGTACTCAGGTCAGGTCTCACTCTACAGGTACTCAGGTCAGGTCACACTCTACAGGTACTCAGGTCAGGTCACACTCTACAGGTACTCAGGTCAGGTCACACTCTACAGGTCAGGTGACTCAGGTCTCACTCTACAGGTACTCAGGTCAGGTCACAATCTACAGGTCAGGTGACTCAGGTCTCACTCTACAGGTACTCAGGTCAGGTCTGACTCTACAGGTACTCAGGTCAGGTCTCACTCTACAGGTACTCAGGTCAGGTCTCACTCTACAGGTACTCAGGTCAGGTCCCACTCTACAGGTACTCAGGTCAGGTCTCACTCTACAGGTCAGATGACTCAGGTCAGGTCTCACTTCAGGTACTCAGGTCATGTCTCACTCTACAGGTACTCAGGTCAGGTCACACTCTACAGGTACTCAGGTCAGGTCACACTCTACAGGTACTCAGGCCAGGTCACACTCTACAGGTCAGGTGACTCAGGTCTCACTCTACAGGTACTCAGGTCAGGTCTGACTCTACAGGTACTCAGGTCAGGTCTCACTCTACAGCTACTCAGGTCAGGTCCCACTCTACAGGTACTCAGGTCAGGTCTCACTCTACAGCTACTCAGGTCAGGTCTCACTCTACAGGTACTCAGGTCAGGTCTCACTCTACAGGTACTCAGGTCAGGTCTCACTCTACAGGTACTCAGGTCAGGTCTCACTCTACAGGTACTCAGGTCAGGTCTCACTCTACAGGTACTCAGGTCAGGTCCCATTCTACAGGTACTCAGGTCAGGTCCCACTCTACAGGTACTCAGGTCAGGTCTCACTTCAGGTACTCAGGTGGTTTCTTTCTACAGATACCCATGCATGCCAGATATCTATGATGACATAAACAAGTTTAACCCTTTAACTCCAATTGTCGCATAACAACAATTATATTGTGTGTCGTTGCACCACTGATTAAACTTTTTAACAGCTATTTATTACATTAAAAATTCTCCAGATAAAAGAAACAGACACGAGCTTCCTTTCAGTCAAAATTTCATAATTAGCTGCATAACTTAAGTGTTCATTAACGGATGCCTTTGAAGTATTAATGGGGATATGTATCAAATTTAGATGAAAATAAATAGTGATAATAATATTTGATTTATAAATGTGGATATGTTGGTACTTCTAAAGGTAGGAATCATTGATAATAATTTAATAATTGTAGTTGTGCTCTGCTTTGCTACGTTCATTACGACGAAGCACACTAATTTATTTTTGTTCAACTAAATGCAAATAAAGACTTCATTACATTTAATGTATTGACCATTTTATGCTTTTTTAAAAATAAATGTATGTTTGTAGCAGATGAAAATTTGTTTCATTCTGAATTTTTAAAAAGACTCACCCTATATAATTAGATTTTATTTTAAAGAGTAGTGCCCCCTTTTCTATGTGTGGCAGCCTAGGAGTCAAACAGTTAAAAACATTTAAAAAAAAAAACAACCTTCAGTGGCATCCCAAGAATACAAGATCCATTCATATCCTTGACAGCTGCCAGTACATCATATATTGTGGCAAGGTAGAGGAGAGCCTTTGTGCTGTAACACAAATAAATGCATGTTTTTTGTCATTCAAGGGTACAGGTTTGTCTTTGTGGTTAATACAAATAAATAACTTTATAAAAGGTGCACTATCTGACATATTGCACCAAAGATTAATACCTGTGACTGAGTGCAGTAATGGGCACATGACGAACTTACCAGCCATTTGCAGCCACATTGTTTTGCAAACAGATGTCACGTACGTGGTACTCAGCAAATGCCTTGCGGAGCGTACTCTATACAGAAGAAAGAATTGTAAGTCAAGATCCTTCAATGAATAAAGTGCCAAGTTTTACTGTAATAAATAAAATAGTGTCTGTCTTAATCCTACATTGAAGCGGGAGAGTGAAATTTCGGGCACTTCTATCTGATCAATTTCTCTGATCAGTTTCTCTCAAGACAATGCAATATGACATTAAATTTGACTTAATTGGATGACTAATTAAATTATGAATTGATTAAAATTTTCTGAAATTTGTAAGTAGTCTTATCTTACTATTCCGCACTATTTTAAGCCCCTTATGTTTATTTGGTGTGCAATAATTTTTAGTCATGCAACTATTGTATCAAAATATTTTAAAATGCTGAAAAAAAATGTAAAGGAAAGTGTAAAAGAAGAAAATAAATGATTTTCTTAAAGGGCATGGGCGGATGATGAAAACCAAAATTCTTATTTCTAAACCTAATGCTATAATATTTAGCATATAGTTATGACTAAAGTCTAAAAAAAAAAAAAGGCCCCCGAAAATTTCATGCCGTTCACTGAATAAAGTGCCGCTTTATACCTCTAGAGAATGCGAAGGAAAATTAGCAACAAAAATGCGAAAATTCAGCTCATCGATGTCTTGTTTTATTGTGGATGCATGGATCAGCGCCGGAATATCCGAGTAATCCACTTCAAGCTGTGGCATTTCCTGAGGATAAGGAAAAATAATGGAGAATTGGCTGGCATGAGTAGGAAATAAATGATGAATTTATGTGAGTGCCTACCATGTCACAAACATTTTATGTGAGGTGCCTGCAGTGTAACACTTTATGTGACTTCAGTCAGATTAATAGAAAAGATAAGAGCGGACATTAGTGCCTCAGTTAATGAGTGGTTACAGATAAATGGCCAGTTGAGGGAGACATACAACAGGCACTAGGTTGATAGTGCTCTTTTTCTCTAAACCAAAACCAAAATCACCACCTCAACTTCAAATTTAAACGCAAAATTTCATTGAAAATAGATTTTTATCCAAAATCAGCATTTTAACCAGATTTAACCTTGATCTACACGTAGTTACTGTACATACAAACTAAATATGGTGGGGGGGGGGGGGGGGGGGGGGGAAGAAAGGAAATGTGTGTGAGCTCCCCGAAGAACATTTACTGCCCCTTTTAACAAAATGAAATTTATATAGTCCACCCCCCACCCCCTGAAAATTTCAGATCCCGGGAAGAAACTCCACATGCATACCACTTTTAAGATTAGACAAATAAATTAGGATGTACTTTTCCAGCTTAAGAATATATTTCCTATATGTTCCATGTGACGTCACGGTCATGGAAAATTACTATTAACTATTATTACAGATTGGAGATTCAAACACTACACTAATACATTTACAATTACATTAAACACTGGAGTTTTTAAAAAAAATTGTTTTACCAGAACTTGTTTAGCTGCTAAATTTTCCATTCTAGGACTGGAGTCTTCTGAAATGTATAAACCAAAGTTGGGTCGCAAGCACAAACTAGATATATGACATGATCAAATGGCCTATCAAAGACAAACTAGATATGTGACATGATCAAATGGCCTATCAAAGACAAACTAGATATGTGACATCATCAAATAGACAGCTTAATACATCTCGGAAGTGTGGTCAATGTATGTATTTGAACAGACGAATATATCTAACATTTGCCAATCTTGTAAGTCAGGAAATCGTCCAACATCTCTAAAAAAAGAATCTTTTAATGTTAAAGCAGTCCTGTTCTACAGATCAAAGACATGGAGAACAACAAAAAGCTTCCACACTTTTATATATAGGTGCCTAAGAAGTATATAAAATGGCAAGACAAGGTAGAAAACATAAAACTATAGATGTGTGGACAGGAAACAATAGAAAGGCAAATCATGCAAAGTGACGGATTAGGCACACGCTTAGGAAAGACTTTAAAGCCAGCCAAGCCCCAGATGGAACCCAGAGGGCAAGCAACACAGGAGTATACCCAGGAAGACATGGTGAAGGATAGAAAGAAATCAAGAACAGCTGAAAGGAGTGGCAGGAAAAAGTGGAGAGTGGAACAAAGAGGAAAAATGCTGAATCTACCTCTGTGGCCACTGTTTTTTTTATAGTCAACTAACAATGTTTTCTCTCTCTGTTCTTTGTGATTCAAATCCTCAATAACTTTCTTGGCGGCTGAATCACTGCTCATTTCAACATAGGCAAAGCTGTCGAAGATTTAAAAAAAATAATCATTAAACTGCCATGACAATTATATGACTATTATAAAAATAGTTATCTAAATGCAAATCTTCCTAACAAGCCTCTAAGAATCTAGAGATGTGAGATATTTACATTTTCTTGGGCTGTTTTTTGATGACATTCACAGATTCTGGCTGGTAAGGCTTGATCAGCTCTCTGAACTCCATCTGTACAAAAATCTTACATCTCAGTAGCTGTTACAGGGTGATAGTACACTGAGCTTACCAAAAATCTTACATCTCAGTAGCTGTTACAGGGTGAGAGTACACGGACCTTACCAAAAATCTTACATCTCAGTAGTTGTTACAGGGTGATAGTACACTGAGCTTACCAAAAATCTTACATCTCAGTAGCTGTTACAGGGTGATAGTACACTGACCTTACCAAAAATCTTACATCTCAGTAGCTGTTACAGGGTGATAGTACACTGACCTTACCAAAAATCTAACAAGCTATTCCTCAGTAGCTGTAAAAGGGTGACTCATTACTTTATAAATGTTGATTGGATAATGAATGGTTAAAGAATCTTTAAAAAAAAAGGACTACTATTATCTCTAGAAATTTTACCTCAGATTCAATGTTAGAGATGTAGAGTGTGACAGGTTTATCTGAAGCTGGAAAAAACAGTAAACATTTTGATGACACAACACAAACGACCTACTCAAATAAAAGATAAAATTAATACTTTTTATACATCTGGTTTACCTATCTTGATGATTACAATACAAAGATTTAATTAGCAACCAAAAAACCCGAGCAGAACGCACCTGTAGTTTTCACATGCGGGACAAAACAGTTGTCGGGTATCATGGTGTTCCTCTCCAGATTTCTACCGTTTACTTTATTACCATTGACTCTGTCGCTGCCTCTGTTTTGATTTGTTTTCTGGCCATTATAAAAAGTATTTGTATCCAGTGAGGAATCTTGTTGTTCAATAAGCAGGTCATTGGGTCTTGCAGTATCATTATTAGCATTCATCATGTACTCTATTTCTTTCTTGGATGCATTTGCCAACTCCGCATGATATCGTTTACCAAACATATTTACAGCATTGACCACTTCCTCTTTTTTTCCATATCTAACAAATAAGTATCTAAGGAAAAGAAAAATCATTTATGAAATTGTATTCTAATAAAGTATAGAATTTGAAATCAGTCAACTACAGCAAGTCTAAAACATAACATAGAATTTATGTCAGAATATGAATATAATGAACTTACTTTTGGCTAAAATTTGTCCTTTTCACCAAACCTGCTTTACTAAATATATTTTCAATCATCTACAGGATAAAAAAAAAACGTTTTCAATCAAATATCAAAATAAAATATGTTCAGGCTCTTGTCTGTATGTCATGTTCCAATAGCTGAGCCAGAAATATGTTTGAATATTTTTAGAGACCAGCAGAGAGCCAAGTACAAACAGGAGATAGAGAAGCTATAGAACATGCAGGAGAGAGAGAAGAAACAGACAAACAGGAGTGAGAGAAGAAACAGACAAACAGGAGTGAGAGAAGAAACAGAACAAGCAGGTGAGAGAGAAGCAACAGAACAAGCAGGTGAGAGAGAAGCAACAGAACAAGCAGGTGAGAGAGAAGCAACAGAACAAGCAGGTGAGAGAGAAGAAACAGACAAACAGGAGAGAGAGAAGCAACAGAACAAGCAGGTGAGAGAGAAGCAAGAGACAAACAGGTGAGAGAGAAGCAACAGAACAAGCAGGTGAGAGAGAAGAAACAGACAAACAGGAGAGAGAGAAGAAACAGACAAACAGGAGAGAGAGAAGAAACAGACAAACAGGAGAGAGAGAGAAGAAACAAACAGGAGAGAGAGAAGAAACAGACAAACAGGAGAGAGAGAAGCAACAGACAAACAGGAGAGAGAGAAGAAACAGAACAAGCAGGTGAGAGAGAAGCAACAGAACAAGCAGGTGAGAAAGAAGCAACAGAACAAGCAGGTGAGAGAGAAGCAACAGAACAAGCAGGTGAGAAAGAAGCAACAGAACAAACAGGAGAGAGAGAAGCAACAGAACAAGCAGGTGAGAGAGAAGCAACAGACAAACAGGAGAGAGAGAGAAGAAACAGACAAACAGGAGAGAGAGAAGAAACAGACAAACAGATGAGAGAGAAGAAACAGACAAACAGATGAGAGAGAAGAAACAAACAGGTGAGAGAGAAGAAACAGACAAACAGGAGAGAGAGAAGAAACAGACAAACAGGTGAGAGAGAAGAAACAGACAAACAGGAGAGAGAGAAGAAACAGACAAACAGGAGAGAGAGAAGAAACAGACAAACAGGAGTGAGAGAAGAAACAGACAAACAGGAGAGATAGAGAGGCAACAGAACAAGCAGGTGAGAGAGAAGAAACAGACAAACAGGAGAGAGAGAAGAAACAGACGAACAGGTGAGAGAGAAGAAACAGACGAACAGGTGAGAGAGAAGCAACAGACAAACAGGAGAGAGAGAAGAAACGGAACAAGCAGGAGAGAGAGAAAAGCAATAGACAGATCCCATAAATCACTTAGGACAACTCTAGCAATATTAAAAGTCAGCAATATGACAGTTTTACAGTGACAGTATGTAGAGTCGGAAAACTTCAAACAATGTCGTGACAGTGAGACACTAAAATTATTTTCAGATTCAACTAAGAAAACAAGATGTTCTGGTTAGTGGCTTTCTAACTGATAAAGTAGCCAATGAATTTGACATAATTATCAGTTGTTTTGTTGTCTTTGTCCATCCTTACATACAACTTCATCTAACATGAAGATTCACGACAGTTTCATTAGTAACAAATTTGGTTGAAATGTCCAATCAAAAACACTCACAAAGGAATGTTTCTGTTTTTGGGAGGTGAAAAATGTTTCTGATTGGTGTGTGCAGTAGCCACACAAAGTTTAGAACCCAAAATGTCTAGATCATGTCAAGTTGGCTGAGAACTTGTCTAGATACCACTTTTCTCTATACTCTATGACACTGTATACATTTTGTTATATCTAATGTGTTTGGGGCAAAAATGACCCATGTTAGTATATACACATACAGTTAAAATTTTGGATGACTAGTAATTAAGTAAAATCTATGATTGACAAGCTGTTTAGACCCACCATCAACTTGAATACTACTACTTGAACCAACAGTCCAATTGCACCAGAAGTGTGCATCTGTACCCTGGTGGTTGTGTCTTCTTCTTCCTTCGTAATTTTAGAGTTGGAAGGGTTCCCCTCCAACACAATTAAGGGGTTTACTACGGGGGATGGCAACTCGGGATATAGACTTGATTTTTAATCCATTTTTAATAACTTAAACTTTTAAAAATAGAATAGAATCTCGTAGAAAAAAGAATTTCGCACCAAGTAAACGCCAAACAATGTGCATAATAGTGCTTAATATTATGAGTACTTTATAAATTCACATGCCATGTTTTGAGAAATCGGAAATAGTGTAAATTACTACTTCCGTCAATGGAAATTACAAAAAAATTGATAGAAGGCAGAGAATCAGATCTTTTACTTAAATATGAAATTTCATTAATCTATCTGAAATAGTACTCAAGTTATAGGCTTTTGAAAAATAGAAACTAGAATAAGTTCCACTTCGGGTTATCAGAAATCACTGAAAAGTTGATACAGAACTACAAATTTGATATAATACTCATATATGAAATTTCATCAACCTAGCTGTAACGGTACTCAAATTATGGTGTTTACAGACACACATACACACACAGACATACGGACAAAATTGCAGAACTATGTTTTTCTGAACCAGGGAGGTGTAAAACGTCGAGATCTGTGAAAATCTCGATTTTTTTTTTTTGCACGATTAAAATTACTTCCTCTATACTTTGTATATGAGAAAGTAAAAATTGGTGGGAAAATCTTGGTAACTATGACAATGGCGGCCATCTTGAAAATTAACCCCTTCGTAGGTTTTCCACCATTCATAAAATATTATATTTTAAGCCTAATAAACAATGAATTCATAATCTTCCACCATATTTTAGGGTACTCAGCTAAAAATTTTAAGTGCATATCTTTAAACTAATTTTTTATGAATTTTCAAATTGTGGGTCCTTTCTTCTGAGATCACACCACTGCTGGATGTGCCAACTTGTTACTAATAAAAGGTTCAGCTGTTAAAACAATATCAAAGTTACTAAACAAGGTTGCATCTAATAGAGATTTTTAAAATTACCTTTTTGTCTTGTTGAGGGAAGTAATCAATAGGGACACACACTGAATATAATCCATTTCTGTCTGGTTTCAAGTTTTGTACATCCATGGCAACTTGTTTGGTAAAAAAAAAAACATTATAGTTAAACAGCAGTACTATCCCACAAACAAGTTATTAGAGCATGCAATGATAATTAATGACTAAACCAAACCAGGGGTTGCATCCGAAGTCCCTGCAATAGTGTAACCAACTAAGATTCAAGAAGAGTCCCAGCATTGTTTACATTTAATTTTGGCATTTTTAGAAAACAAGGTCTAGATCTAATTAGTAAGCTACTACTTAGGCCTTAAGAATCAATGTTACAAAGTTGCAAATGCTGAGAACTTTAAAATATTTTTGTTCGAGGCTACAAAATGTTACATATTTCATTTTATTTTCATTTTAAGACAAACATTAATTAGTTTTAGCTAGGGCCTATATAGCTACTGACCAATCGAATGCAAGCTTTATACCTCTTAGGGATTTAAAGGGTTGTTTCTAAATATCAATTTTTTATTCAATCAATAGACTTTAAAGTATTCTAAATGAACAAAATTTGCTATGTTTGCGAGCAAAGTATAGGTATGAGCTGACTTGTAAAATTAAAAAAAAAAAAACAAAAAAAAAAAACCAAAGCCTTACTTAATCAAGAATATCTTAAATGCTATATGTTAGGAGACTAGGAATACAAAATTATTAAATTAAACATAGGCCTATCCTAAAACATACGCCCAATTATTACACTAGAATGGTTGTGGAGTATTCTGGTACTTTCTTCATTTTTCTAGATTTACTATCAAATAGTTTTAATAGTTAGATCTAATTCCATTTTTTTGTTGCTATGTGTCGTGTGTTAGCAGATATAACACTACAGGTATACTTGAATAAATAGAGCATAGTTATTTTACTTGCAGTTGTATTTTGATCATATTTGCAGAGTTTAGCTAGAATGATATATAGAACTTGTAGGCCTATATGCCGTTGAAATGAATAAAAATAATACAGAAGTATATTTTTGTGTTAGCTTCCTCCCATAACTCCAAAAAACTGTGTGCTGCGCAAATATGAAAATGTTTCTAAAGCAATGTTTTATATAAATACAGTGAATGAAAGAACTGCATAGTTAGAAATCTAAAGTAAATGACATGAACACTGTGTTGCTATTACTAAATACCCTATATTTAGCTGTATATACAAAATCATTAAATATACAGCAATTATAGTAAGACGTCGTGGTCGAGTGGAGAACGCGGTGCCTCACGCATCTCGATCAGTTACGGGTTCCGAACCTATCAAAGCGTGAAATAAAGTGTATTTATCTAAGTCTAACATTCCATTGAGTTGTTTGCAAAAGTGTCTTTTTGTAATTGTTTTTTTTTAAAATAGATTATTTTTTTTCTAGATTTAGGTTTTTAAACACGCCAATTAGGCCCTATAAAAACATCGTTGCTCCATTGATCGCCCGCTCGCGTTTTCTGGTCAGCGCAAGAAAAATACCGACACGGTCTAGCCAGGGTCACTGTGAGTTAAGATTGGTTTAGATGTGAACAGTGTAGCGTATAGCATACGTCATAGCAAGACCTTGGCTATGTCGTAGAGACATGCGGTATGCTGTAAGTGTAAGGCGGCGGGTGGGTAGGGTATATACTCATTGAAGAAAAAACCCACCGTGGTGCGTGTTATTGGCCTTGGGCCTTCGGTGACGTTGTTGGCGTTTGCTGTGAGGGGGAGAGGGGTGTGTTATATCCGTTTAAAAGAAATCGCAAAACGTTATTGGCCTATGATGACGTCGGCGCAAGCGGGGGGGGGGGGGGGGGAGACACTTTTTTTTTTAAACCAAGAACTAGGCGTTTAAAGGCTGTAATGAAAATCAAGGACTGGTATAGCCATGATGTCGAATTTAACGAGTGATGCTTGCTGGGTCTATCATACGATTGCTTGGCGATGGGAATCTCGTCAAGCTCAGTTTATATTTACAGTGAACTATTGGGATGCTGTCATACACAAAGTAACAGCTCTGAATGTAGCACTTAAAACATCGAGTGCATCCCGCTCATTATAAATTTGAAATACAAGTTATGGATTGTCCAAAAACTTGAAGGACTATCAGAATATATGCATTGTATTATAACATTAATCATTACGATAAAACTAAAATGTGTATCCAAATATTTTTAGGCTAACAGGATCTGCATTTAAATAAACAAGACCTATTAGGCTATTTTTGCATGGTAGCACAACTACATTTTTAGATTTCATAATGAGTAGCCTAGTCGTGCATTAAAGGGCTGTACTCAATAACAATGAAAAAAATTAAATGCCGGCTTCAAACTTCAAGCTATGATTTCCCCGTATTCTTCTACTAGAAATATAGCTCCGTTGTTCTAATGACCTCACCCTCCTCCTCTCACCTAGTTCAATTTAAAGTTACACTTTCAACCCCGTTAGGATGCGTGAACTACTGATGACCTAACTATTGAAAAAAAAAACTATTCTGGCGTTAAATTGCCCTCCCCTACTCGCAGCACTTTGGGGCCATACACATCAGGAAGGTCTAGGACGGTGTTGTATCTCGTGCAAATTTACTCACAACACGACTACACACTATGGTTGTATCCAGGACTAAAGCTGCGACACTCGCATAGAGTTGGATTTATTCGTTAGATCATTGTGCTTCAAATTCTGTTTCAATATTGGATTAGATGGATATAATGTTGGAATTCACTTAGTTTGTTATATTATATTTATCTAAATGTCGTGTACCATCAGAAACTAAATTGGTTGACAAGACTCATGTGTAGGCTAAAGAATGACCTCTAGATCGAGCCAAAGATGGCTGGTTAAGGTTGACAAACTGGTTTTCAAATTTCATGGTGATGCTTTTCTAAAGGATTTTATTTTGTGCTTTCTTTGGAATTATTTTGTGTGATGTGATTATTCAGAAGTAATTTGTAAGTAGAAGCTTTTCACATCCAACCATTTTAACAGTTTGCGATTGATCTGCTGCCGGGCTGATTAATTTACATTTAACGAAACTACACACTACACGGCGGAGAAAGCGCGCGTTTGATTGGTTGGCGGCTGACACTATGAAATCCTCTAAGGACGATTCGAATGGTATACCGAGATTTGTTTGCACATGCCATAAGAATGCTGTTATTAGTTGATCAAACTTAAAGGCCGGAAGATCGGGATGAAAAAATATAACAATGGTGGCAGCGTGACCTACATAAAGTGACTTCGTTCGGAGCAGTATAACTAATGTCGGAGTCAAAATATCCAAAAACAAATTTCATTTCCACATACTTAAGATATGTCTGATCAGTAATCTACTCTCACCTAGAATAATCTTTTAAAAAATCGTGATTCCAACGTATTTGAAACTAGCCTTCATACAGCGTGCGATCAGATCGCTAAGCCATCAAAACAATGGGAAAACCATTCCACTTTTCATTTAACATTAGGAAATGACCTTTTAAACTTAATTAATTACCATAAATTAAAAACTTATTAGTATGCAAAACCAAATCTCGTGCGCCCAGTATCAGAAAGTAATGGGTGATTTCGGGTCATGTTTTTACAGCGATCTCGGCCGATACCGACAACCCTAGTAGTAGTTAGTCCCTACTACTAGATCTAGTTAATAGTTATGGCTGCGGCTATTCGTAGTGAACTACTAATAGCCCTATGAAGGCTATTCGTACTCTGACCAATCAGCGTGCGGCATTTTTTTTTTTATTCTTGAATTCCCTTTTTCATCTTTTACAAGCTGTATAGATTAGGGAGGCTCAATAACTTAAAAGCGTCCTTGGTTGCTAACCAGAACATGGCGTAAGGATCGGACCATGACTTCCGGCGAGTTTTTCGACTTAGTTCCAGAGACCTTCTTAGAATTACTTTTAAAAATAGTTATCACGAGTAAAATGGCGGGTTTTCACGTTATAAAAACATGCTATAGGTGGCAAGGCTAAATATGCCAGAAAAGCATTTTCAGAAATTGCTTTGGGGAATGTAGGCTAAATTTAAAGTCGGTGTCATTCAAAATAATATAACTTTTTAAATATAGATCTCCCTATCACAAAATTGATTTCCATAGTAAAGCATTATTAGTTTTATCATTCTATGAAAAAAGAAATCAATTATCTTCAACCCTTTTTTTAATAAGAGTGGCCAAAAAATGACAACCAAATTTTTTTAATTTTTTTGACCACGTGACCGCTATTTGATGATCACTAGTGGGGAACTCTGGGTACATGGCCACTTAAAAAGTCTAACCGCATTTGTGGTTCTCTTTAGCTTCAAGTGCCTTCAGGGGTAAGAAGAGTTGTCATGGAGAGATGTGTTGTCCATGGCAGTGAGTGTCAATAAATATTAAATTAAGTAATTTAGTTTAAAACGAACTAAAAACTTCAAAATTAGTCCCTAATGGATTAAATATGGATGTCTATCATTCAGTAGTCATGTTTAATTTGAAATTTGGGTAAATTCTAGATTTAGTAAGAAAATCTAGTATAGATATAGAACAAATTATTTTTTAGATCTCCATAACCCTATACCTAACCCTATACCTAACCCTAACCCTATGCCTAACCCTAACCCTATACCTAACCCTAACCCTAATGCTAAACCCTAATCCTTAAAAAAATTTAAAAAAAAAAAAGAAAAAAAAAAAAAAAAGAAAAAAAAAAAGCAAAAAAAAAAGAAAAAAAACCTCTGAGCCAGCGGGAATCGAACCCACGCCTCAAAAAACTAGTAAGCCAATGCGCAACCACTTCGACCACCGGAACAGTTACGACAAACTACAAAATTTGAATCTCATACATAAACTGCAGGACAATGAATTTAAAAATAAATTTGATTGGTCGGCTAAAAATAGCGAAGTACGAATAGCCCTCTGAAGGCTATTTGTAGTGAAGTACCAATAGACACTCTCATAGTTATTCTATCTTAGTATAGTTAGTCTCATATAAATTCAATTTTCTTCAAATTATAAAAAGAATAGCATATAATTGTAGAGCTTTAAAAATGCAATCCAACAGTACCAATTTTATTAATTTAGCATAATCGGTTGATTAAATATAATTTTTTTAGTGTCGCAAATAAAATATATAGAAACGCGACCAAAAACGCAGGTAAAAAGTCAAATTCACTTGTTTTAAAGCTAGTAAGCAAGAAAAGACATGAGTCTTTCTTATTATTGAAATCAGTTTGCTTATACCTACATTTTTTTACACCAAGGTGAAAGTAAATAGTTTATATAAATTTATAAAATGCCATTTATATAATTTATTGTATGTTTTGTGATGAATTTTCAATTGGAAAATACCGCATTTGGAAGCAGAAAGGTAAATTCTACAGAACAGATGTTGTTTGGAATGTTATAGATTATAGATCTAGGCCTACATCAAAATGTTTGTTTAATAAAATTCAATTAGAGTCCACCCATTTCTGATGGGTACCTGATATACATTGGGGAAATTAAAGGTAAAAAGTAAAGGCGGCTGTGAATATCGCTGACCACACGGACAATCACTTCATATGCCGAGGTCAAGAAACATGAACTCTACTTCATCTGCCAAATAGATTGCTTTGTCTACAGAGGAATCTTAATTAATGTTTACAGGGGCCTAATAAATTTGAGTTATGTTTGTAAAAACAGTAGGCCTAAGCTTTAAAAACTTATTTTGGTCAATATCGGAAAAAATATAAAAATCTTTTCGACTAAATGGGTTGAAAAAAGCTTTGAATTTGTTTCATTGTTTGTTATTATATCTTGTAGTATTTAGAATTTAAGCTTTCTTTCTTAATTAGAAGTTGTATTAATTTCAAACCTTAATGTAATTTCTTTTTAATTCAGTATTAGCCTAAATGTAAGGTAGGCTACAGAATTCAGATATTACCTATGGTTTTGTGATTTTTATATGTTTATAATAACATTTGTGTTTATGAAATGACCTAATGAAGTTATCAAGCAAAGTGTTTTATTATTATTTTAATAGGCCTGCAAGTTATAAGTACAAAATATAGATATCTAATCACTAGATCTAGGTCTAAGTTTAAGAAAAAACTACCAAAAGGGTTTGAAATACTTAAATATAGTACTAAAAGTAGCTATGTTTTGAAAAAAAATATCTTAAACTGGAGACATTCAATTTAAAAGTCATTATAAAAACTCCACGATCTAGATTTATTTCTAGATCTCTAGTAGGAATACAGATTTAGAGGCTTTCCCATCAGTATCAATGTACTATCTTAGCTATGTGGGAGGTCAGTACGAGTTCACTGGGAAAAAAATCGGATCTGCCGTAGGGGGGTGGGTTTAGTGCGCAAATGCTCCTGACCGATTGCCAAAAGGTACAGAAATTCTAAAGATACATTTTAAAAGAAAAATGGACGGCTGAACTGCAGTTATCAAAATATCTGTGTAAGTAGAAGTATAAATAATAATATTTTACACAAATATAGCTGTCTTTTGCTAAATCTAGCTCAATTTCCACGAAAATCGCATCCGGTCGCAATAATTTTTATATCAGCTTGTCGGCCATTCAACGATCTATCACGTGTAGCAGACGCCAAACAGATTTACCCGTATGGTATTGCGCGAATGCTATTTTTAGCAACAGTGCCGAGACGCGATCGAAAAAAACGAACTAGAAAGTGGCCATAAAAAAGCGGGTCAGGGGAGGTAATTCAACTAGCGTTATGAGACTAGCTACTTAGTATCTATCTAGTAGTTTATTAAAATTGTTTAGGCCTAGCCCTAGTGTTTCACTGTTATAATAATACTAATAATAGAACTAACTAGGCCTACTAAACTGTAAAAAATAAAAACCAGTCTAAAAACTCTTCAAACTAATCACTAATCCTGAATCAATCATTTAATCAATCAGTAAAAGTAAAACTGAGTAGGCCTAATCTCTAGACTCTCTAGAGTACTCTAGAGTCTAGACTAGAGCTAGAGCAAACTAACCAGAGGTTCTACAATCTACACAAAGATTATTCCAAGAATAGATTTATTTATTAGATCTCTAGATCTAGACTAGTTCTGGATCTAGATATAGAGTAATCTAGACAGATTGTAGCCTAAATTAATTTTTTAAAATTAGATCTGGACTACAGCTAGGACCTACTAGAATCTAGATCTAGATCTAGATCTACAGTTCAATCAAAAGACTACACTCTAGTCTAGACTCCTGGTTGGTCTGACTTTGCCAGATACATTGTAATAAAACATGCCAAGTACACTTTTCCAGCCAGAATGTGCTGTACGTGTAGTCTAATAATAATTACATTGTGGAGTAGGCCTAGTCAAGTTTATTACATTTTTCTAATAACATTTGCATTGCGTTATTTAAAAGATGAAATTAAACCCCCAATCTTTCTATACTTAAAGATCTATTAGGGCCTATTAATTTATTAATATTAGGCCTACAGTTAATTGTAGAATATAGGTCTAGGCCCTAGACTTTAGCTTAGCCCTAGCTCTTCTAGAATTCTAGATTTTTTTCCCCGCGGGATATCTAAATTTAATTTTTGTGTTTTAGCAGAGGAACTCTCCAATGAACATGAATTCAGCAGTAAGGCACGCACTAAAACTAAGGCCCCTAGGAAATTATTATAATAATAGATCTATATTAAATATTTAGTTGTATAAAATTAATTATAATAAAATACGGCTTAATACGGTAATCTATCGTTTTACTTTTAGGTAGGCCTACGTAAAATCGCCCGCGGCTAGTAATGTACGAAAAAGTTACCTCATTGTCAAGGCTTTAATTTAAACTTTAATACTTTAATACTAAAAAAATAATACTTTATATAATACTTTAATAGAAGTATAAATAGTAAATAGTATACCATTGTTATACTGTGATATAACAGGTATAGATCTATTTGTGTCAAACATTATAGATAAATGAATAATAAACCTAAATCAATGGCTAAACATATCAATGTAGTTGAATATAGGCCAGAAATTAACTTTAAACAGCAGTAGATTTAATTTAAATGTCTAAATGAAAATGAGCATGGTTGCATCTGTTGAAGACATCACTAGTCTTCATGTATTATTAGGCCTACTGAAAAGTTTTAATTCAATTGTTTAAAAACAGGTACAGAAATGAAACAAGGAAACATTTTTGATTTTTCAAAACATAAATCCTCTTCAAAATGTGAAACTGGTAGACTAAACCCTAGCAATGAAAAATAAAAGCACAAATATTTAGAAGATCTGAAATTCGGCTTTACTAACATCACAATGGAAATGGAAGAAAAAAATAAACAATTCGTACTGTGCAAAGTTGTTCTTAGTCATGAGTCTATGAAGATTTCAAAGCCAAAACGGCATTTTGAGACGAGTCATTTGGAACACACCAAAAAAGATATAGAGTTCTTTCGTCGGCAGGAAGTTTTTACCTCGGAAACACAGCATTATCGCAAGCATCATATGTAGTCACATTAAAAATTGCCAAGCGAAAAAACCTAACACAATAGGAGAAAATCTCATCAAACCCTGTATGTTGAGGATGGTGAAATTAAATCTTGGGGATTTCAGTGCGAGAAAGATGCAACAAATATCTCTGTCTAATAATACTATTCAGCTGCATAAAGCAGACATGTCCGTAAATGTAAATAATAAATACCTAAAAACATTTATAATTACAAGCTTTTATAAATGCACTAAAAAAGAAGAAAATAATACAATTTTTATTAAATATAAAATAATTTTTAAAAATAGAATAAATCTGCGGTTACTTTAAATATAAAAAAATTACTTTCTTTAAGGGGTCGGCGTGGTCGAGTCGGTAAAGCCCATGGTTGCTAAACCGAAAAGTCTCGAGTTCGAACCCTCGGGTAGATGAGGCTCGTTAGCTGGGGACAGCCACTCCTCTAGGAGAGACAACTCCAAAATTAAACAACTGCTGCCTTGTAGTTTGTTCTTGGTTGGACAATGGCTATGGAAGCAAATCCAAAAAGAAAAGCAGGCTGAAATCGGAGTCAATGGCCTCAATGGCGCATAACCAGTTGACACGTAACGCTTAATTTTGTTGGAGGCGTGGTCGAGTCGGCAAAAAGTTCATGGTTTATAAATTCGAAAAGTCTCGAGTGGCAGATAAATCTCGATCCCCTTCAACACTAATAATTAAGAACGAAGAAGAAGAAGAAGACTTTCTTTAAATATATTAATGCACTACTATTTATATCACTATAAATAAAAGCGTGGGCAGATTGTTTAAATACTTATTATTATAGTGGCCCAAGCTTTTGTGTCTTCTCCAATTAAAAACAAAACAAAGATAAAATTAAATTACTTATACATGCATACATGAATGCACGAATACATGCATACAAGCATATACGCATACAAGCATACATACATACAAGCATACACACATACAAGCATACATACAAGCATACATACATACAAGCATACATACATACATACATACATACATACATACATACATACATACATACATACATACATACATACATACATACATACATACATACATACATACATACATACATACATACATACATACATACATACATACATACATACATACATACATACATACATACATACATACATACATACATACATATACTTATATATTTCTAGAAATTAACTTAAAGAAAAAAATAACTGCTGTGCAGCTTCAAATCCAAAACAGCTTTTAAACTTTTATTCATTTGTATTTCACAAAAAGTTTTAAAGAGCACTTTGTTTGATATTTTTATAGACACCCATTTGAATTCACACTTACAAGAACATGCCTCCTGTAGAAGAGTCAACCATTTCTTTTATTAAACGGTAAGTTAGGCTTAATTCATAACATTTCATTAAAATCCATGTCAGTAATCAATAATTTGCTTAAAATAGTTAAAAGCTATGTTATTAATTAATTACTGGTGATGTTGTAAAAAATATCTTAAATTCAGATAACTTGTATGCTTTTCAAGTTTTGAAAGATGTGTTTTGTTATCTTTTAATAGGTGGAATTCTACTGATGGCCCTAAAGATTTTTCGCTTCAGAGCTATAGGACAGCTATAGCAGATCTGGTGGATGCATTTCTTAAAAATCTTAATGAGGGTAAGATAGCTAGTAATGATAAGAATGTTTGATTTTAATCTTGCATAAGAATATTAGATAAAGAAAAATTGTGCAATCTATAATTGGTTTAAATCTTTTGTAAGTTATACTGATATTTATTGCTGTTAATTTTTTTTTCAATGAAAAAAGTCATACATTTTTTATTTTAGCTGCAGAAAGTTTGGCAAGCACAGGCGAGGACAGTGGTAGTTACCGTTCACTTACTGTGTGTCTAGCATTCCACAGGGAAAATCCAGACATTTTCATTCAGACTTCAGACCAAACAGGCACTAGTTCAGTTGAGACAGAAAATATTGATCCAATACCATCTATTGGTGAGTTATACAAGGATGTAATTTTTCTTAATTTCAGCATATTTCAGTCATTAGAATTTTCAGCCCTAAATTTTCCACTGATAGTTGAAGTAAGATCTACTTATCTTTAATTTAAAAATTGGTGAAAAAAGTATTTAAAAAAACTTGCTACTCTCAAAGGAAATGCGCATCCCTGAGCCCAGTTTCTTAAATGATAATCTCACATGTGTGGTACTCCTGTAGGTATTATTTTTGTACTGGTACTTATAATTAAGCTTTCATTTTTAAACTGGTATCAATTGCTAAAAATCACAAAAATAATTTTGTATTTCTTGTAAAAGTTGCCTACTAAGTATACTCGCTGCCCCACCTCATAGCATCTGTAGCTCATTAAGTCTATATGAACTGTGACCTGATTATGTTTGTTACTGATGGTTTGGGGGAAAATAACAGTCACAGCACAGACAAAGAGCTGTGTCTTGCTGTGACATTTTCTAGAGGCCTACTGATTTTTTAACTTATGTTAACCCTCGGTGACCCCCTTGCTGGTTTCTTGTTTAGGTAAAACCATTTGTAATAACAGCCATTTTGTATAGTGACAACCTCTACTTTTAAAGCATAAATACTGGTATATTGACACACGGAAATGATTAATAGGTCACATAATGTTACTCAATAGAGTAGAATAAATTTTTTGAGTTCATTATGAACTCTTACTATATCAACTTTGCATCTTATTTTAAAAGCTCATAAGTTAGATTAAAATGCTTTTATTTAAATTTTACTCCCAGATTTCTGCTTCTGGTTTTTCCGTTGTCTACTCCGTCTACTGAGTCGGCCTGACTGCAAAGATCTGCACCCAATGACCATTAAACTAATGACCCACATCATGCATGCCACCAAGCTAAAGAACAGATTTGTTTTCAAACACCAGCTTGTAAATTTCATAACACTATGTACAGGTGAGCCCAACACACAGTTGTCATGTACAGGTAGCCCAACACACATTTGTCAGGTACAGGTGAGCCCAACACAGTTGTCAGGTACAGGTGAGCCCAACACACAGTTGTCAGGTACAGGTGAGCCCAACACACAGTTGTCAGGTACAGGTGAGCCCAACACACAGTTGTCATGAACAGGTGAGCCCAACACACAGTTGTCAGGTACAGGTGAGCCCAACACACAGTTGTCATGTACAGGTGAGCCCAACACACAGTTGTCAGGTACAGGTGAGCCCAACACACTGTTGTCAGGTACAGGTGAGCCCAACACACAGTTGTCAGGTACAGGTTAGCCCAACACACTGTTGTCAGGTACAGGTGAGCCCAACACACAGTTGTCAGGTACAGGTGAGCCCAACACACAGTTGTCATTTACAGGTGAGCCCAAAACACAGTTGTCAGGTACAGGTGAGCCCAACACACAGTTGTCATTTACAGGTGAGCCCAAAACACAGTTGTCAGGTACAGGTGAGCCCAACACACAGTTGTCATGTACAGGTGAGCCCAACACACAGTTGTCATGTACAGGTGAGCCCAACACACAGTTGTCAGGTACAGGTGAGCCCAACACACAGTTGTCAGGTACAGGTGAGCCCAACACACAGTTGTCAGGTACAGGTGAGCCCAACACACAGTTGTCAGGTACAGGTGAGCCCAACACACAGTTGTCATGTACAGGTGAGCCCAACACACAGTTGTCATGTACAGGTGAGCCCAACACACACTGTTGTCAGGTACAGGTGAGCCCAACACACAGTTGTCAGGTACAGGTGAGCCCAACACACAGTTGTCAGGTACAGGTGAGCCCAACACACAGTTGTCATGTACAGGTGAGCCTAACACACAGTTGTCAGGTACAGGTGAGCCCAACACACAGTTGTCAGGTGCAGGTGAGCCCAACACACGGTTGTCAGGTACAGGTGAGCCCAACACACTGTTGTCAGGTACAGGTGAGCCCAACACACAGTTGTCATGTACAGGTGAGCCCAACACACAGTTGTCATGTACAGGTGAGCCCAACACACAGTTGTCATGTACAGGTGAGCCCAACACACAGTTATCAGGTACAGGTGAGCCCAACACACAGTTGTCAGGTACAGGTGAGCCCAACACACAGTTGTCATGTACAGGTGAGCCCAACACACAGTTGTCAGGTACAGGTGAGCCCAACACACTGTTGTCAGGTACAGGTGAGCCCAACACACAGTTGTCAGGTACAGGTGAGCCCAACACACTATGGTCAGGTACAGGTGAGCCCAACACACAGTTGTCAGGTACAGGTGTGCCCAACACACAGTTGTCATGTACAGGTGAGCCCAACACACAGTTGTCAGGTACAGGTGAGCCCAACACACTATGGTCAGGTACAGGTGAGCCCAACACACTGTTGTCAGGTACAGGTGAGCCCAACACACAGTTATCAGGTACAGGTGAGCCCAACACACAGTTGTCAGGTACAGGTGAGCCCAACACACAGTTGTCATGTACAGGTGAGCCCAACACACAGTTGTCAGGTACAGGTGAGCCCAACACACTGTTGTCAGGTACAGGTGAGCCCAACACACAGTTGTCAGGTACAGGTGAGCCCAACACACTATGGTCAGGTACAGGTGAGCCCAACACACAGTTGTCAGGTACAGGTGTGCCCAACACACAGTTGTCATGTACAGGTGAGCCCAACACACAGTTGTCAGGTACAGGTGAGCCCAACACACTATGGTCAGGTACAGGTGAGCCCAACACACTGTTGTCAGGTACAGGTGAGTCCAACACACTATGGTCAGGTACAGGTGAGCCCAACACACAGTTGTCAGGTACAGGTGAGCCCAACACAGTTGTCATGTACAGGTGAGCCCAACACACAGTTGTCAGGTACAGGTGAGTCCAACACACTATGGTCAGGTACAGGTGAGCCCAACACACTATGGTCAGGTACAGGTGAGCCCAACACACTATGGTCAGGTATAGTTGTGCTGAACACAGTGTGTTATCCTCAGACTTACGCCTACAAATAGCTTTTGCCCCTCAGCCCATTACATTTAAAATATTTTCTCAGCACGGCCAGACAAAACCTTGCTTATTTATTTTCAAGGCTTGTTCTCTTATTTCATTGTATTTTTTTATGAATGTGCTGGCTTTTGTTATAATCTGTTATGTTTTAACTCAAGTTTCATAGGTACTTTTTTTGTTTTGACAAAATATGTTAAAAATGTGAAGTGATGCATCTTATCTTATATTCAGAACTTGTTGAAGTCAGTGACCAATTGGAGAATGGAATAGAAGGAAACACTTTGAACAGTTTTAATTTTTCTTTGAATTTGGCTCGACAAGCCCTGAAAGATTCATCATTGCCAACTGATGTGAGTTGTTTTTTTTTTCTCACTGGGCTGTGCTTTAAGTTAATGGATGTGCTGTGGTCATATGGATTTAACTTGTGTCTCATTTCTCTCTCTTGTCAAGGACTGGAGCCTGAATGAAAGTAAAGTCCAGACAGTTGAGCTGTCACTGGATGACTCTACACACTGTCAACTCTTGCAAGTAAACCTTGTGTAAGTTAAGATAGGCTCTAGGGTTTTGATCTGTGTATCCAAGTCTGACTTGGCTCTAGGGTTTTGATCAGTGTATCTAAGTCTGACTTGGCTCTAGGGTTTTGATCAGTGTATCTAAGTCTGACTTGGCTCTAGGGTTTTGATCAGTGTATTCAAGTCTGACTTGGCCCTAGGGTTTTGATCAGTATATCCAAGTCTGACTTGGCCCTAGGGTTTTGATCTGTGTATCCAAGTCTGACTTGGCCCTAGGGTTTTGATCAATGTATCCAAGTCTGACTTGGCCCTAGGGTTCAGTGTATTCAAGTCTGACTTGGCCCTAGGGTTTTGATCAGTGTATTCAAGTCTGACTTGGCCCTAGGGTTTTGATCAGTGTATCCAAGTCTGACTTGGCCCTAGGGTTTTGATCAGTGTATCCAAGTCTGACTTGGCCCTAGGGTTTTGATCAGTGTATCCAAGTCTGACTTGGCCCTAGGGTTTTGATCAGTGTATCCAAGTCTGACTTAGCCCTAGGGTTTTGATTAATATTGAGCTAATGAATACAAAGAAATTAAAATATGTTTATCCCTTGTAGAAAAATCCTGGGTCTGATTCTAGTTGATGTCTACATGTTCTGTAAGAGAGAATGCTACCTTGTGTGGGCATTTTTGTGTGACAATTTAGAAAAGGGCAATGTTGGTCTTAAACTGGTGAGTAGCACGCCTGCCATTGTTAAATCATGAATTTATTCATTTTGAGTGGTAACAGTTTTAAATCTATACTTTAAATGTAATACTAGAAAGAATAATATATGCCACATTGTTCTATAGCTGGCCATTGAAATGTTAACATTGTTTTATAGACTGCCCTTGAAGTGTTGACATCGTTCTATAGCTGGCCATTAAAATGTTAACCTTGTTTTATAGACTGCCCTTGAAGTGTTGACATCATTGTTCTATAGCTGGCCATTAAAATGTTAACCTTGTTTTATAGACTGCCCTTGAAGTGTTGACATCATTGTTCTATAGCTGGCCATTAAAATGTTAACTTTGTTTTATAGACTGCCCTTGAAGTGTTGACATCATTGTTCTATAGCTGGCCATTAAAATGTTAACCTTGTTTTATAGACTGCCCTTGAAGTGTTGATATCAATGTTCTATAGCTGGCCATTAAAATGTTAACCTTGTTTTATAGACTGCCCTTGAAGTGTTGACATCATTGTTCTATAGCTGGCCATTAAAATGTTAACCTTGTTTTATAGACTGCCCTTGAAGTGTTGACATCATTGTTCTATAGCTGGCCATTAAAATGTTAACTTTGTTTTATAGACTGCCCTTGAAGTGTTGACATCATTGTTCTATAGCTGGCCATTAAAATGTTAACCTTGTTTTATAGACTGCCCTTGAAGTGTTGATATCAATGTTCTATAGCTGGCCATTAAAATGTTAACCTTGTTTTATAGACTGCCCTTGAAGTGTTGACATCATTGTTCTATAGCTGGCCATTAAAATGTTAACCTTGTTTTATAGACTGCCCTTGAAGTGTTGACATCATTGTTCTATAGCTGGCCATTAATATGTTAACCTTGTTTTATAGACTGCCCTTGAAGTGTTGACATCATTGTTCTATAGCTGGCCATTAAAATGTTAACCTTGTTTTATAGACTGCCCTTGAAGTGTTGACATCATTGTTCTATAGCTGGCCATTAAAATGTTAACCTTGTTTTATAGACTGCCCTTGAAGTGTTGACATCATTGTTCTATAGCTGGCCATTAAAATGTTAACCTTGTTTTATAGACTGCCCTTGAAGTGTTGACATCATTGTTCTATAGCTGGCCATTAAAATGTTAACCTTGTTTTATAGACTGCCCTTGAAGTGTTGACATCATTGTTCTATAGCTGGCCATTAAAATGTTAACCTTGTTTTATAGACTGCCCTTGAAGTGTTGACATCATTGTTCTATAGCTGGCCATTAAAATGTTAACCTTGTTTTATAGACTGCCCTTGAAGTGTTGACATCATTGTTCTATAGCTGGCCATTAAAATGTTAACCTTGTTTTATAGACTGCCCTTGAAGTGTTGACATCATTGTTCTATAGCTGGCCATTAAAATGTTAACCTTGTTTTATAGACTGCCCTTGAAGTGTTGACAGGCTGGCTCAGACTAACAGGTCCGCCTCCCCTGGCTGTTTCTGATTATTTCCATGGCTGTCTGCTGGGGCTGATAGAGATGCTGTGCTCTGGAGACAGTGAACTAAGCAACAGGTACCCATCTCTACACATTCAGATGGTCATTTGCTCGTTAGCTGGGGACAGCCACTCTTCTAGGAGAGACAACTCCAAAATCAAACAACTGCTGCCTTGTAGTTTGTTCTTGGTTGGACAAAGGCTATGGAAGCAAATCCAAAAAGAAAAGCAGGCTGAAATCGGAGTCAATGGCCTCATGGCGCATAATCAGTTGACACGTATACTTAATTGTGTTGGAAGGGGATCCCTTCCAACACTAAAATTAAGAATGAAGAAGAAAGAAGATGGTCATTTGACAATCACCAGAGTTACATTTTGGGGGTTTTGAGTTATTCATTAAAACATTCTACACATTCTCATAGTCATTTTAGATGCAAGGTAATTTTGTCATTCAAGCTGACTTAGAACTGTCTCTCTCTTATTTATATAGGGAGCAAGCTGACTTAGAGCTGTCTCTCTCTAATTTATATAGGGAGCAAGCTGACTTAGAACTGTCTCTCTCTAATTTATATAGGGAGCAAGCTGACTTAGAGCTGTCTCTCTCTAATTTATATAGGGAGCAAGCTGACTTAGAACTGTCTCTCTCTAATTTATATAGGGAGCAAGCTGACTTAGAACTGTCTCTCTCTAATTTATATAGGGAGCAAGCTGACTTAGAACTGTCTCTCTCTAATTTATATAGGGAGCAAGCTGACTTAGAGCTGTCTCTCTCTAATTTATATAGGGAGCAAGCTGACTTAGAGCTGTCTCTCTCTAATTTATATAGGGAGCAAGCTGACTTAGAGCTGTCTCTCTCTAATTTATATAGGGAGCAAGCTGACTTAGAGCTGTCTCTCTCTAATTTATATAGGGAGCAAGCTGACTTAGAGCTGTCTCTGTCCAAGTTGATTGTTGTAGTGGTGGAGGAGAAGACTTTTGTGCAGACAGGGTCTCCACTGAGTGTATTTCGCCAAGTGTCAAACCAGGTCACAGTTGAAGGACTACATCAGCTCACAAACCCTGAAGCTAGGCAAGCTGTCACCAGTTTGTTTGTTCATCTTCTTAAGGCCATTCCATCAGCAGATTTAAAAGGTCAAGTTTACGAGATGACCTTACGTAAGTTTGTGATTGAAGTGATGAATCTGATTGGAACCGAGGACAGCACAGATGTAAGTTCATGTCCTGTGAAATGTTATGTACCTGTGTTAGTTCTTTTAGGGTTAATGACTGGACTGGAAACTTATTCTAGACTTAACCTATCGTAGAAAAGCTGTTCTCTCTTTTGTTTGTCTGCACTAGCTGATCCTACCCATGCTTGTGGAGCTACTGCAGATTGATGTCAACACCACAGTCACTGACCAGACATGTATAAGGTCAGTAGACAGTCTAGTCTCACACACCACCACCACACACCAGGCATCAAACCACAACTGCACAGTACAGCCACACAACACAACACAGCCACACATCACAGCCACACAACACAGCCACACGTCACAGCCACACAACGCAGCCACACACCACACAACACAGCCACACAACACAGCCACACAACGCAGCCACACACCACACAACACAGCCACACATCACAGCCACACATCACAGCCACACATCACAGCCACACAACACAGCCACACATCACAGCCACACAACACAGCCACACAATGCAGCCACACAACACAGCCACACATCACAGCCACACATCACAGCCACACAACACAGCCACACATCACAGCCACACATTACAGCCACACATCACAGCCACACATTACAGCCACACATCACAGCCACACAACACAGCCACACAACACAGCCACACATCACAGCCACACAACACAGCCACACATCACAGCCACACATCACAGCCACACATCACAGCCACACACCACACATCACAGCAACACACCAGACAACAGTACTGCCGCCATTATTTATGTTATAACTTACTTCCTTGTGGTTTTTTTTTTATGCAAAGTATCAACCAAAGAGGCTTTATGAAAAACCTGTCAATGCTTGACCTATTATGTATTGTTGTATGTATAAGCAATACTTCTCTTACAGGCTGAAGAGGTATGATTCCTACATGGCTGCAGCCAACTTTCCTATACTGAACTTACTCACCAAGAAACTCAATGCCTTCTCTTCAAACCAGGGAGTGAGTTGTTTAAATGGTTACATATTTGCACAAGGCGAGCTGTACATTTCACTTGCATGCTTGACTTATAAGTCAGTTGACTAGAGTTTACTCTTTTAAACTGCTATGTTCAGACTTAACTAAAGGATTCTTAACTGTTGAATTTATATTAGGAGAAAAGCTAATACAGACTTTGCATACACACAGATCATCACACATAGTCACTCAGCTACCTCTAGACAATTATAAAGTTAAGCTACCTTTGATAAAGTCTGAGTCACTAGTCATGTAAGAAAGTTAACCTACTGTTTACTGTAGATAGAATATCTCATTTTATCTCAGGCCCCAAGCAGTCAAGAACTGGAGTGTGTTTATGTAGTGATGACAGTTGTCACACAAATTCTGCTTCATCAGCAAGATTTACCTGACAGGTAGTGCTAGTCAATTTGTCAAATAATATTTTGTCTACAACTGCCATAACCCTCCACAACCACCAACCTACCCTCCACAACCACCAACCTACCCTCCACAACCACAACCTACCCTCCACAACCACCAACCTACCCTCCACAACCACCAACCTACCCTCCACAACCACCAACCTACCCTCCACAACCACCAACCTACCCTCCACAACCACCAACCTACCCTCCACAACCACCAACCTACCCTCCACAACCACCAACCTACCCTCCACAACCACCAACCTACCCTCCACAACCACCAACCTACCCTCCACAACCACCAACCACCACAACTGCCAGCATACCTTTCACCATCTGACTAGCGCGCCCATAGATAAGAAATAGAAAGCAGACTTTTGTAGCTTAAACCCTGGTGTACTCACCTTAATATATTGTGTTCTCCAGCTTCTACCTAGTCATGTGTTCTGATCATATGATTAACTCTTCTCTTGATGCCTGGATTCGCTACTTTAATGGTGTCTGCAGCGGGCAAGTGGAGAGTGGTCAACTAAAAACTTGCTACCAAAAAATCGTGAAGTCAATAGCTTTTCTTCTACTTGTAAACAGTAAGTTTTTTGTGTGCTTCTGATTAGGACAAGCATATTTTGAAATGTTGAAAGAAAGTTATAAATTATTGCAAGGTAAGCAGATGTGAGGGGCTGAACAAATAATTGTCAAGATAAATCTTTTACTTGGCCTTGTCAAGCCAAAGATAGTTACGTCTTCAACATGGCTCCCTTTCTCTACCTTTCTTTCAATATGCTGTTTTAAAAATACATTAAACACTTTTATAAAAATTTTTTAGATATACGGCCGTTACATGCATCAGTACTACAGCAGTTCTCATGGATAGTCACATTACCATGGATTCCAGTGAGTAAATTATATTATCTTTTCCACTATACAAAATGACCTCTTTTCATTTGTTGTGAAGCCATTTAATAAGTAAACTAAATCTGTTGTGAAACCATTTAATAAGTAGACTAAATCTGTTATGAAATAATTGTTTAAACTTTTCACCACTGGAGCATCAAGAAAGATGTGCTTCCTGGTATAAAGTTACCCTTTTAAACTTGTGGTCCATGGGCTGAGGATGGTACATTCAGTTCTCATTTCACTCATATATTATAGAATTTCTAGTGCGGCTTATATCCACTTCTTTGAAATCTTGTTACCAGCTAGACATCAGAATTGTAAATATCTTGGCAATAGCTAAGAAAAAATTTCTTAAAAATGCTTTTCTTTTAAATTATTTAAATAATGGCTCATTATTATAAAATTAAAAAAAAATAATTACTTTCTTTTATTTTTTTTAATAGAATAGAATTGCATGACTAAAAAAACTGTGCATGAAAGGAATGCAAATAGTAATAGGGTGATAAAATTTGTACTTTATATAGGAATCTTTAATTAATAATAAAAAATTATTTAAGTATTCAATTAAGTCACATTGGCTGTCAAATTGCATTGTCTTTGAGTCTTGACCCACTTGCCAAGTTTGAAAGAAATCAGTTTGGTCTAATTTTTGCTCCCCTGTTTCGATCCATGATGGACAAAAGTACCAAGCACGATAGACAGAGGAAGCAAGTTTAATAAAAGCTTGTTAAATATTAACAATATATGTAGTCTAACCTTATATCTAGATTTACATGCTTATACCAATTGAATGAACATAACAGGGGGATATGTCATGGAAGGATATGAAGCCAACTAAACCCAAGGAAGTGGCAAACATTGCTTCGAAACTCTCTCAATCTTTTGGTAAGTACTTTATAACTGCTCTCTCTAGCATTGGCCTATTGCCTCTCTCTGTAGCACTGGTTTTAAAGCTGGTAATGAACTATATGTAATTACTTTTGACCCTTTAACATGCTTGTTACAATCATTCAGATGTCCAGGTCATGTGCTTGTGCATAAAAGCAATGGCATTGCTGCCTCGTGAAATAGCAGGAACCTGGAGAGCTCACATTCTTACTCAAGCAATGGTCAGTCTCACTGGTTTCAGTTAACTTAAACAATGTTCATTGTCAGGACAATTTCTTTTAGTTGCCAAGTAGTGGAGATGCCTCAAATGACTATGGTGCAGAGATGTTTTGTCCACAGAGTGACAGCGATGAGGAGGTGATGAGAACAGCTGTCAAATTCTTCCCAATCTGTCTTCTCCATATGGGGAACAAGAGCAACCATTTGGTCCAGGAGCTGTTGTAGTAAGTGCACCCCTTCACATTCTATGGCAACATCCAAGTTAACCTTGGTGCACCCCCACACAACCATGGCAACATCCAAGTTAACCTTGGTGCACCCCCACACAACCATGGCAACATCCAAGTTAACCTTGGTGCACTCCCACACAACCATGGCAACATCCAAGTTAACCTTGGTGCACCCTCACACAACCATGGCAACATCCAAGTTAACCTTGGTGCACCCCCACACAACCATGGCAACATCCAAGTTAACCTTGGTGCACCCCCACACAACCATGGCAACATCCAAGTTAACCTTGGTGCACCCCCACACAACCATGGCAACATCCAAGTTAACCTTGGTGCACCCCCACACAACCATGGTAACATCCAAGTTAACCTTGGTGCACCCCCACACAACCATGGTAACATCCAAGTTAACCTTGGTGCACCCCCACACAACCATGGTAACATCCAAGTTAACCTTGGTGCACCCCCACACAACCATGGTAACATCCAAGTTAACCTTGGTACAGCCCCCATGCTTTTCTTGACAGTTGTATAAAAACTGATGCATTTATATATATTAAAAGAAATTATTGTCTTCTTTTCAAGGTATATTTTAAAGAAGCTTGTTAGAATAGAATAGAATTATATAGATAAAAAGATGAACGATAACGATAGTGAGGGAAAGGTAGTAATTTATATAGTAAACTTAATTTAAAAATTAATTAAATTAAACATTTATGGGGCTGGTATTGTTGGTTCGGTAAAGCTCATAGTTGCTATACCCAAAAGTGCTGAGTTGGAACCCTCAAGCAGATGAGGCTAAAAAGCCGGTGAAGGCAAACCATCTAAAAGAGAAAACTCAGAAATCAAACAACTGCTGCCTAGTAGTTTGTTCTTGATTGGACAAAGGCTATGGAAGCAAATCCAAAAAGAAAAGCAGTCTAAAATCGGAGTCAAAGGCCTATATGGCACATAATGAATTGACACTTAATACTTGTGTTCCAGGAAATCCCTTCCAACATAACAATTAAGAAAGCATAAGCTATTAAACACCTCATTAAGACACATTTTTTCATCACATTGCATTGTTAGAAAGAAATCAGTCTGTAGAAATGGTATCTATTTCACTCACAAGATTTGACCCATGATGGACGGAATAAAAAGATAGAAATAAAATAAATATAAAGTTATAAATAAAGATATGCATGGGTAACTATATTAGGTATTGAGTACCTGTATTGAAATTGTATAAGTGACCCATGCTTTGTAACGGTAGATAATTAAAAATTGCCATTTGTTTCAGCCCCTTGTTGGATATGCCGAGCAAGATGCACCTTACTATAGCAAAACATTTAGGCTCTATTTTCATTACTCTGGCTCAGTCTGCTTGTATGGTTTGGTGAGTCACATTCAGCTGAAAGTGTTAACATAGAGATTTCATTCATTTGGTTCCTGTACATAGAATTAAACAATTATTTTATTTCAGGTCTAAAGTTCAAGGCCCTAAGTATAGCCTGGATGATATTGATGTTACACTTAAAAGTATGCCTTACTTAAAGCAACATTTTTATACTTAGCAAAATATAGCTGATTCATAGAATACTCATTTTATTCCATTATGCTAGTCAATAGATCAATCATTTCTCAACAGGTTAGCAAAATATAGCTGATTCATAGAATACTCATTTTATTCCATTATGCTAGTCAATAGATCAATCATTTCTCAACAGGTTACTGTTGACCCTTAGAAGAAGGTTTGAAAATAAATTAAATTTTTTTTTTCTCAGACACCAAGAAGGAAAGAAAAGATAAAGGGCTTATGATTGACAGCAGCCAAGTTCTGCCTTTTCTTTCTCTGCTTAAATGTACTGATAATGAAACAAGATTGTGTAAGGACAAATTTTTGTTTGGTGTAGTGTATGAAAATTTTGCTCAAACCTGACACATATCTAACATGATTGTATACACCTGTCCCATATCTAACATGATTGTGTACACCTGTCCCATATATAACATTTACATTTGCCCCATATCTAACATGATTGTGTACACCTGTCCCATATATAACATTGTGTACACCTGTCCCATATCTAACATGATTGTGTACACCTGTCCGATATCTAACATGATTGTGTACACCTGTCCCATATCTAACATGATTGTGTACACCTGTCCCATATCTAACATGATTGTGTACACCTGTCCCATATCTAACATGATTATGGACACCTGTCCCATATATAACATGTATACCTGTCCCATTTCTGACATGATTGTGTACACCTGTCACATATATAACATGATTGTGTACACCTGTCCCATATAAAACAGGTATACCTGTCCCATATCTAACATGATTGTGTACACCTGTCCCATATATAACAGGTGTACCTGTCTAACATGATTGTATACCCACAGATTTGGTGGAAAGCTTGAGTTTTGTGTTTGATGTCATGGATATTGACAGTCAAAGTGCTGTATCCATTATCCAAAGTTGTCTGGATCTTTTACTTGATGAAAATGAAGATGTAAGGACTGGATGCTGGTAAGAAAGTTTTGCTTTTATAAATGACTAGGCATGCTGCCCAGCTTCGCTTAGGCTTTCAAAAACATTGAGAATTTGAATGCTTAATTAATTCGCCCGAGGGTCGGTCTACGACCTCAGGAGTTATGAAGAGGTTCCTACGTGGACAATTTTTTTTCGATTTATAGCTCATATAAGGCGCCGGTCAGTCGAGGTCAGTTTTGACCCCCTCATCGTAGACCCTTAGGCCAACCGGCACCGGCCCCCGTGTTCTGTCGCCCCAAGGCAAGATCCTGCCAAATTTGAAGCGCCTGCGGCGCCGGGAAGTGCCAGATGTCGGGCACCCGACAACTTTGCTTTATATATTATAGAGATTAGCAAATTGCATAGATAAACAAAGATTTCTAAAGTAGTTCCTTTCTTTATAGTCTAAAATAGGAAGATTCACATATAATATAAAAAAAAAATAGGTTTGACTTGGTGTGTCTTGATCCAGCACCACCTGTCTGGTATCAAGTACACTATCATCTCAGCTAATTAGGTACCTTTTAAAATATGGAGAATAAAAGAAGTGTTTAAAAAATAACTTACACGAATATGCCTATTTTTTCAAATTATTTTTTTACACAAAATTAGCCAGTTTCATTGCTAAACAAAGAAAGATTTCTATAAAATATTTAAGCCCTGAAAAAGTTTATTATAGAAATTTATTTTTGGAATAGGTTCTACTGTAGATAGAGTCTAAATATAGATCTAGAATAGATCTTAGCGACGTAGCGTAGATTTAGATCTAGTCTAGATCTAGAATCTCTAGATCTAGAATCCAAATAGATAAAATAATTTTTTTAAGTTTAGGCTGAGAATATCGTATTGTGTAGTCTACATTTCATAGCGTACATAGCTCTCAATCATATTTGAATGAAATAGTTCATTTTTTAAAATTCTAAACTCGGAAGATGATATCATCAGTTTTGTGCTCTTTTTTTTATTTAGTGTAAACAATAAGCGACGTCATTGTTAAATGCGTTCTTGTCCCAAGTTTAAACACTTTTCCAGTTGCATAAATAATACTGTTTCTCTACATTCGAATACGCCTTTATTTTTTATTTTTCTTCTTTAAATAAAATTGTGGTTATACATTTAAAACATCTAACATATTATTTTCAACAAAAGTCCGTATAAAGGTATCCATATATCGCTGCCGATTCTGACGTGATGTCCGGCGAAAATATTTTGCGGACAGAGAGAGAGAAGAGCGCACATGGCCTTTTATATATTAGGATTGCGATAATTCAATTGAATTCAATTCATAAAATAAAATAATAAATGATCCTGTTTGAATCTGACAGTTGCCTTTTGGACCATATTCTAGAAACAGCACAGGAAGGGTCAGCCAGCCTGGTGTGGACAAGACTCAAAACTATTGCTGATCAATGTAGTCAGCAGTACCTCCCTCAAGTTATTTTAGCCATTGGTCAATTTGGAAGGCAAGTTTTATTATATCAGAATCCCAAGTGTTTGACCTTGCTTGTAATCTGACACAAAAATCTTGACCTGCAGGTTGGTTGAAGGTGAACTTCTAGAGTCTGCTGTTATCTCCCTTTTAAAACTCCGATTTAATCCCAGCATGTCAGTTGCTGCTGTAGCATTGGAGCAAGTAAGCAGCTTTTTTGTAGCTGACAACCCTACATTAGTTTTTGTTGCTGACAACCCTACATTAGTTTAAGTTGCTGACAACCTTACATTAGTTTTTGTAGCTGACAACCCTACATTAGTTTTTGTAGCTGACAACCCTACATTAGTTTTTGTAGCTGACAACCCTACATTAGTTTTAGTTGCTGACAACCCTACATTAGTTACATTAGTTTTTGTAGCTGACAACCCTACATTAGTTTTTGTAGCTGACAACCCTACATTAGTTTTTGTAGCTGACAACCCTACATTAGTTTTAGTTGCTGACAACCTTACATTAGTTTTAGTTGCTGACAACCCAACGTTTTTGTAGCTGACAATCCTGCATTAGTTTTAGTTGCTGACAACCTTACATTAGTTTTTGTTGCTGACAACCCTACATTAGTTTTAGTTGCTGACAACCTTACATTAGTTTTTGTAGCTGACAATCCTGCATTAGTTTTAGTTGCTGACAACCTTACATTAGTTTTAGAACTTGAAATGTAAATGTATGAAGTAATGTTCAATACTATCTGAACCAGTTACAGAGAATAGCCAATGACAAGAAAGAATCAATGCAACTAATTTATGCACGTTTCAAGCCAGCCATATACAAGGTAGTTTTTCTTTCATGCCACTGGGATTTGGTTGTACTACTGTGATATGGTTGCTAGGGTTGTACTATTGTGATAAGGTTGCTAGGGTTGTACTATTGTGATATGGTTGCTAGGGTTGTACTACTGTGATAAGGTTGCTAGGGTTGTACTACTGTGATAAGGTTGCTAGGGTTGTACTATTGTGATATGGTTGCGAGGGTTGTACTATTGTGATATGGTTGCGAGGGTTGTACTATTGTGATATGGTTGCGAGGGTTGTACTACTGTGATATGGTTGCGAGGGTTGTACTACTGTGATAAGGTTGCTAGGGTTGTACTATTGTGATATGGTTGCTAGGGTTGTACTACTGTGATAAGGTTGCTAGGGTTGTACTACTGTGATAAGGTTGCTAGGGTTGTACTATTGTGATATGGTTGCGAGGGTTGTACTATTGTGATATGGTTGCAAGGGTTGTACTACTGTGATATGGTTGCGAGGGTTGTACTATTGTGATATGGTTGCGAGGGTTGTACTACTGTGATATGGTTGCGAGGGTTGTACTACTGTGATATGGTTGCAAGGGTTGTACTACTGTGATAAGGTTGCTAGGGTTGTACTACTGTGATATGGTTGCGAGGGTTGTACTATTGTGATATGGTTGCGAGGGTTGTACTATTGTGATATGGTTGCGAGGGTTGTACTACTGTGATATGGTTGCGAGGGTTGTACTACTGTGATATGGTTGCAAGGGTTGTACTACTGTGATAAGGTTGCTAGGGTTGTACTACTGTGATAAGGTTGCTAGGGTTGTACTATTGTGATATGGTTGCGAGGGTTGTACTATTGTGATATGGTTGCGAGGGTTGTACTATTGTGATATGGTTGCGAGGGTTGTACTACTGTGATATGGTTGCGAGGGTTGTACTACTGTGATATGGTTGCAAGGGTTGTACTACTGTGATAAGGTTGCTAGGGTTGTACTACTGTGATATGGTTGCGAGGGTTGTACTATTGTGATATGGTTGCGAGGGTTGTACTATTGTGATATGGTTGCTAGGGTTGTACTATTGTGATATGGTTGCGAGGGTTGTACTATTGTGATATGGTTGCGAGGGTTGTACTATTGTGATATGGTTGCAAGGGTTGTACTACTGTGATATGGTTGCGAGGGTTGTACTACTGTGATATGGTTGCGAGGGTTGTACTACTGTGATATGGTTGCGAGGGTTGTACTACTGTGATATGGTTGCAAGGGTTGTACTACTGTGATATGGTTGCGAGGTTTTGTCTACTGTGATATGGTTGCTAGGGTTGTACTACTGTGATATGGTTGCGAGGGTTGTACTACTGTGATATGGTTGCTAGGGTTGTACTACTGTGATATGGTTGCGAGGGTTGTACTACTGTGATATGGTTGCGAGGGTTGTACTACTGTGATATGGTTGCGAGGGTTGTACTACTGTGATATGGTTGCGAGGGTTGTACTACTGTGATATGGTTGCGAGGGTTGTACTACTACTAAAGCTGCAGGACTGATTTATCCCACCTAACTCCACAGTTTGTTGTAGAGGCTATCACTGCAGATGAGCAAACAACTGGAGGGATGAATGCAAAAACTATCCTGGTAGACGTTGCCAAGACATTTGAGTCAGAGAACCTTAAAGCCTTCATCCAGGTACATTGTCTTCACCCCAACATTCAGGTGTCTTCACCCCAACATCCAGGTACATTGTCTTCACCCCAACATCCAGGTACATTGGCTTCACCCCAACATTCAGGTACATTGTCTTCACCCCAACATCCAGGTACATTGTCTTCACCCCAACATCCAGGTACATTGTCTTCACCCCAACATCCAGGTACATTGGCTTCACCCCAACATCCAGGTACATTGTCTTTACCCCAACATCCAGGTACATTGTCTTTACCCCAACATCCAGGTGTCTTCACCCCAACATCCAGGTACATTGGCTTCACCCCAACATCCAGGTACATTGTCTTTACCCCAACATCCAGGTACATTGTCTTCACCCCAACATTCAGGTGTCTTCACCCCAACATCCAGGTACATTGGCTTCACCCCAACATCCAGGTACATTGGCTTCACCCCAACATCCAGGTGTCTTCACCCCAACATCCAGGTACATTGTCTTCACCCCAACATCCAGGTGTCTTCACCCCAATATCCAGGTACATTGTCTTCACCCCAACATCCAGGTACATTGTCTTCACCCCAACATCCAGGTACATTGGCTTCACCCCAACATCCAGGATTCTTCACCCCAACATCCAGGTACATTGTCTTCACCCCAACATCCAGGTACATTGTCTTCACCCCAACATCCAGGTACATTGTCTTCACCCCAACATCCAGGTACATTGTCTTCACCCCAACATCCAGGTACATTGTCTTCACCCCAACATCCAGGTACATTGTCTTCACCCCAACATCCAGGTACATTGTCTTCACCCCAACATCCAGGTACATTGTCTTCACCCCAACATCCAGGTACATTGTCTTCACCCCAACATCCAGGTACATTGGCTTCACCCCAACATCCAGGTACATTGGCTTCACCCCAACATCCAGGTACATTGTCTTTACCCCAACATCCAGGTACATTGTCTTTACCCCAACATCCAGGTACATTGGCTTCACCCCAACATCCAGGTACATTGGCTTCACCCCAACATCCAGGTACATTGTCTTTACCCCAACATCCAGGTACATTGGCTTCACCCCAACATCCAGGTACATTGGCTTCACCCCAACATTCAGGTGTCTTCACCCCAACATCCAGGTACATTGTCTTCACCCCAACATCCAGGTGTCTTCACCCCAACATCCAGGTACATTGGCTTCACCCCAACATCCAGGTGTCTTCACCCCAACATCCAGGTACATTGTCTTCACCCCAACATCCAGGTACATTGTCTTCACCCCAACATTCAGGTGTCTTCACCCCAACATCCAGGTACATTGGCTTCACCCCAACATTCAGGTGTCTTCACCCCAACATCCAGGTACATTGTCTTCACCCCAACATCCAGGTACATTGTCTTCACCCCAATATCCAGGTACATTGGCTTCACCCCAACATCCAGGTGTCTTCACCCCAACATCCAGGTACATTGTCTTCACCCCAACATCCAGGATTCTTCACCCCAACATCCAGGTACATTGTCTTCACCCCAACATCCAGGTACATTGTCTTCACCCCAACATCCAGGTGTCTTCACCCCAACATCCAGGTACATTGTCTTCACCCCAACATCCAGGTACATTGTCTTCACCCCAACATCCAGGTACATTGTCTTCACCCCAACATCCAGGTACATTGTCTTCACCCCAACATCCAGGTACATTGTCTTCACCCCGACATGAAATTTTCCTGATAAAATTATTTTATGTCCACACTAACTAGTTCAAATCATTGACAGTGTTATCATCCAAACTTTTCTTTCAGACAGGAGAGAAGTACATGCTGCCATTGTTAGTACAACGTGCATCTCCTGAAGCAACCAAAGTCATCAAACTACTGGCTGGCCAGCTGTCGTCCAGCACTGTAAGTTGTCACTACTTACAGGCCAGTTGTCACTAGTGTAATATCTAGATCCAGAACTGTTTGAGTTTAATGACAGGTTTTTGTTTATTCCAGAGCTACCACGCCCTTCTTATGGACAACACAAAGTACATCTTCTCCTTCATAGTTCGCTCGTGTCAAAAGGAAGAAATGGAAAAGGCATTGTTGTATCTACAGGTAAATACTTTTTCTCATTGCCACACTTAATGACTCAAAGCCACACCAAGTGTGTCAGAAAAGCCAGTTGCCAACATTTGACTGTTATGAGCAACTGTAAAGAGAAAAAAAAATGATACCGCTACAGCAAAATATTGCTCTGATTTGGCAAAAAATCTTACAAACCTTACCCATGTGCAACTTAGATTGCTAAATATACTTTAAAAGAAGTAAGTTTTCTGTCTAAGTATATCCAGAATTGTAATGTAATAATTAGAAAAAACTAAAAAAAAAAAGCAGTATAGAACACAGTATAAATAAACCGGGAGTGATCTTCCCTTAACTTTCTCAAATATTCTTATCTAACACCATGGGAGATTGGCACATCATAATATAGACATGATTTTTAATCTATTTTTAAATACTTAAACTTTTAAAAATAGAATAAAATCTCGTAGAAAAAAGAATTGCACATCAAGTATTTGTATAATAGTGCGGAATATCTTTGTACTTTATAAATTGATATGCTGAGGAAATAGACCCATGCAGAATTGAGATCAATGGTGGTCCGGCTTCAAGGTTCAGTTAACCTTTTCTGTGTTTTTTTCAGGATAAAACAGAATTTAGTCTGGGCAATCTCTTGCGTCTTGACTTTCAGAGGGTTCACAATGAATTGCTGGTGCATTTATCAACTCACTATCAGCAGGTAAGTAAGGGCTTCTTCAGGTGTGCTGTTAGGTGGTTGGTGTACAGGATGGTGATGGTGTACAAGTCAAAATGGTGATTAGATGCCAAGATGGTATCTGGTGTACAGGCTGGGGTGGTGGTGTACTTGTCATGTTGTTGGGATGATGTGGATATATTAAAGTAATTTGGAATAATTGAATTTTTTCTTTCTGACAGGTTTTTAATGGACTAAAGACAGTGGCCTCTCATGATGATCAGTATAAAGGATCAAAATCCATTCAAACTCCTGAGCAAATGGTGAAATGCATTTTAGACCATTTCATTTACACATTTGACCATGGCTACTGTGTTGTCCACTAGACATGACCATGGCTACTGTGTTGTCCACTAGACATGACCATGGCTACTGTGTATTCCACTAGACATGACAATCTTGTTGTTACAGGCTCAGTACCTAGAACCACGGCTCCTGGGCGTGCTGGCTTTCTTTGACTCTCAACTCATCAATTCCAACATCACACTGGAGGACAAAAAACTGGTATGTCATCATAGGAACATTGTCTTGTATCACTTATTTATCACCTACATGTAGAGTAATTTGTTCCAATTTTTGACAGGCTTTAAGAAGCTTGATCTCCATCATCCAGTTAATGGGATCAAGACACATTGGCTCAATCAGATACAAAGTCATGAACACGCTCAGGTTCTTATTCAGATAGTTCAATAAGTGTTGATATTCTTCCTGTCAGTGGCAGTTTGTTTCCTCTTTTTATGTTGCTTTCTGTATCCTATTTTCATGTCAGTGTTGATTTGTATTCTGTTTTCATCTGTACGTTTGTTTCACCCTGACAGTGTGGGTTGTCTTCACAATTGAGAGCAGTGTGTGACCTAAGACTGGCCTAGTGACCTAAGGCTGGGACAGTGACCTTAGACTGGCCCAGTGACATTAGACTGCCCCAGAACCCTAGACTGCCCCAGAACCCTAGACTGGCCTAATGACCTTAGGCTGGCCTAGTGACCTTAGACTGGCCTAGTGACCTTATATACTTGACTATTCTATTGCAGGCTGGGACTTAAGTACACAGACCCAGGCTTTGTGGAGATCTCTTGCAAGGCCTGGAGTTGTTTTGTTCACAGGTATGTCAGTATAAGATCTACTTAATGCTTTAATGTTGACTTATTTTTTCTTGTCTAGCTGATGTTTTAGTGTTGACACATTTGTCTACAGTAGCTAATAGAAACTAATTAAAAATATTTTGTTCAGTCTGGAGCTGTCGCTGTTGGGTGGGATGATGTCACAGATCATTGCTACACTTCTTCCACTGCTGCAAGTTTTACCTGTGCAGGTGGCAGAAATATTTAATTATCTTATTGTAGAAAACAGGTTTGTAATCAAATTTAAAAAAAAATTATTAGTTAATTTATAAAAAATTACTTTTTGAAAATGTAAATGCCTCAATAGTTGTACCAGAAATCTCTTAAAGAAGCATGTTTCTCCACTGATCACTATTTAATCTATAATAGTAAGGCTAAATCTATTGGAAGTGTCATGCTTGCCTTCATTATGTGTTTACAGTGTCATGTGTGACATTTACATCTGTTACCAGTAGCTTTAGGTCAACACTTTCATGAGATTTATTTTGTTTCAGGGTGGCTTTAGGTCAACACTTCCATGAGATTTATTTTGTTTCAGGGTGGCTTTAGGTCAACACTTCCATGAGATTTATTTTGTTTCAGGGTGGCTTTAGGTCAACACTTCCATGAGATTTATTTTCTACCAGACATAAAAGAACTGTCAGCTGTGCATGCAGTGTTGAGGCAAAGAGGAGAACATTCAGCCAGGTATTGTTTTAGTCAGCTGTAAAGGTGTCCAGCCAGGTGTTGTTTTAGTTAGCTGTAAAGGTGTCCAGCCAGGTGTTGTTTTAGTCAGCTGTAAAGGTGTCCAGCCAAGTGTTGTTTTAGTCAGCTGTAAAGGTGTCCAGCCAGGTGTTTTAGTCAACTGTAAAGGTGTCCAGCCAGGTATTGTTTAGTCAGCTGTAAAGGTGTCCAGCCAGGTGTTTTAGTCAACTGTAAAGGTGTCCAGCCAGGTATTGTTTTAGTCAGCTGTAAAGGTGTCCAGCCAGGTGTTGTTTTAGTCAACTGTAAAGGTGTCCAGCCAGGTGTTGTTTTAGTCAGCTGTAAAGTTGTCCAGCCAGGTGTTGTTTTAGTCAGCTGTAAAGGTGTCCAGCCAGGTGTTGTTTTAGTCAGCTGTAAAGGTGTCCAGCCAGGTGTTGTTTTAGTCAGCTGTAAAGGTGTCCAGCCAGGTATTGTTTTAGTCAGCTGTAAAGGTGTCCAGCCAGGTGTTGTTTTAGTCAGCTGTAAAGGTGTCCAGCCAGGTATTGTTTTAGTCAGCTGTAAAGGTGTCCAGCCAGGTGTTGTTTTAGTCAGCTGTAAAGGTGTCCAGCCAGGTGTTGTTTTAGTCAGCTGTGAAGGTGTCCAGCCAGGTATTGTTTTAGTCAGCTGTAAAGGTGTCCAGCCAGGTATTGTTTTAGTCAGCTGTAAAGGTGTCCAACCAGGTGTTGTTTTAGTCAGCTGTAAAGGTGTCCAGCCAGGTGTTGTTTTAGTCAGCTGTAAAGGTGTCCAGCCAGGTGTTGTTTTAGTCAGCTGTAAAGGTGTCCAGCCAGGTGTTGTTTTAGTTAGCTGTAAAGGTGTCCAGCCAGGTGTTGTTTTAGTCAGCTGTAAAGGTGTCCAGCCAGGTGTTTTAGTCAACTGTAAAGGTGTCCAGCCAGGTATTGTTTTAGTCAGCTGTAAAGGTGTCCAGCCAGGTGTTGTTTTAGTCAACTGTAAAGGTGTCCAGCCAGGTGTTGTTTTAGTTAGCTGTAAAGGTGTCCAGCCAGGTGTTGTTTTAGTCAACTGTAAAGGTGTCAATTAACCCATTGTATAAATGGCTTTTTTTAGCAGTGAAGATCTTAAGACAACATTAACCCATTCTATCAATGGCTTTTTTTAGCAGTGAAGATCTTAAGACAACATTAACCCATTCTATCAATGGCATACACCATGAGAGTCTAGATGTTAGAGCACATGCACTGTCAAAGCTGAGAAAAATTCTACGGGATAAGAGGGTATGATAAGTGTTTTTTTTTGTGTACATCTTTTATGTCTTTAGATTAGAACATGTTATATGTAAGTTAAAGACCTGCATACAGCTCAGCGATATTGTTCTGAAAAAAAAAAGAACAAAGAAAAAACCATTGTTCTGCTAAATAAGAAAAATTGCACTCTGGATTTTTATATATTTCAAAATGAAATTTTTAAAACCAGGAAAGTAATTTTGAAATTAATGCTTTCATAGCATTTTAAGAGTGAATAAAAAAAAAAGTGAAACATATCTAAAGAATAAAACTTCTAATTACATATCAAGTCAGAACACATAAAAGCAAGCCAAAGACTCCACACATTCATTTTAGCTTGAACTAATATGTAAATAAAAAATGAACATTATGAAAAAAGTTGTATAGTAGACACATATAGACTGTGTACATGTCATTTTATTTAAAACTCATTGACATTTTTTGTATCAGGTTTTTACAACTTAGCTACCATGCCTATACCTCATTGGTGTTTCAATTCCTGATTTGTAAATACTTTTTGTCATTGTGGTTGCAGGGAGTAGGTTTTTAGGATACATGTTTGTGTAGTGTATGGGGCTGCCGCTTATGATAGTTTCAATGATTGTGTGCTTGTGTGTTGCAGAAGGAACTGAGCAGCTTTGTGTTGAATAGTGAGACAGCAGAGCCTTTGCTGTCACAGTTGGTCTCAGCTGTAAGTCTTCACACATCGTTTTGTTCAAAATAACACACAGATTTAGCTCTGCACACCTTCCACTGTTTTAATGTTTCCTGCTAACAATTTAATTATATTTCTCAGCTTTTGATTGGCTGCCGTGAAACTGACTCGCACACCCAGCTGCTGTATGGCCAGTGTTTAGGAGAGTTGGGAGCCATTGATCCTGGAAGGTACTTTTTTCTCTACATGTTCCTTGTCTCTACATGTTCCCTGTCTCTACATGTTCCATGTCTCTACATGTTCCCTGTCCTCTGTCTCTACATGTTCCCTGCCCCCTGTCTCTACATGTTCCCTGTCCTCTGTCTCTACATGTTCCCTGTCTCTACATGTTCCCTGTCCTCTGTCTCTACATGTTCCCTGTCCTCTGTCTCTACATGTTCCCTGCCCCCTGTCTCTACATGTTCCCTGCCCCCTGTCTCTACATGTTCCCTGTCCTCTGTCTCTACATGTCCTCTGTCTCTACATGTTCCCTGTCCTCTGTCTCTACATGTTCCCTGTCTCTACATGTTCCCTGTCCTCTGTCTCTACATGTTCCCTGTCTCTACATGTTCCCTGTCCTCTGTCTCTACATGTTCCCTGTCTCTACATGTTCCCTGTCCTCTGTCTCTACATGTTCCCTGTCTCTACATGTTCCCTGTCTCTACATGTTCCCTGTCTCTACATGTTCCCTGTCCTCTGTCTCTACATGTTCCCTGTCTCTACATGTTCCCTGTCTCTACATGTTCCCTGTCTCTACATGTTCCCTGTCCTCTGTCTCTACATGTTCCCTGCCCCCTGTCTCTACATGTTCCCTGTCCCCTGTCTCTACATGTTCCCTGCCCTCTGTCTCTGCATGTTCCCTGTCTCTACATGTTCCTTGCCCTCTGTCTCTGCATGTTCCCTGCCCTCTGTCTCTACATGTTCCCTGCCCCCTGTATCTACATGTTCCCTGTCCCCTGTCTCTACATGTTCCCTGTCCTCGGTCTCTACATGTTCCCTGTCTCTACATGTTCCCTGTCTCTACATGTTCCCTGTCTCTACATGTTCCCTGTCTCTACACATTCCCTGCCAGTGGGTGTGATACCCTGTGATATTTCAGGTTAGATCTCATCAGTCAGCATCCAGAGAGCAAGTCTCTACAGTTCTGTGCTAGCATTGTTGAGGACAAGTTTGCTTTTGGTCTGATCAACATTGTTGTCAAGGCATTTCTGGCAGCCACAGAACCAAGAATCCAAGTAAGTTCCAAGCAGTTTAATTAACCCTTTACAGTCTGTCATTGACATGATTTTACTTTCTGTATGGCCAGATGGAAACACAATGCATGTTCAACCATGGCTTTTAAACTAAAATTATTTTATAATATGCTCACAAACTTATCTTAACCCAGTATTTCTGGCGTCTGTGAAGAAACTAAAAGATAATGTTTCACGTTCTCAAATGAGCTGGGCAGAAACTGCAAGCAATAAATGATATTAGTAAAATAACACGTTTCTGAAATTCCCAACTTTCAACCATAATTATTTAATATTGTCATGTATCTCTTGGGGTAGGGGGATGACATTTCTGAATGAGGAGAAAACAGGGTTTTAGATTTGTAACATGACAGTGTTAAGGCCCTGTATGTAACAGTGGCAGTTTTTTATAAGCATATTATTAAATAACAAGTAAAGTGGTAAACTGAATAGCAAATATGTATTGCAAAAAATGTCTTGCCATTACACATTTCTATAGCCTGATTCTACTGAGAGTGCTATCCCAACCCTGCTGTTATGTACAAATGTACAAAAAAGTTTATGGGAGTTTGCTGCCTTTTGTCCTGTATAGATGTTTGTATTAACTGTATAGGATTGTGCTGCCTTTGCCTTGCAAGAGTTGCTGAACATCTACAAGATCCATCAGTCTGGTACAAATAAACTATGGACCAGTTTCACAGAAGACATGCAGGAAATCTTGATTCCCCTCCTTAGTAGCAAGTAAGTTGCCCACGTCTGAAAGAATTAGAAGCATTAAAATAGAATTATTTTTTAATGCAGTTTTAAAAATACACGTCATTGAAATTTTCTATTAGAAGCATATTTGAAACAAACTTTTAAAAAAAGTTTTTACATGCATGGGTAGTCTAAACATGGGATGAATTTTTTTTTTTAAATCTCCTTGTTTTTATAAGCTTTTATTTATACTGCTGTCTTTCTGTTTTTCTGTCAGATTATGGTTAATCTTGTAACTCAATTTTAATAACAGAACTATGGATAACTTATACTGTGATAGTAAAAGGTCTCTAGTTTAGATCGTGGTTTGGACTAGGCTAAAGTCCCTGAGTCCATCCAGCTTTGTTGGGCACCTGACTTGGCATAGTGCTCTCCACACCATCCCTTCATATGCTGAGGTCATAGTGCTGACCACACCATCCCTTCATATGCTGAGGTCATAGTGCTGACCACACCATCCCTTCATATGCTGAGGTCATAGTGCTCTCCACACCATTCCTTCATATACTGAGGTCATAGTGCTGACCACACCATCCCTTCATATGCTGAGGTCATAGTGCTGACCACACCATCCCTTCATATGCTGAGGTCATAGTGCTCTCCACACCATCCCTTCATATACTGAGGTCATAGTGGTGACCACACCATCCCTTCATATACTGAGGTCTAGTGCTGACCACACCATCCCTTCATATGCTGAGGTCATAGTGCTGACCACACCATCCCTTCATATGCTGAGGTCATAGTGCTGACCACACCATCCCTTCATATGCTGAGGTCATAGTGCTGACCACACCATCCCTTCATATGCTGAGGTCATAGTGCTCTCCACACCATCCCTTCATATGCTGAGGTCATAGTGCTGACCACACCATCCCTTCATATGCTGAGGTCATAGTGCTGACAACACCATCCCTTCATATGCTGAGGTCATAGTGCTGACCACACCATCCCTTCATATGCTGAGGTCATAGTGCTCTCCACACCATCCCTTCATATGCTGAGGTCATAGTGCTGACCACACCATCCCTTCATATGCTGAGGTCATAGTGCTGACCACACCATCCCTTCATATGCTGAGGTCATAGTGCTGACCACACCATCCCTTCATATACTGAGGTCATAGTGGTGACCACACCATCCCTTCATATACTGAGGTCTAGTGCTGACCACACCATCCCTTCATATGCTGAGGTCATAGTGCTGACCACACCATCCCTTCATATGCTGAGGTCATAGTGCTGACCACACCATCCCTTCATATGCTGAGGTCATAGTGCTGACCACACCATCCCTTCATATGCTGAGGTCATAGTGCTGACCACACCATCCCTTCATATGCTGAGGTCATAGTGCTGACCACACCATCCCTTCATATGCTGAGGTCATAGTGCTCTCCACACCATCCCTTCATATGCTGAGGTCATAGTGCTGACCACACCATCCCTTCATATGCTGAGGTCATAGTGCTGACCACACCATCCCTTCATATGCTGAGGTCATAGTGCTCTCCACACCATTCCTTCATATACTGAGGTCATAGTGCTGACCACACCATCCCTTCATATGCTGAGGTCATAGTGCTCTCCACACCATCCCTTCATATGCTGAGGTCATAGTGGTGACCACACCATCCCTTCATATGCTGAGGTCATAGTGCTGACCACACCATCCCTTCATATGCTGAGGTCATAGTGCTGACCACACCATCCCTTCATATACTGAGGTCATAGTGCTGACCACACCATCCCTTCATATGCTGAGGTCATAGTGCTGACCACACCATCATATGCTGAGGTCATAGTGCTGACCACACCATCCCTTCATATACTGAGGTCAAGAAACATGAACTACTTTTTCTAAATACAGTATTCAGTACATCATGTTATATATTTCTTTTTAGTGATTTAGATAGCAGTGCATTTTTGTTCTTGTTTTTAGCGTATAATTATATAAAAGTGTGTTATTAAAATGTTTATTAAATAACTGTTTCTTCCATAAAGTTTCAAACATTAAGGTACAGAACTCTATCAATAGCGACAACACTTACATTCAGTAATATTACAAGAATGTTAGCATTCTACTTTGGCAAAAAGTTTTGACCTTCTTGTGAAGGAATACAACTATTTAATAAGGGACATAAATTATTTCTGTGAATTGAAATAAAGTAGTCAGATGTTGTTGGCTATTGAAGTTATTGCCCTTATGTCTGTCACCACTCAGGTACAAACTGGATATCAGGTCGATCAACTACCCCCGGCCTATCTATGGCAGTGAAAAGGGAAAAAACTTTAAGGACTGGATCTCAAACTGGACTGGTTACCTTATAACTAAGGTATGTGGTGCTGGTTACCTTATAACTAAGGTCTGTGGTGCTGGTTACCTTATAACTAAGGTATGTGGTACTGGTTACCTTATACCTGTGATGCAGTTTACCTTATAACTAAGGTATGTGGTGCTGTATGTGATGTGATATTGAGCTGTTTACCTTTTAACTTGAGTTGTTTTTTTAAAGTGTTTGAATAATTTCAGATAAACCCCGGTACAGCCAAGCAGGTGTTCACTGCATGTAGTGCAGTGAAGCGTCACAGCAAACAGGTGGCTCTTTACATCCTGCCTCATGTGGTGCTGCAGGTTTTAACTGATGGGACAAGGGGCAATGTGGATGAGGTAATTAACTGATGGGACACAGGCCAATGTGGATGAGGTAATTAACTGATGGGACACAGGGCAATGTGGATGAGGTAATTAACTGATGGGACACAGGCCAATGTGGATGAGGTAATTAACTGATGGGGCACAGGCCAATGTGGATGAGGTAATTAACTGATGGGACACAGGGCAATGTGGATGAGGTAATTAATTGATGGGACATAGGGCAGTGTGGATGAGGTAATTAATTGATGGGACACAGGGCAGTGTGGATGAGGTAATTAACTGATGGGACACAGGGCAATGTGGATGAGGTAATTAACTGATGGGGCACAGGGCAATGTGGATGAGGTAATTAACTGATGGGACACAGGGCAATGTGGATGAGGTAATTAACTGATGGGACACAGGGCAATGTGGATGAGGTAATTAACTGATGGGACACAGGCCAATGTGGATGGGGTAACATAGACGGCGCTTGCAAGGGAGTGTTAAATGGTCATTAACAAGGTATAGGTCCTAGATGTTACACTAACAGGCTGTGTACAGCCTAGCACATCACATCAACTATACAAAAAACTGGAAAATGACAAATGAAATCAAAGTAACTAAAAGTTAAAATGTATAATAAGCTATCCACACTACACAAATTATAACAGATGGAGTCAAGGACACTACAAAAAAATTCCACAAACACTGCTGTTATTAATTATCCTATAATACAATAAACTGTGAGCCATGTAGTGTGAGATGTTTGTGTCCCCAGATTTATAGAGAGCTGATGGAAGTTCTGTGTTTGTGTCCCCAGATTTATAGAGAGCTGATGGAAGTTCTGTGTGCCATGCAGAAACCAGAGAGCATCCAGGACAGTAGCACCAACTTTCAGCACCTGAGTGCTCAAACCATTTTCTCCATCATGGATTACCTAACCATGTGGCTAAACCACCAGGTGCAAGCTTGTTCAGGTGGAAGAATGGCTGCCAGAGGTGAGTAGCCTTTGTACACCTAAGGTTTGGGCCACTCATGTTGGTACAGCTGAAGGTTTGGGCCACTCATGTTGGTACAGCTGAAGGTTTGGGTCAACATCATGTTGGTACAGCTGAAGGTTTGGGTCAACATCATGTTGGTACAGCTGAAGGTTTGGGTCAACATCATGTTGGTACAGCTGAAGGTTTGGGTCAACATCATGTTGGTACAACTGAAGGTTTGGGCCACTCATGTTGGTACAGCTGAAGGTTTGGGTCAACATCATGTTGGTACAACTGAAGGTTTTGGCCACTCATGTTAGTACACCTAAGGTTTGGGCCACTCATGTTAGTACACCTAAGGTTTGGGCCACTCATGTTAGTACAGCTGAAGGTTTGGGTCAACATCATGTTGGTACAACTGAAGGTTTGGGCCACTCATGTTGGTACAGCTGAAGGTTTGGGCCACTCATGTTGGTACAACTGAAGGTTTGGGTCAACATCATGTTGGTACAACTGAAGGTTTGGGCCACTCATGTTAGTACACCTAAGGTTTGGGCCACTCATGTTAGTACACCTAAGGTTTGGGCCACTCATGTTAGTACAGCTGAAGGTTTGGGTCAACATCATGTTGGTACAACTGAAGGTTTGGGCCACTCATGTTGGTACAGCTGAAGGTTTGGGCCACTCATGTTGGTACAACTGAAGGTTTGGGTCAACATCATGTTGGTACAACTGAAGGTTTGGGCCACTCATGTTAGTACACCTAAGGTTTGGGCCACTCATGTTAGTACACCTAAGGTTTGGGCCACTCATGTTAGTACAGCTGAAGGTTTGGGTCAACATCATGTTGGTACAACTGAAGGTTTGGGCCACTCATGCTGGTACAGCTGAAGGTTTGGGCCACTCATGTTGGTACAGCTGAAGGTTTGGGCCACTCATGTTGGTACAGCTGAAGGTTTGGGCCACTCATGTTGGTACAACTGAAGGTTTGGGCCACTCATGTTGGTACAGCTGAAGGTTTGGGCCACTCATGTTGGTACAGCTGAAGGTTTGGGCCACTCATGTTGGTACAGCTGAAGGTTTGGGTCACTCATGTTGGTACACCTAAGGTTTGGGCCACTCATGTTGGTACAGCTGAAGGTTTGGGCCACTCATGTTGGTACAGCTGAAGGTTTGGGCCATTCATGTTAATACAGCTGAAGGTTTGGGCCACTCATGTTGGTACACCTAAGGTTTGGGCCACTCATGTTAGTACAGCTGAAGGTTTGGGCCACTCATGTTTTTGTTTTTTCCTTCTATGAAGGTAATGTTTTTTCTTTTAGCAGAGACTTATGAGAGTAACCCATGTTACGCTGCAGTAAAAGGATTTTTAAAAAGAATTCCCCAAGACGTTCTGGCTGAGGCATGTTTGAACTGTAAAGCCTACACCAGAGCTCTTCGACACTTTGAGATGTTTGTCTCTGCTGATCAGGATATACAGAAGCACTTAGACTTTATGCAGGTAACAAAATGCTCTTCGTAGCCTAGCAGGTCAGCCAGAGACAGTTTGAAAGTTTTGTAAATGATTTTGGTGCCTGCAGAAACAATATTTTAATAGACATTTTTTGTTTGTGGAAATATTGCAGTAGAAATATTTTGTTTGTTGAAATGTTGCAATAGAAATATTTTGTTTGTGGAAATGTTGCAGTAGAAATATATTGTTTGTGGAAATGTTGCAATAGAAATATTTAGTTTGTTGAAAATTGTTTGTTTTAATAGGAATAGTTTGTATAGAAATACTTTATCTTTAGTAACTATGTTTTGATGAAATATTTATTCTATAGAAACTATAGTTTTGATGAAAATTTTGTATATAGAAACTGTATGTTTTGTTGAAATATTTGTCTGTAGGAACTATGTTTTACTGAAATATATTGCGTCTATCTATAAAAAACTGTTTTACTGAAATATTTTGTCTGCAGAAACTGTATGTTTTGTGGAAATATTTTTTGTCTGCAGAAACTATGTTTTGTTGAAATATTTGTCTGTAGAAACTGTATGTTTTGTTGAAATATTTGTCTGTAGAAACTGTATGTTTTGTGGAAATATTTTTTGTCTGCAGAAACTGTATGTTTTGTGGAAATATTTTTTGTCTGCAGAAACTATGTTTTGTTGAAATATTTGTCTGCAGAAAATGTATGTTTTGTTGAAATATTTGTCTGCAGAAACTGTATGTTTTGATGGATGAACCAGATGGTGTGCTGGGCATCTCAGCTGTTAGAGTCTCACAACCTACACTAATGCAACAAATCTTAACACATGAGGCATTAGGTAACATTGTACACCTGTATACTACATACTTTAACTAAGCTATTGGCCCTTCTACACCTGTATACTAAAAGATTTTGGTAACCATTTTCTACTTTAAATGTCCCCACTAGGAGAACTGCAAGATGCGCAGGCCTGCTATGATCGTGCTATAGAGCTGGAGCCAGATGTCATTTCACACCATCACGGCATCTTGAAGAGTCTAATGGACTTGGCCCAACCTGGATCTGCACTCTTTCGTGCTACTGGCATTCTTGCTGAGAGGTAAGACTACCAGGTAATTCTGTCAACTCTTAGGTGATGGACCCATAGCTCAGGTAACAGAACTACAGCCTGTCAAGGAAGTATTGTCGTCATGCAAGAAATTCAATGAAATGTTGACAGTTTTCACCATTTTATACCTCACAGCTTTATTGTATACTTAATATAAATGATGTAATCTTGAAAAAATCTAATTCAAAATTTTGACCTAGTTTGATGGTTTTATTACCTCCTGGTGCCGGAAAAACTTAGTTTTGTAATCCTCTCTGTTTGTGTGTGTCTGTGTCAACATAATAACTTGAGTACCATTACAAATTCATATATATATATATATATTTATCACTTGAGAGCTGTTACAGTTACGTAGAAGAATTTTTGTATGTAGATAGATATAAATGATCTTATTTGCTGTTTTCTTTCAAATGGCGTTTTGACCAATATCTATTTTATACAATATTTTTCTCAGAAAAGTATAACATTAAAATATATAGGCCTATAATTCACGTGTAACGGGTACCCATGGCTAGTTATTATGGGAGATCATTCCTGCTTTATTTATAATTGGAATCCACTATAAGTAAAAAAAAATTGTATAAATAAAATTTGACATTCAGACCAAGCTGGACACAAGAACTAAACAGTTATTGTATTGAGGCTGCCTGGAAACTCAGTAGCTGGGACAAGCTGGAGCAGGTGCTCAAATGTGTAAGTCTTCTGTAATCTTAGAGGTTCTCACTTCTGTAATATTAGAGGTCCTCACTTCTGTCATCTTAGAAGTTCTCACTTCTGTCATCTTAGAGGTTCTCACTTCTGTAATCTTAGAGGTTCTCACTTCTGTAATCTTAGAGGTTCTCACTTCTATAATCTTAGAGGTTCTCACTTCTGTCATCTTAGAGGTTCTCACTTCTGTAATCTTAGAGGTTCTCACTTCTGTAATCTTAGAGGTTCTCACTTCTGTAATCTTAGAGGTTCTCACTTCTGTAATCTTAGAGGTTCTCACTTCTGTAATCTTAGAGGTTCTCACTTCTGTAATCTTAGAGGTTCTCACTTCTGTAATCTTAGAGGTTCTCACTTCTGTAATCTTAGAGGTTCTCACTTCTGTAATCTTAGAGGTTCTCACTTCTGTGATCTTAGAGGTTCTCACTTCTGTAATCTTAGAGGTTCTCACTTCTGTAATCTTAGAGGTTCTCACTTCTGTCATCTTATAGGTTCTCACTTCTGTCATCTTAGAGGTTCTCACTTCTGTAATCTTAGAGGTTCTCACTTCTGTAATCTTAGAGGTTCTCACTTCTGTAATCTTAGAGGTTCTCACTTCTGTAATCTTAGAGGTTCTCACTTCTGTAATCTTAGAGGTTCTAACTTCTGTGATCTTAGAGGTTCTCACTTCTGTCATCTTATAGGTTCTCACTTCTGTAATCTTAGAGGTTCTCACTTCTGTAATCTTAGAGGTTCTCACTTCTGTCATCTTAGAGGTTCTCACTTCTGTCATCTTAGAGGTCCTCACTTCTGTCATCTTAGAGGTTCTCACTTCTGTAATCTTAGAGCTTCTCACTTCTGTCATCTTAGAGGCTCTCACTTCTGTCATCTTAGAGGTTCTCACTTCTGTAATCTTAGAGGTTCTCACTTCTGTAATCTTAGAGGTTCTCACTTCTGTAATCTTAGAGGTTCTCACTTCTGTAGTCTTAGAGGTTCTCACTTCTGTAATCTTAGAGGTTCTCACTTCTGTAATCTTAGAGGTTCTCACTTCTGTAATCTTAGAGGTTCTCACTTCTGTAATCTTAGAGGTTCTCACTTCTGTAATCTTAGAGGTTCTCACTTCTGTAATCTTAGAGGTTCTCACTTCTGTAATCTTAGAGGTTCTCACTTCTGTAATCTTAGAGGTTCTCACTTCTGTAATCTTAGAGATTCTCACTTCTGTAATCTTAGAGGTTCTCACTTCTGTAGTCTTAGAGGTTCTCACTTCTGTAATCTTAGAGGTTCTCACTTCTGTAATCTTAGAGGTTCTCACTTCTGTAATCTTAGAGGTTCTCACTTCTATAATCTTAGAGATTCTCACTTCTGTAATCTTAGAGGTTCTCACTTCTGTAGTCTTAGAGGTTCTCACTTCTGTAATCTTAGAGGTTCTCACTTCTGTAATCTTAGAGGTTCTCACTTCTGTAATCTTAGAGGTTCTCACTTCTATAATCTTAGAGGTTCTCACTTCTGTCATCTTAGAGGTTCTCACTTCTGTAATCTTAGAGGTTCTCACTTCTGTAATCTTAGAGATTCTCACTTCTGTAATCTTAGAGGTTCTCACTTCTGTAGTCTTAGAGGTTCTCACTTCTGTAATCTTAGAGGTTCTCACTTCTGTAATCTTAGAGGTTCTCACTTCTATAATCTTAGAGGTTCTCACTTCTGTCATCTTAGAGGTTCTCACTTCTGTAATCTTAGAGGTTCTCACTTCTGTAATCTTAGAGGTTCTCACTTCTGTAATCTTAGAGGTTCTCACTTCTGTAATCTTAGAGGTTCTCACTTCTGTCATCTTAGAGGTTCTCACTTCTATAATCTTAGAGGTTCTCACTTCTGTAATCTTAGAGGTTCTCACTTCTGTAATCTTAGAGGTTCTCACTTCTGTAATCTTAGAGGTTCTCACTTCTGTAATCTTAGAGGTTCTCACTTCTGTCATCTTAGAGGTTCTCACTTCTGTCATCTTAGAGGTCCTCACTTCTGTAATCTTAGAGGTTCTCACTTATGTAAGCTTTGAGGTCCTCACTGCTTGGTAAAACGTTGGATTTTTTCTTCACAGGAAAAGGGGGGTAACAACAACTGGGCTGTACTGACTGGAAAAATCCTCATGGCCTCTAAAGTCAAGGTAATGCTCAAGTTAGCAAAGGGACCAAGTATAATGTATACCTTTACCCCATGTAGAAAGCCTAAAGCCCCACATCCTTTTATCCCATGTAGAAAGCCTAAAGCCCCACATCCTTTTATCCCATGTAGAAAGCCTAAAGCCCCACGTATTTTTATCCCATGTAGAAAGCCTAAAGCCCCACTTACTTTAATCCCATGTAGAAAGCCTAAAGCCCCACATACTTTTATCCCATGTAGAAAGCCTTAAAGCCCCACATACTTTTACCCCATGTAGAAAGCCTAAAGCCCCACATCCTTTTATCCCATGTAGAAAGCCTAAAGCCCCACATACTTTTATCCCATGTAGAAAGCCTTAAAGCCCCACATACTTTTACCCCATGTAGAAAGCCTAAAGCCCCCACATACTTTTATCCCATGTAGAAAGCCTAAAGCCCCACTTACTTTAATCCCATGTAGAAAGTCTAAAGCCCCACATCCTTTTATCCCATGTAGAAAGCCTAAAGCCCCACTTACTTTTACCCCATGTAGAAAGCCTAAAGCCCCACATATTTTTATCCCATGTAGAAAGCCTAAAGCCCCACATCCTTTTACCCCATGTAGAAAGCCTAAAGCCCCACTTACTTTTATCCCATGTAGAAAGCCTAAAGCCCCACTTACTTTTACCCCATGTAGAAAGCCTAAAGCCCCACTTACTTTTATCCCATGTAGAAAGCCTAAAGCCCCACATCCTTTTACCCCATGTAGAAAGCCTAAAGCCCCACTTACTTTTATCCCATGTAGAAAGCCTAAAGCCCCACATACTTTTATCCCATGTAGAAAGCCTAAAGCCCCACATCCTTTTATCCCATGTATAAAGCCTAAAGCCCCACTTACTTTTATCCCATGTAGAAAGAGTCTGAATTCCTGGAGTGCCTGGAGCTGGCTAGAAAAGATCAGATGGGACCTCTGTCAGCTGCCAGCATGGAGATGGGCTCTTACTCTAGAGCTTATGAAAACATTCTCAGGTGATCCAAACTTGGGTGATGTCACATTTGTGGGATGGTTGACTCTAGAGCTTATGAAAACATTCTCAGGTGATCCAAACTTGGGTGATGTCACATTTGTGGGATGGTTGACTCTAGAGCTTATGAAAACATTCTCAGGTGATCCAAACTTGGGTGATGTCACATTTGTGGGATGATTGACTCTAGAGCTTATGAAAACATTCTCAGGTGATCTAAACTTGGGTGATGTCACATTTGTGGGATGGTTGACTCTAGAGCTTATGAAAACATTCTCAGGTGATCCAAACTTTGGTGATGTCACATTTGTGGGATGGTTGACTCTAGAGCTTATGAAAACATTCTCAGGTGATCTAAACTTGGGTGATGTCACATTTGTGAGATAGTTGATTTCAGCAGATGTTTTTTATGTTTAAATGAAATTAAAAAATAATTTTCCAGTGCCTGACTAAAAAAAAACCCTCTACTTATTCTTGTTTCTGACATTTGTTTTCACGTATTGACCCTCAATCAATTAATCAGATGGCTCTCTACGTGGTTGAGTCAATAAAGCTCAAGGTTGCTAAACCGAAAAATCTCAAGTTTGAACCCTCTAGCAGATGAGGCTCGTTAGCTGGGGACAGTCACTCTTCTAGGAATCAAACAACTACTGCCTTTTAGTCTGTTCTTGTTTGGACAAATGCTATGGAAGCAAATCCAAAAACAAAAGCAGGCTGAAATCGGAGTCAATGGCCTTAATTGCGCATAACCAGTTGACACGTATTTAATTGTGTTGGAGTGGATCCCTTCCTACACTAAAATTAAGAACAAATGTAGTTTTTTTTCATGCTCTTGTGAGCGATGTTACCTGTGTCCCATGTCATGTGACATGGGACTGTGGGTACTTTCGTGCCTAGCCGTGTCAGTCACACGCAAGGCTGCTGTCTGTGGACACGGTGACGGTACCAAGATGTAGACCTAATGAAGGTAGTGTGGTTATATAAATTATGTTTATTGTTAGAGTACTTATTTGTGTATTCCTGCTAGTGCTGCATGTGCACACTAGTTAGGTTGAGTATTTATTTAAGTATTTATTTGTTGTACTACTTATTGGTACTTGTTGGCAGTACTGTGTACTGGCCGAAACAATTTTTATTGTACCAGTGTATATTGTAGCCTACACGTGGTGTTGTCATGAATGTAACTTTTTCTTTACATTTGTTTTAGGGCTAAAGTTTTTTTGTCTTTCTTCAGTTTTTTTCTCTCTGTTTTGAAATCGTCGTACTACTGTGTTATGCATCGCCATCATGGCTCGATGCCGTAAATAAAGCGAGTACTTGACAACAACTGTCGGTGCCACTCTCAGTGTGTTCTAAATCTCAGGGTCAGCCCGTCTTAACCACAACACCTCAGTGGGTAAAAGCATCCCCACTGAGTGAGGGTTACATTTACAATGCTACCTTAAATGTCTTATTTCATTAGAAAAATCCAGAAAATAGCTTTTTTTTTTTATGAACTTTGGCAAAAATGTTGTATTCCGCCAATCACACATCCGCCCATAATGTCATCAACCCCACCACCAACCCAATGTGTGTTTTGAACATAGAAATAATTTTTTTACCTCCCACTAAATGCTTGTATTAGCATGGGTTGTAATTTTTTAATTTTTCCCCAGGCTTCACATGATTAATGAAATTGAGGAATTTTTCCAAGTTTTAGTGGATTTCCCACACAATATTGATGACCACAGAGATGTCATTGTTTTACCATCAGCTAGTGATCTTCTTGAGCAGTGGCATCAAAGGTTACAAATGACCCAGGTATGTCAGAGGAACATATCCACTTCTGACTAAACAAGACATGTTCACGTCTGACTAAACAAGACATGTCCACGTCTGACTAAACAAGACATGTCCACGTCTGACTAAACAAGACATGTCCAAGTCTGACTAAACAAGACATGTCCAAGTCTGACTAAACAAGACATGTCCAAGTCTGACTAAACAAGACATGTCCAAGTCTGACTAAACAAGACATGTCCAAGTCTGACTAAACAAGACATGTCCAAGTCTGACTAAACAAGACATGTCCAAGTCTGACTAAACAAGACATGTCCAAGTCTGACTAAACAAGACATGTCCAAGTCTGACTAAACAAGACATGTCCAAGTCTGACTAAACAAGACATGTCCAAGTCTGACTAAACAAGACATGTCCACGTCTGACTAAACAAGACATGTCCAAGTCTGACTAAACAAGACATGTCCACGTCTGACTAAACAAGACATGTCCACGTCTGACTAAACAAGACATGTCCACGTCTGACTAAACAAGACATGTCCACGTCTGACTAAATATGACATGTCCACATCTGACTACACAAGACACAAATTACCCTAAACAGATGTTAGGGACTGTTGATATATTAAAATAAAACTATTCCCAGTCATCATTCCGCACGCAAGAACCAATCCTTACACTACGCCGTACGCTGTTGTCTCTCATACAAAAGGACAGACATCCTGGACTAGAAAGACAGATTGGCAAGTGGTGGCTGTGGAGCGCCAAGGTGGCTAGGAAGTAAGCACACATGACATCTAGCATGACAGCTAACATGACATCTAGCATGACAGCTAACCTTTAGAAAGGAAGTAAGCACACATGACATCTAGCATGACAGCTAACATGACATCAAAACATGACAGCTAACCTTTAGAAAGGAAGTAAGCACACATGACATCTAGCATGACAGCTAACATGACATCAAAACATGACAGCTAACCTTTAGAAAGGAAGTAAGCACACATGACATCTAGCATGACAGCTAACATGACATCAAAACATGACAGCTAACCTTTAGAAAGGAAGTAAGCACACATGACATCTAGCATGACAGCTAACATGACATCAAAACATGACAGCTAACCTTTAGAAAGGAAGTAAGCACACATGACATCTAGCATGACAGCTAACATGACATCGAAACATGACAGCTAACCTTTAGAAAAGAAATAAGCAAACATGATATCTAGCATGACAGCTAACATGACAGCAAAACATGACAGCTAACCTTTAGAAAGGAAGTAAGCACACATGACATCTAGCATGACAGCTAACATAACGGCTAACCTGTGGTAACCTTAACATAGCTGAGTACTAGCCTGATATGAGCATGTTTGTTACAGAGCTGGATACCTCCAGTCTGCCTATGGATGTCTCATCCAGGCAAGTTCTTACAACTTGCCAGAGTTTTATGTGGAGAAAGCCAAGTGGTTATATGAGAAGGTTTGTTTTTCTCTTGCATTTTATGTACCCATTCAAACAAGATGGACACAACAGAATTGTATTTGACTATAGGGTGGATATCAATAATTAGTTGATGTCAAATTGTTTCCAGGGTGAATCTGTGTCTGCTATAGCCTGTTTAGACAAAGGTATACAGGAACATTTTGGTACAGATCTTGGCAAGATAGACACCCTTAACCAGCCACTGAAACAGGTGTATGCACAGGTAGGGAATGCTTCATTAGACCACAACACCACAAGTGAAATAAACATAAGATCACAACATTCCAAGTAAACCAAACATTAGACCACAACTTTGGTATTTTAGGCAATGTTGCTATGTGTCCACTTTTTTGTTTTAGGCAATGTAGCTGTATGTCCTTTTTGTTGTTTTAGGCAATGCTGCTCTATGCCCGCTACAGCGAAGAGACGTCAAATTTGGAGACTAACTCCATTGTCAAATCTTATAAAAATGTCATTGCTGCTTGCCCAGAATGGGAAGATGGATATTTTCATCTAGCCAAGTATTATGATCGTGTGATGAATACCATCATTGATGATAAAGATAAAGCTGAGAAACAAGGGTACGTGATATCTGCTTTTTTTTTTCATTCTTGCTACAGCTTGCTAATGTGTTGTGGTGCTTTATTCTACTGATTTCATTCTTGCTACAGCTTGCTAATGTGTTGTGGTGCTTTATTCTACTGATTTCATTCTTGCTACAGCGTGCTAATGTGTTGTGGTGCTTTATTCTACTGATTTCATTCTTGCTACAGCTTGCTAATGTGTTGTGGTGCTTTATTCTACTGATTTCATTCTTGCTACAGCTTGCTAATGTGTTGTGGTGCTTTATTCTACTGATTTCATTCTTGCTACAGCTTGTTAATGTGTTGTGGTGCTTTATTCTACTGATTTCATTCTTGCTACAGCTTGTTAATGTGTGTTGACTTGTTCTAGGGATTTCATTCTTGCTACAGCTTGTTAATGTGTTGTGGTGCTTTATTCTACTGATTTCATTCTTGCTACAGCTTGTTAATGTGTTGTGGTGCTTTATTCTACTGATTTCATTCTTGCTACAGCTTGTTAATGTGTTGTGGTGCTTTATTCTACTGATTTCATTCTTGCTACAGCTTGCTAATGTGTTGTGGTGCTTTATTCTACTGATTTCATTCTTGCTACAGCTTGTTAATGTGTTGTGGTGCTTTATTCTACTGATTTCATTCTTGCTACAGCTTGCTAATGTGTTGTGGTGCTTTATTCTACTGATTTCATTCTTGCTACAGCTTGCTAATGTGTTGTGGTGCTTTATTCTACTGATTTCATTCTTGCTACAGCTTGCTAATGTGTTGTGGTGCTTTATTCTACTGATTTCATTCTTGCTACAGCTTGTTAATGTGTTGTGGTGCTTTATTCTACTGATTTCATTCTTGCTACAGCTTGTTAATGTGTTGTGGTGCTTTATTCTACTGATTTCATTCTTGCTACAGCTTGTTAATGTGTTGTGGTGCTTTATTCTACTGATTTCATTCTTGCTACAGCGTGCTAATGTGTTGTGGTGCTTTATTCTACTGATTTCATTCTTGCTACAGCTTGTTAATGTGTTGTGGTGCTTTATTCTACTGATTTCATTCTTGCTACAGCTTGTTAATGTGTGTTGACTTGTTCTAGGGATTTCATTCTTGCTACAGCTTGTTAATGTGTTGTGGTGCTTTATTCTACTGATTTCATTCTTGCTACAGCTTGCTAATGTGTTGTGGTGCTTTATTCTACTGATTTCATTCTTGCTACAGCTTGTTAATGTGTTGTGGTGCTTTATTCTACTGATTTCATTCTTGCTACAGCTTGCTAATGTGTTGTGGTGCTTTATTCTACTGATTTCATTCTTGCTACAGCTTGCTAATGTGTTGTGGTGCTTTATTCTACTGATTTCATTCTTGCTACAGCTTGCTAATGTGTTGTGGTGCTTTATTCTACTGATTTCATTCTTGCTACAGCTTGCTAATGTGTTGTGGTGCTTTATTCTACTGATTTCATTCTTGCTACAGCTTGCTAATGTGTTGTGGTGCTTTATTCTACTGATTTCATTCTTGCTACAGCGTGCTAATGTGTTGTGGTGCTTTATTCTACTGATTTCATTCTTGCTACAGCTTGTTAATGTGTTGTGGTGCTTTATTCTACTGATTTCATTCTTGCTACAGCTTGTTAATGTGTGTTGACTTGTTCTAGGGATTTCATTCTTGCTACAGCTTGTTAATGTGTTGTGGTGCTTTATTCTACTGATTTCATTCTTGCTACAGCTTGTTAATGTGTTGTGATGCTTTATTCTACTGATTTCATTCTTGCTACAGCGTGCTAATGTGTTGTGGTGCTTTATTCTACTGATTTCATTCTTGCTACAGCTTGTTAATGTGTGTTGACTTGTTCTAGGGATTTCATTCTTGCTACAGCTTGTTAATGTGTTGTGGTGCTTTATTCTACTGATTTCATTCTTGCTACAGCTTGCTAATGTGTTGTGGTGCTTTATTCTACTGATTTCATTCTTGCTACAGCTTGTTAATGTGTTGTGGTGCTTTATTCTACTGATTTCATTCTTGCTACAGCTTGTTAATGTGTTGTGGTGCTTTATTCTACTGATTTCATTCTTGCTACAGCTTGTTAATGTGTTGTGGTGCTTTATTCTACTGATTTCATTCTTGCTACAGCTTGCTAATGTGTTGTGGTGCTTTATTCTACTGATTTCATTCTTGCTACAGCTTGCTAATGTGTTGTGGTGCTTTATTTTACTGATTTCATTCTTGCTACAGCTTGTTAATGTGTGTTGACTTGTTCTAGGGATTTCATCATTTATGTGGTGAGAAACTTTGGCCACTCCTTGCAGTATGGCAACCAGCACATTTACCAGTCCTTGCCTCGACTGCTGAGCCTGTGGCTGGACTACGGCACCGTTGTTGTAGAGGCTGAGAGACGGGACAAAGGCAAACAAACACAGAAACTCAAGAACCAAAGGACTGTTCTCAAAAGGATTAATGATGTGTGTAGTCAGACATTATTTTTATTTCATCCAGTTCTTCTGTCTGTCGGAAGGGGTAGAATCAAATTCTTCCCTCAGTTTTACTTGACTTATTTCATTTAAATTAGGACTAGACTATGATCATTTAAAGGGTTCCCAGAACAATGTGCAATTGGAAAAATGTACAACGGAAAAATGTGCAAATACAAACTAATTATATTAATACACTTTAATTTAGTTATATTTTGTGGAGATAGGTTTTATTATGCTACAGTATACATGTAGTCTCTCTTTGTTAATGTCTATAAATGCTTAACAATAAATGTCCTCGTAACGCCTGCTGCCGCCCGCTTACAATACGCATAGAAAAATTAAATTTGTTTCATAAAAATTTGGCCTACTAATCCTAATTTTTAACTAACCAGGAAGTTGGATAGTTTCAGCATCCTTTTACGGTTTGGCAATTTTGAAATTAGTCTCTTTCCATCCCGAAATTTTAGACTCATCTGTCTTATTTTTAGTTGCTTTAAAATTAAAAATAAAATAAAAACATGCCTATCTATCTAGGCATGTATTTTACTATTTATATATCTTAAATATAACCAAATTGATATTCAACAGTTAAAGTCGATGCATAGTTATTTAAACAAAAATAAATAAAGTTGACTACACAAAATGTCCTATTTAGGATTTACTCTGACATTTATTTTTATACTGTACTTCTACGGAATAATTTTATTCTATTTAATACTGTTGGAAAGCCAGATATAATTCCAGCACTAAGCAGCATTTTTTCTCTTAATTATTAGTTTAGTTTCGACAAAAACAAATATTTTGTGAAACTGTTCATTTGTTCATACAGAGTTATGCTCCTTACATTGGGCCGTCAAGGGTGGTGTTTTGGTAGAATGAATGGGTCATTAATGGTTAATTTAAGAAAACAAAAATGCCCATTTGCATTTTGTTGTGCACAGTTTTCACATTGCACATCTTTAATGTCACTAGTTCAAAGTTGGTCACTGAAGGGATAGGCTTTACACAGGGAAGATAACTCCAACATTTGAGGCTTATATATTAGTGATGATTAAATTTGAATCCTGACTAACTAGCACAAGAATTTCTTCTAGTCTCATCCCCCCCCCCCCCCCCACACACACACACACTGCCTAGCACCAGAGACATTTCTCCTAACCCCACACTCCCTAACACAAGAGTGTCACCCCACACTTCCTAGTCCCATACACACTAGATCCTCCTAGTGTCACCCCACACTTCCTAGTCCCATACACACTAGATCCTCCTAGTGTCACCCCACACTCTAGATCCTCCTAGTGTCACCCCACACTTCCTAGTCCCATACACACTAGATCCTCCTAGTGTCACCCCACACTTCCTAGTCCCATACACACTAGATCCTCCCAGTGTCACCCCACACTTCCTAGTCCCATACACACTAGATCCTCCTAGTGTCACCCCACACTTCCTAGTCCCATACACACTAGATCCTCCTAGTGTCACCCCACACTTCCTAGTCCCATACACACTAGATCCTCCTAGTGTCACCCCACACTTCCTAGTCCCATACACACTAGATCCTCCTAGTGTCACCCCACACTTCCTAGTCCCATACACACTAGATCCTCCTAGTGTCACCCCACACTTCCTAGTCCCATACACACTAGATCCTCCTAGTGTCACCCCACACTCTAGATGCTCCTAGGAAAACCAAGTAGTTTAAATTCACTCAATGCATGCTGTTAGAAGCCAACCTAATGCAAGTCTCTATGTTGCAGATAATTTGTGAACTAAACCAAGAGCTTTCTCCTTACCAAATGTTTACAGCCTTTGCGCAGCTGATATCTCGCATCTGTCATGCTCAACCAGATGTCTTCATTGTTCTTAAGGTTTGTTGGCTTTTCCCTCTTACTTGTACATTCACACATTGCATGCCCACATGCCCAAGTGGCATGTGCTACTGCCTGCCCAAGTGGCATGTGCTACTGCCTGCTCAAGTGGCATGTGCTACTGCCTGCCCAAGTGGCATGTGCTACTGCCTGCTCAAGTGGCATGTGCTACTGCATGCCCAAGTGGCATATGCTACTGCCTGCTCAAGTGGCATGTGCTACTGCATGCCCAAGTGGCATGTGCTACTGCATGCCCAAGTGGCATGTGCTACTGCATGCCCAAGTGGCATGTGCTACTGCATGCCCAAGTGGCATATGGTTTCATGCATGCTCAAGTGGCATATGCTACTGCCTGCTCAAGTGGCATGTGCTACTGCCTGCTCAAGTGGCATATGCTACTGCATGCTCAAGTGGCATATGCTACTGCCTGCTCAAGTGGCATGTGCTACTGCATGCTCAAGTGGCATGTGCTACTGCATGCCCAAGTGGCATGTGCTACTGCATGCCCAAGTGGCATATGGTTTCATGCATGCTCAAGTGGCATATGCTACTGCCTGCTCAAGTGGCATGTGCTACTGCCTGCTCAAGTGGCATGTGCTACTGCATGCCCAAGTGGCATGTGCTACTGCCTGCTCAAGTGGCATGTGCTACTGCATGCCCAAGTGGCATGTGCTACTGCATGCCCAAGTGGCATGTGCTACTGCATGCCCAAGTGGCATGTGCTACTGCCTGCCCAAGTGGCATGTGCTACTGCATGCCCAAGTGGCATATGGTTTCATGCATGCTCAAGTGGCATGTGCTACTGCATGCCCAAGTGGCATGTGCTACTGCCTGCCCAAGTGGCATGTGCTACTGCCTGCTCAAGTGGCATGTGCTACTGCCTGCTCAAGTGGCATGTGCTACTGCATGCCCAAGTGGCATGTGCTACTGCATGCCCAAGTGGCATGTGCTACTGCCTGCCCAAGTGGCATGTGCTACTGCCTGCTCAAGTGGCATGTGCTACTGCATGCTCAAGTGGCATATGGTTTCATGCATGCTCAAGTGGCATGTGCTACTGCATGCCCAAGTGGCATGTGCTACTGCATGCTCAAGTGGCATGTGCTACTGCCTGCTCAAGTGGCATATGGTTTCATGCATGCCCAATATATTAATACTAGCCATCGGTACCCGTTTCACATGAATTATAGGCCTATATATTTTAAAATGTTGAACTTGTTTGAGAAAAATAATTTATAAAATAGTTTTTGGTCAAAACGCAATGTGCAACACTACACGCTGAACGATATTACTGACAAAGCAAATAAATAACTAATTGGCTAAAAATCCGACACATTTAACATAACACAGGCACACACTGATTAAGTGACTTTAATGATTCCGTTAAAAACTCTGCTATTCCACGGTATTCTTATTGTTTTTATAGTGATTTATTTTTATTAGGTTTTTATGAATAGATCTATAGATTTAAATGAAATAGTTCATTTAGTCTAGATCTAGAATCTAAATCTATATCTAGAATCCAAATAGATAATATAAAAACTTATAAAAGTTTAGGCCGAGAAACTTTAAGAAATTGTTGAGAATACTCATAAGGAGGTTTCTGCTGAAAAAAATTTTCAAATTGGCAGGAGTTTTTGGCAGGGCGTGATTTGTTTTTTACAGAAACCTCACCTGGAGTGTTCTAATCAGCTTCCCAAAGTTTGATGGTGATTGGATGAATGGTGTCAAACCGCAATCACCTATTTTTTATATACCCTATATAGAGAAAAAACACTGATGTTTAAAACACGACAAATAATTTTTTTTTTTACGTTTAAAGAAAAAATCCTGTTAATTCGTTAGCGAATGAAGCAATCTGCTTCATTGTTAACAGCATGCTATTTGGTGCTCTGGGTTATCCTATGAGCACTATGGCGCTTATGTTTATCTTTTTTATTTATGTATATAATTTATTTGTTTATGCACACATATTTGCGCACAGATACATATCTCTGCACAGACACATACATATCCATTGGTTGATCCGACAATTGACCCACTGATTTTTTTACAGGAAATAATTTCTCGTTTGTTGATAGAGTATCCACATCAAGCAATCTGGATGATGATGGCTGTATCAAAGGTAATTAAATGTTCATCAAATGATGGCTCTATATATGGTAATTAAATTATTGCACTATTTGAGGTGAATTGTTGTAAAATGTTGAGAGGATTTGAAGTTCTTGACTCATGTCAAAAATAAAACATTTTGTTGGTTTTCTTTCCAGCTGTAAATGTAAAAAAAAATCCTATTATTTTGCTTTTTCAGTCCTCCTATAAGAGAAGAGCTGAGAGATGTACAGACATATTTGCTACAGCAGTGTAAGAATGTTCTTCCTTTTAGCTTGAGTATAGCAAGAATTCTCCTCATTATGGGGTCGTGCATAAATGACGTCACACTCGTAAGGGGGACAGGGGTCCGTAATATTGTGATGGGGGGAGGGGGGGTTCAGATGGTGGGACGTCACATTTTTGCATTAACAAAAAGTAATGTTGGAAAATGAATTTTAGCCGTTATTTCACATTTTAGAAAACTGTTTTAATAAATTATAATAGGAATTGATTAAAATACTCTATGATGAGAGTTCAGACAAGATTTTGGAAAAATATTGATGTTTTAAGAAAAATTCAACTGCAATTTTGAGGGGGGGTTGTAGGCTGAGATGTGACATCATTTTAGGGGGAGGTCTGGCTTTTTGTGACGATGTGTCAAAAAAAGCGTAACGTCATTTATGGATGACCCCTATGTACCACAAATTAAGAGTTTAAACATCACTTGATTTATTTCCCCAGACAAAAAAGACCAGGCTTGTCTAAATTAATCCAGGTACATTTTTTTTTATTGTTAGGTGTTGATGTTTAGTTAATCACATTTTTATTTACATGTTTTATTGTTGGGGTGTTGAACTTATTGGATCAAATATATATTAAAAATATATATTGTTAAGGTGTTGAACTCTTTAGATCACATTTTTAAAAAATTTATTTATGTGGTTTTAAGTTAAGTGAAAAGTAAACTTTGTTTGGATTAGGATTACATCCGCCTAACAGATCATCTAATTGAAGTGTGTGAGAAACATCTGGATCCAGGAAGTACCAGCTTAAATGTGACTTTTCGACCTCTAAAGCGCTTGTTTGAGGATAGGTTAGTGAAGATGAGTTTGTTTGTAAGCCAGTTTAGTCCAATGTCCAACTTTGTTATCCCACTTAGTAAAATGTCTGACTAAATCTCCCACTTTGTGTTGCTCTCAATGTCCAGGAACCTGAGCCAAATGCTGCTGCCCACCCAAGCTTCAGTGTGTGTCAAGCTGCCAGCTACTATAGCCAGAGACCAACAGCACAGTCCCTTCCCAGACAATCCCATTTACATCCAGGGCTTTGAGGACAATGTAAGTTGTCACTGACTTGTCTCCCTTGTTGGTTTTAGCTAGTTTATTTAAACTGAGTTTCTTTTCAGTTGGGTGCACACAAGCTGTATAAAGCTGTGCACACAAGCTGTATAAAGACTAAAGGAGAGAGCTATGCCGAGCTCACTCCATCTTTGGTTCAGATGTGGAATACTGTTTCATGTCTGTTTAATATGTCTGGTGTGTGTTTTAGGTGAACTGTTTCCTGTTTGTTTAAACTGTCTGGTGTGTGTTTTAGATGAACTGTTTCATGTTTAAAACGTCTGGTGTGTGTTTTAGGTGAACTGTTTCCTGTTTGTTTAAACTGTCTGGTGTGTGTTTTAGATGAACTGTTTCATGTTTAAAACGTCTGATGTTGTTTGCTACAGATTGAAGTTCTCCCATCACTGCAAAGACCAAAAAAGATTACAATACTGGGAAGTGATGGTCAGCGTTATGTCATGATGTGCAAGCCCAGGGTGGGTAACTTTGAAATGTATTAAATCACAGCACCTTTAGTGACAAGCTACTGACAGCACCTCTCTCTTGTGACAAGCCACTGACAACACCTCTCTCTCTCTTGTGACAAGCCACTGACAACACCTCTCTCTTGTGACAAGTCACTGACAGCACTTCTCTCTCTTGTGACAAGCCACTGACAGCACCTCTCTCTCTTGTGACAAGCCACTGACAACACCCGTCTCTCTTGTGACAAGCCACTGACAACACCTCTCTCTCTTGTGACAAGCCACTGACAGCACCTCTCTCTCTTGTGACAAGCCACTGACAACACCTCTCTCTCTTGTGACAAGCCACTGACAACACCTCTCTCTTGTGACAAGCCACTGACAACACCTCTCTCTCTTGTGACAAGCCACTGACAGCACCTCTCTCTCTTGTGACAAGCCACTGACAACACCTCTCTCTCTTGTGACAAGCCACTGACAGCACCTCTCTCTCTTGTGACAAGCCACTGACAGCACCTCTCTCTCTTGTGACAAGCCACTGACAGCACCTCTCTCTCTTGTGTAAGCCACTAACAGCACTTCAACTATGCTATTTACAATAGTGAATTGCTTACAATTGGGTGTATTGCTTACAATTGGGTGTATTGCTTACAATTGGGTGTATTGCTTACAATTGGGTGTATTGCTTACAATTGGGTGTATTGCTTACAATAGGGTGTATTGCTTACAATTGGGTGTATTGCTTGGACTTTTAGGATGATCTACGCAAGGATTGCCGCTTGATGGATTTTAACAATGTGGTCAACAGATTTCTTCGTAGAGACCCAGAATCCAGGCGTAGAGGTTTACTTATTCGAACTTATGTAAGTGTTGTTGAGCAGTTTATCCAGATGATCTGTTCTGTGTAAGGGGTGGGGAGTTAGATAAGAGCTTGAATACTGAGTGCTATATTCCCTTCTAGAATGTGACACCACTAAACAAAGAGTGTGGGTTAATCGAGTGGGTGAACAACACAACTGGACTACGCCATGTTTTGTTGAAGCTTTACAAACAGAGAGGCATCTTCATGACAGGAAAGGAACTAACTGCATTGAAACCTCCTCTAAATGCCAGTATAGAGTAAGTTTTTTATGTACACTACTCACTATTAAACTTCATCTATTCATATCACCTTTTGTAATATCATGTCTCACTGTGAGGGGAGAGGTTTTGAGATATGAATGTAGCTATTGTATACAGTAATGTACACTGTAATACACATCCAGTACGGGGAATGTACTGCGTAATCGTCTTCTTGTAGCCTGACACAGTTTAGTGATGGAAACAAACACAAAAGGTCCAATTCATGTGAAACTATAATGTTCTTATTTAAGCATAAATTGGTCTCCTACCTAACTAATCTTCAGCCCAACTCAACCATCTACTAATAATATCTAACTATGACTGCTTCCTAAACATGTCTAACCTCTAACACTATTTCCAACTGCCCACAAGTCCATGGTCAGCTGACTGTCACACGTGACGGTCATCTCCTGCTACAATTCTATTGGTTCTCCTTGACTGACCAATGTCTACGTGTTCTACCTGACTGACGCTATCCTATCTTTCGCCTGCTTGACCTCTGACCTATTTGTAACTAGTGTCATCACGTCTCACCATTTGTCACATCTCACCATTTGTCATGTCTCACCATTTGTCAAATCTCACCATTTGTCATGTCTTTCTATTTGTCACATCTCACCATTTGTCATGTCTCACCATTTGTCAAATCTCACCATTTGTCAAATCTCACCATTTGTCATGTCTTTCCATTTGTCACATCTCACCATTTGTCAAATCTCACCATTTGTCATGTCTTTCCATTTGTCAAATCTCACCATTTGTCATGTCTCACCATTTGTCACATCTCACCATTTGTCATGTCTTACCATTTGTCATGTCTCACCATTTGTCATGTCTCACCATTTGTCAAATCTCACCATTTGTCACATCTCACCATTTGTCAAATCTCACCATTTGTCATGTCATTCCATTTGTCACATCTCACCATTTGTCATGTCTCACCATTTGTCATGTCTCACCATTTGTCATGTCTTACCATTTGTCATGTCTCACCATTTGTCATGTCTCACCATTTGTCACATCTCACCATGTGTCATGTCTCACCATTTGTCACATCTCACCATTTGTCACATCTCACCATTTGTCAAATCTCACCATTTGTCATGTCATTCCATTTGTCACATCTCACCATTTGTCATGTCTCACCATTTGTCATGTCTCACCATTTGTCATGTCTTACCATTTGTCATGTCTCACCATTTGTCATGTCTCACCATTTGTCACATCTCACCATGTGTCATGTCTCACCATTTGTCACATCTCACCATTTGTCATGTCTCACCACTTGTCAAATCTCACCATTTGTCATGTCTCACCATTTGTCACATCTCACCATTTGTCATGTCTCACCATTTGTCACGTCTCACCATTTGTCATGTCTCACCATTTGTCATGTCTCACCATTTGTCACGTCTCACCATTTGTCACATCTCACCTTTAGTCCCATCTCACAACCTAAATGGCATAACTGGTGTTTGGGAAATTAATTTTAACTCACATGTTACTTTTCAGCTTTTTCAAAAAAATAAAATCCTTGTTTAACCTATTTTTAGAAAAAAATATTTTCATCCATAACTTAAAAAGTTTGAATCAAAACTTTTTATTTGTAGTATGTTTCTGTGACCTCAGTAAATGAAGGGATAGTGTGGTCGGCACTATGCCCAGCTGCCTTTACTTTCCCTAGTGTCAGGTACCCATAAGCTATGGGTGGGCTCAGTGATGTTCTACAACTCTTGTCGGGGACATGAACTTGAGACTTTTCACTTAGCAAATGAATGCTCTACCATTCAACCAGGCTGTCCCACGTTTGAATATTGAGATTTGGGCAACTACAGATACAGTTTTTTCAGACCAGAGAGAAGCTGCACATTGCAGTACATGGGTCAAATTTGTAAATGAGAGAATGGCATATCATATAAAATTAGAAAAAAGTATTAATTTGTTTATTTAACAATTTCAGAACTAAAATGAAAATTTTCAAGGAGAAGCTGCTACCCAAACATCCTCCCCTGTTTCCTGAGTGGTTCTTAAGGACATTCCCTGACCCCACCTCATGGTGAGTTCTTGTGTTGTCCAGTTTCATTTTTTTTTTATGGTCTTGTCCAGTTTCATTATTTCTTTATGGTCTTGTCCAGTTTCATTATTTCTTTATGGTCTTGTCCAGTTTCATTATTTCTTTATGGTCTTGTCCAGTTTCATTATTTCTTCATGGTGTTGTCCAGTTTCATTATTTCTTTATGTTTCAACTGTTGTGTTTGCTGGTATAGGGCTATGGTTCAACTGTTGTGTTTGCTGGTATAGGGCTATGGTTCAACTGTTGTGTTTGCTGGTATAGGGCTATGGTTCAACTGTTGTATTTGCAGGTATAGTGCTATGGTTCAACTGTTGTATTTGCAGGTATAGTGCTATGGTTCAACTGTTGTATTTGCAGGTATAGTGCTATGGTTCAACTGTTGTATTTGCAGGTATAGTGCTATGGTTCAACTGTTGTATTTGCAGGTATAGTGCTATGGTTCAACTGTTGTATTTGCAGGTATAGTGCTATGGTTCAACTGTTGTATTTGCAGGTATAGTGCTAGAGTATCCTATGCAAGGACTGCAGCTGTGATGAGTATGGTAGGATACATTCTAGGCCTAGGAGACCGGCATGGAGAGAATATCCTCTTTGATTCAACAACTGGGGACTGCATTCATGTTGATTTTAACTGCCTGTTTAATAAGGTTGGTACATTTACTATCCACTAGGAACTTGAGCCCTTACATCCTGAGCTCATACTTCACTCATGCCCAATATCTATCCTACAAGGCTTCTTAAGTCAGACTGTGATTGCTGGTTGCTAACTTTATATTCACAGGGAGAAACTTTTGAGTGGCCTGAGAGAGTCCCTTTTCGTCTAACACACAACATGACAGCAGCTTTTGTAAGTGATTGACACTACCAACATGTGTACACACTACACTGTAGGACTAACATGTGCACACAACGCTGTAGGACTAACACATGTACACACTACACTGTAGGACTAACACATGTACACACTACACTGTAGGACTAACACATGTACACAACACTGTAGGACTAACACATGTACACACTACACTGTAGGACTAACACATGTACACACTACACTGTAGGACTAACATATGTACACACTACACTGTAGGACTAACACATGTACACACTACACTGTAGGACTAACACATGTACACAACACTGTAGGACTAACACATGTACACACTACACTGTAGGACTAACACATGTACACACTACACTGTAGGACTAACACATGTACACACTACACTGTAGGACTAACACATGTACACACTACACTGTAGGACTAACACATGTACACACTACACTGTAGGACATGTGCACACTACACTGTAGGACATGTGCACACTACAATGTAGGACTAACACATGTACACACTACACTGTAGACTAACAAGCTAAATGCTTACACAACAGATAAGATTCCTCCCAGAGTTTACAGTAGATGTGTCAATGTTTCAGGGACCACTGGGCTATGAAGGTGTGTTCAGGCGAGCATGTGAGATGACTCTCAAAGTGATACGTGATCAGATGGACCCACTCATGAGGTAGTTATATGTCTATGTGTACTCATCTGTGGGCTTGTATGCCTGTCTTTAAGTAAACTGCTCCACCACTGCCTTTGTTTCAGTGTGCTCAAACCTTTCATCTATGACCCTCTGGTGGAGTGGAGCACACAGTCCTCAAGGGGACAGCACTCCAGTGAAACAGGGGAGATAAATAATGAGCTGGTAAGAGAATTTTAGGCTCACGATTTAGTCAGTAATCCCTGAATGTTTTTGTCAATTAAATATTGGATATTTAGTACAATACATAAAAAAAGGACTGAAGATTAAATTAAACTTATACCTGACTTTCTTTGACTTGTTCAGGCTTTAAGTCATGTTCAGAACATTGAAGATAGAATGCGTGGAATATTAAAGACCAAAGCAAAACCCAGGTGTCTTCCACTGTCTATTGAAGGTCATGTTGACTATCTGATCAAGGTAAGCAGCACCAATGTGCTAGTGATGTTACCTATGTTGTAGCATCAATGTGCTAGTGATGTTACCTATGTTGTAGGTTAGGTCCCTAGCACCACTGTGCTAGTGATGTTACCTATGTTGTAGGTTAGGTCAGTAGCACCAATGTGCTAGTGATGTCACCTATGTTGTAGGTAAGGTCAGTAGCACCAATGTGCTAGTGATGTTACCTATGTTGTAGCACCAATGTGCTAGTGATGTCACCTATGTTGTAGGTTAGGTCAGTAGCACCAATGTGCTAGTGATGTCACCTATGTTGTAGGTAAGGTCAGTAGCACCAATGTGCTAGTGATGTTACCTATGTTATAGCATCAATGTGCTAGTGATGTCACCTATGTTGTAGGTAAAGTCAGTAGCACCAATGTGCTAGTGATGTCACCTATGTTGTAGGTAAAGTCAGTAGCACCAATGTGCTAGTGATGTCACCTATTTTGTAGCATCAATGTGCTAGTGATGTCACCTATGTTGTAGGTTAGGTAAGTAGCACCAATGTACTAGTGATGTCACCTATGTTGTAGGTAAAGTCAGTAGCATCAATGTGCTAGTGATGTTACCTATGTTGTAGGTTAGGTCCCTAGCACCAATGTGCTAGTGATGTTACCTATGTTGTAGGTAAAGTCAGTAGCACCAATGTGCTGGTGATGTTACCTATGTTGTAGCATCAATGTGCTAGTGCTGTCACCTATGTTGTAGGTTAGGTCAGTAGCATCAATGTGCTAGTGATGTTACCTATGTTGTAGGTAAAGTCAGTAGCACCAATGTGCTAGTGATGTTACCTATGTTGTAGGTTAGGTCCCTAGCACCAATGTGCTAGTGATGTTACCTATGTTGTAGGTAAAGTCAGTAGCACCAATGTGCTAGTGATGTTACCTATGTTGTAGCATCAATGTGCTAGTGATGTTACCTATGTTGTAGCATCAATGTGCTAGTGATGTTACCTATGTTGTAGGTTAGGTCCCTAGCACCAATGTGCTAGTGATGTTACCTATGTTGTAGCACCAATGTGCTAGTGATGTTACCTATGTTGTAGCTATGGTAACCAAGGAGTAGTTACAAACTTTGTGTATTTTTCCAGGAGGCCACAGATGAAACCAATTTATGTGCTATGTACATTGGTTGGGCTGCTTTCATGTGATCCTGGCCTGCTGCAGGATGTTTACTTTGCCACATGACTTATGTGCTACAGGATGTGTACTTTGCCACATGACTTATGTGCTGCAGGATGTGTACTTTGCCACATGACTTATGTGCTGCAGGATGTGTACTTTGCCACATGACTTATGTGCTGCATATCTGTCATGAGCTTTGCTAGCTGATGTAAATGTTTTCTAATTCACTGAATTGTATGCCTTATTTTCATGTTATATTTTTTCAATGTAAATCAGAAAGGTTATTCAGCAAATTTGTGCATTGTTTTTTTTTTATTGTGCTGTGTCTAATTTTGTATGGACTTATGGTGTGCTGCTCTGGTTGACTTATGGTGTGCTGTTCTGGTTGACTGATGTTGTGTTGTGTTCTAAAAGAGTGATGGTGTGCTGAAATTTCAAGCTTTCATGTTTTATTGGGTGTTCTAGCTAGCTTTTCACTAAGAACACTATAAGATGTCTTGTGTATAGTCTATTTGATGTTGGTCTAGATGCAAGGCTTTTTGAAAGACAAAAAAAAAAAAGTCCAAAAGCATTTAGACATTGCAAAGTATACAATTTTCTTTAATGTAATGATATATTTGCTGCACAACTGCTGTTGCATTATCTCTGATTGGCAACTGGCCCCATGGTCTTTCCCAAAGATGTGGCCGATCTGAAAAATTAATCAGAACAACTGTTGGGTACCCAGTCAGAATGTTATAACACTAGTGTGTGTGTTGGGTACCCAGTCAGAATGTTATAACACTAGTGTGTGTTGGGTACCTAGTCAGAATGTTATAACACTAGTGTGTGTTGGGTACCTAGTCAGAATGTTATAACACTAGTGTGTGTTGGGTACCTAGTCAGAATGTTATAGCGCCAGTGTGTGTTGGGTACCCAGTCAGAATGTTATAACACTAGTGTGTTGGGTACCCAGTCAGAATGTTATAACACTAGTGTGTGTTGGGTACCTAGTAAGAATGTTATAACACTAGTGTGTGTTGGGTACCTAGTCAGAATGTTATAGCGCCAGTGTGTGTTGGGTACCCAGTCAGAATGTTATAACACTAGTGTGTTGGGTACCCAGTCAGAATGTTATAACACTAGTGTGTGTGTTGGGTACCCAGTCAGAATGTTATAACACTAGTGTGTTGGGTACCCAGTCAGAATGTTATAACACTAGTGTGTGTGTTGGGTACCCAGTCCAAATGTTATAGCACTAGTGTGTGTGTGTGTTGGGTACCCAGTCCAAATATTACTGCGCCAGTGTGTGTTGGGTACCCAGTCCAAATATTACTGCGCCAGTGTGTGTTGGGTACCCAGTCCAAATATTACTGCGCCAGTGTGTGTTGGGTACCTAGTCAGAATGTTATAGCGCCAGTGTGTGTTGGGTACCCAGTCAGAATGTTATAGCGCCAGTGTGTGTTGGGTACCCAGTCAGAATGTTATAGCGCCAGTGTGTGTTGGGTACCCAGTCAGAATGTTATAGCGCCAGTGTGTGTTGGGTACCCAGTCCAAATGTTATAGCGCCAGTGTGTGTTGGGTACCCAGTCAGAATGTTATAGCGCCAGTGTGTGTTGGGTACCCAGTCAGAATGTTATAGCGCCAGTGTGTGTTGGGTACCCAGTCCAAATGTTATAACACCAGTGTGTGTTGGGTACCCAGTCAGAATGTTATAACACTAGTGTGTGTTGGGTACCCAGTCCAAATGTTATAGCGCCAGTGTGTGTTGGGTACCCAGTCAGAATGTTATAGCGCCAGTGTGTGTTGGGTACCCAGTCCAAATGTTATAGCGCTAGTGTGTTGGGTACCCAGTCCAAATGTTATAGCGCCAGTGTGTGTTGGGTACCCAGTCAGAATGTTATAGCGCCAGTGTGTTGGGTACCCAGTCAGAATGCTAGTGTGTGTGTGTGTTGTGTACAACCTTGGAGGGTCTGTGATAAGATTACCTGGCTGAAGACACTGCTGGCTTTCTTTTGTTTCCCATGTTGCCAGGTGGAACTGCCGGCTTTCTGCAACACCAAATACATTTTACATTTAAGTTAGAAACTACATATGTTTAGGTCATAACCCCAACATCAAGAAATATTTAGGTCATAACCCCAACCTCTAAAAATAAAACAAATGACAGCATATGACTAGAGAAAAATATAGTTACTAAGTCTGGTGATGTAGATGTGAACCTACTTGCGTTCATTTTTCCCTTTGAAAATTTTGTTTAAATCTAGAGGTGAAGACGTAACAGTTTCATCAGCTGTGTGGTTGGTCTCACACTCAGTGTCCACTTCAAGTCGAACTGGAGCATACAGGTTAAACCATTGCTACAATATAGAGCATACAGGTTAAACCATTGCTACAATATAGAGCATACAGGTTAAACCATTGCTACAATATAGAGCATACAGGTTAAACCATTGCTACAATATAGAGCATACAGGTTAAACCATTGCTACAATATAGAGCATACAGGTTAAACCATTGCTACAATATAGAGCATACAGGTTAAACCATTGCTACAATATAGAGCATACAGGTTAAACCATTGCTACAATATAGAGCATACAGGTTAAACCATTGCTACAATATAGAGCATACAGGTTAAACCATTGCTACAATATAGAGCATACAGGTTAAACCATTGCTACAATATAGAGCATACAGGTTAAACCATTGCTACAATATAGAGCATACAGGTTAAACCATTGCTACAATATAGAGCATACAGGTTAAACCATTGCTACAATATAGAGCATACAGGTTAAACCATTGCTACAATATAGATCATACAGGTTAAACCATTGCTACAATATAGAGCATACAGGTTAAACCATTGCTACAATATAGAGCATACAGGTTAAACCATTGCTACAATATAGAGCATACAGGTTAAACCATTGCTACAATATAGAGCATACAGGTTAAACCATTGCTACAATATAGAGCATACAGGTTAAAACATTGCTACAATATAGAGCATACAGGTTAAACCATTGCTACAATATAGAGCATACAGGTTAAACCAGGGGTCGGCAACCTGCGGCTCGCGAGCCGCATGCGGCTCTTTTGATATCAGAATGCGGCTCTCCAGCTCTTTGCACAAATACTAATAATCTTAATAAAAATATAAAATATTTGAAATAAAAAAATGTTGGTGGCTCTTTAAAACCAGAGAAATTTTGAAAATTGTAACTTTTGGCTCTTTCGCTTCAAAAGGTTGCCGACCCCTGGGTTAAACCATTGCTACAATATAGAGCATACAGGTTAAACCATTGCTACAATATAGATCATACAGGTTAAACCATTGCTACAATATTAATAAGAGCATACAGCTTAAACCAGTCAAATGTAGATTTGTGGCTGAAACTTGGTGGTAGGAATGTAACTGGCATAAATAGAGTAAGAGGATTAAACCCGTGCCTACCTTGGCTGTTGGTGGCAGCCCAACATCTGTGAAAGCTAAGTGCCAATGTGGCAACCCTAGGTGCATTAGCATCAACCGGTAGTAGGCCTGGAAGCTATGACACAAATAGTGCCATTTTAAAGAGCGGTCCAAAAACCAATACTCTGTTTTAAAATCTAGAATGAATTATAGTTCAGGAAACTAATTTAAAAAATGTTAATGCTAAAAAAAAAATATCATACATAGGAAAGAATTTTTTTTTTAATTTTTATAAATAGAAAGTGGATTCAATCAGTTTTAGACAAATACTAATATCTATTGCTATAAGTTTGAGTTAATTTAAAAATAATAATCATTAAAAAAGTTTTTAAAAACCCACGTTTTCTGATTGAACTAAAAAGTAGAAAATAAATGCTATACATCACAATAATGCAAGCGATCACTCTACTATAAGCGATGAAAAACGTGGGGCGCCGAAGTAAAAGTTATATTACTATTGATTAGATAATACTATTGACTTTTATTAGGGAGCTTGTAGAGAGTCAACAGTATTAGAAACTGTAAGAAAATCACGGCGCCCCACGTTTTTCATCGCTTATAGTAGAGTGATCGCTTGCATTATTGTGATGTATAGCATTTATTTTCTACTTTTTAGTTCAATCAGAAAACGTGGGTTTTTTAATTAAAACTTTTTTAATGATTATTATTTTCTACTTTTTAGTCTTTGTATGTTTGTTTGCATTCAAATCTTGCTATCGATTTTATCTTTTCACTTTTTTTTTGGGTAAACGAAGACAACTCGTAAAAAGACAACTCGTAAAAAACACGTTGTGTGAATACGTTACGGACTAAAACACATAGATTTGAACCCGTGTCGAGTGGGTTAGCAATCGTGTGCCCAACCACTCGACCATATCTTCTCCCACATACTGGCCACCAGTTCTTACGTTCTGGTTGTTTGTAGACAAACAACGCGTGACAACTACTCAGTAGGCAAAAAGAGGGAGAGTATCGAACCTTCTTTTCATCAAATTACAGTTACTGGGTTATGTCCCTTTTTCCCCACGTTTTTATATTATTATATAGGGGTATAAAATGATCAATAAAATGTTTCCATGGATCAATTTAGTAATAATAACAGTTGAATATTCTATTGTCATCCAAAACAAAGCTTCCCTGAAAATTTCAGCGCGCTAGCTAACTGGGAAGTGCACGAAATTTTGATCGCAAGATTTGATTGGAAAAACAAACAAACAAACAAACAAACAGAGGCGAAAACAAGTTAAAGAAAACGTGGGAAAAAAATATACCATGTTCAGAAGTTGTGTAGACTAGACAGGCCTTGCCATAGCCTTCACATGAATCTAACTGGAAGATTTTGTTTTTAGTAAAACTAGGAACTCTTTTACCTATTGGAATAAAAATATTGTATTATCTCACTTTTCTCTAACCAGTTGTATCATTATCTCACTTATCTCTTACCAGTTGTATCATCATCTCACTTATCACTTACCAGTTGTATCATCTCACTTATCTCTTACCATTTGTATCATCTCACTTATCACTTACCAGTTGTATCATCTCACTTATCACTTACCAGTTGTATCATCTCACTTATAACTTACCAGTTGTATCATCTCACTCATCACTTACCAGTTGTATCATCATCCCATTCCAGATCCCAGAGGGAGGGCTGACTAGGAGTTCCCTCAATGGAGTTGATATGTACAGGCACCATCTGCCCAATGGAACATATGCTCATGTTCCCAACTGGAATTGTTAGGCCTGTAGATTTGAAATCTTGTTGATATGCTCTCCAGGTATTCTCAACAGACCATATCGTTACCACCCCCCCACCAGTCTGGTGAGCTGTGGTTCATGTCGAATGTTTACAATCGTAGGGCCAGGTCAAATTAGTGACGGCTATTAGGGGCAGATAATTTAGTTTTTACTAAGGGGAGGTAATAACAAGTTCTTTTTTATATTTTCATTGACATCTGTAAACTGCCGTCACGGACGGCTGCTTTCACTTAGGGAGGGGGGAGGGGAGGAGTTGTGGAAAGTGAGGGTGTGGATAATCATCCTTCACGAGCTACAAATTCACAAATTATGAATTACTAAATAATAGAAAATAAAACAACTACATATCGGCGTATGCTACGTTGCGAGTCAGCTTGTGTTAAATAAATGAAAATATTCAATTTTTTAAACATCTCATGATATCTCCCCCCCCCCCCCCCCCCCACATGTTTGGCTTAAATACTTACTTTCAATTTTTACTGACCAAGTTAAGTGGAAGCCATTGTTTGTGAGGAAAAAATTCTTGAGATCTTCTGGCAGCAACAGAGAATTCTTCTGATGAACAAAATAAGTACACTAGTGATGTTGTCTGAACAGGATGAAGTATAATGATGATGTTGTTGGTCTAAACAAGTTTAAGTGTAAACAATATGTTGGTATGGTTTTGTATGGGTTGATATACATTCTGCTATGTAATAGTTTTTCTTTGGTTTAATTTGTTTATTTTTATTTTATATTCAGTATTTAAAGTTTTATTGTTTTTCAATGAAGGGCTATATTGTCTTTTACTATTTATCAGGGTTTTCATTGATTTAATTTAATATCTCTTGCTATGGTTTACATAATTGGGATTTTCAACACAAATGTCAGGGTTACGAAGACAAATACTGATAGGCTACAGGCATTCGTAAACAAATGCTTACGACATATACTTAAAATAAGATGGCCAGACAAAATATTAAACATTGACCTGTGGCAAATTTTAAAGCAACAGCCAATAGAGAAAGATATTAAGGCCCGTATTAAGGCCCACATGAGAACCACTGATTACAAAGAAACAGCCAGCCCTACCTGTTCCCACATGAGAACCACTGAGCGCTCAGCTGGAGGTCTGACATCATGATTTATTTGACAAATGCCATTTCTTTTCTCTAACAGCAAACAAAAAAAAATCAATTAAAACAACAGTACCAGAGACTAATTCGTCCAGCAGTTAAATCACCCACATACAATAAAATACTAATACTACAAGAAGCACAACTTCATCTTTAATATCTCTATGTTTAATAAGATCCCAATTCCCCCCCCCCCTCGTCATTTATCCCTATCCCCACCAATAGAGCCTTACCATACTTAATTTGGTGCCTTCGTTTTTTTTAAATTTGGGTAGATCGAGATCTAGATAGATTTTAAATGGCATGGTCAATACTGTTTTGCTAACCATTTTTGAATTGCTAACTATTTTTAAGTGTTTTTTACTAATAATCTATAGTAATTATTGCTGCTACTAATTATTGTTCTAGTCATTTTTTTCTATATTACTAATTGTTTTTACTAGATCTAGGCCAAGAATAAATGTCGCAAATCTTCTGCAAGTTTAATTTCTGTAGGCCTATTTCATTTGTTTAAAAATAAAAATCAGCACCAGACTTAATTGCTAAATATTCTATAGGCCTAGATCTATATACTGTCTAGTACTATATATCTACTAGTAGTACTGTACGGTGTACGTACTGGTGACTCACCGAGATAATTGATAATATTTAGTGTCGTTTGGTCCAGATGACTTCGTGAAGCAATTCCTTCCATTCAGAATTGCAGCTACTGTGATTTTTTGTTTCAAATAAATATTTCCGTACAGATCTAAGCCTACTAGACTAGAATTATGGCACAAATGAGAAGGAATCTTAAAACACTAACTAATCTGACGCCATCTTGTATCGTGGGAAGCCAAAGCCTGCAGTTTAAAAAATCAATGCGATGGTAATTTCCATGTAGATCACATTATAATATAAACCGGGAGTGATCTCCCCTACATTATCTCGAATATTCTTATGGGGGAAGACTCCGGTAATAAAATACTTAAAAAAAACTTTGTAAAAAACCACGTTTTTCTTGTGGACTAAAAAGTAGAAAATAACTATTTACATACATTTGATGACAAAAAACGTGGGTAGGTTCCCCATCCAATTTCCCGACCCATCTGCCCGACCCACGTTTTTTGTCATCAAATGTATGTAAATAGTTATTTTCTACTTTTTAGTCCACAAGAAAAACGTGGTTTTTTTTAAAGTTTTTTTAAGTATTTTATTTTCTCCTTTTTAGTCCGTTGCTACACATGAAAAACGTGTTTTTAAAAAAAGTTTTTTATATAGTTTATTTTCTACTTTATCTAATGACTTGATTAAGTATGAATTGACTAAGTGTTTATAAATACACGGACTAAAAAAATCTTGAGCGACCAGGATTCGAACCTGGGTTGTCGCGGCCACAACGCGAAGTACTAATAACTATACGATCACGGCCAGCGCGCTCACATCGATTGGGGCCGAAGTAACTGTGTCAACAGGCCTCCAGTCTTGTCGGTATCTTTAGAAATCATGTCCTCAATTTTATGGTCCTTGGGGCGTAATTAAATTAAGCTAATTACGGTCTCTAATTGCTAGTTTTTATGATTGCATCTGAAATTGTTAGGCGAAAGTAGCCTGTATGCCAAATTTCAGATCTCTAGAGCAATCAGAAGTGGGCTAATTTTCGATGTCAATTTTAACAACAAACACATCCACAAACGCGAAGCTGAGTTAAGAAAAAAAAATACTTAAAAAAAACTTTTTTAAAAACCACGTTTTTCTTGTGGACTAAAAAGTAGAAAATAAATTTTCATACATTTGATGACAAAAAACGTGGGTACGTTCACCATCAAATTTCCCGACCCATCTGCCCGACCCACGTTTTTTGTCATCAAATGTATGAAAATTTATTTTCTACTTTTTAGTCCACAAGAAAAACGTGGTTTTTAAAAAAGTTTTTTTAAAGTATTTTATTTTCTCCTTTTTAGTCCGTTGCTACACATGAAAAACGTTGTTTTTAAAAAAGTTTTTTATATAGTTTATTTGCTACTATATCTAATGACTTGATTAAGTATGACTTGACTAAGTGTTTATAAATACACGGACTAAAAATCTTGAGCGACCAGGATTCGAACCTGGGTTGTCGCGGCCACAACGCGAAGTACTAACCACTATACGATCACGGCCAGCGCGCTCACATCGATTGGGGCCGAAGTAACTGTGCCAATAGGCCTCCAGTCTTGTCGGTATCTTTAGAAATCATGTCCTCAATTTTATGGTCCTTGGGGCGTAATTAAATTAAGCTAATTACGGTCTCTAATTGCTAGTTTTTATGATTGCATCTGAAATTGTTAGGCGAAAGTAGCCTACATGCCAAATTTCAGATCTATTGAGCAATCAGAAGTGGGCTAATTTTCGATGTCAATTTTAACAACAAACAAACAAATCCACAAACGCGAAACTGAGTTAAGAATAAAATACTTAAAAAAAACTTCTTAAAAAACCACGTTTTTCTTGTGGACTAAAAAGTAGAAAATAACTATTTACATACATTTGATGACAAAAAACGTGGGTCGGGCAGATGGGTCGGGAAATTTGATGGTGAACGTACCCACGTTTTTTGTCATCAAATGTATGTAAATAGTTATTTTCTACTTTTTAGTCCACAAGAAAAACGTGGTTTTTTAAGAAGTTTTTTTTAAGTATTTTATTTTCTCCTTTTTAGTCCGTTGCTACACATGAAACACGTGGTTTTTAAAAAAGTGTTTATAAATACACGGACTAAAAAAAAATCTTGAGCGACCAGGATTCGAACCTGGGTTGTCGCGGCCACAACGCGAAGTACTAACCACTATACGATCACGGCCAGCGCGCTCACATCTATTGGGGCCGAAGTAACTGTATCAATAGGCCTCTAGTCTTGTCGGTATCTTTAGAAATCATGTCCTCAATTTTATGGTCCTTGGGGCGTAATTAAATTAAGCTAATTACGGTCACTAATTGCTAGTTTTTATGATTGCATCTGAAATTGTTAGGCGAAAGTAGCATGCATGCCAAATTTCAGGTCTCTAGAGCAATCAGAAGTGGGCTAATTTTCGATGTCAATTTTAACAACAAACATCCAAACAACCAAACAAACAAACGCGAAGCTGAGTTAAGAAAAACGTGTTAAAAACGTGTTAAATAAAATACTTTAAAAAAACTTTTTAAAAAACCACGTTTTTCTTGTGGACTAAAAAGTAGAAAATAACTATTTACATACATTTGATGACAAAAAACGTGGGTACGTTCACCATCAAATTTCCCGACCCATCTGCCCGACCCACGTTTTTTGTCATCAAATGTATGTAAATAGTTATTTTCTACTTTTTAGTCCACAAGAAAAACGTGGTTTTTTAAAAAGTTTTTTTAAGTATTTTATTTTCTCCTTTTTAGTCCGTTGCTACACATGAAAAACGTGGTTTTTAAAAAAGTTTTTTATATAGTTTATTTTCTACTTTATCTAATGACTTGATTAAGTATGAATTGACTAAGTGTTTATAAATACACGGACTAAAAAAATCTTGAGCGACCAGGATTCGAACCTGGGTTGTCGCGGCCACAACGCGAAGTACTAATAACTATACGATCACGGCCAGCGCGCTCACATCGATTGGGGCCGAAGTAACTGTGTCAACAGGCCTCCAGTCTTGTCGGTATCTTTAGAAATCATGTCCTCAATTTTATGGTCCTTGGGGCGTAATTAAATTAAGCTAATTACGGTCTCTAATTGCTAGTTTTTATGATTGCATCTGAAATTGTTAGGCGAAAGTAGCCTGTATGCCAAATTTCAGATCTCTAGAGCAATCAGAAGTGGGCTAATTTTCGATGTCAATTTTAACAACAAACACACAAACGCGAAGCTGAGTTAATAAAAACGTGTTAAAAAAACCTTTTTTAATACTCGTTAGAAAACAGTTATTTTTTTACAGCTTTAGTAAGATACATCCGCATATGCATTTCCACTAAAAAAAAATTTGAAAAAATCTTGGTAACTATGACAACGGCGGCCATCTTGAAAAATTAACCCATTCGTAGGTTTTCCACCATTCACAAAATATTACATTTTAAGCCCAATAAACAATCAATTCATAATCTTCTTCCATTATTTGGGGCAATCAGCTAAAAATTTTAAGTGCATATCTTCAAACTAATTTTTTATGAATTTTCAAAATTTGTGTCCGTTCAAAACAAGACAATTAGGAGAAAGTAATTATACTATATAGAGTATATACACAACAGGACATTGTGTAGGACTAGATCAAGTAGTAGGTAGTACGCCGAGATCTATACACACTAGGTGACTATATTTGGGCGACTAATCTATTAGGCCTAATGGCTTTTAAACAGTGGCGTCTGTATCGTCTCATGGGGGGGGGGGTCAATTTTTTTCGGCATTATATATATATATATATATATATATACTTTTTGAGTTGATTTAACTCTATTTCCCCGCCCCCCTCGTGAACCCCACGGTAATTGCTTTAAACTGTTCTCAGATAATTCTAACGATTTTTATCTATATTCGGTTATAAATTCAACTGGATGATTGCATGTTTTCTTTATCATTAGCAGGTTTACGTCATGTTGTCACCCCCCGCCCTTTACCTGTGTTGGGATTTGTCCACTTTGCTCTTAAAAGACTATTTAATTCACTCTAATTAATCATTTAATTAAGTGAAATTTTAAAAAATTTCTGTTTATATATATTTTGCATTGGTATCACCTCCCTAAATGTTGTCACCCGGTGCGGTCCGCACCCCCCCCCCCCCCCCCACCTCGCTACGCCTCTGGCGAGGTTAATTGTGGCTGGAGTATCACAAGTTTTGTTGTGACTGTTTAATGAATGTTTTCATATTTAAATCATAAAAGCCTATTTTATTTCATTTTAATAACAATGAAATATCTTTCCGTAAAATAGCTTAGGACAACATTAGCAAATAGAACAGTTTTAGCAGCCAGCAGCAGGCTGTTTTACGGCAGACGTTCTTTCGAACACGCCCCCTTTTAGTTCTCCGTCATTTGGCTGCATTAAAATTTAAACTCTTGTGGAAAAAAACCCACGAGATTTTTTAAAGAGCATGTTCAGTTCGTAGATGTCGGCCTTCATGCCGTATAGAAGTATGCCTACATGTCGTATAGAAGTATGCCTACATGTCGTATAGAAGTATGCCTACATGCCTATAGAAGTATGCCGTATAGAAGTATGCCTACATGCCGTATAGAAGTATGCCTACATGCCGTATAGAAGTATGCCTACATGCCGTATAGAAGTATGCCTACATGCCGTATAGAAGTATGCCTACATGCCGTATAGAAGTATGCCTACATGCCGTATAGAAGTATGCCTACATGCCGTATAGAAGTATGCCTACATGCCGTATAGAAGTATGCCTATTTTTAAAAAAATTGTTTACCTACAAGCTATTTGCTGTCCTTACCCCCCCCCCCCCCTTCCACCCATTTACTTCATTACTTACTATGATTTACAATCAGTTTATCGGGTCTAGGACATTACCCCCCCCCCCCCCCCCTTGTTAATGATTCTCCTGGGGAATTACCCCCTCCTCAAGTTCAAGAATCATGACTAATTCCAACTCTATACCTATATATTACCATAACCCTAAACTTAATTAAGAAAAAAACTAAACCTAAGATGAGCATTCACCTCAGTCTAAAACTTAAGTCTAACCCTGATGCATGCCTAGCCCAAACTGTACCTTAGGCTTTGACGGGGGAGGGGGGGGTAATGCCCCGTTCCCCAGCTTATCATTGTAATGTAAATAGAGTCAATAAATGATAATCAAAATGGTCAGTTTTACATGCAGCCATTTATTATGAATGGACACTGTACTTCTAAACACAGAGACAAAAACAAAAGACATGTTCAGATGCAGCAAAAAAATTACAAGAATAAAACAAATCAATTTCACTAGCTTTAATCTTCAATATTTTCCCCAACTAATGTGTTCAGAAAATGTCTCCTTTTAAAAGCCCCAGTAAGCGGCTGTTTTCACTAGACCTGTAAGTAGTGTAAGCCGACATATGTTTGTTTCCAATTTTGAGCTCTGTTTAAATAGTTTAGAGCCAGCTTTTTTGGTGCAAAATGTAAAACAAAAAATGCCTAAGATACGAAACCAATTTTCTCTTCAACTAACAATATCGCCTTTTTAAAGTGTTTTATTTCAAAGGATCGTGTCAAAGATATGTAAAAACTGAGGTCTAACAACTCCACAGTAACTACAAGACATCACAATACAACAGCGTTTAGTAACAGGTCAAACAGGCCGAAATGTTGGCTCAGTAACATTTTTAGATAAGAGCTCCAGTGGTTGCAACTGCAGGCCTACTCAAATAAATATGATTGTAGATCGACATCATACAGATCTAATATATAGGCTATATATATGCCTTATATATATATATATATATATATATATATATATATATATATATATATATATATAAACTTTTCCCCCCTTTACTTGATACCAACATGCCTTTTATTTGGTTCCAGATGGCTTATCAGTTTGATCCCCATTTTGTTTGACATCAGATGTAAGAAACTGACCAGATTTAGGATACATGTTTGGTAGTGTACAGCCATAATTAAGATTTTTCGAGATTTAAAATGATATGGCACAATGAATTATAATAATCATATCGACACATCACAAAACGTAGACCATGTATCGACGACAAAATGTATTACGTCTTAAATAAAAAAAAATTAAAAACCTTAATAAACAGCAATAGTCCAAACTAAAATACCAGCTTTTTAGGGTAGCCTACTGATTTATTTGTTTATTGAGTTTTATCGCAAAATCTATCAAGTGAGGCCTATTCCAAAGACACAACTAGAATTTTTTTCAGCATCAACTAAATTTAGCTACCAAAAATATATGCAGACTCAACATCTCTTATACCGCCATCAACAGCCTGAAACAACAACAGCTTCTGATTGTCTAGACCAAATTAGTTAACGCCTTCTAATTTATGGGACAATAACGTTAGGTGTGAGGTGGAGATTGTGTTGTATGGCGAAATTGATTCCTCTCAAAAGTTTAAGGTGAGATCTAGGATTTTATAATTATGTTCCGTGCTTGACGATTTGGAATTGAAATGGTTACAAATGGATTCCTTTTTTCAACTAAAAATAAAAGAGAAATAAAAAAAAATCAATATTGTTCTGTCGACATAGACATGTCCTTGGCTGATGGCCGCTTCCTGCAGCCTCTGCGGGGATCAGAGATGGCACGAGTCAAGAACATGTCCATTGTCAGGCCAGTTTGATCAATCATCTACTCGATGGGATAGATCTACCCATCTAGACTCGATGGATAGATCTACCCATCTAGACTCGATGGATAGATCTACCCATCTTGACTAATGGGATAGATCTACCAATCTAGACTCGATGGATAGATCTACCCATCTAGACTCGATGGATAGATCTACCCATCTAGACTCGATGGATAGATATACCCATCTTGACTAATGGGATAGATCTACCAATCTAGACTCGATGAGATAGATCTACCCATCTAGACTCGATGGATAGATCTACCCATCTAGACTCGATGGGATAGATCTACCAATCTCTACTCAATGGGATAGATCTACCCATCTCTAGTTAGTGGGATAGATCTACCAATCTCTACTCAATGGGATAGATCTACACCTTGTAGACTACTGAGATTGTTCTTCCAAGATTAACCATGCTGGCCTGAACTGATCGCCAAAAAATGAAAACAACGATTGATATGGTGGAGCTGCAGTCGCCGGCCAGTCACGTGGGATTAGTCTTGGAGTTTGTGCCACTCGGCTATCTGCTTCCGGGGGCAGTTGATGACCTCAGTCCAGTGCGTGGCTTCCTGTCCTTCACATTTGGAGCCGATCTCCAGACGACCAACGACCTCATTTTTGGTCATGCGATCCCAGTCCAGGACCAGCAGTTCCAGAGAAATATTCTGTCAATTAGAGGAACATAGGTCAGTGCCAGCCTCACACAGTTCAAACAGAAATGTAATTCACAACACACACAAACCTTCAACTAACGGCTAGACACCAGACACACAAATGTAATCTTTAACTAACGGCTAGACAACAGACACACAAATAAATGAAATCTTCAACTAACGGCTAGACAACAGACACAAACAAATGAAATCTTCAACTAACGGCTAGACAACAGACACACACACAAATGTAATCTTCAACTAACGGCTAGACACAGACACACAAACAAATGAAATCTTCAACTAACGGCTAGACAACACACACACAAATGAAATCTTCAACTAACGGCTAGACAACACACACACAAACAAATGAAATCTTCAACTAACGGCTAGACAACACACACACAAACAAATGAAATCTTCAACTAACGGCTAGACAACACACACACAAACAAATGAAATCTTCAACTAACGGCTAGACAACAGACACACAAACAAATGAAATCTTCAACTAACGGCTAGACACCAGACACAAACAAATGAAATCTTCAACTAACGGCTAGACAACACACACACAAATGTAATCTTCAACTAACGGCTAGACAACAGACACACAAATAAATGAAATCTTCAACTAACGGCTAGACAACAGACACACAAATGTAATCTTCAACTAACGGCTAGACAACAGACACACAAATAAATGAAATCTTCAACTAACGGCTAGACAACAGACACACAAATAAATGAAATCTTCAACTAACGGCTAGACAACACACACACAAATGTAATCTTCAACTAACGGCTAGACCAGGGGTCGGCAACCTGCGGCTCGCGAGCCGCATGCGGCTCTTTTGATATCAAGATGCGGCTCTCCAGCTCTTTGAACAAATACTAATAATCTTGATAAAAAAATAAAATATTTAAAATTAAAAAAAATGTTAGTGGCTCTTTAAAACCAGGGAAATTTTGAAAATTGTAACTTTTGGCTCTTCAGCTTCAAAGGTTGCCGACCCCTGGGCTAGACAACAGACACACAAACAAATGTAATCTTCAACTAACGGCTAGACAACAGACACAAACAAATGAAATCTTCAACTAACGTCTAGACAACACACACACAAATGTAATCTTCAACTAACGGCTAGACAACAGACACAAACAAATGAAATCTTCAACTAACGTCTAGACAACACACACACAAATGTAATCTTCAACTAACGGCTAGACAACACACACACAAACAAATGAAATCTTCAACTAACGGCTAGACAACAGACACACACAAATGTAATCTTCAACTAACGGCTAGACAACAGACACAAACAAATGAAATCTTCAACTAACGGCTAGACAACAGACACACAAACAAATGAAATCTTCAACTAACGGCTAGACACCAGACACACACACAAATGTAATCTTCAACTAACGGCTAGACACAGACACACAAACAAATGAAATCTTCAACTAACGGCTAGACAACAGACACAAACAAATGAAATCTTCAACTAACGGCTAGACAACAGACACACAAATAAATGAAATCTTCAACTAACGGCTAGACAACACACACACAAATGAAATCTTCAACTAACGGCTAGACAACACACACACAAACAAATGAAATCTTCAACTAACGGCTAGACACAGACACACAAATAAATGAAATCTTCAACTAACGGCTAGACAACAGACACAAACAAATGAAATCTTCAACTAACGGCTAGACAACAGACACACAAATAAATGTAACCTTCAACTAACGGCTAGACAACACACACACACAAATGCCATCTGCAACTTTCAGCTAGTCACCTGCAGCCCTTCGTTATACGGAACGTCGAAGAGAAAAGATTCGTTGAACACAGGGTTCAGGGTTCGCTTCTTCACGTGCGTCTTCTTCTTGGCGATCCGTTGGCCATTATACAGCAGGTAGATCTTGACATAGGGATCTAGACACAAGTGATACTTTGTCATACATTATACAGCAGGCAGATCTTGACATAGGGATCTAGACACAAGTGATACTTTGTCAAACATTATACAGCAGGCAGATCTTGACATAGGGATCTAGACACAGCTGATACTATACAGACTTACTACCTCACATTTACCCAGTGGCGTCGCTAGGTTGGGTGTCACCCGGTGTGGAACCTCACCTGACAGTCCAGTGATGTCCATCTTGGGTAAGTTCCTGGCCTTGAGGACAACAACCCCCAGTCTGTTGGCAGCCGGCTGGTAGCACAGGGAGACCAGGAGCTCGCCGCGTCCCTGGTTACGGAACTGAAACAAATAACAGTAGTCTGACATCCCACACTGATGTAACAGTAGCCTGACATCCCACACAGTAGCCTGACATCCCACACAGTGGCCTGACATCCCACACAGTAGCTTGACATCCCACACAGTAGCTTGACATCCCACACAGTAGCCTGACATCCCACACAGTAGCCTGACATCCCACACAGTGGCCTGACATCCCACACAGTAGCCTGTCATCCCACACAGTAGCCTGTCATCCCACACAGTGGCCTGACATCCCACACAGTGGCCAGACATCCCACACAGTGGCCTGACATCCCACACAGTGGCCTGACATCCCACACAGTAGCCTGACATCCCACATTGATGTAACAGTAGCCTGACATCCCACACAGTAGCCTGACATCCCACACAGTGGCCAGACATCCCACACAGTGGCCTGACATCCCACACAGTAGCCTGTCATCCCACACAGTGGCCTGACATCCCACACAGTAGCCTGACATCCCACACAGTGGCCTGACATCCCACACTGATGTAACAGTAGCCTGTCATCCCACACAGTAGCCTGACATCCCACACAGTGGCCTGACATCCCACACTGATGTAACAGTAGCCTGTCATCCCACACAGTGGCCTGACATCCCACACAGTAGCCTGACATCCCACACAGTAGCCTGACATCCCACACAGTGGCCTGACATCCCACACTGATGTAACAGTAGCCTGTCATCCCACATTGATGTAACAGTAGCCTGACATCCCACACTGATGTAACAGTAGCCTGTCATCCCACACAGTAGCCTGACATCCCACACAGTGGCCTGACATCCCACACAGTAGTCTGACATCCCACACTGATGTAACAGTAGCCTGACATCCCACACAGTAGCCTGACATCCCACACAGTAGCCTGACATCCCACACAGTAGCCTGACATCCCACACAGTGGCCTGACATCCCACACAGTAGCTTGACATCCCACACAGTAGCTTGACATCCCACACAGTAGCCTGACATCCCACACAGTAGCCTGACATCCCACACAGTAGCCTGACATCCCACACAGTAGCCTGTCATCCCACACAGTAGCCTGTCATCCCACACAGTGGCCTGACATCCCACACAGTGGCCAGACATCCCACACAGTGGCCTGTCATCCCACACAGTAGCCTGACATCCCACACAGTAGCCTGACATCCCACACAGTGGCCAGACATCCCACACAGTGGCCTGTCATCCCACACAGTAGCCTGTCATCCCACACAGTAGCCTGACATCCCACACAGTAGCCTGACATCCCACACAGTGGCCTGACATCCCACACAGTAGCCTGACATCCCACACAGTAGTCTGACATCCCACACTGATGTAACAGTAGCCTGACATCCCACACAGTGGCCTGTCATCCCACACAGTGGCCTGTCATCCCACACAGTAGCCTGACATCCCACACAGTAGCCTGACATCCCACACAGTAGCCTGACATCCCACACAGTGGCCTGACATCCCACACAGTAGCTTGACATCCCACACAGTAGCTTGACATCCCACACAGTAGCCTGACATCCCACACAGTAGCCTGACATCCCACACAGTAGCCTGTCATCCCACACAGTGGCCTGACATCCCACACAGTGGCCTGACATCCCACACAGTGGCCAGACATCCCACACAGTGGCCTGACATCCCACACAGTGGCCTGACATCCCACACTGATGTAACAGTAGCCTGACATCCCACACTGATGTAACAGTAGCCTGTCATCCCACACAGTAGCCTGACATCCCACACTGATGTAACAGTAGCCTGTCATCCCACACAGTGGCCTGACATCCCACACTGATGTAACAGTAGCCTGTCATCCCACACAGTGGCCTGACATCCCACACAGTGGCCTGACATCCCACACAGTGGCCTGACATCCCACACAGTGGCCTGACATCCCACACTGATGTAACAGTAGCCTGTCATCCCACACAGTAGCCTGTCATCCCACACAGTGGCCTGACATCCCACACAGTGGCCTGACATCCCACACAGTAGCCTGACATCCCACACAGTGGCCTGACATCCCACACTGATGTAACAGTGGCCTGACATCCCACACAGTAGCCTGTCATCCCACACAGTAGCATGACATCCCACACAGTGGCCTGTCATCCCACACAGTTGCCTGACATCCCACACAGTGGCCTGACATCCCACACAGTGGCCAGACATCCCACACTGATGTAACTGTAGCCTGATATTACATTTTAATAGGAATTTGCAGGGGTTCCATTACCTCCCTTTTGATGGTGCAGTAAATGCATGACTTAGCTACACATTGTAGATTTGAGGTGGTAGGTTTATTGGTTACCTTGAGGTGGTAGGTTTATTGGTTACCTTGAGGTGGTAGGTTTATTGCTTACCTTGAGGTGGTAGGTTTATTGCTTACCTTGAGGTGGTAGGTTTATTGCTTACCTTGAGGTGGTAGGTTTATTGCTTACCTTGAGGTGGTAGGTTTATTGCTTACCTTGAGATGTCGCGGGGTGATGTCCCTTGTGATGGACTGCTCCTTTGTCTCGACATCCGTCTCAGACAGGGGGTAAATGACCTCTCCGATGATCTCGTCTCGCGAGAACCGGTCGAAGCTGAGGACGACGAAGTGGAGCGTGGTGTTGGCGATCTGGTTGCTGGTCACGCCGTAGAAGGTGAACGTCTCGTCGTAGCACGGGGAGAGGGTCTTGCGCAGGACCCGGGTCTTACACTTGTGCTTCTTCTCCGGCAGCAGCTGCAGCTTGACGTAGGGGTCGCATCCCCCGAGGCTGGGGTCCCTGGGCGGCAGGTCGTCGGCTTTCACAATGCTGACGATGAGGGCGCACTTCTGTTGGTCGTGGTCCACAGAGAAGGTCAAGTTGCCCAGCTTGGTCGGGCGGTCAGGGGAGAGGACGTTACGCTCTCTCTGCACTTCTTCTTTCTCAGGGGTGGCTCCGTCTTTTTCGTTCTCTAAGCACATCTCAGCTTTGACGCAATGGGGCTGATCGGCGGGGTGACCGGTGGAGAAACCCATCATTGGGATCCGATCCAGACCCGCCTCGCCCCCCGGCGGAGTGATGGGACTGGTGCCCTTGGACTTCATCACTTTGGTGCTCGTGCGGACGTTCATGTTTTTCTTGAAACTGCCGGAGTTGCTTTCTTGGAGCCCCTTCTTGATAGCCGACGACAGGCGATTCTGGGCATTTTGCATGACGCGTCGACGATAACATTTGTAGGCCACTGCCGTCATGGCGGCCAGGAAAACAAAGCAGCCAAAAGCTATGCCGGAAATGGCTACAGCCGAAACTGGGGAGAAATTTTAAATGTTGGGAGAGGGCAGCACCAATATAGTGTCAATTGTAGTCTAGGTGTGTGGGCTTGGTCAGTTAGGGTGTGGGCTTGGTCAGTTAGGGTGTGGGCTTGGTGTGTGAAGGTGTGGGCTTGGTCTGTGAGGGTGTGGGCTTGGTGTGTGAAGGTGTGGGCTTGGTCTGTGAGGGTGTGGGCTTGGTGTGTGAAGGTGTGGGCTTGGTCTGTGAGGGTGTGGGCTTGGTGTGTGAAGGTGTGGGCTTAGTGTGTGAAGGTGTGGGCTTGGTGTGTGAAGGTGTGGGCTTGGTGTGTGAAGGTGTGGGCTTGGTGTGTGGGTTTCTAATGTTGTTGATACGAAGACAGTCTGATGTGGGAGTCTTAGACCCGGGGTAAAGACGCTCATTAGTTAGGTTGGGCTCGACGACAAACTAAGACACAAGACACATGAAATAAAGGCTCGACGACAAACTGAGACACTAGACAAATGAAATAAAGGCTCGACGACAAACTAAGACACTAGACAAATGAAATAAAGGCTCGACGACAAACTAAGACACTAGACACATGAAATAAAGGCTCGACGACAAACTAAGACACTAGACACATGAAATAAAGGCTCGACGACAAACTGAGACACTAGACAAATGAAATAAAGGCTCGACGACAAACTAAGACACTAGACAAATGAAATAAAGGCTCGACGACAAACTAAGACACAAGACGAATGAAATAAAGGCTCGACGACAAACTAAGACACTAGACAAATGAAATAAAGGCTCGACGACAAACTAAGACACTAGACACATGAAATAAAGGCTTGACACAAATTGTTATCGGCTTAAGTCACTGATCGATTTCAGTTGATGCGTCAATGCTAATCATTGATTGATTTCCTCCCGATAGCCGAGAATAACAGCTTTCTCTACTTGCCACCTGTCTAACTTCACCTGTCTAACTTCACCTGTCTAACTTCACCTGTCTAACTTCACATGTCTAACTTCAACTGTCTAACTTCACATGTCACCTGTCTAACTTCACCTGTCTAACTTCACCTGTCTAACTTCACCTGTCTAACTTCACCTGTCTAACTTCAACTGTCTAACTTCACCTGTCTAACTTCACCTGTCACCTGTCTAACTTCACCTGTCTAACTTCACCTGTCTAACTTCACCTGTCTAACTTCACATGTCTAACTTCAACTGTCTAACTTCACATGTCACCTGTCTAACTTCACCTGTCTAACTTCACCTGTCTAACTTCACCTGTCTAACTTCACCTGTCTAACTTCACCTGTCTAACTTCACCTGTCTGACTTCACCTGTCTAACTTCACCTGTCTAACTTCACCTGTCTAACTTCACCTGTCTAACTTCATATGTCTGACTTCACCTGTCTAACTTCATATGTCTAACTTCACCTGTCTAACTTCACCTGTCTAACTTCACATGTCTAACTTCAACTGTCTAACTTCACATGTCACCTGTCTAACTTCACCTGTCTAACTTCACCTGTCTAACTTCACCTGTCTAACTTCACCTGTCTAACTTCACCTGTCTAACTTCACCTGTCTGACTTCACCTGTCTAACTTCACCTGTCTAACTTCACCTGTCTAACTTCACATGTCTAACTTCACCTGTCTAACTTCACCTGTCACCTGTCTAACTTCACCTGTCTAACTTCAACGGTCTAACTTCACCTGTCAAACTTCACCTGTCTAACTTCACCTGTCTAACTTCACATGTCTAACTTCACATGTCTAACTTCAACTCTCTAACTTCACATGTCACCTGTCTGACTTCACCTGTCTAACTTCACCTGTCTAACTTCACCTGTCAAACTTCACCTGTCTAACTTCACCTGTCTAACTTCACCTGTCTAACTTCACATGTCTAACTTCACCTGTCTAACTTCAACTGTCTAACTTCACATGTCACCTGTCTAACTTCACCTGTCTAACTTCACATGTCTGACTTCACCTGTCTAACTTCACATGTCTGACTTCACCTGTCTAACTTCACCTGTCTAGCTTCACCTGTCTAACTTCACATGTCTAACTTCACTTGTCTGACTTCACCTGTCTAACTTCACCTGTCTGACTTCACCTGTCTAACTTCACCTGTCTAACTTCACCTGTCTAACTTCACCTGTCACCTGTCTAACTGCACCTGTCTAACTTCAACGGTCTAACTTCACCTGTCAAACTTCACCTGTCTAACTTCACCTGTCTAACTTCACATGTCTAACTTCACCTGTCACCTGTCTAACTTCACCTGTCTAACTTCACATGTCTAACTTCAACTGTCTAACTTCACCTGTCACCTGTCTAACTTCACCTGTCTGACTTCACCTGTCTAACTTCACCTGTCTAACTTCACCTGTCTAACTTCACCTGTCACCTGTCTAACTTCACCTGTCTGACTTCACCTGTCTAACTTCACCTGTCTAACTTCACCTGTCTAACTTCAACTGTCTAACTTCACCTGTCTAACTTCAACTGTCTAACTTCACCTGTCTAACTTCACCTGTCTGACTTCACCTGTCTAACTTCACCTGTCTAACTTCACCTGTCTAACTTCACCTGTCTAACTTCACCTGTCTAACTTCAACTGTCTAACTTCACATGTCACCTGTCTAACTTCACCTGTCTAACTTCACATGTCTAACTTCACCTGTCTAACTTCACCTGTATAACGTCACCTTTCACCTGTCTAACTTCACCTGTCTAACTTCACCTGTCACCTGTCTAACTTCACCTGTCTAACTTCACCTGTCTAAATTCACCTGTCTAACTTCACATGTCTAACTTCACCTGTCTAACTTCACCTGTCTAATTTCACCTGTCTGACTTCACCTGTCTAACTTCACCTGTCTAACTTCACCTGTCTAGCTTCACATGTCCAACTTCACCTGTCTAACATCACCTGTCACCTGTCTAACTTCACCTGTCTAACTTCACCTGTCTAACTTCACCTGTCAAACTTCACCTGTCTAACTTCACCTGTCTAACTTCACATGTCTGACTTCACCTGTCTAACTTCACACGTCTGACTTCACCTGTCTAACTTCACCTGTCTAACTTCACCTGTCAAACTTCACCTGTCTAACTTCACCTGTCTAACTTCACCTGTCTAACTTCACCTGTTTAAATTCACCTGTCTAACTTCACATGTCTAACTTCACCTGTCTAACTTCACTAATTTTCTAATAAGCACAACACAAACAATATAAGATAATCACAACACAAATAATATAAGATAATCACAACACAAACAATATAAGATAAACACTACACAAACAATATAAGATAATCACAACACAAACAATATAAGATAATCACAACACAAACAATATAAGATAATCACAACACAAACAATATAAGATAATCACAACACAAACAATATAAGATAAACAAAACATTGTGTGTTGACGCTGTGTTGTGTGTTGTGTGTTGACGCTGTGTTGTGTTGACTGTTGTTGTATGTGTTGTGTGTTGACGCTGTGTGTTGTTGTGTGTTGACGCTGTTTTGTCTGTTGACGCTGCGTGTGTTGTGTGTTGACGCTGTGTTGTGTGTTGTTGTCAGTTGTTGTATGTTGACGCTGTGTTGTGTGTTAACGCTGTGTTGTGTGTTGACGCTGTGTTGTGACGTGTTGTGTGTTGACGCTGTGTTGTGTGTTGACGCTGTGTTGTGTGTTGACGCTGTGTGTTGTTGTGTGTTGACGCTGTGTTGTGTGTTGTGTGTTGACGCTGTGTTGTGTGTTGACGCTGTGTTGTGTGTTGACGCTGTGTTGTGACGCTGTGTTGTGTGTTGACGCTGTGTTGTGTGTTGACGCTGTGTTGTGTGTTGACGCTGTGTTGTGTGTTGACGCTGTGTTGTGTGTTGACGCTGTGTTGTGTGTTGACGCTGTGTTTTGACGCTGTGTTGTGTGTTGACGCTGTGTTGTGTGTTGACGCTGTGTTGTGTGTTGACGCTGTGTTGTGTGATGTGTGTTGACGCTGTGTTGTGTGTTGACGCTGTGTTGTGTGTTGACGCTGTGTTGTGTGTTGACGCTGTGTTGTGTGATGTGTGTTGACGCTGTGTTGTGTGTTGTGTGTTGACGCTGTGTTGTGTGTTGACGCTGTGTTGTGTGTTGACGCTGTGTTGTGACGCTGTGTTGTGTGTTGACGCTGTGTTGTGTGTTGACGCTGTGTTGTGACGCTGTGTTGTGTGTTGACGCTGTGTTGTGTGTTGACGCTGTGTTGTGTGTTGACGCTGTGTTTTGACGCTGTGTTGTGTGTTGACGCTGTGTTGTGTGTTGACGCTGTGTTGTGTGTTGACGCTGTGTTGTGTGTTGACGCTGTGTTGTGTGTTGACGCTGTGTTGTGTGTTGACGCTGTGTTGTGTGTTGACGCTGTGTTGTGTGGTTACGCTGTGTTGTGTGTTGACGCTCTGTGTTGTGTGTTGACTCTGTGTAACAGGATTTGTTAGGGAGAGGACGATGCTGGCTACCAGTAAATACACGCGCCATCTTGGATGTATTGAAGAAATACTTACGATGAACAGAATGCGAAATGTGGCCAGACGACACCATCTTTGAGTGTGATCCTAGTTATTGGAGAATAAAATTTGAATGCGGCGGCTCGTTGGACAGGTGACAGCTTAAAAGTCCCTACTACATCTTGATGTTTGTCTCATTTTTACCTTCAGCTAAAATGGCCACCTAGTTTTCTCAATGGCGTCAGGCAGGGATTTTCATTTGTATGCGTGACGTCATGAAAGCCAGGCACAGTCTCTGGCACCAATCGATGGGAGCAGTGTTGGGAATATCGACTGGTTGTCACGTGGTGCCAGCCTAGTGAGGGCCTACACGGGCCAAAGTTTTTAGGGCCGTCAGTTGAGTGAGGGCCTGTAGGGGCCAAAGTGTTTAGGGCCGTCAGTTGAGTGAGGGCCTGCACGGGCCAAAGTTTTTAGGGCCGTCAGTTGAGTGAGGGCCTGCACGGGCCAAAGTTTTTAGAGCCGTCAGTTGAGTGAGGGCCTGTAAGTTTGGACCATTCCCTATAACATGTGTGCGCAAATACACCATAGGTTTTATTCAACATAGAGTACAGCAACTGGCCGGCGCCAGGTTATTTAACACCCTAGGCAAAACGTATTAAAACGCCCCCCCCCCCCTGCATTTTTTGTCTAGTCCCCATATATATATATATATATATATATATATACATATATATATATTGTTCCAAGTCATGGAAGTTGAAAAAGGGGGGGGGGGGGGTATAAATCGTCAAAACGTGACGTCATTTATGGATGAACCCCAAGAGAAGGCGGAAAGCAGAATGTAATAGCAAATCACAATGCCTTTGAAGTATATAAATAGCATATAGATCTAGTAATTTGAAAAATAAACACCATATATTTATTTACGCAAGATAATAGAATTATCAATATATAAATCTAATTTTCTTTGCAAAATGTTTGTACCTTTTTCTGTGAATTAGTTTGGTGACTTTATCTAAAAAAAACATGATCTTTTCCACACCAATCAATCTGGGTTTAGAAAGCTTCTACTTTTTACATAGCTTTAATAAAAATGAATAAGAACTGGCTCAAAAATATTACAAAAAACCGATATTATAGCAATCTGTTCGTCGGTTCAAAAAATTCATCACTTACACCCTACAGCCTATACACATATGGTAAAATGTGTCAGTCATGTCGTAAATAGGTGCCCCTTGACCAGTCGTTAAATTTATACACTATACACGCCGAACGCAAGATAGGCCCCTACGGTAACCAACAGTTAGTATTGACGCTAACCACAAGATAGACGCTTCTATTTCAATTTTTTAAGTTTAGTTATGGTCACTAACTGTTCTTGCTAGTTTTAATTAATTTTTATTTCCAGAAAAATGCGCCACTGTACTTAAAATTATTGTTTTAATTAATTTTTATTTTCTGAAAGCGCATTAGTCCTTAAAAAAGGGGATCGGCAGCTCCCTAATGCTCCACACCTAGATACGCCACTGCTATTCCTTACTTCTATGCTAATTAACTATTAGATCTAGTACTACTGAGTACTGAAATATGTCTTTACTATTTAATTGCTTTTTTTTTATTAAACTGCTATAACGGCCAGTGTGAAAAAAAAACACCTCAATGTCTAGTGTTATTGGAGTTTTAAAATAAAGTTTATTAGGCCTAATATTAACCTAGATCTATTATTTTTTAAAGAGAGAGGCATTTTACAGTAAAATCAAACAAACGTGGACTATGGGGAAATTCACAAAATCAATTATTGCCCCGAGTAAACAACAATTGCTCTGTTGGCTAGTCTAGTCTACTTTCACTTGTATCAGGTAACCGTAGATGGTAGATGGCAACGTGAACTCGTATTTTAGATCTAGATCTAGTCTAGTATATTTTCATTATTTTGTGTGAGTTATAATCTAGATCTCTTTGTAATTAGTCTAGCTAGATCTATCTTTAAATATAGAATCTAATCACCCATTCTAGACCAATGGAGGCGAGCGAGTTGACGAAAACGTCACTCATCATGATGATTAATATTGTAATAATTAAATTAATAATTAATAAAATTATGATCATCTTGTTGACAATTGACATCGAATAAAAACGTGCTTTTTTAGATTTAGCAAACAAAGCGACCGTAAAAATGATAAAAAATAAAAACTTAAGCCTAAATTTAATTAAGAAATTTTATATTTTTAGAATCAATGTTATAAAAGACAAAGTTGCAAATTTCTATTTATTTTCATCAAGCCTTAGTTTAAAGAGGCCTAACCGAATAAGGCGAATATCAATATCAAATGACATATAGACTCTCTAGATCTAGGCCTAATATATAATATTACACTACCTACTACAGGATGTTTCACTTAACACTTTCGTAAGCCAATGTTGATTGGCTGTACAGGAACTCCGTGATAGATAACTATTTGTTTACAAAGTTTTTAAATAACAATGCAAATTTAAACCCCATGACCTAGTTTTCCTTTTTTTCGCTTACAATGTGTACAATAAAATTTATGGCAGCCTATCGAATAGCAGGATGCTATTGTTTATGTCACCATTACACATGAAAACCAAATTGTTTTTGCTTTATTTAAAAATTTTATTTAGTTACAGAAAATATTAAAAGCATAAAAAATATATCCAATCTTTTAAGTCAGAATAAAACCAGATAGACAGGATTTTATAACCCCTATTTGTAACTACGCTGCGCATGATTTTAAAATTATTTAATGGGCCTCTCAAATACTTTCTTGCTCGCGTCCATTAAACTAATGGTAATCAATCATTTTAGTGATTAGGTGCGTAAAAAATCGGCCGAGGCTAGTATTAGTAATGTGTGAAAAAGTTGCCTCATTGTTAAGGCTTCAATAGAAGTATATTGGTATCAAATATTGGTAAATATTAGCGTATTTTATTCCCCATTTCACGTTCACCTCCAGTTGAGCGTATTTTATTATAAACTCAACCGAAAAGCACAAAAACTTTAGGAAAACACTAGGATTATTTCTTTCTGCATGTTTTAGTTTTAGATAGGCTGTTCGGTTCACGACTTCCGTGTTTGTTTATTTATATTATCTCACGACGCAAGCTCTCGAAGCGATTTATGAAGATGGTGGCGTGGTTTTGTTTTCATTATTAAGGGGTAGAGGGATAAAAGCAATCATCAATTTTAGTAATCGGAATTACCCGTTTCTACTTAAGTTTAAGTCTGTTAATCTAGAAACGTTAAGGGTACTTTTTACCTAATTTCTTTATTTATCTTACAAACAGCGCTTTGGTGAAAGTAGGTCTATTTATTCTAGTGTTAACGTGAACTTAAAATAAAAAAACTTCTAAACTACGCGATGTACATTAACTAGCGAATGATGCCATGTGACGATGGCTTAGAGTCTTAGCTTTCTATAAATGACGTCTGGGAATAATTCTCATGTCCATACTTGTGGTACGATGTCAGTTATATCACCCCCCATAATGCCATTTGATTATAATCTTTTTGCAGAAAAAAAGCGCGGGAAAATCCAATAATTTGGTTAGATTTATTAGTCACGTCTCTTCATATCTAAAAATTGAATGTATAGCATTTTCCTAACTGATGATTGTTTTTATCATTTTTTAAAGTATAAATATGAATTATTAGTTAAGATTGCAGTTTTTGTATACTTACCCTCTGTGAATATAAAAAGCATGCACGGCATGTTAATTATGTACAAATATTGTCATAAAACACAAAAATACAAAGATCGATTTTAAAATTATTTTTTTTTACTACCACTATCCGCCACCCCTAGGCATATACAAAACTATACATTAGTTTTTTTTTAATTGCCTATTGATTGTGTTAAATTTTAGCTATCTAAATTAATTTCTAAGATATTTTAATATGTTTCTATAAAGTTTGATTGAAAAATCTTTAAAAATAATCAAGAAATCCACTCATGAAATCAGGTCACAGGTCTAGTAATTTTTTCTTCATTATCTCATAATAGGCTGAACCTGACTCTGGAATTTTTTTTTCAGTTATAATGACTTTGCACAGAAAGTTTATATATGCTAAATTGACTTTTTTTTTTGAGATTTTCATCAAAATGCCTAGTTTTAGATCATTTACTTTTGTCAAAACTTGAGAAAAATCCAAATTTGGAATATAAAATATACACTATTTAAATCTAGAATGAGCTGTTTTTTTAACTCTTGAAAATATGTTTGTGTCAACTGTCACAATTGTCAGTTTAGATTTTCATGGCAGTGGGGAAAGTAGGAAAGTCATAATTGCCAGGCAGTTACGTTTTTATTGTTAAAAGTATCTCGCATACATGATACTATAAATAAACATATGAACTCACAATCACTCTAAAACTGAGGCCACCACAATTTTAAATAGCAATTTCCCAAGCTATGACGACTGACGTATCATCATGTATGATTTTAAAAATATTTAATGGTCCTTTCAAATAATTTTGAGACTATTCTCGGTTGTGTCCATTATTTATATTAAACACTAGTTATCATAGAATTGATTTAATCCATGTAATGCTGTAAAAAATGAAATAGGTGGTTACTCTTAGGTTTCTATCAAGACCATAATCTTCAAAATGAGGAACCTAAAGCTGCTGAATGTGAAAGTGTTGCATGAAGGGCTAGATATTTCTCCACCTACCTTTGTATCTCTGGACACTGAGCTCAATCTTCTCTACCTGGCCACCCAGTCTCAGATCCTGGCCCTCAGTTCTACACAGGTGGGTCAAACCTGCTCACATTTTACAGGTGATCTACATCACATTTTACAGGTGATTCACATCACATTTTACATGTGATTCACATCACATTTTACAGGTGATCTACATCACATTTTACAGGTGATCTACATCACATTTTACAGGTGATCTACATCACATTTTACAGGTGATCTACATCACATTTTACAGGTGATCTACATCACATTTTACAGGTGATAGACATCACATTTTACAGGTGATCTACATCACATTTTACAGGTGATTCACACCACATTTTACAGGTGATCTACATCACATTTTACAGGTGATTCACATCACATTTTACAGGTGATTCACATCACATTTTACAGGTGATTCACATCACATTTTACAGGTGATCTACACTAAGAGAAAACATTTAGTGGCTAAGCTAAGGATCAGTTAGGTTTATGCCAAATAATTTTGACCAACCCTTTGCTGATCTTGCCTTGCTTCAGGTCACAGCATCCCCGTTATTTGCTGACGTTGAGGACTTTGTGGGATTTGTTCCTGTAGGACTGGAATATGTCTGTGACCAGCAGGCTGTATGTGTGGCCGGCGCTGATGGCAAACTGGCACTCTGGAACACCAGCAATTCTAAAGATGTAGGTACATGTTGAATACACAACACCAGCAATTCTAAAGATGTAGGTACATGTTGAATACACAACACCAGCAATTCTAAAGATGTAGGTACATGTTGAATACACAACACCAGCAATTCTAAAGATGTAGGTACATGTTGAATACACAACACCAGCAATTCTAAAGATGTAGGTACATGTTGAATACACAACACCAGCAATTCTAAAGATGTAGGTACATGTTGAATACACAACACCAGCAATTCTGTAGGTACATGTTGAATACACAACACCAGCAATTCTAAAGATGTAGGTACATGTTGAATACACAACACCAGCAATTCTAAAGATGTAGGTACATGTTAAATACACAACACCAGTAATTCTAAAGATGTAGGTACATGTTGAATACACAACACCAGCAATTCTAAAGATGTAGGTACATGTTGAATACACAACACCAGCAATTCTAAAGATGTAGGTACATGTTCAATACACAACACCAGCAACTCTGTAGCTACATGTTAAAGAAGCAGGCATTAATGCCTTGACTATTTCAACAGTTTGAATGTGTGGGTGAAGTGGACGGAGGAATCACTGCCATCTGCTGGAGTCCGGATATGGAGCTGATAGTCATCACTACAGGTAAATCTCCTTCATAGTCCTACAGGTAAATCTCCTTCATAGTCCTACAGGTAAATCTCCTTCATAGTCCTACAGGTAAATCTCCTACATAGTCCTACAGGTAAATCTCCTTCATAGTCCTACACTTAAATCTCCCTCATAGTCCTACAGGTAAATCACCTACATAGTCCTACAGGTAAATCTCCTTCATAGTCCTACAGGTAAATCTCCTTCATAGTCCTACAGGTAAATCTCCTTCATAGTCCTACAGGTAAATCTCCTTCATAGTCCTACAGGTAAATCCCCTTCATAGTCCTACAGGTATGTCCTTCTCCTTCAGTGTCCTCTCAGTTGTACCTGTACCAACCTACCTTTGTTTTGTTTACTTCCTGTTCCAGGTGCTGGCCAGCTGCTGCTCATGACACGAGAGTTTGATGTCATCTCTGAAACATCCATGTATCCACATCATCAAGGTCAAGGTAATGCTGCTCTTAATGTTATAGCCATTAGGCCCATGCATCTTACATAGTCATTCAGTGAATTTAGAATCATTTATTTATGATAACCACAAAAAAATTTACTTTACAACCCCATCCCCTGTCCATATGACAACCACAAAAAATTAACTTTACAACCCCATCCCCTGTCCATATGACAACCACAAAAATTCCCAACCCCTGCCCAAATTCCTCCTCATATTTATTGTGTGTCTTTAATATTTTAGGCCTATTGCGTGATTTATTCTGGTCTGACATGTACATACTGAAATATGATCAAAGTAAATGCAAACATTTGCAGTCTTACTTTTTGCAATGACTGCTTAATTTTTTATGAAATAATTTACATTTTTTAAAATTATTAGGGTGTCCTACTACTATTCTGTACTATCATCATGTTCAATTGGTGCGCAATAGTTTTAAGTCATGAAATTCTGTTGTATTAAAAAATTTAAAATACTGAAGAAAAATGCAATAAAATTTTGAATAACAGCCTTTTATATAATTATGCACAAAGAAAGAGAAAACATATTATTATCTTTAAATATAATAATGGACTGCTATTTAAATAACTAAAAATAAAACCGTGGGTCACCATATTATATATTGAATACTTTTACACACGAATTTAATGATTGACCCATGTTTGTTATTTTTAGTTATTTAAATAGTAGCTCATTATTATATTTAAAGATAAAAAATTCTTTTCTGCTTTCTAGTGCATAATTATATAAAAGCTTATATTAAAACACACTTTTGATGCTTTTTTTTTTCAAAGATGAGCCAAAAATTGATTGTTGCATGAAAATGTTTGAAATGTATCAACTTCTGTGTTGGCAAGCAGCATTTTAAAGTCTTATGGAATTATGATCTTCTATTTTCTTCATTACTTTTTTACTACATGTAGATGACCTGCCATGATTTATGTATATGATGATCTGTTAGTGGTTTGTTCTGAATGAAACCTGAGCAAGATGGTTTCATTAAACACAGTTAGTGTGCAAGTTGGATGGCAGGTGCTTGTTGTTCAGGTTACCCACCATAAGTCCAATTTTTCTGTTGGGCTGGTACTGTAGTAGTCTGTGATGTTTCAGAAAGTCAGGTGGCGTTGGGCTGGTACTGTAGTAGTCTGTGATTGATGTTTCAGAAAGTCAGGTGGCGTTGGGCTGGTACTGTAGTAGTCTGTGATTGATGTTTCCGAAAGTCAGGTGGCGTTGGGCTGGTACTGTAGTAGTCTGTGATTGATGTTTCAGAAAGTCAGGTGGCGTTGGGCTGGTACTGTAGTAGTCTGTGATTGATGTTTCAGAAAGTCAGGTGGCGTTGGGCTGGTACTGTAGTAGTCTGTGATGTTTCAGAAAGTCAGGTGGCGTTGGGCTGGTACTGTAGTAGTCTGTGATTGATGTTTCAGAAAGTCAGGTGGCGTTGGGCTGGTACTGTAGTAGTCTGTGATGTTTCAGAAAGTCAGGTGGCGTTGGGCTGGTACTGTAGTAGTCTGTGATGTTTCAGAAAGTCAGGTGGCGTTGGGCTGGTACTGTAGTAGTCTGTGATTGATGTTTCAGAAAGTCAGGTGGCGTTGGGCTGGTACTGTAGTAGTCTGTGATTGATGTTTCAGAAAGTCAGGTGGCGTTGGGCTGGTACTGTAGTAGTCTGTGATGTTTCAGAAAGTCAGGTGGCGTTGGGCTGGTACTGTAGTAGTCTGTGATGTTTCAGAAAGTCAGGTGGCGTTGGACTGGTACTGTAGTAGTCTGTGATTGATGTTTCAGAAAGTCAGGTGGCGTTGGGCTGGTACTGTAGTAGTCTGTGATGTTTCAGAAAGTCAGGTGGCGTTGGACTGGTACTGTAGTAGTCTGTGATTGATGTTTCAGAAAGTCAGGTGGCGTTGGGCTGGTACTGTAGTAGTCTGTGATGTTTCAGAAAGTCAGGTGGCGTTGGGCTGGTACTATAGTAGTCTGTGATTGATGTTTCAGAAAGTCAGGTGGCGTTGGGCTGGTACTATAGTAGTCTGTGATTGATGTTTCAGAAAGTCAGGTGGCGTTGGGCTGGTACTGTAGTAGTCTGTGATTGATGTTTCAGAAAGTCAGGTGGCGTTGGACTGGTACTGTAGTAGTCTGTGATTGATGTTTCAGAAAGTCAGGTGGCGTTGGGCTGGTACTGTAGTAGTCTGTGATGTTTCAGAAAGTCAGGTGGTGTTGGGCTGGTACTGTAGTAGTCTGTGATTGATGTTTCAGAAGGTCAGGTGACGTTGGACTGGTACTGTAGTAGTCTGTGATTGATGTTTCAGAAAGTCAGGTGGCGTTGGGCTGGTACTGTAGTAGTCTGTGATTGATGTTTCAGAAAGTCAGGTGGCGTTGGACTGGTACTGTAGTAGTCTGTGATGTTTCAGAAAGTCAGGTGGCGTTGGGCTGGTACTGTAGTAGTCTGTGATTGATGTTTCAGAAAGTCAGGTGGCGTTGGGCTGGTACTGTAGTAGTCTGAGATTGATGTTTCAGAAAGTCAGGTGGCGTTGGGCTGGTACTGTAGTAGTCTGTGATTGATGTTTCAGAAAGTCAGGTGGCGTTGGGCTGGTACTGTAGTAGTCTGTGATTGATGTTTCAGAAAGTCAGGTGGCGTTGGACTGGTACTGTAGTAGTCTGTGATGTTTCAGAAAGTCAGGTGGCGTTGGGCTGGTACTGTAGTAGTCTGTGATTGATGTTTCAGAAAGTCAGGTGGCGTTGGACTGGTACTGTAGTAGTCTGTGATGTTTCAGAAAGTCAGGTGGCGTTGGGCTGGTACTGTAGTAGTCTGTGATTGATGTTTCAGAAAGTCAGGTGGCGTTGGACTGGTACTGTAGTAGTCTGTGATGTTTCAGAAAGTCAGGTGGCGTTGGGCTGGTACTGTAGTAGTCTGTGATTAATGTTTCAGAAAGTCAGGTGGCGTTGGGCTGGTACTGTAGTAGTCTGAGATTGATGTTTCAGAAAGTCAGGTGGCGTTGGGCTGGTACTGTAGTAGTCTGTGATTGATGTTTCAGAAAGTCAGGTGGCGTTGGGCTGGTACTGTAGTAGTCTGTGATTGATGTTTCAGAAAGTCAGGTGGCGTTGGACTGGTACTGTAGTAGTCTGTGATGTTTCAGAAAGTCAGGTGGCGTTGGGCTGGTACTGTAGTAGTCTGTGATTGATGTTTCAGAAAGTCAGGTGGCGTTGGGCTGGTACTGTAGTAGTCTGAGATTGATGTTTCAGAAAGTCAGGTGGCGTTGGACTGGTACTGTAGTAGTCTGTGATTGATGTTTCAGAAAGTCAGGTGGCGTTGGGCTGGGGTAAGAAAGAGACTCAGTTTCACGGCTCTGTAGGCAAGGCTGCTGCCCGGACACAAGAAGTAGTAAGTTGTTTTACTGACCCCACCCACTTTTGGTGAACTTGTTGGCCCCACCCACTTTTGGTGAACTTGTTGACCCCACCCACAATTAGTGACATGAACTTGTTGGCCCCACCCACAATTAGTGACATGAACTTGTTGGCCCTACCCACAATTAGTGACATGAACTTGTTGGCCCCACCCACAATTAGTGACATGAACTTGTTGGCCCTACCCACAATTAGTGACATGAACTTGTTGGCCCCACCCACAATTTGTGACATGAACTTGTTGGCCCCACCCACAATTTGTGACATGAACTTGTTGGCCCCACCCACAATTTGTGACATGAACTTGTTGGCCCCACCCACAATTTGTGACATGAACTTGTTGGCCCCACCCACAATTAGTGACATGAACTTGTTGGCCCCACCCACAATTTGTGACATGAACTTGTTGGCCCCACCCACAATTTGTGACATGAACTTGTTGGCCCCACCCACAATTTGTGACATGAACTTGTTGGCCCCACCCACAATTAGTGACATGAACTTGTTGGCCCTACCCACAATTAGTGACATGAACTTGTTGGCCCCACCCACAATTAGTGACATGAACTTGTTGGCCCCACCCACAATTTGTGACATGAACTTGTTGGCCCTACCCACAATTAGTGACATGAACTTGTTGGCCCCACCCACAATTAGTGACATGAACTTGTTGGCCCCACCCACAATTTGTGACATGAACTTGTTGGCCCCACCCACAATTTGTGACATGAACTTGTTGGCCCCACCCACAATTAGTGACATGAACTTGTTGGCCCCACCCACAATTTGTGACATGAACTTGTTGGCCCCACCCACAACTAGTGAGATGAACTTGTTGACCCCACAGAGCCTGGAGGCCGCAGCTGATACAGGAGAGCCAGTGATATCCTGGAGAGGTGACGGCCAGTATTTTGTCATCTCAGTTGTTGAACCCTCCACACGTAAGTTTGATTTGGATTTATTTCTTCTTGGCTCATCTGTGTTTATTTTGTCTTGGTTTATAAAGTTTCTTAAATTTATAGTTTCCAGGGTTTATACATGGGTTAAATGTCCCAGTCTAGTGGTGAAATGCCCCAGTCTAGTGGTGAAATGTCCCAGTCTAGTGGTGAAATGTCCCAGTCTAGTGGTGAAATGTCCCAGTCTAGTGGTGAAATGTCCCAGTCTAGTGGTGAAATGTCCCAGTCTAGTGGTGAAATGTCCCAGTCTAGTGGTGAAATGTCCCAGTCTAGTGGTGAAATGTCCCAGTCTAGTGGTGAAATGTCCCAGTCTAGTGGTGAAATGTCCCAGTCTAGTGGTGAAATGTCCCAGTCTAGTGGTGAAATGTCCCAGTCTAGTGGTGAAATGTCCCAGTCTAGTGGTGAAATTTCCCAGTCTAGTGGTGAAATGTCCCAGTCTAGTGGTGAAATGTCCCAGTCTAGTGGTGAAATGTCCCAGAAATGTCCCAGTCTAGTGGTGAAATGTCCTGGGTTAGAGTTGAAATATAATGGGCTGTTATGGTTGGGAAAGCAAAAGGTAGGAGAGTTCATCTATTTTATTTGACCCTTGGGTTTGTTGGGATCAAATGTTATTTGATTATCAGGTTTGGGTGGACTCATGGTTGTTGTCTCTAGCCATGATCTGAACTTTGCACTTCAGTAAGGGCAATTCTGTGCGGAAATTGTGTACCTATAATTATCTGTCTGAAATTGTGTGCCTATAATTATTGGTCTGAAATTGTGTACCTATAATTATTGGTCTGAAATTGTGTACCTGTCTCTGCAGGTGCCCGCTTCCTGTATATCTGGTCCAGAGAATGTGTGTTTCAAGCTCAGTCTCAAGCAGTCAGTGGACTGTCTAACTGTCTAGCTTGGAGGTGAGTTTGTTAGTGGACTGCAGTGGCGGAACTAGAAAAAAAGGGCCACCCCGCAAAGAAATTTTTTGGGCCCGCTATATATATATATATATATATATATATATATATATATATATATATATATATATATATATATATATATATATATATATATATATATATATATATATATATATATATATATATATATATATATATATATATATATATATATATATATATATATATATACTTATATATGTTGAAATACCAACATAGATTAGAGTACTCATTTCGGTCTTGTTCGAGTTTTAAAAAAAATAATTAAAACTTAGTTTTTATTAACAAGTAAAAACGAGTAACAAAACGTCATTTGTGTCACTGCTATTAGTCTGTTTCGAAAATATCTGTTTTAACATGTTTACTATAATGCCTCCTGAGACAAAGTCGGTCGAAATGATATGAAGCATGAAAGCTGTGTATGTGTAATGGTTTCTCGCCCTACGTTTATTTTTATGTGTTTTTTTATTTATATTATTAGTTTTAAATACATTTCCTTTTTATGCTTTGTCATTCTTTAATATGTATTTTTTCAAAATAATAATTAAGAGAAGTAATTGCTTTTTTAATTTGTTTAGTGCAAATCTATTAAAAGGTGCTTAAGAGCACACATATTTGACTATTTACAAAAGGGAAATAAGTCATGGAAGTGGTTTGAACGTTTGCATATCTTTCACGCGATGGATTTATTTTCAAAAGAATTTTGCCGACTACAGCGTGTGTTTGATTGTAGAAGAAAGAGGACTTGAGATGGTGTCTATAGAATAAAGATAATCAAACAGCAACTGCAGTATTCTTTTTACAAAACATCCATCAAGCCAAAAATGAAAGAAGATTATTTTTTTTTAACTGTAAAATAATTGATTATGGTCGGCTGCGGGCCCCTAAACGTCCCGGGCCCCCCGCATTGCGGGGTCTGGCGGCACTGTAGTTCCGCCCCTGGTGGACTGTCTAACTGTCTAGCTTGGAGGTGAGTTTGTCAGTGGACTGTCTAACTGTCTAGCTTGGAGGTGAGTTTGTCAGTGGACTGTCTAGCTTGGAGGTGAGTTTGTCAGTGGACTGTCTAACTGTCTAGCTTGGAGGTGAGTTTGTCAATGGACTGTCTGTCTAGCTTGGAGGTGAGTTTGTTAGTGGACTGTCTAACTGTCTAGCTTGGAGGTGAGTTTGTCAATGGACTGTCTGTCTAGCTTGGAGGTGAGTTTGTCAGTGGACTGTCTAACTGTCTAGCTTGGAGGTGAGTTTGTCAGTGGACTGTCTAACTGTCTAGCTTGGAGGTGAGTTTGTCAGTGGACTGTCTGTCTAGCTTGGAGGTGAGTTTGTCAGTGGACTGTCTGTCTAGCTTGGAGGTGAGTTTGTCAGTGGACTGTCTGTCTAGCTTGGAGGTGAGTTTGTCAGTGGACTGTCTAACTGTCTAGCTTGGAGGTGAGTTTGTCAGTGGACTGTCTAACTGTCTAGCTTGGAGGTGAGTTTGTCAGTGGACTGTCTGTCTAGCTTGGAGGTGAGTTTGTCAGTGGACTGTCTGTCTAGCTTGGAGGTGAGTTTGTCAGTGGACTGTCTGACTGTCTAGCTTGGAGGTGAGTTTGTCAGTGGACTGTCTAACTGTCTAGCTTGGAGGTGAGTTTGTTAGTGGACTGTCTAACTGTCTAGCTTGGAGGTGAGTTTGTCAGTGGACTGTCTAACTGTCTAGCTTGGAGGTGAGTTTGTCAGTGGACTGTCTAACTGTCTAGCTTGGAGGTGAGTTTGTCAGTGGACTGTCTAACTGTCTAGCTTGGAGGTGAGTTTGTCAGTGGACTGTCTAACTGTCTAGCTTGGAGGTGAGTTTGTTAGTGGACTGTCTAACTGTCTAGCTTGGAGGTGAGTTTGTCAGTGGACTGTCTGTCTAGCTTGGAGGTGAGTTTGTCAGTGGACTGTCTAACTGTCTAGCTTGGAGGTGAGTTTATCAGTGGACTGTCTAATTGTCTAGCTTGGAGGTGAGTTTGTCAGTGGACTGTCTAACTGTCTAGCTTGGAGGTGAGTTTGTCAGTGGACTGTCTAACTTGGAGGTGCATAGCCTAACCAGCCCTCACCTGCAACCATTGAACATCACCTTAGCTGCAGCCATACAGTGCCTTAAGTTAAACATCACCTTAGCTGCAACCATTCAGTGCCTTAAGTGGAACATCACCTTAGCTGCAACCATTCAGTGCCTTAAGTTAAACATCACCTTAGCTGCAACCATTCAGTGCCTTAAGTGGAACATCACCTTAGATGCAGCCATACTGTGCCTTAAGTTAAACATCACCTTAGCTGCAACCATTCAGTGCCTTAAGTTAAACATCACCTTAGCTGCAACCATTCAGTGCCTTAAGTGGAACATCACCTTAGATGCAGCCATACTGTGCCTTAAGTTAAACATCACCTTAGCTGCAACCATTCAGTGCCTTAAGTTGAACATCACCTTAGCTGCAACCATTCAGTGCCTTAAGTTGAATATCACCTTAGCTGCAGCCATACTGTGCCTTAAGTTAAACATCACCTTAGCTGCAGTCATACTGTGCCTTAAGTTGAACATCACCTTAGCTGCAACCATACAGTGCCTTAAGTTGAACATCACCTTACCTGCAACCATTCAGTGCCTTAAGTTAAATATCACCTTAGCTGCAGCCATACTGTGCCTTAAGTTGAAAGTGTGCATATCATCTGCAGGCCCTCTGGCTCCCTGATTGCCTGTGTGCGCACCACTGCAGGCTCACAAGAGGTTTTATTTTTTGAAAAAAATGGCTTGTGTCATGGAGAGTTTCCTATTCCATCATCCCAGGAAAAGCTTTGGGTAAGTTGGTCTTGTGAGATAAACTTTGACGTTTGTCTGATTTGACAGAAAACTATTTTAGCATTGATTTTTTTGGACAGAAAACTATTTTAGATTTTAGCGTGTATCTTAACATTGCTCTGATTTGACAGAAAACTATTTTAGATTTTAGCGTGTATCTTAACATTGCTCTGATTTGACAGAAAACTATTTTAGATTTTAGCGTGTATCTTAACATTGCTCTGATTTGACAGAAAACTATTTTAGCTGTATCTTGACATTGATTTTTTGGACAGAAAACTCGCCCTGGTGGTGTAAGAAAAACTCGCTCTTGATGAAATGGTAGTTTTTTATGAGTTGATTTTTATGTTGATTTTTGAAAAGGTGAAAATACTTTTGTTGTAAGTTGATACGGTGAATTTCATTTGTTGTTAGTGTTTAGGGTGATTATCATCTTTTGTTGTCAGTTGATTAGGTGAATATCATCTTTATGATTTTTTTGATTAGGTGAATATCATCTTTACAAATTTCTTGATTAGGTGACTATGATTTTTTGTTTATTGAACAGGTGAAGAGTCTAAAATGGAACATAGAGTCCACTGTCTTAGCTGTCATTTTGGAAAGCAATGGTGACAGCACCTTTTCTCAATGTAAGTGGGTCAGATATACTATTTTAAATCAATGGTGACAGCACCTTTTCTCAATGTAAGTGGGTCAGATATACTATTTTAAATAAAATCTATATATATAAAAAGCAATGTATGTGTGTGTGTCTGTTTGTTTGTTTGTTTATTTGTCTTTTATGCATTTTTACACCCCTTATCACATCGCCGTGAAACTTTAGGAAGTTTGTTGAAAATATTCCTGGGGAGGTTTTTGCGGAAAAAAAAAAGTCATATTCGATTTGTTTTTCCTCTTTATGCGGTATATAAAAAAAAAATTTTGGTTTGACAGCGTTCATCCGATCGCCATCAAGCTGTGGTGAGTTCATAAGAACACTCTGGGGAAGAGTTCTGTAAAAATATCATATATAATTTCGCAATGGCGGCGCCACTGGAGGGTGCGATTTTTCTCTATATATGTATTTTGTTGATGTTGGTCTCTGTTGTTGATGTTGGTCTCTGTTGTTGATGTTGGTCTCTGTTGTTGATGTTGGTCTCTGTTGTTGATGTTGGTCTCTGTTGTTGATGTTGGTCTCTGTTGTTGATGTTGGTCTCTGTTGTTGATGTTGGTCTCTGTTGTTGATGTTGGTCTCTGTTGTTGATGTTGGTCTCTGTTGTTGATGTTGGTCTCTGTTGTTGATGTTGGTCTCTGTTGTTGATGTTGGTTACAGTGCAGCTGTGGACTGTCAACAACTACCACTGGTACCAGAAGCAGACGCTACAGTTCGAGGCTGGGATTGCTGCAGCTCTCTGGGACACTGAGCAGGCCAACAAGATGCATGTGCTGACCAGGACTGGACACTACCAGACCTACACCTGGGCCTGGGCTACAGATGGCAGCACTGGCTCTCTAGACACTGACCCCTCCAGCGTAGCTGTTATTGATGGGGGTAGGTCTTGTACAGCTGTATCTGTGGTGGTAAATGATGGGGTAGGTCTTGTACAGCTGTATCTGTGGTGGTAAATGATGGAGGTAGGTCTTGTACAGCTGTATCTGGTAAATGATGGGGTAGGTCTTGTACAGCTGTATCTGTGGTGGTAAATGATGGGGTAGGTCTTGTACAGCTGTATCTGTGGTGGTAAATGATGGGGTTAGGTCTTGTACAGCTGTATCTGTGGTGGTAAATGATGGGGGTAGGTCTTGTACAGCTGTATCTGTGGTGGTAAATGATGGGTTAGGTCTTGTACAGCTGTATCTGTGGTGGTAAATGATGGTGGGGGTAGGTCTTGTACAGCTGTATCTGTGGTGGTAAATGATGGGGTAGGTCTTGTACAGCTGTATCTGTGGTGGTAAATGATGTGGGTAGGTCTTGTACAGCTGTATCTGGTAAATGATGGGGTTAGGTCTTGTACAGCTGTATCTGTGGTGGTAAATGATGGGGTAGGTCTTGTACAGCTGTATCTGTGGTGGTAAATGATGGGGTAGGTCTTGTACAGCTGTATCTGTGGTGGTAAATGATGGGTTAGGTCTTGTACAGCTGTATCTGTGGTGGTAAATGATGGGGGTAGGTCTTGTACAGCTGTATCTGTGGTGGTAAATGATGGGGGTAGGTCTTGTACAGCTGTATCTGTGGTGGTAAATGATGGGGTAGGTCTTGTACAGCTGTATCTGTGGTGGTAAATGATGGGGTTAGGTCTTGTACAGCTGTATCTGTGGTGGTAAATGATGGGGTAGGTCTTGTACAGCTGTATCTGGTAAATGTTGGGGTAGGTCTTGTACAGCTGTATCTGTGGTGGTAAATGATGGGGGTAGGTCTTGTACAGCTGTATCTGTGGTGGTAAATGATGGGTTAGGTCTTGTACAGCTGTATCTGGTAAATGATGGGGTAGGTCTTGTACAGCTGTATCTGTGGTGGTAAATGATGTGGTTAGGTCTTGTACAGCTGTATCTGTGGTGGTAAATGATGGGGTTAGGTCTTGTACAGCTGTATCTGTGGTGGTAAATGATGGGGGTAGGTCTTGTACAGCTGTATCTGGTAAATGATGGGGTAGGTCTTGTACAGCTGTATCTGTGGTGGTAAATGATGGGATAGGTCTTGTACAGCTGTATCTGTGGTGGTAAATGATGGGGTAGGTCTTGTACAGCTGTATCTGTGGTGGTAAATGATGTGGTTAGGTCTTGTACAGCTGTATCTGTGGTGGTAAATGATGGGGTTAGGTCTTGTACAGCTGTATCTGTGGTGGTAAATGATGGGGGTAGGTCTTGTACAGCTGTATCTGTGGTGGTAAATGATGGGTTAGGTCTTGTACAGCTGTATCTGTGGTGGTAAATGATGGGGTAGGTCTTGTACAGCTGTATCTGGTAAATGATGGGGTAGGTCTTTGTACAGCTGTATCTGTGGTGGTAAATGATGGGGGTAGGTCTTGTACAGCTGTATCTGTGGTGGTAAATGATGGGTTAGGTCTTGTACAGCTGTATCTGTGGTGGTAAATGATGGGTTAGGTCTTGTACAGCTGTATCTGTGGTGGTAAATGATGGGGTTAGGTCTTGTACAGCTGTATCTGTGGTGGTAAATGATGGGTTAGGTCTTGTACAGCTGTATCTGTGGTGGTAAATGATGGGTTTAGGTCTTGTACAGCTGTATCTGTGGTGGTAAATGATGGGTTTAGGTCTTGTACAGCTGTATCTGTGGTGGTAAATGATGGGTTTAGGTCTTGTACAGCTGTATCTGTGGTGGTAAATGATGGGTTTAGGTCTTGTACAGCTGTATCTGGTAAATGATGGGGTAGGTCTTGTACAGCTGTATCTGTGGTGGTAAATGATGGGTTTAGGTCTTGTACAGCTGTATCTGGTAAATGATGGGGTAGGTCTTGTACAGCTGTATCTGTGGTGGTAAATGATGGGGTAGGTCTTGTACAGCTGTATCTGTGGTGGTAAATGATGGTGGGGGTAGGTCTTGTACAGCTGTATCTGTGGTGGTAAATGATGGGGTTAGGTCTTGTACAGCTGTATCTGTGGTGGTAAATGTTGGGGTAGGTCTTGTACAGCTGTATCTGTGGTGGTAAATGATGGGTTTAGGTCTTGTACAGCTGTATCTGTGGTGGTAAATGATGGGGTAGGTCTTGTACAGCTGTATCTGTGGTGGTAAATGATGGGTTAGGTCTTGTACAGCTGTATCTGTGGTGGTAAATGATGGGGTAGGTCTTGTACAGCTGTATCTGTGGTGGTAAATGATGTGGGTAGGTCTTGTACAGCTGTATCTGTGGTGGTAAATGATGGGGGTAGGTCTTGTACAGCTGTATCTGTGGTGGTAAATGATGGGATAGGTCTTGTACAGCTGTATCTGTGGTGGTAAATGATGGGGTTAGGTCTTGTACAGCTGTATCTGGTAAATGATGGGGTAGGTCTTGTACAGCTGTATCTGTGGTGGTAAATGATGGGGGTAGGTCTTGTACAGCTGTATCTGGTAAATGATGGGGTAGGTCTTGTACAGCTGTATCTGTGGTGGTAAATGATGGGGTTAGGTCTTGTACAGCTGTATCTGGTAAATGATGGGGTAGGTCTTGTACAGCTGTATCTGGTAAATGATGGGATAGGTCTTGTACAGCTGTATCTGTGGTGGTAAATGATGGGGTTAGGTCTTGTACAGCTGTATCTGGTAAATGATGGGGTAGGTCTTGTACAGCTGTATCTGTGGTGGTAAATGATGGGGTAGGTCTTGTACAGCTGTATCTGTGGTGGTAAATGATGGGGTAGGTCTTGTACAGCTGTATCTGTGGTGGTAAATGATGGGGTTAGGTCTTGTACAGCTGTATCTGGTAAATGATGGGGTAGGTCTTGTACAGCTGTATCTGTGGTGGTAAATGATGGGGTTAGGTCTTGTACAGCTGTATCTGTGGTGGTAAATGATGGGGGTAGGTCTTGTACAGCTGTATCTGTGGTGGTAAATGATGGGGGTAGGTCTTGTACAGCTGTATCTGTGGTGGTAAATGATGGGGGTAGGTCTTGTACAGCTGTATCTGGTAAATGATGGGGTAGGTCTTGTACAGCTGTATCTGTGGTGGTAAATGATGGGGTTAGGTCTTGTACAGCTGTATCTGTGGTGGTAAATGATGGGGTTAGGTCTTGTACAGCTGTATCTGGTAAATGATGGGGTAGGTCTTGTACAGCTGTATCTGTGGTGGTAAATGATGGGGTAGGTCTTGTACAGCTGTATCTGTGGTGGTAAATGATGGGGGTAGGTCTTGTACAGCTGTATCTGTGGTGGTAAATGATGGGGTTAGGTCTTGTACAGCTGTATCTGGTAAATGATGGGGTAGGTCTTGTACAGCTGTATCTGTGGTGGTAAATGATGGGGTAGGTCTTGTACAGCTGTATCTGTGGTGGTAAATGATGGGGGTAGGTCTTGTACAGCTGTATCTGTGGTGGTAAATGATGTGGTTAGGTCTTGTACAGCTGTATCTGTGGTGGTAAATGATGGGGTAGGTCTTGTACAGCTGTATCTGTGGTGGTAAATGATGGGGGTAGGTCTTGTACAGCTGTATCTGTGGTGGTAAATGATGGGGTTAGGTCTTGTACAGCTGTATCTGGTAAATGATGGGGGTAGGTCTTGTACAGCTGTATCTGTGGTGGTAAATGATGGGGTAGGTCTTGTACAGCTGTATCTGTGGTGGTAAATGATGGGGTAGGTCTTGTACAGCTGTATCTGTGGTGGTAAATGATGGGGTTAGGTCTTGTACAGCTGTATCTGTGGTGGTAAATGATGGGGTAGGTCTTGTACAGCTGTATCTGTGGTGGTAAATGATGGGGGTAGGTCTTGTACAGCTGTATCTGTGGTGGTAAATGATGGGGTTAGGTCTTGTACAGCTGTATCTGTGGTGGTAAATGATGGGGTAGGTCTTGTACAGCTGTATCTGTGGTGGTAAATGATGGGGGTAGGTCTTGTACAGCTGTATCTGTGGTGGTAAATGATGGGGTTAGGTCTTGTACAGCTGTATCTGGTAAATGATGGGGTTAGGTCTTGTACAGCTGTATCTGTGGTGGTAAATGATGGGGTTAGGTCTTGTACAGCTGTATCTGTGGTGGTAAATGATGGGGTAGGTCTTGTACAGCTGTATCTGTGGTGGTAAATGATGTGGTTAGGTCTTGTACAGCTGTATCTGTGGTGGTAAATGATGGGGTAGGTCTTGTACAGCTGTATCTGTGGTGGTAAATGATGGGGGTAGGTCTTGTACAGCTGTATCTGGTAAATGATGGGGTAGGTCTTGTACAGCTGTATCTGTGGTGGTAAATGATGGGGTAGGTCTTGTACAGCTGTATCTGTGGTGGTAAATGATGGGGTTAGGTCTTGTACAGCTGTATCTGTGGTGGTAAATGATGGGGTTAGGTCTTGTACAGCTGTATCTGTGGTGGTAAATGATGGGGTTAGGTCTTGTACAGCTGTATCTGTGGTGGTAAATGATGGGGTAGGTCTTGTACAGCTGTATCTGTGGTGGTAAATGATGGGGGTAGGTCTTGTACAGCTGTATCTGTGGTGGTAAATGATGGGGTAGGTCTTGTACAGCTGTATCTGTGGTGGTAAATGATGTGGGTAGGTCTTGTACAGCTGTATCTGGTAAATGATGGGGTTAGGTCTTGTACAGCTGTATCTGTGGTGGTAAATGATGGGGGTAGGTCTTGTACAGCTGTATCTGTGGTGGTAAATGATGGGGTAGGTCTTGTACAGCTGTATCTGTGGTGGTAAATGATGGGGGTAGGTCTTGTACAGCTGTATCTGTGGTGGTAAATGATGGGTTAGGTCTTGTACAGCTGTATCTGTGGTGGTAAATGATGGGCTAGGTCTTGTACAGCTGTATCTGTGGTGGTAAATGATGGGGTAGGTCTTGTACAGCTGTATCTGGTAAATGTTGGGGTAGGTCTTGTACAGCTGTATCTGTGGTGGTAAATGATGGGTTTAGGTCTTGTACAGCTGTATCTGTGGTGGTAAATGATGGGGTTAGGTCTTGTACAGCTGTATCTGGTAAATGATGGGGTAGGTCTTGTACAGCTGTATCTGTGGTGGTAAATGATGGGATAGGTCTTGTACAGCTGTATCTGTGGTGGTAAATGATGGGTTAGGTCTTGTACAGCTGTATCTGTGGTGGTAAATGATGGGGTTAGGTCTTGAACACGTGTATTGGTATGAACATTTGCCTCAGCTTGCACCCAATTAGCTAACGAGCACCTAGAAATCTTTGCTTGTGTCATCTCTCTAGCCAGGCTACTGCTGACCCCACTGAGACAAATGGTGGTCCCGCCTCCAATGGCGGCGTATGTCATAGATCTGCCACATCCTGCAAGTCGAGTGACCTTTGAACCTAATGACAGTGGTGATGGCCTTGCTGTCTTGATGAACAATGGCCAGATTGCAATATACTCCCACACAGGTATGTGTTTGGCCCAAATATACATAACTATGCATACATCTTTTATTGTATATGTGTTTGACCCAAGTTTAAAACTATGCATACATCTTTTATTGTATATGTGTTTGGCCCAAGTGTAAAACCATGCATACATCTTTTATTGTATATGTGTTTGACCCAAGTTTAAAACTATGCATACATCTTTTATTGTATATGTGTTTGGCCCAAGTGTAAAACTATGCATACATCTTTTATTGTATATGTGTTTGACCCAAGTGTAAAACTATGCATACATCTTTTATTGTATATGTGTTTGGCCCAAGTGTAAAACTATGCATACATCTTTTATTGTATATGTGTTTGACCCAAGTGTAAAACTATGCATACATCTTTTATTGTATATGTGTTTGGCCCAAGTGTAAAACTATGCATACATCTTTTATTGTATATGTGTTTGACCCAAGTGTAAAACTATGCATACATCTTTTATTGTATATGTGTTTGACCCAAGTGTAAAACTATGCATACATCTTTTATTGTATATGTGTTTGACCCAAGTGTAAAACTATGCATACATCTTTTATTGTATATGTGTTTGACCCAAGTGTAAAACTATGCATACATCTTTTATTGTATATGTGTTTGACCCAAGTGTAAAACTATGCATACATCTTTTATTGTATATGTGTTTGACCCAAGTGTAAAACTATGCATACATCTTTTATTGTATATGTGTTTGGCCCAAGTGTAAAACTATGCATACATCTTTTATTGTATATGTGTTTGGCCCAAGTGTAAAACTATGCATACATCTTTTATTGTATATGTGTTTGGCCCAAGTGTAAAACTATGCATACATCTTTTATTGTATATGTGTTTGGCCCAAGTGTAAAACTATGCATACATCTTTTATTGTATATGTGTTTGGCCCAAGTGTAAAACCATGCATACATCTTTTATTGTATGTGTTTGGCCCAAGTGTAAAACTATGCATACATCTTTTATTGTATATGTGTTTGGCCCAAGTGTAAAACTATGCATACATCTTTTATTGTATATGTGTTTGGCCCAAATATATATAACCATGCATACATCTTTTATTGTGTTATAAAATTGAAGGGAAATATTCTTACCACCAATTTAACCTTGACCTTACCTTGACCTTACCTTGACCTGCAGGGAAGGCAGACCAGACTGGATCCGTCAACTATTCAGCAGCTGCAGGTGACGGCTTCAGTCCACAGTGTGGTCTCCCACAGTTGGATGGCATCTATTGGTAAGCTTCCATTCCCTAAGGACTTACGGATGGCATCTATAGGTAAGCTTCCATTCCCTAAGGACTTACTGATGGCATCTATTGGTAAGCTTCCATTCCCTAAGGACTTATGGATGGCATCTATTGGTAAGCTTCCATTCCCTAAGGACTTACTGATGGCATCTATTGGTAAGCTTCCGTTCCCTAAGGACTTATGGATGGCATCTATTGGTAAGCTTCCATTCCCTAAGGACTTACGGATGGCATTCATTGGTATTACCTAAGAACTGGTTTTATTTTTCATTGAAAATAGAATACAAACAATGTTTGTTATAAATATGATAAGAAGCTAGTAGTTGGGCTCTTTCCTCACCAGTTTGTTGACATTATTTCTGGCAGCATAACATCAGCTGACACGCTCCAGCCAATCATTGTCCAGATGCTCTGGATATGGGACAAACAGCTGATCTTGACCTCTGGCTCCCAGCTCTACATAGCCCACATTTGTCAGCAGGAAAGGGCTATTAGGATCAGGTCAGTTTGTTGGTTAAGTCCTCAGTTGGTTAAGTCATCAGTTGGTTAAGTCATCAGTTGGTTAAGTCATCCCCTGCTAGTTGAAACTTTATTAAGGGTTCAAAGCATCATTCATAATTCATGATTAAAAAGACAACTTTAAAATTATAATTGTTTGCCAATAATTTGCTTTCAATAAAAATTAAAAAATTAAAATTATCAGAATAAACAAGAAAAATACAGTAACATAATGAAGTGTATGTGCAAGATAAGAAAAGCTACACAAAGATAATGACACTTTATGTAAAGATACACAAAGATAATGATGTATAACATAAGAATAGATACACAAAGGTAGTGATGTGATGTAAGAAAAGAAATTCTGTTTTAGATTTAGGATTTATTTTCAAGAGAAAAAGAGAACCATTATCAGCCTAGCTACTGTTGTTGGTTTCACATATTGGGTACGTTGAAGAAAAATAATTGGTTTTCATACAACTCTCTTCCAGTCATAGTTTTACATTGAAGTGCAATATAGTTGGTCTAGCCCTGGATGAGAGCTCTCACACTGTGGCACTACAACTGGAGTCTGGTCAGATCTACAAGTTCTCAGGTCAGTCTGTCTCACAGGCCTTGTGTATGTACACCCAACACGTATCAGTACACCCTCCATGTATCCATACACCCAACACGTATCCATACACCCAACACGTATCAGTACACCCAACACGTATCCATACACCCTCCATGTATCCATACACCCAACACGTATCAGTACACCCAACACGTATCAGTACACCCAACACGTATCAGTACACCCTCCATGTATCCATACACCCAACACGTATCAGTACACCCAACACGTATCCATACACCCTCCATGTATCCATACACCCTCCATGTATCCATACACCCAACACGTATCAGTACACCCAACACGTATCAGTACACTCAACACGTATCCATACACCCTCCATGTATCCATACACCCAACACGTATCAGTACACCCAACACGTATCCATACACCCACCATGCCATACACCCTCCACGCCATACACCCAACACGTATCCATACACCCCACATGTATCCATACACCCAACATGTATCCATACACCCTCCATGTATCCATACACCCAACACGTATCCATACACCCAACACGTATCCATACACCCTCCATGTATCCATACACCCACCACGTATCCATACACCCAACACGTATCCATACACCCAACACGTATCCATACACCCACCATGCCATACACCCTCCACGCCATACACCCAACACGTATCCATACACCCTCCATGTATCCATACACCCACCATGTATCCATACACCCACCACGTATCCATACACCCAACACGTATCCATACACCCAACACGTATCAGTACACCCAACACGTATCCATACACCCACCATGCCATACACCCTCCACGCCATACACCCAACACGTATCCATACACCCTCCATGTATCCATACACCCACCACGCCATACACCCTCCATGCCATACACCCAACATGTATCCATACACCCCACATGTATCCATACACCCACCATGCCATACACCCTCCATGCCATACACCCTCCATGTATCCATACACCCACCACGCCATACACCCAACACGTATCCATACACCCCACATGTATCCATACACCCACCACGCCATACACCCACCATGTATCCATACACCCACCATGTATCCATACACCCACCACGCCATACACCCTCCATGTATCCATACACCCACCATGTATCCATACACCCACCACGCCATACACCCACCATGTATCCATACACCCACCACGCCATACACCCTCCATGTATCCATACACCCACCATGTATCCATACACCCACCACACCATACACCCACCATGTATCCATACACCCACCACGCCATACACCCTCCATGTATCCATACACCCTCCATGTATCCATACACCCACCACGTATCCATACACCCACCACATATCCATACACCCACCACATATCCATACACCCACCAAGTATTCATACACCCACCACTTATCCATACACCCACCACGTATCCATACACCCACCACGTATCCATACACCCACCACGTATCCATACACCCACCACGTATCCATACACCCCACATGTATCCATACACCCACCATGTATCCATACACCCACCACGCCATACACCCACCATGTATCCATACACCCCACATGTATCCATACACCCACCATGTATCCATACACCCACCACGTATCCATACACCCACCATGTATCCATACAACCACCATGTATCCATACACCCACCACGCCTTACACCCCACATGTATCCATACACCAACCACGCCATACACCCACCATGTATCCATACACCCCACATGTATCCATACACCCACCATGTATCCATACACCCACCACGTATCCATACACCCACCATGTATCCATACACCCACCACATATCCATACACCCACCATGTATCCGTACACCCACCATGTATCCATACACCCACCACGTATCCATACAACCATCAGATGAAGCCCCCAGCCCGTGGATGTCAGAACTGGGTGAGCCTGTTAGGTTCCCCTACACCTGTACGGAGATGGCTGTGGCTGGGTTAGGTCAGGAGACTGTGGTGCTGGGTCTAACAGATAGGTTCAGGCTCTACGTCAATCAGATGGAGGTAGGTTTAGACTACGTCAGATGGAGGTAGGTTCAGGCTCTAGGTCAGTCAGATGAAGGTAGGTTTACACTACGTCAATCAGATGGAGGTAGGTTTAGACTACGTCAGATGGAGGTAGGTTTAGACTACGTCAGTCAGATGAAGGTAGGTTTACACTATGTCAATCTGATGGAGGTAGGTTTACACTGTGTCAGTCAGATGAAGGTAGGTTTACACTACGTCAATCAGATGGAGGTAGGTTTACACTGTGTCAGTCAGACAGAGGTAGGTTTAGAATACGTCAGTCAGATGGAGGTAGGTTTACACTACGTCAGTCAGATGAAGGTAGGTTTACACTACGTCAGTCAGACAGAGGTAGGTTTAGAATACGTCAGTCAGATGGAGGTAGGTTTAGAATACGTCAGTCAGATGGAGGTAGGTTTAGGCTCTACGTCAGTCAGATGGAGGTAGGTTTACACTATGTCAATGCTACTTAGGTTAAATTACTGTCATGACTTAATAACATGTCATGTAACTTAATGACATCATGTGACTCTATGACTTGTCATGTGACTTGATGTCATCATGTGACTCTATGACATGTCATGTGACTTGATGTCATCATGTGACTATGACATGTCATGTGACTTGATGACATCATGTGACTCTATGACATGTCATGTGACTTGATGTCATCATGTGACTATGACATGTCATGTGACTTGATGACATCATGTGACTCTATGACATGTCATGTGACTTGATGACATCATGTGACTCTATGACATGTCATGTGACTTGATGACATCATGTGACTATGACATGTCATGTGACTTGATGACATCATGTGACTCTATGACATGTCATGTGACTTGATGACATCATGTGACTATGACATATCATGTGACTTGATGACATCATGTGACTCTATGACATGTCATGTGACTTGATGACATCATGTGACTCTATGACATGTCATGTGACTTGATGACATCATGTGACTCTATGACATGTCATGTGACTTGATGACATGTCATGTGACTTGATTCATTTCTTGAACTTGCAGATCTGCTCCAACTGCACATCATTTCGGCTCCATAATGATTTTCTTTTACTCACTACTTTCACCCACACCTTGAGATGCATTTGTCGCTCTACAAAATTAACTGGTAAGTTGACTGTTGTTTTCCTTTGCTAGTGATTCATTTATATTTGGACCTTTACCTTCCTGCATATCAAATGACATTTGATTGTATCCAGTAGATCTCCTATGTATTAGAGGACATTATAGCCTATTGATTAGACATGGTTCTACTCAGATTCAACTGATTGATAAGCTGAATGTTTGGTTCAAGTTGATAGCAACATTCAATTCATTAGGAACCTACGAGTAGTTTTTATTTTGGTTATTGATAGCAACATGCAATCTATTAGGAACGTACGAGTAGAGTTTTGGGTGATGATTGTAATACTTAGGGTGATGCTTGTAATACTTTGGGTGATGATTGTAATACTTTGGGTGATGATTGTAATACTTTGGGTGATGATTGTAATATTTTGGGTGATGATTGTAATACTTTGGGTGATGATTGTAATACTTTGGTTGATGATTGTAATACTTTGGGTGATGATTGTAATACTTTGGGTGATGATTGTAATACTTTGGGTGATGATTGTAATACTTAGGGTGATGATTGTAATACTTTGGGTGATGATTGTAATACTTTGGGTGATGATTGTAATACTTTGGGTGATGATTGTAATATTTTGGGTGATGATTGTAATACTTTGGGTGATGATTGTAATACTTTGGTTGATGATTGTAATAGTTTGCTAGTCAGGCTAGAATTGAACGTGCTGCAACTGTTGTTCCCCAGATGTAGTCAAGCTGAAGGATGGCAAGAGCCACCCCTTTGATGAGAGTGTGCGGAGGGTGGAGAGGGGATCTCATCTGGTGGCTGCTGTGGCCAACAGCACCAAAGTTGTCCTGCAGATGCCCAGAGGCAACCTGGAGACCATCCATCCTAGGGCTCTGGTCCTCAACTCTCTCAAACAGCTGCTGGACAGGTCAGGGCTCAAGCACACTCCAGGGGGTTTTCTCACTTGTGGGGGGTCTCTCGCTGTCTGAAGGGACAGTCAGTATTTGGTTATGTGTAGAGACAGTCAGTATTTGGTGATGTGTAGAGACAGTCAGTATTTGGTTATGTGTAGGGACAGTCAGTATTTGGTTATGTGTAGAGACAGTCAGTATTTGGTGATGTGTAGAGACAGTCAGTATTTGGTGATGTGTAGAGACAGTCAGTATTTGGTGATGTGTAGAGACAGTCAGTATTTGGTGATGTGTAGGGACAGTCAGTATTTGGTGATGTGTAAGGACGGCATTCGGGCAAGTGTCTTTCGGGACTTTGTCGTAGACCCCCTGTCTATGATCCCTTCTATAACCTGTCCATGACCCCTCCTATAACCTGTCCATGATCCCTCCTATAAGCTGTCCATGATCCCTCCTATAACCTGTCCATGATCCCTCCTATAACCTGTCCATGATCCCTCCTATAACCTGTGATCCCTCCTATAACCTGTCCATGATCCCTCCTATAACCTGTCCATGATCCCTCCTATAACCTGTCCATGATCCCTCCTATAACCTGTCCATGATCCCTCCTATAACCTTTCCCTGATCCCTCCTATAACCTGTCCATGATCCCTCCTATAACCTGTCCATGATCCCTCCTATAACCCGTCCATGATCCCTCCTATAACCTGTGATCCCTCCTATAACCTGTCCATGATCCCTCCTATAACCTGTCCATGATCCCTCCTATAACCTGTCCATGATCCCTCCTATAACCTGTCCATGATCCCTCCTATAACCTGTCCATGATCCCTCCTATAACCTGTCCATGATCCCTCCTATAACCTGTCTATGATCCCTCCTATAACCTGTCTATGATCCCTCCTATAACCTGTCTATGATCCCTCCTATAACCTGTCCATGATCCCTCCTATAACCTGTCCATGATCCCTCCTATAACCTGTCCATGATCCCTCCTATAACCTGTCTATGATCCCTCCTATAACCTGTCTATGATCTCTCCTATAACCTGTCTATGATCCCTCCTATAACCTGTCTATGATCCCTCCTATAACCTGTCTATGATCCCTCCTATAACCTGTCTAGGATCCCTCCTATAACCTGTCCATGATCCCTCCTATAACCTGTCCATGATCCCTCCTATAACCTGTCCATGATCCCTCCTATAACCTGTCTATGATCCCTCCTATAACCTGTCTATGATCCCTCCTATAACCTGTCTATGATCCCTCCTATAACCTGTCCATGATCCCTCCTATAACCTGTCCATGATCCCTCCTATAACCTGTCCATGATCCCTCCTATAACCTGTCCATGATCCCTCCTATAACCTGTCCATGATCCCTCCTATAACCTGTCCATGATCCCTCCTATAACCTGTCCATGATCCCTCCTATAACCTGTCCATGATCCCTCCTATAACCTGTCCATGATCCCTCCTATAACCTGTCCATGATCCCTCCTATAACCTGTCTATGATCCCTCCTATAACCTGTCTATGATCCCTCCTATAACCTGTCCATGATCCCTCCTATAACCTGTCCATGATCCCTTCTATAACCTGTCCATGATCCCTCCTATAACCTGTCCATGATCCCTCCTATAACCTGTCCATGATCCCTCCTATAACCTGTCCATGATCCCTCTTATAACCTGTCTATGATCCCTCCTATAACCTGTCCCTGATCCCTCCTATAACCTGTCCATGATCCCTCCTATAACCTGTCCATGATCCCTCTTATAACCTGTCCATGATCCCTTCTATAACCTGTCTATGATCCCTCCTATAACCTGTCCATGATCCCTCCTATAACCTGTCCATGATCCCTCCTATAACCTGTCCATGATCCCTCCTATAACCTGTCCATGATCCCTCCTATAACCTGTCCATGATCCCTTCTATAACCTGTCCATGATCCCTCCTATAACCTGTCCATGATCCCTCCTATAACCTGTCCATGATCCCTTCTATAACCTGTCCATGATCCCTCCTATAACCTGTCCATGATCCCTCCTATAACCTGTCTATGATCCCTCCTATAACCTGTCTATGATCCCTCCTATAACCTGTCCATGATCCCTCCTATAACCTGTCCATGATCCCTCCTATAACCTGTCCATGATCCCTCCTATAACCTGTCTATGATCCCTCCTATAACCTGTCTATGATCCCTCCTATAACCTGTCCATGATCCCTCCTATAACCTGTCCATGATCCCTCCTATAACCTGTCTATGATCCCTTCTATAACCTGTCTATGATCCCTCCTATAACCTGTCCATGATCCCTTCTATAACCTGTCCATGATCCCTCCTATAACCTGTCCATGATCCCTCCTATAACCTGTCCATGATCCCTTCTATAACCTGTCCATGACCCCTCCTATAACCTGTCCATGATCCCTCCTATAACCTGTGATCCCTCCTATAACCTGTCCATGACCCCTGCTACAACAAAAAAGGTGTCTGACCTAGGAAGTTGATTTATCTCCAGGAAGAAACTGGGAGAGGCTTTTATCCTGATGAGAAAACACCGGATCAACCTCAATCTTCTGCATGACCACGAGCCCAAGCTATTTTTTGACAACATTCAAAACTTAATACAAGAGATCAACAACCCAAGTTATCTGAATGTGTTTCTTACTGAATTAAGGTCAGTCTATGTCATATGTCATTGGGGAATTTAGTCAGGAGGATATGACATGTTTCAGTGAAGAAGATGTGACATGTTTCAGTGAAGATGTGACATGTTTCAGTGAGGAAGATGTGATATGTTTCAGTGAGGAAGATGTGATATGTTTTTGTTTCAGTGAGGAAGATGTGATATGTTTTTGTTTCAGTGAGGAAGATGTGATATGTTTTTGTTTCAGTGAGGAAGATGTGATATGTTTCAGTGAGGAAGATGTGATATGTTTTTGTTTCAGTGAGGAAGATGTGATATGTTTTTGTTTCAGTGAGGAAGATGTGATATGTTTTTGTTTCAGTGAGGAAGATGTGATATGTTTTTGTTTCAGTGAAGAAGATGTGATATGTTTTTGTTTCAGTGAGGAAGATGTGATATGTTTCAGTGAGGAAGATGTGATATGTTTTTGTTTCAGTGAAGAAGATGTGATATGTTTTTGTTTCAGTGAGGAAGATGTGATATGTTTCAGTGAGGAAGATGTGACATGTTTCAGTGAGGAAGATGTGACATGTTTTTGTTTCAGTGAGGAAGATGTGATATGTTTTTGTTTCAGTGAAGAAGATGTGATATGTTTTTGTTTCAGTAAGGAAGATGTGATATGTTTTTGTTTCAGTGAGGAAGATGTGATATGTTTTTGTTTCAGTGAGGAAGATGTGATATGTTTTTGTTTCAGTGAGGAAGATGTGATATGTTTTTGTTTCAGTGAAGAAGATGTGATATGTTTTTGTTTCAGTGAGGAAGATGTGATATGTTTTTGTTTCAGTGAGGAAGATGTGACATGTTTTTGTTTCAGTGAAGAAGATGTGATATGTTTTTGTTTCAGTGAGGAAGATGTGATATGTTTTTGTTTCAGTGAGGAAGATGTGATATGTTTTTGTTTCAGTGAGGAAGATGTGATATGTTTCAGTGAGGAAGATGTGATATGTTTTTGTTTCAGTGAGGAAGATGTGATATGTTTTTGTTTCAGTGAAGAAGATGTGATATGTTTTTGTTTCAGTGAGGAAGATGTGATATGTTTTTGTTTCAGTGAGGAAGATGTGATATGTTTTTGTTTCAGTAAGGAAGATGTGATATGTTTCAGTGAGGAAGATGTGATATGTTTTTGTTTCAGTGAGGAAGATGTGATATGTTTTTGTTTCAGTGAGGAAGATGTGATATGTTTCAGTGAGGAAGATGTGATATGTTTTTGTTTCAGTGAGGAAGATGTGATATGTTTCAGTGAAGAAGATGTGATATGTTTTTGTTTCAGTGAAGATGTGATATGTTTTTGTTTCAGTGAAGAAGATGTGATATGTTTTTGTTTCAGTGAGGAAGATGTGATATGTTTTTGTTTCAGTGAAGAAGATGTGATATGTTTTTGTTTCAGTGAGGAAGATGTGATATGTTTCAGTGAAGATGTGATATGTTTTTGTTTCAGTGAGGAAGATGTGATATGTTTTTGTTTCAGTGAGGAAGATGTGATATGTTTCAGTGAGGAAGATGTGATATGTTTCAGTGAGGAAGATGTGATATGTTTCAGTGAAGAAGATGTGATATGTTTTTGTTTCAGTGAAGAAGATGTGATATGTTTTTGTTTCAGTGAGGAAGATGTGATATGTTTCAGTGAAGATGTGATATGTTTTTGTTTCAGTGAGGAAGATGTGATATGTTTCAGTGAGGAAGATGTGATATGTTTCAGTGAGGAAGATGTGATATGTTTTTGTTTCAGTGAGGAAGATGTGATATGTTTCAGTGAGGAAGATGTGATATGTTTTTGTTTCAGTGAGGAAGATGTGATATGTTTTTGTTTCAGTGAGGAAGATGTGATATGTTTCAGTGAGGAAGATGTGATATGTTTTTGTTTCAGTGAGGAAGATGTGATATGTTTTTGTTTCAGTGAAGAAGATGTGATATGTTTTTGTTTCAGTGAGGAAGATGTGATATGTTTTTGTTTCAGTGAGGAAGATGTGATATGTTTTTGTTTCAGTGAGGAAGATGTGATATGTTTTTGTTTCAGTGAGGAAGATGTGATATGTTTTTGTTTCAGTGAGGAAGATGTGATATGTTTTTGTTTCAGTGAGGAAGATGTGATATGTTTTTGTTTCAGTGAGGAAGATGTGATATGTTTTTGTTTCAGTGAGGAAGATGTGATATGTTTCAGTGAGGAAGATGTGATATGTTTTTATTTCAGTGAAGAAGATGTGACACGAACCATGTACACAGCAACCTACCAGAGAGGTGTATCACAGCAAACAGAAACAGGTTCAAAGATTGACAAAATTTGTGATGCCTTCTTAAACATTCTACAGAACAAACATGACCAGAGGTATTTTACACAGATCTTGTGAATTTTCTTACCTACTTATTGTCACACACCTCCCCCCACAAGACACACCTCCCCCCACAAGACACAACTCCCACACACATTAAGACATATCCCCCATAAATCATCACACAACACCCCCTAACCTCATGACACACCCACCCCACACCTTGTGACACACCTCCCCCACACCTTGTGACACACCTCCCCCACACCTTGTGACACACCACCCCACACCTTGTGACACACCACCCCACACCTTGTGACACACCTCCCCCACAACTTGTGACACACCTCCCCACACCTTGTGCACACCACCCCACACCTTGTGACACACCCTCACACCTTGTGACACACCCCCCACACCTTGTGACACACCACCCCACACCTTGTGACACACCTCCCCCACAACTTGTGACACACCCCCCCACACCTTGTGACACACCACCCCACACCTTGTGACACACCTCCCCCACACCTTGTGGCACACCTCCCCCACACATGACACACCTCCCCCACACCTTGTGACACACCACCCCACACCTTGTGACACACCTCCGCCACACCTTGTGACACACCCTCACACCTTGTGACACACCCACCCCACACCTTGTGACACACCTCCCCCACACCTTGTGACACACCCTCACACCTTGTGACACACCTCCCCCACACCTTGTGACACACCTCCCCCACACCTTGTGACACACCTCCCCCACACCTTGTGACACACCTCCCCCACACCTTGTGACACACCTCCCCCACACCTTGTGACACACCTCCCCCACACATTGACACAACTCCCTCACACATTGAGACCACCACACATTGTGAGATACCTCCCCCACACTTGCATCACTTGAAACATGTTGCATGTTGAGAATGTCACTAACTGACTCTGTGCTCTTTCAGCTTTGATCAAACAATTCTCACAGCTCACGTCAGGAAGTCCCAGCCCGACCTTGAGAAGGCTTTACTTGTTGTTTGGTCTCTTTATGGTGAGGTTTGAGCTGTTTTTTCTAATGTTATTTATCTGTAGCTGCTACACTCAGTTAATACCCCAACCTCCTTATACCTTAAAGCTCCTTATACCTTAAAGCTCCTTATACCTTAAAGCTCCTTATACCTTAAAGCTCCTTATACCTTAAAGCTCCTTATACCTTAAAGCTCCTTATACCTTAAAGCTCCTTATACCTTAAAGCTCCTGATACCTTAAAGCTCCTTATACCTTAAAGCTCCTTATACCTTAAAGCTCCTTATACCTTAAAGCTCCTTATACCTTAAAGCTCCTTATACCTTAAAGCTCCTGATACCTTAAAGCTCCTTATACCTTAAAGCTCCTTATACCTTAAAGCTCCTGATACCTTAAAGCTCCTTATACCTTAAAGCTCCTTATACCTTAAAGCTCCTTATACCTTAAAGCTCCTGATACCTTAAAGCTCCTTATACCTTAAAGCTCCTTATACCTTAAAGCTCCTTATACCTTAAAGCTCCTTATACCTTAAAGCTCCTTATACCTTAAAGCTCCTTATACCTTAAAGCTCCTTATACCTTAAAGCTCCTTATACCCCAAGCTCCAAATATCCTAACCTTCCTGTAAGAGCCATGATTGTTGTAGTTGAGCAGAAAGATGCACACAGACGAGCAGAAGAGGCCTTAAAGTACCTGACCTTCCTGGTAGATGTCAACCACCTGTACAATGTGGCTCTGGGCACGTACAACTTTGATCTGGTCGTAATGGTGGCACAAAATTCACATAAGGTGACATCTTTTTTTTGCTTTTAACACCAATAAAAATGTTGGACATCCCATGTAAATGTTGATGACACCCCATGTAAATGTTGATGTATGTGACACCCCATGTAAATGTAAAAGATACCAAGACAAAATATATCAGGACAAATGATACCATGGACCATTGATCTCAGACAAAATATCTCACACCTAAATTTTAATAGTGTAGTTGATGATTTTAGCCGATTTGACATTTTTTTTATTGATTGTCATATGGTTTTGTTTATTATGTTTTAATATTGTTTATAGGCCTATATATAATTGTAAGAAATGTTTGCCATATAAATTTGTCATATTGCACTAAACATTTTAAAGTTAGTATTAGTAATATAGTATGCGAAGATTAAAGAATTTTTTTCGATAGACAGCGTAGGTGGGCTTGACAAACATGAGAAAATCCTACCATGTCCGGTGGACGAAATTAGATCAAAGGAGATGAAATAACAATAAAGACACACCTTCGTATCAAAGTGGCCGTCTGCTTTGATGGCAGAGACATGCCTTAATGGAAAGACATCAGCCCTCCATGGACAATACAACTAGCATCAACAGTCAATAGTTATGCGTCGATCACACCTTAGTGATCAGGTGACAAATGCTTATTTAAACAAACAGCGGTAATCGCTGAGCTAAGTTGTCGTAGTGTGCATGCGAACAAAGCAGTATTAGTGGTGATAACTCAGTTATGGCCTCTTTCGTTACCTCGCAAAAAGGTTTTAGGACATTAGTTTCTGGTGAATTTATGTTTGCTATAAGCAGGCAAAGAAATTAGGAAATGTGAAATTAGGACATGTCGAGCAAGAGTTCACACAATAGTTGATCACATAGTATATGAGAGGTGTGATCATATTGATGTACCTGCCAGCAAAGTAATGTAGGCGTTATGTTTGTGTTGATGATGCAATAAAAACAATAGTTTTACGTTACGAACCTGAAGACCCATTCACATTTTTGAAAAAAATTTCGAGTGTTTTGAACCTTAATGTTGTATAACAACCGTTACTTTATTTTTTTTTATACATTATCATTTATTATACCTTTCAGGGTAAAGGAGTAAGTTTGTTATAATTTTTACATTTCGAAACAAATGCTACGACAAAGATTAATAAATCTTTTGATGGTTTATTAGGTTTAACAAATTCATTTTATTCACAATTATTATGCATAAAAAAGTAAACAAACCCATATTAACAGTCAATAAAAAAAGTTCAAATCAACTAAAATCATCGTACAAACTATTAAAATTTTGCTGTAAGATATTTTGTCTGAGATCATTTGTCCATGATATCATTTGTCCTGATATGTTTTGTCCTGGTATCTTTTGTCCGTGAGATAATTTGTCCCGAGATCATTTGTCCCGAGATCATTTGTCCGTGAGATATTTTGTCTGAGATATTTTGTCTGAGATCATTTGTCATGGAACTGTGACAACCCATGTAAATGTTGATGTATGTGACACCCCATGTAAATGTTGATGTATGGGACACCCCTTGTAAATGTTGATGTAGATGACATCCCATGTGAATGTTGATGTAGATGCCATCCCATGTAAATGTTGATGTAGATGCCATCCCATGTAAATGTTGATGTAGATGACATCCTATGTAAATGTTGAAGTAGATGACATCCCATGTGAATGTTGATGTAGATGCCATCCCATGTAAATGTTGATGTAGATGACATCCTATGTAAATGTTGAAGTAGATGACATCCTATGTAAATGCTGATGTAGATGACATCCTATGTAAATGTTGATGTGACATACCATGTAAATGTTGATGTAGATGACATCCCATGTAAATGTTGATGTGACACCCCATGTAAATGTTGATGTATGGGACACCCCTTGTAAATGTTGATGTGACATCCCATGTAAATGTTGATGTAGATGCCATCCCATGTAAATGTTGATGTAGATGACATCCCTTGTAAATGTTGATGTAGATGACATCCCATGTGAATGTTAATGTAGATGCCATCCCATGTAAATATTGATGTAGATGACAGCCTATGTAAATGTTGATGTGACATCCCATGTAAATGTTGATGTAGATGACATCCCATGTAAATGTTGATGTGACATCCCATGTAAATGTTGATGTGACTTCCCATGTGAATGTTGATGTAGATGACATCCCATGTTAATGTTGATGTAGATGACATCCCATGTAAATGTTGATGTAGATGACATCCCATGTAAATGTTGATGTGACATCCCATGTAAATGTTGATGTAGATGACATCCCATGTAAATGTTGATGTGACATCCCATGTAAATGTTGATGTGACTTCCCATGTGAATGTTGATGTAGATGACATCCCATGTTAATGTTGATGTAGATGACATCCCATGTAAATGTTGATGTGACATCCCATGTAAATGTTGATGTGACATCCCATGTAAATGTTGATGTGACATCCCATGTAAATGTTGATGTGACATCCCATGTAAATGTTGATGTGACATCCCATGTAATTGTTGCTGTAGATGACATCCCATGTAAATGTTAATGTAGATGACATGCCATACATATCCGTCTCTTACAGGACCCTAAAGAGTACATCCCTTACTTTCTTACGGGACCCTAAAGAGTACATCCCTTACTTTCTTACAGGACCCTAAAGAGTACATCCCTTACTTTCTTACAGGACCCTAAAGAGTACATCCCTTACTTTCTTACAGGACCCTAAAGAGTACATCCCTTACTTGAATTCTCTGCGACGTCTTGAAGAAAATTACAGGCGCTACACCATAGACAAAGATCTAAAAAGGTTTAATAAAGCTCTGGAGCACATCAGCAAATGTGGTAGGTTGTGCCAGTATCTGGTGGCTCCTGTATCTGGTGGCTCCAGTATCTGGTGGCTCCAGTATCTGGTGGCTCCAGTATCTGATGGCTCCAGTATCTGGTGGCTCCAGTATCTGGTGGCTCCAGTATCTGATGGCACCCGTATCTGGTGGCTCCAGTATCTGATGGCACCCGTATCTAGCTCATCTGGTGGCTCCAGTATCTCGTGGCTCCAGTATCTGGTGGCTCCAGTATCTGGTGGCACCCGTATCTAGCTCATCTGGTGGCTCCAGTATCTGGCTCATCTGGTGGCTCCAGTATCTGATGGCTCCAGTACCTGGTGGCTCCAGTATCTCGTGGCTCCAGTATCTGGTGGCTCCAGTATCTGATGGCTCCAGTATCTGGTGGCTCCAGTATCTGGTGGCTCCAGTATCTGGTGGCTCCAGTATCTGGTGGCTCCAGTATCTGGTGGCTCCAGTATCTGGTGGCTCCAGTATCTGGTGGCTCCAGTATCTGGTGGCTCCAGTATCTGGCTCATCTGGTGGCTCCAGTATCTGGTGGCTCCAGTATCTGGTGGCTCCAGTATCTGGTGGCTCCAGTATCTGGTGGCTCCAGTATCTGGTGGCTCCAGTATCTGGTGGCTCCAGTATCTGGTGGCTCCAGTATCTGGTGGCTCCAGTATCTGGTGGCTCCAGTATCTGGTGGCTCCAGTATCTGATGGCTCCACTATCTGGCTCATCTGGTGGCTCCAGTATCTGGTGGCTCCAGTATCTGGTGGCTCCAGTATCTGATGGCTCCAGTATCTGGTGGCTCCAGTATCTGGTGGCTCCAGTATCTGGTGGCTCCAGTATCTGGTGGCTCCGGTATCTGGTGGCTCCGGTATCTGGTGGCTCCGGTATCTGGTGGCTCCAGTATCTGATGGCTCCATTATCTTGTGGCTCCAGTATCTGATGGCTCCATTATCTGGTGGCTCCAGTATCTGGTGGCTCCAGTATCTGGTGGCTCCAGTATCTGGTGGCTCCAGTATCTGGTGGCTCCAGTATCTGGTGGCTCCAGTATCTGGTGGCTCCAGTATCTGGTGGCTCCAGTATCTGGTGGCTCCAGTATCTGGTGGCTCCAGTATCTGGTGGCTCCAGTATCTGGTGGCTCCAGTATCTGATGGCTCCAGTATCTGGTGGCTCCAGTATCTGGTGGCTCCAGTATCTGGTGGCTCCAGTATCTGGTGGCTCCAGTATCTGGTGGCTCCGGTATCTGGTGGCTCCGGTATCTGGTGGCACCCGTATCTGGCTCATCTGGTGGCTCCAGTCTCTGGTGGCTCCAGTATCTGGTGGCTCCAGTATCTGGTGGCTCCAGTATCTGGTGGCTCCAGTATCTGATGGCTCCATTATCTTGTGGCTCCAGTATCTGATGGCTCCATTATCTGGGGTGTCCGGTCAAAAACCCCCTGGACAAAAACCCCCTGGACATAAACCCCCCGACATAAACCCCCTGGACAAAAACCCCCCGCGACATAAACCCCCTGGACAAAAACCCCCCGCGACATAAACCCCCTGGACAAATACCCCCCGCGATATAAACCCCCCGGATAATAACCCCCGGACTGAGGTTTATATAAAGAAAAAATAACGATGATGTGAACCAAGAAATTTAAAAAAAAGAAAAAATAACGATGATGTGAACCAAGAAATTTTAAAAAAATTACATTAAATTAATTTAATTTTTTACGACTAACAAAATAGTTTCTACCTAAAAAAATGCTTTTCGAAATCAAGGAGTGACCTTAGTTGTATTTGATCAAAGATCGGGCACCGACAACACCTTAGATATAGATCATCCACATGTGGGAGCCGATTCCACACATACGGCGTAACATCAGGCGTCAACGTCAAACGCTAAAACACCCACTGTCTGATCCAAGGAATGTTGATGATATAATCATTCCTGAACAATATACAATGACACAAGATGGACAACAATTTCTTCTGTTCGATTCCGGTGCCAAATCAAAAGGTAGGATGTTTTTGTTTGGAACCAAGGACAACCTTAGGTTATTGGAGGTTAATCAGCACTGGTTTATGGATGGTACATTCAAAACAGCTCCTGCATTGTTTTCACAACTGTACACAGTCCATGCATTGGTCAATGGACGCACTGTTCCATGTGTTTATGCCTTGCTTCAAAACAAAACACAGGAAACATACACAGCACTCTTACAGCAGCTAACGGTCTTAAACACAAACCTGCAACCAATTTCTATTATGATTGACTTTGAAATGGCTGTGATAAAAAGTGTTGAAAGGGTATTTCCAGAGTGTGAGGTAAAAGGATGTTTCTTCCATCTTAGCCAAAATATATACAGAAAAATTCAGGACTCTGGCCTTCAACAACTCTACCAAGTTGATAGTGAATTTGCTCTCAAGCTCAGAATGCTACCTGCGTTGGCCTTTGTTCCCATCGAACACATGAGTTATGCCTTTGAAAAATTATTGGAAATTTTCCCCCAAGAAGCAATGCCGATTGCAGACTACTTTGAGGACTACTATATTGGCAGACCACAACGTCGAGGTCGAAGACAACCTATGTTTCCACTTGACATTTGGAACATGCACACACGTGCAGAAGACCATATGCCAAAAACAAACAACTCAGTTGAAGGCTGGCACAGAAGTTTTCAGTCGCATATGGGATGTTGCCACCCAAATATTTGGAAATTTATTGACTTTATTAAAAAGGAACAATCTCTCCAAGAGGTTTATTGTACACAGATTAATTCAGGTCACTGTTTACCAAAACAGAAAAAAAAATATATTGATAGCAGCTCTCGAATTTTAACTGTTGTTAAAAATTTTAATGAGTCCACCATTATTGAGTATTTGCGAGGCATCGCTCACAATCTGTCTTTTTAAAGTTATAATAAAAATAATTTTTTTTTTCCTAATGTTTGTTTTGTATTTTTATATTAATTTTGTTTCTCGTCATCTTTGGTTTTTCCTTATATAAACCTCAATTGGGGGGTTTTTGTCCAGGGGGTTTATATCGCGGGGGGTTTTTGTCCAGGGGGTTTATATCGCGGGGGGTTTTTGTCCAGGGGGTTTATGTCGCAGGGGGTTTTTGTCCAGGGGGTTTATGTCGGGGGGTTTATGTCCAGGGGGTTTATGTCCAGGGGGTTTTTGACCGGGAGCCATTATCTGGTGGCTCCAGTATCTGGTGGCTCCAGTATCTGGTGGCTCCAGTATCTGGTGGCTCCAGTATCTGGTGGCTCCAGTATCTGGCTCATCTGGTGGCTCCAGTATCTGGTGGCTCCAGTATCTGGTGGCTCCAGTATCTGGTGGCTCCAGTATCTGGTGGCTCCAGTATCTGATGGCTCCAGTATCTGGTGGCTCCAGTATCTGATGGCTCCAGTATCTGGTGGCTCCAGTATCTGGTGGCTCCAGTATCTGGTGGCTCCAGTATCTGGTGGCTCCAGTATCTGGTGGCTCCGGTATCTGGTGGCTCCGGTATCTGGTGGCTCCAGTATCTGATGGCTCCATTATCTTGTGGCTCCAGTATCTGATGGCTCCATTATCTGGTGGCTCCAGTATCTGGTGGCTCCAGTATCTGGTGGCTCCAGTATCTGGTGGCTCCAGTATCTGGTGGCTCCAGTATCTGGTGGCTCCAGTATCTGGTGGCTCCAGTATCTGGTGGCTCCAGTATCTGGTGGCTCCAGTATCTGGTGGCTCCAGTATCTGATGGCTCCAGTATCTGGTGGCTCCAGTATCTGGTGGCTCCATTATCTGGTGGCTCCAGTATCTGGTGGCTCCAGTATCTGGTGGCTCCGGTATCTGGTGGCTCCGGTATCTGGTGGCACCCGTATCTGGCTCATCTGGTGGCTCCAGTCTCTGGTGGCTCCAGTATCTGGTGGCTCCAGTATCTGGTGGCTCCAGTATCTGGTGGCTCCAGTATCTGATGGCTCCATTATCTTGTGGCTCCAGTATCTGATGGCTCCATTATCTGGTGGCTCCAGTATCTGGTGGCTCCAGTATCTGGTGGCTCCAGTATCTGGTGGCTCCAGTATCTGGTGGCTCCAGTATCTGGCTCATCTGGTGGCTCCAGTATCTGGTGGCTCCAGTATCTGGTGGCTCCAGTATCTGGTGGCTCCAGTATCTGGTGGCTCCAGTATCTGGTGGCTCCAGTATCTGGTGGCTCCAGTATCTGGTGGCTCCAGTATCTGGTGGCGCCAGTATCTGGTGGTTTTGTTAAGTCTGGATCAATATAAACATTTTACAACAATTACATCAGCACATGACTTATGTTAAACCAGCACATGACTTATGTTAAACCAGCACATGACTTATGTTAAACCAGCACATGACTTATGTTAAACCAGCACATGACTTATGTTAAACCAGCACATGACTTATGTTAAACCAGCACATGATTTATGTTAAACCAGCACATGACTTATGTTAAACCAGCACATGACTTATGTTAAACCAGCACATGACTTATGTTAAACCAGCACATGATTTATGTTAAACCAGCACATGACTTATGTTAAACCAGCACATGACTTATGTTAAACCAGCACATGACTTATGTTAAACCAGCACATGATTTATGTTAAACCAGCACATGACTTAGATGACTGAATGAATCTGTGTCAGGTGATGACCACTTTCAAGAGTGCCTGGCTCTAGTTGAGGACCACAAACTTTATGCTCAAGCTGTGGGCCTGTACAAACCTGGAACAACACACTTCAAGGTTGGTCACCACATGAACCTACACACTCACCACATGAACCTACACACTCACCACATGAACCTACACACTCACCACATGAACCTACACACTCACCACATGAACCTACACACTCACCACATGAACCTACACACTCACCACATGAACCTACACACTCACCACATGAACCTACACACTCACCACATGAACCTACACACTCACCACATGAACCTACACACTCACCACATGAAATACACACTCACCACATAAACCTACCCACTCTCTCACCACATGAACCTACCCACTCTCTCACCACATGAACCTACACACTCATCACATGAACCTACACACTCACCACATGAACCTACACACTCACCACATAAACCTACCCACGATCTCATCACATGAACCTACGCTCTCATCACATGAACCTACCCACTCTCTCATCACATGAACCTACCCACTCTCTCATCACATGAACCTACACACTCTCATCACATGAACCTACCCACTCTCTCATCACATGAACCTACCCACTCTCTCATCACATGAACCTACCCACTCTCTCATCACATGAACCTACCCACTCTCTCATCACATGAACCTACCCACTCTCTCATCACATGAACCTACCCACTCTCTCATCACATGAACCTACCCACTCTCTCATCACATGAACCTACCCACTCTCTCATCACATGAACCTACCCACTCTCTCATCACATGAACCTACCCACTCTCTCATCACATGAACCTACCCACTCTCTCATCACATGAACCTACCCACTCTCTCATCACATGAACCTACCCACTCTCTCATCACATGAACCTACCCACTCTCTCATCACATGAACCAGGGGCGTAGCGAGGGGGGTGCGGGGGATGCGGACCGCACTGGGTGACACCATTTAGGGGGGTGACACCAAGGCAAAAAATAGCAAAATATATAGAGAAAAACTTGAGGGGGGGGGGTGCAAATTGAAAGTTTGAGGGAGGGGGGTGTAAATCGAAAATTTGAAAGTTTGTCCCCAGGAAGGGTCGCTACACCTCTGGGGGGTGACACCATTAAGTGCCGCACCGGGTGACACCCGACCTCGCTACGCCACTGACATGAACCTACCTACTCTCTCATCACATGAACCTCTGTGGTTTCTTGGTTGCTTGTGTTGGCCTGTTTGTGTTGGCCTGTTTGTGTTGGCCTGTGGTTGCTTGTGTTGGCCTGTGGTTGCTTGTGTTGGCCTGTGTTGGCCTGTTTGTGTTGGCCTGTGGTTGCCTGTGTTGGCCTGTGGTTGCTTGTGTTGGCCTGTGGTTGCCTGTGTTGGCCTGTTTGTGTTGGCCTGTGGTTGCCTGTGTTGGCCTGTTTGTGTTGGCCTGTGCTTGCTTGTGTTGGCCTGTGGTTGCCTGTGTTGGCCTGTTTGTGTTGGCCTGTGGCTGCTTGTGTTGGCCTGCTTGTGTTGGCCTGTGGTTGCTTGTGTTGGCCTGTGGTTGCCTGTGTTGGCCTGTGGTTGCTTGTGTTGGCCTGTGGTTGCCTGTGTTGGCCTGTTTGTGTTGGCCTGTGGTTGCTTGTGTTGGCCTGTGGTTGCCTGTGTTGGCCTGTTTGTGTTGGCCTGTGGCTGCTTGTGTTGGCCTGTGGTTGCTTGTGTTGGCCTGTGGTTGCCTGTGTTGGCCTGTGGTTGCTTGTGTTGGCCTGTGGTTGCCTGTGTTGGCCTGTTTGTGTTGGCCTGTGGCTGCTTGTGTTGGCCTGTGGTTGCCTGTGGTGGCCTGTTTGTGTTGGCCTGTGGCTGCTTGTGTTGGCCTGTGGTTGCCTGTGTTGGACTGTGGTTGCCTGTGTTGGCCTGTGGTTGCCTGTGTTGGCCTGTGGTTGCCTGCGTTGGCCTGTTTGTGTTGGCCTGTGGCTGCTTGTGTTGGCCTGTGGTTGCCTGTGTTGGCCTGTGGTTGCCTGTGTTGGCCTGTGGTTGCTTGTGTTGGCCTGTGGTTGCCTGTGTTGGCCTGTGGTTGCTTGTGTTGGCCTGTGGCTGCTTGTGTTGGCCTGTGGTTGCCTGTGTTGGCCTGTGGTTGCCTGTGTTGGCCTGTGGTTGCTTGTGTTGGCCTGTGGTTGCCTGTGTTGGCCTGTTTGTGTTGGCCTGTGGTTGCCTGTGTTGGCCTGTTTGTGTTGGCCTGTGGCTGCTTGTGTTGGCCTGTGGTTGCCTGTGTTGGACTGTGGTTGCCTGTGGTGGCCTGTGGCTGCTTGTGTTGGCCTGTGGTTGCCTGTGTTGGACTGTGGTTGCCTGTGGTGGCCTGTGGCTGCTTGTGTTGGCCTGTGGTTGCCTGTGTTGGACTGTGGTTGCCTGTGTTGGCCTGTGGTTGCTTGTGTTGGCCTGTGGTTGCCTGCGTTGGCCTGTTTGTGTTGGCCTGTGGCTGCTTGTGTTGGCCTGTGGTTGCCTGTGTTGGCCTGTAGTTGCTTGTGTTGGCCTGTAGTTGCCTGTGTTGGCCTGTGGCTGCTTGTGTTGGCCTGTGGTTGCTTGTGTTGGCCTGTCTGTGTTAGCCTGTGGTTGCTTGTGTTGGCCTGTGGTTGCTTGTGTTGGCCTGTGGTTGCCTGTGTTGGCCTGTGGTTGCTTGTGTTGGCCTGTTTGTGTTGGCCTGTTTGTGTTGGCCTGTGGTTGCTTGTGTTGGCCTGTGGTTGCTTGTGTTGGCCTGTGGTTGCCTGTGTTGGCCTGTTTGTGTTGGCCTGTGGTTGCTTGTGTTGGCCTGTGGTTGCTTGTGTTGGCCTGTTTGTGTTGGCCTGTGGTTGCTTGTGTTGGCCTGTGGTTGCTTGTGTTGGCCTGTTTGTGTTGGCCTGTGGTTGCTTGTGTTGGCCTGTTGTTGCTTGTGTTGGCCTGTGTTGGCCTGTTTGTGTTGGCCTGTGGTTGTTTGTGTTGGCCTGTTTGTGTTGGCCTGTGGTTGCCTGTGTTGGCCTGTTTGTGTTGGCCTGTGGCTGCTTGTGTTGGCCTGTTTGTGTTGGCCTGTGGTTGCTTGTGTTGGCCTGTGGTTGCCTGTGTTGGCCTGTTTGTGTTGGCCTGTGGTTGCTTGTGTTGGCCTGTGGTTGCCTGTGTTGGCCTGTTTGTGTTGGCCTGTGGCTGCTTGTGTTGGCCTGTGGTTGCCTGTGTTGGCCTGTTTGTGTTGGCCTGTGGTTGCCTGTGTTGGCCTGTGGTTGCCTGTGTTGGCCTGTGGTTGCTTGTGTTGGCCTGTGGTTGCCTGTGTTGGCCTATGGTTGCTTGTGTTGGCCTGTGGTTGCCTGTGTTGGCCTGTAGTTGCTTGTGTTGGCCTGTAGTTGCCTGTGTTGGCCTGTGGCTGCTTGTGTTGGCCTGTGGTTGCCTGCGTTGGCCTGTGGTTGCTTGTGTTGGCCTGTCTGTGTTAGCCTGTGGTTGCTTGTGTTGGCCTGTGGTTGCTTGTGTTGGCCTGTGGTTGCCTGTGTTGGCCTGTGGTTGCCTGTGTTGGCCTGTGGTTGCTTGTGTTGGCCTGTTTGTGTTGGCCTGTGGTTGCCTGTGTTGGCCTGTGGTTGCTTGTGTTGGCCTGTGGTTGCCTGTGTTGGCCTATGGTTGCTTGTGTTGGCATGTGGTTGCCTGTGTTGGCCTGTAGTTGCTTGTGTTGGCCTGTAGTTGCCTGTGTTGGCCTGTGGCTGCTTGTGTTGGCCTGTGGTTGCCTGCGTTGGCCTGTGGTTGCTTGTGTTGGCCTGTCTGTGTTAGCCTGTGGTTGCTTGTGTTGGCCTGTGGTTGCTTGTGTTGGCCTGTGGTTGCCTGTGTTGGCCTGTGGTTGCTTGTGTTGGCCTGTGGTTGCTTGTGTTGGCCTGCTTGTGTTGGCCTGTGGTTGCTTGTGTTGGCCTGTGGTTGCTTGTGTTGGCCTGCTTGTGTTGGCCTGTTTGTGTTGGCCTGTTTGTGTTGGCCTGTGGTTGCTTGTGTTGGCCTGTGGTTGCTTGTGTTGGCCTGTGGTTGCCTGTGTTGGCCTGTGGTAGCTTGTGTTGGCCTGTTTGTGTTGGCCTGTTTGTGTTGGCCTGTGGTTGCTTGTGTTGGCCTGTGGTTGCTTGTGTTGGCCTGTGGTTGCTTGTGTTGGCCTGCTTGTGTTGGCCTGTGGTTGCTTGTGTTGGCCTGTTTGTGTTGGCCTGTGGCTGCTTGTGTTGGCCTGTGGTTGCTTGTGTTGGCCTGCTTGTGTTGGCCTGTGGTTGCTTGTGTTGGCCTGCTTGTGTTGGCCTGTGGTTGCTTGTGTTGGCCTGCTTGTGTTGGCCTGTGGTTGCTTGTGTTGGCCTGTGGCTGCTTGTGTTGGCCTGTGGTTGCCTGTGTTGGCCTGTGGTAGCTTGTGTTGGCCTGTTTGTGTTGGCCTGTTTGTGTTGGCCTGTGGTTGCTTGTGTTGGCCTGTGGTTGCTTGTGTTGGCCTGTGGTTGCTTGTGTTGGCCTGCTTGTGTTGGCCTGTGGTTGCTTGTGTTGGCCTGTTTGTGTTGGCCTGTGGCTGCTTGTGTTGGCCTGTGGTTGCTTGTGTTGGCCTGTGGTTGCTTGTGTTGGCCTGTTTGTGTTGGCCTGTGGTTGCTTGTGTTGGCCTGTGGCTGTTTGTGTTGGCCTGTGGCTGCTTGTGTTGGCCTGCTTGTGTTGGCCTGTGGTTGCCTGTGTTGGCCTGTGGTTGCTTGTGTTGGCCTGTGGTTGCTTGTGTTGGCCTGTGGTTGCCTGTGTTGGCCTGTGGTTGCTTGTGTTGGCCTGTGGCTGCTTGTGTTGGCCTGTGGTTGCTTGTGTTGGCCTGTGGCTGCTTGTGTTGGCCTGTGTTGGCCTGCTTGTGTTGGCCTGTGGTTGCTTGTGTTGGCCTAACCAAAGTTGTGCTCCCCCCTCCCCAGAGAGTAGCCACACTATATGGCCACTATTTGTGCACCAAGAAGCGTCATGATGAGGCTGGCATCATGTATCTGAAGGCAGAAGAATGGGAGCTGGCGCTTGATGCTTTCTTCTTGGCCTGCAACTGGCAGCTCATGTTCTGTATGGCCAGCAGGCTGGAATATGGCCATCTCAGGCTGGTGGAACTGGCCAAAAAGATGGCAGGTATGTCCCTCAGTTGTTCAAGTTCTAAAATTTTTGACTAATTACCACTAGATGGTGCACCCAATGTTCTCACCAAATGGTGCACCTAATGTTCTCACCACATGGTGCACCTAATGTTCTCACCACATGGTGCACCCAATGTTCTCACCACGTGGTGCACCCAATGTTCTCACCACATGGTGCACCCAATGTTCTCACCACATGGTGCACCCAATGTTCTCACCACATGGTGCACCCAATGTTCTCACCACGAGGTGCACCCAATGTTCTCACCACATGGTGCACCCAATGTTCTCACCACATGGTGCACCCAATGTTCTCACCACATGGTGCACCCAATGTTCTCACCACATGGTGCACCCAATGTTCTCACCACATGGTGCACCCAATGTTCTCACCACGAGGTGCACCCAATGTTCTCACCACATGGTGTACCCAATGTTCTCACCATGTGGTGCACCCAATGTTCTCACCACGTGGTGCACCCAATGTTCTCACCATGTGGTGCACCCAATGTTCTCACCACGTGGTGCACCCAATGTTCTCACCATGTGGTGCACCCAATGTTCTCACCACGTGGTGCATCCAATGTTCTCACCATGTGGTGCACCTAATGTTCTCACCACATGGTGCACCTAATGTTCTCACCACATGGTGCACCTAATGTTCTCACCATGTGGTGCACCCAATGTTCTCACCATGTGGTGCAACTTATGTTCTCACCATGTAAAGTAAAAGTTTCCCTTTCAAACCTGACGGTCTATGGGGCAAGTGAAGTAGAGTTCACTTGTTTCTGTGGCATATGTGGTGCACCCAATGTTCTCACCACATGGTGCACCCAATGTTCTCACCACATGGTGCACCTAATGTTCTCACCACATGGTGCACCCAATGTTCTCACCATGTGGTGCACCCAATGTTCTCACCACGTGGTGCACCCAATGTTCTCACCACATGGTGCACCCAATGTTCTCACCACATGGTGCACCCAATGTTCTCACCATGTGCTGCACCTAATGTTCTCACCATGTGGTGCACCCAATGTTCTCACCATGTGGTGCACCCAATGTTCTCACCATGTGACGACCTAATGTTCTCACCACATGGTGCAACCATTGTTCTCACCATGTGGTGCACCTAATGTTCTCACCATGTGGTGCACCATTTATTTGACTAGTGCTGAAATAGTTCAAAGACTGAGGTTCTTTGCCAGCTAAAACCTGTTGAGTGTTGGCTTTCTCATCCAATCTTATTTATTTCTTCTTTTCTCTACTTTGAAAATGATTATTAAAGAAGAAAATAAAAAAAATACAACCTTACTATCATTTTAGGTCAACTTAAAGATCGTAAGATGTACAAAGATGCGGCTCTAGTTTTGGAAGAATATGCAAAGGTATCCATTTATCCACAATTTATTGTCTTTAGCCAGAATATCCAACGTAAACTAAAAGCATTTTATAATCTGAACATAATTGAGAGGATTTGTTTTAAGCAAGTTAACCAGTTGCAGTAAAGTTAAACAGTTGCAGTAAAGATATCCAGTTGCAGTAAAGTTAACCAGTTGCAGTAAAGTTAACCAGTTGCAGTAAAGTTAACCAGTTGCAGTAAAGTTAACCAGTTGCAGTAAAGTTAACCAGTTGCAGTAAAGTTAACCAGTTGCAGTAAAGTTAACCAGTTGCAGTAAAGTTAACCAGTTGCTTTATGTTTTTGCAGGATGTGGAGGAGGCCATAGCTTGTTTGATTGAAGGATCTCATTGGGAGGAAGCTCTTCATCTGGTGAGTGGCACCTGTCATGTGACATTACACAAGTGGCACCTGTCATGTGACATTACACAAGTGGCACCTGTCATGTGACATTACACAAGTGGCACCTGTCATGTGACATTACACAAGTGGCATCTGTCATGTGACATTACACAAGTGGCACCTGTCATGTGACATTACACAAGTGGCACCTGTCATGTGACATTACACAAGTGGCATCTGTCATGTGACATTACACAAGTGGCACCTGTCATGTGACATTACACAAGTGGCACCTGTCATGTGACATTACACTCATCTAGTGAGTGGCACCTGTCATGCGACATCTGGTGAGTGGCACCTGTCATGTGACATTACACAAGTGGCACCTGTCATGTGACATTACACAAGTGGCACCTGTCATGTGACATTACACAAGTGGCACCTGTCATGTGACATTACACAAGTGGCACCTGTCATGTGGCATTCATCTGGTGAGTGGCACCTGTCATGTGACATTCATCTGGTGAGTGGCATCTGTCATGTGACATTACACAAGTGGCACCTGTCATGTGACATTACACAAGTGGCACCTGTCATGTGACATTACACTCATCTGGTGATGTCATGGCAAATTATTTTTTCAGTTTTATGAGTTTTATAGGTAAATTTGTTAAACCTAGCAGGTTTTCTCAGCCAAACTTAAACCTAACAAATGTAGGTTTTCTCAGCCAAACTTAAACCTAACAAATGTAGGTTTTCTCAGCCAAACTTAAACCTAACAAATGTAGGTTTTCTGTTAGATGTACAGGTTCAAACGCCAGGACCTGGTAGAGACCCACCTAAAGGAGGCGCTAGAGGAGAGCTGCAATCATTGGGTTGACATGCTGGCCAGCCAAGAGGAAAGTTTTCTGCAATACAAAACTAGACTGGCCATTGTACGGGCACAGAAGGAGAAGTCTTTCTCTGAACTAGGTAAGGAGAAATGTCTGTCTGAACTAGGTAAAGAGAAAAGTCTGTCTGAACTAGGAAAAGAGCCAATGTCTGACCAAATTATTTCAGATGAGCACACAGACCAGCATGGTGCTGACAATGACCTGTTCTCTGATACGTCCAGTCTCACCGGGATAACCGCACTCTCCAACACTTCCACTCAGAGTTCAAGGTCAACTATACTTAGCAAAACAGGGTAGGTTATAATATTTGCTGTACAAGCAAAACCAGATTTGGTCATAAATCTCATAAGTTTGACAAATCTCATAAGTATGTATATGTTGAAAATGTGTGCTGTACCTACATATGTATATGTTGAAAATGTGTGCTGTACCTACATATGTGTATGTTGAAAATGTGTGCTGTACCTACATATGTGTATGTTGAAAATGTGTGCTGTACCTACATATGTATATGTTGAAAATGTGTGCTGTACCTACATATGTGTATGTTGAAAATGTGTGCTGTACCTCCATATGTGTATGTTGAAAATGTGTGCTGTACCTACATATGTGTATGTTGAAAATGCGTGCTGTACCTAGATATGTGTATGTTGAAAATGTGTGCTGTACCTACATATGTATATGTTGAAAATGTGTGCTGTACCTACATATGTATATGTTGAAAATGTGTGCTGTAACTACATATGTATATGTTGAAAATGTGTGCTGTACCTAGATATGTGTATGTTGAAAATGTGTGCTGTAACTACATATGTATATGTTGAAAATGTGTGCTGTACCTAGATATGTGTATGTTGAAAATGTGTGCTGTACCTACATATGTATATGTTGAAAATGTGTGCTGTCTATCTGTTGCTCAGATCTGCGAGGACAAGAAGAAAAGCAGCCAACAAAAAGTGGAGTCTGAAGGAAGGAAGCGCCAATGAAGAGTTTGCTTTAGTGGATGCACTGGCCAAAATTATCAAAGCTATTGACAGTCTTAGAGGTAATTTTATCAACACTTGAACTCAAGCGTATGGTTTTCCACCAGAATGTCTTAGGTGTAAAGTCCAACTGTAAATTTGACAGTTGGACCTGCAGGTCCTCGCTATGACTTACAATAAAGTTGTCTATCTTATTTTTGTAGAGAACAATCTACATTAGAGTTGTCTAACCTAGAGAATGAACTCTCTACATTAGAGTTGTCTAACCTAGATGATGTATTCTCTACATTAGAGTTGTCTAACCTAGAGAATGAACCCTCTACATTAGAGTTGTCTAACCTAGAAGATGTATTCTCTACATTAGAGTTGTCTAACCTAGAGAATGAACCCTCTACATTAGAGTTGTCTAACCTAGAGAATGAACCCTCTACATTAGAGTTGTCTAACCTAGAGAATGAACCCTCTACATTAGAGTTGTCTAACCTAGAGGATGAACTCTCTACATTAGAGTTGTCTAACTTAGAGAATGAACTCTCTACATTAGAGTTGTCTAACTTAGAGAATGAACCCTCTACATTAGAGTTGTCTAACCTAGAGGATGAACCCTCTACATTAGAGTTGTCTAACTTAGAGAATGAACTCTCTACATTAGAGTTGTCTAACCTAGAGACTTGCCTGTCTTACAGAAGACACAAGCAAGCTATTGAAGATGCTGCTACTGTTGAACTGGGATGAGAAGGCCAGGACAGTCCAGCAGCAATACAGCCAGTGCCTGGGTCTGGTGGAGACAAGTATCTGCCAGATCTGGAAACAGGACTCAGATAAACACACGGTGAGTGGACCTACAGACATTGTGTGACCACAGACAGACATTGTGTGACCGCAGACAGACATTGTGTGACCCCATACACACATTGTGTTGATGTGACCCTAGACAGACATTGTGTGACCCCAGACAGACATTGTGTTGATGTGACCATAGACAGACATTGTGTGACCGCAGACAGACATTGTGTGACCGCAGACAGACATTGTGTGACCGCAGACAGACATTGTGTGACCCCATACACACATTGTGTTGATGTGACCACAGACAGACATTGTCTGACCACAGACAGACATTGTGTTGATGTGACCACAGACAGACATTGTCTGACCACAGACAGACATTGTGTTGATGTGACCACAGACAGACATTGTGTGACCGCAGACAGACATTGTGTGACCCCATACACACATTGTGTTGATGTGACCACAGACAGACATTGTCTGACCACAGACAGACATTGTGTTGATGTGACCACAGACAGACATTGTCTGACCACAGACAGACATTGTGTTGATGTGACCACAGACAGACATTGTGTGACCGCAGACAGACATTGTGTGACCCCATACACACATTGTGTTGATGTGACCACAGACAGACATTGTCTGACCACAGACAGACATTGTGTTGATGTGACCACAGACAGACATTGTCTGACCACAGACAGACATTGTGTGACCCCAGACAGACATTGTGTGACCCCAGACAGACATTGTGTTGATGTGACCACAGACAGACAGACATTGTGTGACTGCAGACAGACATTGTGTGACCCCAGACAGACATTGTGTTGATGTGACCCCAGACAGACATTGTGTGACCACAGACAGACATTGTGTTGATGTACCTGACCTGTCCATCTTCCAGATGCTGGGACCAGCCAGCACTGCCAACACTGCAGTCCAGGCTCTTCAGGCTGGAGTTTCAACACAAGAAAAATTAGGTCAGTACCCCCCCCCCCCCCCCTAACTCGTGGAAAATGGAGTATCTGTGCAGTCATCTTTTTAATATCACAAGGTTGCCTGTTTCTGGGGCACAACACAAGGTTGCCTGTTTCTGGGGCACAACACAAGGTTGCCTGTTTCTGGGGCACAACACAAGGTTGCCTGTTTCTGGGGCACAACACAAGGTTGCCTATTTCTGGGGCACAACACAAAGTTGCCTATTTCTGGGGCACAACACAAGGTTGCCTATTTCTGGGGCACAACACAAAGTTGCCTATTTCTGGGGCACAACACAAGGTTGCCTGTTTCTGGGGCACAACACAAAGTTGCCTATTTCTGGGGCACAACACAAGGTTGCCTATTCCTGGGGCACAACACAAGGTTGCCTATTTCTGGAGCACAACACAAGGTTGCCTATTTCTGGGGCACAACACAAGGTTGCCTATTTCTGGGGCACAACACAAGGTTGCCTATTTCTGGGGCACAACAATAACTGAAACGATTAGTTCTGATAACTTGCCCTGAAATGATTTCTTCTGATAACTAGCACTGAAATGATTTCTTCTGATAACTTGCACTGAAATGATTTCTTCTGATAACTAGCACTGAAATGATTTCTTCTGATAACTAGCACTGAAATGATTTCTTCTGATAACTTGCCCTGAAATGATTTCTTCTGATAACTTGCCCTGAAATGATTTCTTCTGATAACTAGCACTGAAATGATTTCTTCTGATAACTAGCACTGAAATGATTTCTTCTGATAACTTGCCCTGAAATGATTTCTTCTGATAACTTGCCCTGAAATGATTTCTTCTGATAACTAGCACTGAAATGATTTCTTGTGATAACTTGCCTGAAATGATTTCTTCTGATAACTAGCACTGAAATGATTTCTTCTGATAACTAGCACTGAAATGATTTCTTCTGATAACTAGCACTGAAATGATTTCTTCTGATAACTAGCACTGAAATGATTTCTTGTGATAACTTGCCTGAAATGATTTCTTCTGATAACTTGCACTGATCTACTTGACAGATCCTGTGCTGCTTGTGGCACCTGTCCTAAGGAAAGACGTACAGTGGAAGCTACACTCTGCCATGGCTCATCATTCCTAGAGTTGTTGTAATAAAACTTTGAAAACTAGCCGGCTTCTTTTTGTTTGTACTATCTCATAGTTAAGGACTAAGCACCAAGTCCAACAGGTTTGGTTCAAGATTGACATGGCCTACACAGACATCACATTGGAATAATAATCCAAGGTCTAGGATATTATTCACAGCTCCCATTTCTAAATTGTAACAACACATCCCTCAACTCATGAGTGTCAGTAAACAAATATTGTAACAACACATCCCTGATTTCATGAATGTCAGTAAAATATTGTATCAACACATCCCTGATCTCATGAAAACCACAAGCATATGTATCACCAAAAGCGAGAGGCTTTGTATGCTTTTCTAATACCAGCACCACATACTGCCACTTTTGTCTACAGCAACTACACACATACTATCCAACAACTGCTACTCTCTTCTATGTCTAACCTGTGATACAATCTATATATATAATTCTCTTCTGGGAGACTCTAGAAAACAAGCTGTAAGCGCGCTCCCTACCACCCCACCCCTACATGGTCTGGTGAGCTGTGGTTCACGCTAAATGTTTACATTCATAGAGCCGGGTTTAGTGACGGCTATTAGGGGCAGATAATTTAGTTTGAAACTATTTTAAACTTAGGGGAGGTAACTAAGAGGAGTTTACTTTCACGGGGGTTGGGAAAGGAGAGGGGGGTTATCGTTCTTAACGAGCTACTGGTAGTGTTTTAATAAAGCAAATATTTTCAGTGGCAGCATTGGTACTGTCGAATTCACAAATTATGAATTGCTGAAAAGTAGAAAATAAAACAACTAAATAGCGGTGTATGATATGCTGCGGGTCGGCTCGTTCCATACAATACTACAAGATTATTGTTCCAAAAGTTAGCATGAGGACCATGCTAGAGTTGGTTCATACCATGGGCTGACAGATGGGGAGTACTTAGAGTATTAGGAAACAAATCACACGACTGGTGTTACTGTAATCTGTAGCACATACATATGACCTATACATACAATAGGCCTATCTATTTCTCTCTATTATACATAACTAGCTGCATCCCGTGCTCCGCCACGGTAAATCTTTTTTAAATGTACCAACTTGGGAACAGAACAAAACTAAACACAACACAAACGAACGCAAAAAAAAAAAAAAACGAAAAAACAAACACAACACTCATAACATAAACACAATTTAAATGCAATCATAAAGGCATATTGCTCACAGTCTAGCCCGTAGCGCCAAATCGCGCCCTTTCCGGTGATTTGCACCCCCCTCAAACTTTCGATTTGCACCCCTGTCCCCCCCCCCCCCCCCGCCCTAAAACTTTCGATTTCCACCCCCCCCCCCCCCCCCCTCCCTCGCTACGCCTCACCTATAAAACCCCTAGCTTGTCCGCAAACCGAAAGATAGAATAATAATTAGTAAACAGTATAAATAATAGGCAGTATTTAAAATATCAGTGTTTTACCTACAATATTTCACTTTATCCATTCACGCATTTTTTTCCAGTACTTTAAATTTTAAAAATTTACAATAGAGCTTCATAACTAAAACCATTGTGCACCTAATGAACGTGATGACGCGTCTATAATAATGCTGAATAGTTGATTAAAAATTATAAGTAATAAACAGTAGGGCCTACATTCAGTGAATAAAATAAATAAAAGATTGCCTTTTATCAATCCATGCTAATTATAATTTTCTAACAATAATTTCCTCTTACACATTATATTATTGCAACACTAATTACTTCTCTGACGACCGTACATTTGCATTCACATTTTTTATTAGCGTGAGTTTAATGTATTTTTAAATTACCTCCATTGTCAAAATTAGAAAAAGGAGTTACATTAATTTGATTTTTCTACCCTCCTGTTATTATGTTATTAAAATGTATCCATTTTTTCTAGGAATATAAACTAAAATGATATTTGACATTAATCCTTATAGATATTAGATGGGGGGAGGAGTGGGAAAAGATGCAAAAATAAGTTAGCACCAGATGCTTCAAGTAAAGTGATTGAATTGCCACCAAGACACACTAAACCACTGGATGTGTAGAGTTGCTGACTGAGTGAAGGGATCAACAAAAGTTTGAAGTAGATTAGCATTTTATTCAATCATCAAACTGTACAGAATTGGTCTTGTTCACATCTATGTGGAACTTCTTGCCCTCTGCTGGGTCAGGGGTGAATCCAAAGCCGGAGCCCTTTTTCCCTGTCAGTTTGAAGTGAAGAGCTTTGTTGTACTGGTCCTCAAGCCTTGAGTTCAGGTCTGCAGCTTTCTCCAGAGTCAGGGCACTGGAGCCCAGGGACCCAAACAGCCCTTTCTTCTTCTCCTCACCTGCCCCCGCACCTTTCATACCACCTAAAAGTCTTAAAAACTTGTTTTGTCTCTCATTATTTTCAAACAACTGACCTTGCCATTGACCTTGAAAGATGCCATGTCCTGTTGTCGTAACAACAGGTTTATCTACTGCTTTTTGGCCTGAGTCATGACAGAGTTTCACTTTTTTCTCTAGAGGTTCTGATGTTTCATTCTCTAGCAAACGTTCAGCTTTAGACCTTTTTGTCTTGTGTTTTTGAGGTTCTGATGTTTCATTCTCTAACAAACTTGCAACCGATGGCCGTGCTTCTGCTACACCTAAGGCATCATAGGCACTTTGCATAGACACTTTGTTTTTCTTGTGTTTTTTATGTTTTTTTGTGATAGTTGGTGAACTTGCCCCCACTAAATCAGTTGCTTCATCTTCTTCAATACTCTTGTTTTTCTTGTGTTTTTTATGTTTTTTTGTGATAGTTGGTGAACATGCCCCCACTAAATCAGTTGCTTCATCTTCTTCAATACTCTTGTTTTTCTTGTGTTTTTTATGTTTTTTTGTGATAGTTGGTGAACATGCCCCCACTAAATCAGTTGCTTCATCTTCTTCAATACTCTTGTTTTTCTTGTGTTTTTTATGTTTTTTTGTGATAGTTGGTGAACATGCCCCCACTAAATCAGTTGCTTCATCTTCTTCAATACTCTTGTTTTTCTTGTGTTTTGTATGTTTTTTTGTGATAGTTGGTGAACATGCCCCCACTAAATCAGTTGCTTCATCTTCTTCAATACTCTTGTTTTTCTTGTGTTTTTTATGTTTTTTTGTGATAGTTGGTGAACATGCCCCCACTAAATCAGTTGCTTCATCTTCTTCAATACTCTTGTTTTTCTTGTGTTTTGTATGTTTTTTTGTGATAGTTGGTGAACATGCCCCCACTAAATCAGTTGCTTCATCTTCCTGTGAGTTTTGATCCTTTTTGTTGAGGTCTTGATGGGCAGTTTTAACTTTCTTCTCTTTTACAGCTTCTGGCTGGGGTGTAGCACACAACTTATTCGCTTTCATTTCCCCAAGGTGGTCGCTCAACCTGTCAATAGAGTGGTTTATAATGTTCAGGTTACAGCCATAGAAGTCTTTCAAAATTAAATTCAGATAGATAAATGAAATTTCACATGTACGTAAAAGATCTAATTCTCTGCATTCTGTCAAAATTTTGAGTAATTTCCGTTGACCTGAAGTAGTAATTTATGCCATTTCTGATTTCTCAACAAAAACGCACGTGAATTTATAAAGTACTAATAATATTCCGCACTATTATACACATACTGTTTGCTGTTCACTTGGTGCGCAATTATTTTTTTCTACGAGATTATATTCTATTTTTAAAAGTTTAAGTAATTAAAAATGGTTTAAAAATCATGTCTATATACCAAGTTGTTCCAATTGTTACCACACCCAAAATTTGTCGATGATTGAACAACTCCTTTCTATTGAGTCGACTTTCAATACCACGTCATTTGAAACAGCCAGGAAGAGACCCTACGTGTTTTATATTAAATTATATTTTAATGTGTTACTTTAAGCCTAAGTAAAATTAAAATGTAGACCTACTTTTTTTTCCTTATTTTCCTCTTCTACTGTTCATTCAAACATGATTTATAAAATTTTGCATCAGTTAGAAATTTTACTTTGTATACTTTTCAGTTAGGCCTGCATATCAAATTATCTATTCACACTAACAGTAGACCTATTGTTAAATATTGCCGTTCTTTTGAAGAAGTGTAGGTTACATCTCTAGAGCCTGGTTTCAAAACGATAAAGTCCCATGAGTGGTAGTAGGCCTATGTGGACTTAAATTACAATGATTCAATGACTGTTCCATAAAATAGGGTTAGTTGGGTTGTTAGTAGTTTTGTAAACTAGTTTTATGGTTAGGCATGGTAACACTAGGGTCGGGATTAGCAGTTAGTGATGACATTATTTAACCGTTAACCTATTATTCAATTCATTAGCAAGTAGATCTAATTAAAATTAGTTAAATAAATACATCGGATAATTTTAGATACTGATGCCCGATGATAGACTCTTCCAAAAATAGGTGTGTTAGGTTGTTAGAAGTATTGTAATCTCGTCTAGTTTTATGGTTAGAAATTAGGGTTAGGCGTCTAGTAGGACCAGGGTTGGGGTTAAGGTTAGGGATAGGGTTAGCATTGACATTAGCAAGCCATGTGTGTATTTAACTACCAGTAACCTAACACCCCTTTTTTAAAGAAGATTCTATTATCGGACACTGGTATTAAAATTCCCCCAATACATCTATTGTTTTAAGTGCGTAAAATCGTCTGAGACTAGTAATGTGAAAAAAGGTGATTCATTAAAATTTAGTAGGCCTTAATTAGTAATTATTTCACATTTTTAGGAGGATGTTTTGAAAATGAAAGTTACATAAATGTTTCAGTTTCATTCATGCACCTGTTTTTAAACAATTGTATTAAAACTTTTCAGTAATGAATAAAGACTAGATCTAGCAATATTTTATCAGATGCAACCAAGCTCATTTACTTTAGCAGCCATCGCTTATTTAAATTTTTTTTTGGTAAAATTATAGTTAGAGATTCAGGGGAAACCACTCTTATTTTCAGTTTGCAGCTGTTTAATGTTTATATAGCAAATATTGCGTGCAAAGCCTTGACAATGAGGTAACGATAGATTACCCATTTAACATCCCATTTTTTAAAGGAAGATTCTAGGTAATCTATCGTTTTAGGTACGTAAAATCGCCCGCAACTAGTAATGCGAAAAACAGGTGACTCCTTAAATTTTAATAATTATTTCACATTTTGATGAGGGTTTTTGTTTTGAAAAATACAAAAATGTTCCTTTGTTTCATTTATGTACCTTTTTTTAAACAGTTGAATTAAAACTTTTCAGTAATAAATGAAGACTAGCGATGTTTCCAACAGATGCAACTATGCTCATTTACTATAGCAGCCATCTTGCTTAAGTTTTATTTTTATAAAGTTATAGCGCGAGATTCAGGAGGAAGCCACTCTATTTTACAAATGGCTGATAGTGAATAGTAAATCTTGCTTGCAGACACTGCTGTTTAAAGTTAATTTCTGGCCTATATTGATATATTTAGCCATTGATTTAGGTTTATTATTCATTTATCTATAATATTTGACACAAACATATCACAAGATACTTCTATTAAAGCCTTGATAATGAGGTAACGTTTTCGTACATTAATAGCCGCAGGCGATTTTACTTACCCAAAACGATAGATTACCATTTCTGGCCTATATTGATATATTTAGCCATTGATTTAGGTTTATTATTTATTTATCTATAGGCCTAATATTTGACACAAACATTTCACAATATACTTCTATTAAAGCCTTGACAATGAGGTAAACGTTTTCGTACATTAGTAAATTTAATAATAGCCACGGACGATTTTACGTACCCAAAACGATAGGTTGTAATCTATCGTTTTGGGTACGTAAAATCACCCGCGGCTATTAATGTACGAAAACGTTACCTCATTGTCAAGGCTGTAATAGAAGTATATTGTGATATGTTTGTGTCAAATATTAGGCCTATAGGCCTAGATAAATGAATAATAAACCTAAATCAATGGCTGAATATATCAATATAGGCCAGAAATTAACTTTAAACCGCAGTGTCTGCAAGCAAGATTTGCTATATATATATATATAAACTATAAACTAGTATAAACAGTAGCCATTTCTAAAATAGAGTAACTTCCGCCTGAATCTCGCGCTATAAGTCTATAAAAATAAAACTTCAACAAGATGGCTGCTATAGTAAATGAGCATGGTTGCATCTGTTCATCTGTTGGAAACATCGCTGGTGTTCATTTATTACTGAAAAGTTTTAATTCAATTGTTTAAAAACAGGTACATAAATTAGGAATGTTGGGATATTTTTCCTAATTACCATAGAATGATAAAATGTACACAGATTAATCCTATAATATACCCCATTGATAAAAATACCAAATTTATCATTCTAGGCCTAATAGTTTTTTTTATATGAATTTTTAAAGTTATGTATTAAACCTGTTATATATCACTGTAACATCGGATTTAATTGTGTGATTGGCTTTAGGCTTGCATACCACTGCTGCTATTCGAGATATAATTATAAAACTTTGCACATTAGTGCTAGAGAGTGTGGGCAATAGAAATATGAAAGTAAAATCAAAATTTGATGAAGGATAATTAGAACTAATCAAGTCAAATTAAAGTGAGGGGTGCTGTTCTATATAGGTCAATATGCAGACTGAAAGTCTATGTTTTTTTTTTTAATATTAAAATTGAAACTTTGCTAGAAGGTGGGGGCAATAGAAATATAGAAAAAAATTATATTAAGTATGACTGCATATAATTAAAAAGTCCTAGGAAAGGGTGTTGCACCCTTTTATAGTAATTATAATGACTGCAACGGACGTATGTCCAGAATGTTACTATAATAGATAGGATACATTTTGGTTATTGATACTGAAGCATGTAATAAGAAGAATGCTGAAAAATAAAACTAGGGATGGTGTGTTAAAGCACTCAACTACCAACATGCAAGTCTTAAGCTCAGATCTCAGACGAGTCTGTCTGTGCAGCATCCACCAAGCTCAGATGAGTACCTGACCCAAGGGAAAGTAAAGATAGCTTGGCAGAGAGCTAACCACACCATCACTTCATGTGCATGGGTCAAGAAACAGATAAACTCTACTTCAGCTGCTTTATGGATGATGGATTGACAGGTCCAAAAGGGAAACTACTTTAATATACTAGGGCCTTTATAAGACCCTATTGATATTTTGGTACAACTAAATTACTAATCAATAGAAAAACCTTAAATTCTTGTAAAAGTTTAATAAGCTAAGTGTTAATTTGTACCAAATCAGAAGTTACAGCTTCCCTGTCTATCTGCTTATATGAATATATACATTGGCAACATGCAGTGATTTAAATCCGTATTGTTTGTTGTTATTTGTTTTTTGTTACTTTTTATTATTAAATGTAAAAATTGTATCCTAAATTATTATGAATAATAATTATCATGCCTTTTTCATGTCATTCTAAATTCACTGCCTTATTAATTAGTACCCCCCCCCCCCATGTCAATTGCTGCACCTTTTGTTAATTATTTACTAATGTCATAAGCATAATTATTACAAATAATTAAATAAGTTTATCACCAAGCTTCTTTACTTATCATAACCAATAATAGGCCCAGACTTACTTTATCAATCGATACATATAGTATATAGCATTAGTTATACTAAGAAATAGGCCTATAACTTATTTATAGTATAAAGTATAATAGTATATTAAAGGCTATTAGTATTAGCCTTAAATCTAAGTAAGTAGGTATGTGTGAAATGCTTAACACTATTTAATGTAAGCCTAAGCTTCTTGCCTGTCGGTTTTAATAGATAACTTGATCAACGTATTTTATCTAGTTTTAACAGTGCCACCCACAATTTAAATTCTTTCCAACTTCGAAAACTACGTCATTGGCATTAGTGCGCGTATTTTATCGATAATAGGTAATGCGGTGCTAAACCGACGCCATGGCGTTGTCAAGGCCGAAGCGCTAGCTCGGGGATTTGACATGTATGATAACTCGTAAGCAGAAGTAGTAAGTGCCATAAAACCGTTATTATAATAATATTTGTTTATTTAATGGACACTTACAACTAATGGCAAGACACTTATAAAGGGTTTAATACGTAAACTTATTTAAAATGTGACAGCACCGTACGGGACATGTTCGCGAGATAAACTCATTAGAATCGTGCGATCGATTTCGGCTTAAAGATTGTCATAATGGCGGTAATTTTCTAATTGAAACATATAATATAGCTAGTCTCATAACGCGAGTTGAATTACCTCCCCTGACCCGCTTTTTTATGGCCACTTTCTAGTTCGTTTTTTTCGATCGCGTCTCGGCACTGTTGCTAAAAATAGCATTCGCGCAATACCATACGGGTAAATCTGTTTGGTGTCTGCTACACGTGATAGATCGTTGAATGGCCGACAAGCTGATATAAAAATTATTGCGACCGGATGCGATTTTCGTGGAAATTGAGCTAGATTTAGCAAAAGACAGCTATATTTGTGTAAAATATTATTATTTATACTTCTACTTACACAGATATTTTGATAACTGCAGTTCAGCCGTCCATTTTTCTTTTAAAATGTATCTTTAGAATTTCTGTACCTTTTGGCAATCGGTCAGGAGCATTTGCGCACTAAACCCACCCCCCTACGGCAGTTCCGATTTTTTTCCCAGTGAACTCGTACTGACCTCCCACATAGCTAAGATAGTACATTGATACTTATGGGAAAGCCTCTAAATCTGTATTCCTACTAGAGACCTAGAAATAAATCTAGATCGTGGAGTTTTTATAATGACTTTTAAATTGAATGTCTCCAGTTTAAGATATTTTTTTTTCAAAACATAGCTACTTTTAGTACTATATTTAAGTATTTCAAACCCTTTTGGTAGTTTTTTCTTAAACTTAGACCTAGATCTAGTGATTAGATATCTATATTTTGTACTTATAACTTGCAGGCCTATTAAAATAATAATAAAACAGTTTGCTTGATAACTTCATTAGGTCATTTCATAAACACAAATGTTATAAACATATAAAAATCACAAAACCATAGGTAATATCTGAATTCTGTAGCCTACCTTACATTTAGGCTAATACTGAATTAAAAAGAAATTACATTAAGGTATGAAATTTATACAACTTGTAATTAAGAAAGAAAGCTTCAATTCCAAATACTACAAGATATAATAACAAACAATGAAACAAATTCAAAGCTTTTTTCAACCCATTTAGTCGAAAAGATTTTTATTTTTTCCGATATTGACCAAAATAAGTTTTTAAAGCTTAGGCCTAATGTTTTTACAAACATAACTCAATTTTATTAGGCCCCTGTAAACATTAATTAAGATTCCTCTGTAGACAAAGCAATCTATTTGGCAGATGAAGTAGAGTTCATGTTTCTTGACCTCGCCATATGAAGTGATTGTCTGTGTGGTCAGCGATATTCACAGCCGCCTTTACTTTTTACCTTTAATTTCCCCAATGTATATCAGGTACCCATCAGAAATGGGTGGACTCTAATTGAATTTTATTAAACAAACATTTTGATATAGGCCTAGATCTATAATCTATAACATTCCAAACAACATCTGTTCTGTAGAATTTACCTTTCTGCTTCCAAATGCGGTATTTTCCAATTGAAAATTCATCACAAAACATACAATAAATTATATAAATGGCATTTTATAAATGTATATAAACTATTTACTTTCACCTTGGTGTAAAAAAATGTAGGTATAAGCAAACTGATTTCAATAGTAAGAAAGAATCATGTCTTTTCTTGCTTACTAGCTTTAAAACAAGTGAATTTGACTTTTTACCTGCGTTTTTGGTCGCGTTTCTATATATTTTATTTGCGACACTAAAAAAATTATATTTAATCAACCAATTATGCTAAATTAATAAAATTGGTACTGTTGGATTGCATTTTTAAAGCTCTACAATTATATGCTATTCTTTTTATAATTTGAAGAAAATTGAATTTTTATGAGACTAACTATATAATACGACTACACTAGAATATCTATATCGAATATTTCTAAAAACTCGATTCCAACAGTGAGATTCGGCATTCTTCGGAAAAGGGCGAGTTTTTATAAAGACTGCATCGAAAAGTCCGGATGTTGAATACCGAATCGAAACAGCGGAAGTCGGAATGCCTACATAAATGAAACAAGGAAACATTTTTTGTATTTTTCAAAAGATAAATCCTCTTCAAAATGTGAAATAATTATTAAAATGTAAGGAGTCACCTGTTTTTCACATTACTAGTCGCGGGCGATTTTACGTACCCAAAACGATAGATTACCCCAGATTCTATTATCGGACACTGGTATTATACTATTAATTTAAAACTCCCCCATTGATTCTTCTATAAAAACTGAAATTAATGAGAGTGAAAACATGGTTCCAACCTCGTTGATCTAGACTCTATGATATTGCACAGGCCTAGTCTAGATCTAGAGATCTAGATTTAGATCTAGATTTTTTTCTCTAGATCTAGATTCAGGAGATCTACCGGTACTTAATTGGTATAACTATAGAGATCATACTAGTTACCTCGCAAAGCCTAAAACCTTTAGTACTACTCTAGTACCAAACAAGACATTAAAAAATTGATTTTTCCAAATAGTAAGAACAAGATGTTATTATGTTACTGCATGACGAAAAACTGAAAAGGAAATAGATCTAGATCTACAAGACATCATTTAACAAAGATGGCTCATAAATTACAGCAGTAGCGTAGCGAAGGGGGGGGGGGGGGGGGCGGGGGGTACATATGTTTCCGGGCGCCGACCTTAGGGGGCGCCAAAATGGGTTGGAAAAATAAATTGAAAGGTTGAGGGGGGTGCAAATTGAAAGTTTGTCCCCGGGCGCCGGGAAGGGTCGCTACGCCTCTGAATTACAGTAGTCTATGCGGATGCGTTTTTATCGATTTTCTTTTTTAAACATTCATCCTCTGGGCTGTAAAAAACAACAGTCTACAATAACCCAACATTTTAACTCGAATTTCCACTTTAGTAAGACTAAATTTGATTGGCCATATCATAGGTCGTAAATCAGGCCTGTAAGTCTTGACCTAGGCTTATATCTTTAAACCCCACTTTTTTCTCAATTTTATTTTCCGCTAAATTTTGTTTAACATGTTAAACTTTTCGTTTTGTTTCAATTTAACCTACGCCTACCCTTGTCAAAATGGTGCAATTATAAAAAGCAAATAATAACTAAATAAAAACGTTTTAATATCAACCTTTTATGTAATAATGCACCAAAAAGTAGGAAATAATGAGTTTTTAAAAATATAATATTATTTTACTATTTAAACAACTATAAAGAAAAGCGTGGTCCGCTTCCCAAACAGTAGTCAAAAGTTTCAAATATATAATATAGTGACTTGCGTTTTTCTTTATAATTATTTATATAAAGCAGTAGCGTAGTGGGGGGGGGGCATTTGTCCCTGGGCGCCGACCTTAGGGGGCGCCAAAATGGGTTGGAAAAATAAATTGAAAGGTTGAGGGGGGTGCAAATTGAAAGTTTGAGGGGGGGGGGGGGGTGCAAATCGAAAAGGTTGTCCCCGGGCGCCGGGAAGGGTCGCTACGCCTCTGATATAAAGTTATAAAGCAAAAAAAAAAAACGTGTGTTTAACTTCTGTTTATTCAATTTTAATCAAATTGTCTTTGGGGTCGTCCATAAATGATGTCCTTAATTTTGTGACGCTGTGTTGTGTGATGAGGGTGAGGGAGGTGTTCATAGGGTGTTACGTCACACTTTTGCATTATAAAAAAGCAATGCTAGAAAACGAATTTTAGCCGTTATTTGGCGTTTTAGAAAACTGTTTTAATAAACTGTAATATAAAATTGATTAAAACACTATAATATGTTGACAGAGTTCAGACAAGATTTGGGAAAAATATCGTTTTTTTAAAGAAAAATTCAACTTCAATTTTGATGGGGTAATAAGCTGCATGAGGTGTGACGTCATTTTAGGGGGGGGGGTCTTGATTTTTGTGACGATGAGTGACGGAGGGGAGAGGGGGGGGGGGGGGAGGTAAAAATCACACAAAAAGCGTGACGTCATTTATGGACGACCACTTTGTATCAGATCAATGTTTGCACGAATACTGAGGAGTACCGTCAGGGCACACGGTCATATTTTAAGGTTTTCTTAGAAATGGCAGATTTTTTATGTGTAGTGACATACAAATTTATTATTTTGATAATCAGTTATTGGAGTGTACTTAAAAAATGATATTTATACATTTAGAAAAATATTTACAAATATTGTAATTAAATGTAGATTTCTATCACTAAAGAATAAAAAGAATAAAGATAGAAGTTGCAGGCTTGTTTACTAGGCTTAGTAAAATTTATTTGTATGCATAAGTCTAGTTCTAGTAGTAAGATTTGTTTTTTTATAGTTATATGTATTACAGAAAATTATCTTGCCTACAATATATATAGAGAAAATTGATATTTCCACTTAATTAAGTGATTAATTCGAGTGTTAAATAGTCTTTTAAGAGGTGCAAATCGAAAGTTTTAGGGGGGGGGGGGGGTGGGGAGGGTGCAAATCGAAAGTTTGAGGGCGATGGGGTGCAAAATCGAAAATTGAAAGTTTGTCCCCGGGAAGGGTCGCTACGCCTCTAGTAGGCTACAATCATACTAGTATTACTAGTAGTAGTGTACTGAATGACTAGGCTTTCGTTTTCAATATATTTTGTATGCGGGTCATAGTAAATTCTATTGAAAGCAAAAGCAGGTTCAGTCCAGGGACTGTTACTACACAAGAAAGACCACAGACAAGAATGTGTCACTAAGAACTAATTAAGTAGGATATGCCGGCACCTTTCTCTGTGTTTGTATAGTCAGATAAAGATCTAAGATGTGTTCCCATAGAAAATCCAATATAAATCAATACTCAAAATATACTTTTGAGTTATGCTTGTGTAAAAATAATTAAAATGATTATTACAGTGATTGCAATGTTATTAGTTAATACATTTTACAATTTATTCCTGTTTTGTAATTTTTTTTTATTTTTCGGAAGAAAATGCCCTACGTTCCTGACGGTACTTGTAAGTACCAATATATATTTAGGCCATTACAAAATAACGAAACAAAATTTCCTTTGACCTACGCTTTATGTGTGCCAAAAGCAATATAATAATACATTCTTTAAGACAGAATCTCATCCAGAACTTAATTCCGTAATTATATGGTTAAAAAGTGGGTGTCGCTTCTTAAATGTTTAATAAAGATTTCCAATACGTAACATACTGACCCATACTTTTCTATAGGCATATGGCTGTTTTAATAGTGCTTCACTATCATATATTTCAAGAAAATAATAATTTTATTTTTACTTTTGGTGCATAATTCTACAAAAGCTTGTTATTAAAACGGTATTTTAAAAAAAGTTCAATACTATAAACGTTTTATTACCAGTACAATATAACGAATGTACAGAGGACAAATACAGTATGTCCAAAAAACATAATATCGAGAAAAATGAGTTTATAAATATCATTCCAATATTAAAAGAGTGCAAATTTAAACATTCATAAAATATTGACATTGTACACGAGTGTTCTTGTAGCTTGTATTATTGACAATATAAATAACAAGTAATTAAAAAAAAGTCTAGTGACAATTTTAGCGCAATTTCCTTGTGTTATCTAAAAATAGCTCTGTCGTAGCGTAAATCAAGAGCAGGGTTAGTAAAATCATTGGTTAGCTATTAAAACGTTTTTTACAAGCTTTTTACAAGCTTTTATTTAACTCACTTCCTCTGTCTGTCGTAAGTCTGTCTTGACGGAAACGCAGGAGTGAAAATTCGGACAGTTCTACTTGACCGACACGATTCACAGTTGGCACGTGGGTCAAGACATGAAGACAATGCAATCTGAAACTAAATTTGACTTAATTGGATGCCTAATTGATTTTTTATGAATTAATTAAAATTTGGACCGAATTAGTAGGCATGTCTAGCCAACCACACCACACGCGTCATCAATAGCTGCGCCATCACGACCACGTAATGGCTGCGTTCAAAAACCATTGCGCGCCTACTGAACGTGATATTCAGTAGGCGCGCAATGGTTTTTAGTCATGTAACTCTATTGTAGATAAAACATGTAAAGTACTGAAAAAAAATTCATAAAAAACGTTTTAATAACAAGCTTTTATGTAATGATGCACTAAAAAGTAGAAAATAAATTATAGACTACTATTTAAATAACTATAAAGAAAAGCGTGGGTGTCTTCCTTAACATTAGTAAAGGTATCCAATAGATACTAAAGTGACCCACGCTTTTCTTTATAGTTATTTAAATAGTAGTCTATAATTTATTTTCTACTTTTTAGTGCATCATTACATAAAAGCTTGTTATTAAAACGTTTTTTATGAATTTTTTTTATTTAACTCACTTCCTCTGTCGTCAGTCGTCAGTCTGTCTAGATAGAAACGCAGGAGTGAAAATTCGGAAACTTCTACTTGACAGACACGATTCACAGTTGGCACGTGGGTCAAGACATGAAGACAATGCAATCTGAAACTAAATTTGACTTAATTGGATGCCTAATTAATTTTTTATTAATTAATTAAAATTTGGACCGAATTAGTAGGCATGTCTAGCCAACCACACTTCACGCGTCATCACCTTCAATAGCTGCGCCATCACGTAATGGCTGCGTTCAAAAACCATTGCGCGCCAACTGAACGTGATGTTTAGTAGGCGCGCAATGGTTTTTAGTCATGTAACTCTATTGTAAATAAAGCATGTAAAGTACTGAAAAAAAATTCATAAAAAACGTTTTAATAACAAGCTTTTATGTAATGATGCACTAAAAAGTAGAAAATAAATTATAGACTACTATTTAAATAACTATAAAGAAAAGCGTGGGTGTCTTCCTTAACATTAGTAAAGGTATCCAATAGATACTAAAGTGACCCACTTTAAAAAAAAGAGTTTTTAAAAATTAATTAAGCATTCAACTAAGTCAAATTTGATGTCACATTGCATTGTATTTATTTGTAATAAGATCAAGACCCACGTGTTAAGTTTGAAAGAAATAGGTCCTATACAGGTGGTCGAAATTTCACACGCCCGCTTCGACCCATAACACAAAAGCAAATAGACAAACGAACAATAAAGCAATTTAAATAAAAGCTTGTAAAAATGAAAATTTGACAAAAATCAACAAAAGCCGAGAAATGATACGTCTTATATTTTAATCAAACATCTTTGTTGTAGCAAAACGTTCATAGTTTCACAATGACCAGTCATACAAGTACAGGGGCTGACCAATACAAGTACAGGGACTGACCAGTTGTACAAGTACAGGGACTGACCAATACAAGTACAGGGACTGACCAGTTGTACAAGTACAGGGACTGACCAATACAAGTACAGGGACTGACCAATACAAGTACAGGGACTGACCAGTTGTACCAGTACAGGGACTGACCAATACAAGTACAGGGACTGACCAGTTGTACCAGTACAGGGACTGACCAATACAAGTACAGGGACTGACCAGTTGTACAAGTACAGGGACTGACCAGTTGTACAAGTACAGGGACTGACCAGTCGTACACTTACTGTGACTGATTAATACAAGTACAGCGACTGACCAATACAAGTACAGGGACTGACCAGTTGTACAAGTACTGGTAATGACCAGTCGTACAAGTACATTGACTGACCAGTCGTACAAGTACAGGGACTGACCAATACAAGTACAGGGACTGACCAGTTGTACAAGTACTGGTAATGACCAGTCGTACAAGTACAGGGGCTGACCAATACAAGTACAGGGACTGACCAGTTGTACAAGTACAGAGGACTGACCAGTTGTACAAGTACTGGGACTGACCAATACAAGTACAGGGACTGACCAGTTGTACAAGTACAGGGGCTGACCAATACAAGTACAGGGACTGACCAGTCGTACAAGTACAGGGACTGACCAGTTGTATAAGTACTGGGACTGACCAATACAAGTACAGGGACTGACCAGTCGTACAAGTACAGGGACTGACCAGTTGTATAAGTACTGGGACTGACCAATACAAGTACAGGGACTGACCAGTCGTGCAAGTACAGGGACTGACCAGTTGTACAAGTACAGGGACGGACCAGTTGTATAAGTACTGGGACTGACCAATACAAGTACAGGGACTGACCAGTCGTGCAAGTACAGGGACTGACCAGTTGTACAAGTACAGGGACTGACCAGTCGTACAAGTACTGGGACTGATTAATACAAGTACAGGAATTGATTTGTCGTACAAGTACATCGAATGAGTATAATTAGTTATAGTACAAAATGCATTATGCATTGAATGATGCTGAAATATACTTCACATGAAATATTTGTGTGTGGGTGTGTGTGTGTTGGGTTTTCAGCTTTTCACTGTTCTAATTAAATAATTGTATTTAGTTGTATGTGCGTGTAGTGGTAAGGTATTTGAATGTGTGTAATAGGACCGAATGTAAACTGGTGTTAAAATATGATGATAATATAAACATGTTCTAGTAGACAATGCCGTGTGTCATTGCCTGATGTGTGTGTTCTATTCTGGTAACTGAGGGTGACATGGAGGCTCAATGTGACAGCTTTTTAATTCACGTAAACTCTGTAATTGTTTGGATAACTTAGTGGCGTAGGCAGGAGGTGCCGGGGGGGGGGCTCAAGGACCCTTGTAACAAATGATGGGGACGGTTTGCTCGTGTCGCTTTATCTTTACAGTTTCATCAAACTATTGTATCCCGTCTAAAAATCGTTTATATATATATATATATATATATATATATATATATATATATATATATATATATATATATATATATATATATATATATATATATATATATATATAAACATGGGATTTTGTTCTGAAATGTCAACTATGACCTGCCTACGCTGGTAGTTGAGTGTGACATTAATGTGACATGGATATCTGAAGCCTACGTTTTAACAATACTGAGTTTACACGAAACCTTGCTGATCATTACTCGTATCGTGTTACATTTAGAACATTTTAAGTTGATCTAATAATTATAGCTCATTTAAGTACATGGCACAGTGTTATCTGTCATATGACACAGTGTTATCTGTCATATGACACAGTGTTATCTGTCATATGACACAGTGTTATCTGTCATATGACACAATGTTATCTGTCATATGACACAATGTTATCTGTCATATGACACAATGTTATCTGTCATTATTTACATCAAAGAACAGGTTATCACTCTAAATTATACATGGATTAAAAAAACAAACTATAAAGATGTAATCATACACTATCAAAAAACAATCACATATAGCCTCAGTATAAATTATCATAAATATTCTGAACAAATATTCTACAATCCTTTAACAAACATGTCCATTATTTATCATCCTACAAACCTGTCCATCATTTTACAAACATGTCCATCATTTATCATCCTACAAACGTCCAACATGTATCATCCTACAAACGTCCAACATGTATCATCCTACAAACATCCAACGTTTATCATCCTACAAACGTCCAACATGTATCATCCTACAAACGTCCAACATTTATCATCCTACAAACGTCCAACATGTATCATCCTACAAACGTCCAACATTGATCATCCTACAAACGTCCAACATTTATTATCCTACAAACGTCCAACATTTATCATCCTACAAACGTCCAACATTTATCATCCTACAAACGTCCAACATTTATCATCCTACAAACGTCCAACAATTATCATCCTACAAACGTCCAACATTTATCATCCTACAAACGTCCAACATTTATTATCCTACAAACGTCCAACATTTATCATCCTACAAACACGTGCTACCAGCCGTCCCATGAAGTGAGCAACATTGAAATAAATAATGAAATGTTCTGCACCATGTTGTTTCCATCAGCCGTACGTAGAATCAAACTAATTATAGATCATGTCCATAAACAATTCATGAAACCATTTTAAACCAATAAAAATTAACGAATGTCGAGGTCATTTTGGACAACGTCTGTGTGATTGTGTCTGTGGGATTGTTTCTGTGTGATTGTGTCTGTGTGATTGTGCCTGTGTGATTGTGTCTGTGTGATTGTGTCTGTGTGATTGTGTCTGTGTGATTGTGCCTTTGTGATTGTGCCTTTGTGATTGTGCCTGTGTGATAGTGCCTGTGTGATTGTGTCTGTGTGATTGTGCCTTTGTGATTGTGCCTTTGTGATTGTGCCTGTGTGATTGTGCCTGTGTGATTGTGTCTGTGTGATTGTGCCTGTGTGATTGTGTCTGTATGACATTTATTACCAATACAACAGACCGTGCTGTGATGACACGAAGTTAGCCTAATCCACATGAGAAGTTTTCAACAATGGCCAATCCCAAGTTGCCTACACTTACACACGAGAAGTTTTCAACAATGGCCAATCCCAAGTTGCCTACACTTACACAAAAACACATCTGGCGTTGACCAACTGCCGACACACACACCCAAACACAAAGCGGAAACATGGGGCTGTAAAATCTGTTACTCTGTCCTGAAGCCATCTGGACGACGTTTGAATTATGGGAACATCAGAAGCCTAAAATACTGAGCTCTGGTCAGATGCAATGACCTAGTTATGTGATCAAATCAAAAGTTCGGTGAAGGGCTAAAGAGATCATGGAATGAAGCGTTCCCATTGGTTCATATACAAGGGGAGTAGGTCTTGAGTTCACTAAACACATCCGTGAAGTAGCCGGGGTCCCTGTTGAGACGGAGCATGTTGGAGCTGTGTTTGTTGACCACCAAGAGACACCTGTCCCAGAAGCGGTCCTTGTTCTCCTCCACCAAGAACGGCTTGAGCGGGTAGCTGATCTCATTGCCCATGTAGGAGTAGGACAGGTACAGGCAGGTCAGCACGTAGGCCTGCAGCTCCTGCTCGTGGTGCATCTCGCCCGAGGGCAGGTCGCGGACCAGCAGGAAGATGAAGACGACGTTGGCGGGGTTGATGAACGCGATGTCCTGCCAGCCCTGCAGCAGCAAGGAGCGGTCCACAGACCGCAGCCACAAGATGGCGTCTGACGCCTCAAACCGCTTCAGACGCTTACACTTACGTTTGAGGAACTCCCCCAGACACTTGAGCAGCTCCGATGTGGAGGCTTGGATCACGGTTCTCTTGGGACTGGGCGGCTTTTCAAATTTTTTGATGGACGTGGCTTTAACTGGGGCCGGGGTCTCGTCTGGCGCAGCTTTTAAATTATAACACGAGACGGACTTGTGGAAGTTGTTGAGGTTGAAGTTTTCAATGTTGTAGTTGGTGTCGAACTTGGAGCCATGTAGGAAAGCAGAGTTTGAGAGTTTGATCAAGTTCTTCTCCTTTTTCTTTGGGTTGACGGTAAACTTTTTCCAACTCAATGCGCTGAGAAAAATGGAATGTCGCTTGAAGCTTTTCTCCTTACCGTTGTTGTTATTGTTGTTGTTGTTTCTGTAGTTGTTGAGCACCTCGTAGTTGTTAACGTCCTCAGTGAGCGGGCGCCGGGCGGGGGGCGATAGGGACAGCACCGTCCCCATATCTGCTGGCCTGAGTTAAACGAACCTGGTCAGCCTTCGCTCCTGTTTCATGACGTCAGCACGACAATCCTGTTCCACTACACGACAATCCTGTTCTACTACACGACAATCCTGTTCCACTACACGACAATCCTGTTCCACTACACGACAATCCTGTTCCACTACACGACAGCACTGTTCTACTACACGACAGCACTGTTCCACTACACAGCAATCCTGTTGAATAAGGCTGTTGGCTGGGTGAGAAAAAGTGAACGCCAATGTCCTTCACTCACCAGTGCCAGTGTGCCTGGTGTCGGCCTCGTCTTCACTGCTCCCAGCAACATTAGCATAACGCCAGATGACATCATCTCCATGGCGACCGTAGAGGAAGTGCCGGCGCTTGTTGAAGCATCGATCCACAGGTCATCGCGAGACGACATGGTGGCCAGGTGGCGGGTAAACTAGGTCATCAGCGCGTGGAGAGCTGGACAAGACACGTGCACATACAGCAACAAGATTTGCTCACACACAAAACATTGTCATATCTTGCTCACACATGAAACATTTACACGCCTCGCTCACACAGAAGAAAAACAAACATCTAAAGGACTTTCTGAGTTCTCTTTAAAAAATCATATAAAGACTTTGCTCTCATAAAATGCTAACAAACGGAGTTTACATTTTGAGACACTAATTGTATTTTAGAGGTCAGAATTTTTGTTGTTGTAAATTATTAAATAGAAAGCAATGCTATAGCTGAATAGAAAGACACCATAGGGAGCAGAATTGAGGGGACGACTAGACGTCAAACAACAAGTTGATTTGAGCGACCAACTTGGCAAGTCTGTTCTGCGACAATGTGCAGGAATGAGCAGGCTGGAACGCCGTGCCGTGTGCTCATCGATCGCCCGGATGTTGCGAGCGATCGATCAAGCAGACACGAGACGCAGTGAGGGGGGGGGGGGGGCACTGGTGACTAACAAGAATGGGGTGGGGCTGTATCGACGCAGTTCACCAACGGCCGCTCCATTATCAACAGGCCGCTCGATACACAGGCAGGGTTTTTAGAGAAAAACAAAACGTCACCATACTTTGAATACCTCCTCTCATAACTTGGTATGGTCAATCCCCCCCCCCCCCCCCACGGCCGACCAGACAGGTTTGTGCCAGATATGTATGTACGTGTGTACATGACACAATGTGTTTGATTAGGGTCGGGTAGATGTGTCACCCATTACACGAGTAATTCTCAATCTGTGTTTCTCGGTGTATCTCTCTTTCAGTCCGTGTCTCTCTGTGTCTCTCTGTGTGTCTCCCGCTGAGTCTCTGTCTCTCCGTGTGTCTATTTGTGTCTCTATGTGTCTCTCCGTGTCTCAGTGTGTCTCACACAGATTTCTATGGGAAGAAACTTTCCAGGTATGACGTCACGAGTCTATAGACGCCAGCCCGCATGAAGAAATCCAAGTTTGTCATCTATCGACCTGCTCTTGTCATCGGGTTGTGTGTGTTGGGGTATTTTTGTAGTCGTACTTAGTCATAGGAGGAGGGGCGGGGGCTGGTGTCTCATTTTATTGTGGGGGGGGGGGGGTTGCGGGTGGGGTTGGGGGTGGGGGCTGGTGTCTTATTTTGTTGTGGGGGTGGGGGTGGGGGCTGGTGTCTTATTTTGATGTGGGGTGGCGGCTGGTGTCTTATTTTGTTGTGGGGGGGGGGGGGTTGGTGTCTCATTTTGTTGTGGGGTAGGGACTGGTTTCTTATTTTGTTGTGGGGGGGGGGGTGGAGGTGGGGGCTGGTGTCTTATTTTGATGTGGGGTGGGGACTGGTGTCTTATTTTGTTGTGAAGGTGGGGGCTGGTATTTCATTTTGTTGTGGGGGTGGGGCGGGGGCTGGTGTCTCATTTTTTTGTGGGGTGGGGGGCTGGTGTCACATTTTGTTGTGAGGGTGGGGACCGGTGTCTCATTTTGTTGTGGGGGTGGGTGGTATGGGTGGGATGGGGTGAAGCAATCTTGTGATATGTCTGATCTTGCATAAGCTAGGCATAAGGGCCCTAGAAACTAGCACATAGCACGCATAAGCAAGGCATAAAGGCCCAATTTCTTCTCATAATTTATAATTTACAAAACAAAACAAAAAAACTTTCTAAAGAATGGCATAGCTATAAAAAACAATTTATTCTAAATTACTAATCTAAATACGAAACATGAGTATAAAACTAACAATGGAAACAATTAAACACATCAAACTATTGTTATTCTTCATATACTTTTGTCCGACTTGCCAAACACGAAGTTACACTGTACACACTTTTCGGCAAAAACACTCAATGAGTTTGTCTAGTTCGCTCACGATGGATATAGATCTACTTTACTTTTACTATGAAATTGGTTAAAGTAGTAAACAGCTTATTATATATACTAGTTTTATATATACTAGGCATACTGCCTAGCTTTGCAAAAAAAAAAAAAAAACTTATTGATACATTTTTACAATTTAAATACGATACATTACTTAATCTATAACGAAGTACTAATTTAAACGCATGCTATACTTTGTGATTTTCTGTTTTTGTTGAAAATAGTATAAAAATAATTTTAAAATTATTACTTTAAAAGTTACCTCCCTTGTACATAGACCGAATGACGTATGTCTTTATTTACATTTGCATAAACAATATCCGGCATCTGGACAAATCTAACGGTTCAAGGTTTTTTTCCGACGGAAATAAAGTTTTTTTTGTTACCCTCCAGGGTCGGTCTACGACCTCACAAAATATTAGGGGGATCGTTCGAAATTTTTTTTATAAATAGCTCATATAAAGAGAATTTCACTCGCTGTCATTTTTAGCTCTCTTCGAGGGCTTAGAGTCTGACTAACAGTTTTTCCATACGGCATAGTTATCTATAGAGGTGCATGCAAAAAAGTTAGCCAGATGTACAGAGGTTAATTACCATAAAATATGTGCTGAAATTACATTGTTTATTTTACATATATTACATTTATTATATAGGGAAATACGACTGGTCATTTTTGACCACTTTACAGATTTTCCCCGGATATGGCGAGTTTTTTCTAAAATCCCAAGGCGTTTTCCTATCACATCATAATATATCGGGGGGGGGGGGGGTTGTTCGGTAAAAGATTTTTTCGATTTAAAGGTCATATAAGTAGCCGATCAGTCGAGGTCAGTTTTGACCCCTCATACATATGTGTGTGTGTGTGTGTGTGTGTGTAAGCCTTGACAGAGTGTGTGTCTCAAAGAATGTAAATCTATCCCCAAGCTAATCAACTATCGGGCGTCAGTGCAACCGTGGCTAAACCAACGGTGGTTAAAACCCTAGTCTTAATTAATCTAAAATAAAAACAAAAGATTTTCAGCTCATACATTTATTGAACAAAAAACATTATGGGACCAATAAACACTAAAATCAATTTATACTAAAACCTAGTACTACGCAAATCAAAATCAAAAGAGACAACACAGAAAAACAATACACACCAAACACCCAGCCAAGTTGCAACGGCAACCCCTGAGACACAAGGAGCAGCTTAACCCAACCCAACCCCTGAGACACCCGGAGCAGCTTAACCCAACCCAACCACTGAGACACAAGGAGCAGCTTAACCCAACCCAACCTCTGAGACACCCGGAGCAGCTTAACCCAACCCAACCCCTGAGACAGAAGGAGCAGCTTAACCCAACCCAACCCCTGAGACACAAGGAGCAGCTTAACCCAACCCAACCCCTGAGACAAAAGGAGTAGCTTAACCCAACCCAACCCCTGAGACACCCGGAGCAGCACAGTTCACTTAGATCACTGGCTGCATTCTCGATAGTCTCAGTAAGGAAAAAGAATGTCCAAAATGGTCACTGGGTTTTATATGGCCGCCTTGACCGGAACCCCCCTAGTTCACATCCACAACAACGTTCACACACAGATTCTTGTGTGTGTGCGTGTATGGGCTCAAAAATATGAGGGTGGGGGCGGGGGAGGTTCTAGTTCCGCCACTGTATAATTAATAATAATGAGAAGCGCTACTTTTAAAACAAAATGACCCGGAAATAGGCTACATACATTTAATACAAAAAGTTCATAAAAAACGTTTTAATAACAAGCTTTTATGTAATAATGCACTAAAAAGTAGAAAATAAATTATAGACTACTATTTAAATTACTATAAAGAAAAGCGTGGGTCACTTTAGTACCGATTGGATACCTTAACTAATATTTGAGAAGAGACCCACGCTTTTCTTTATAGTAATTTAAATAGTAGTCTATAATTTATTTTCTACTTTTTAGTGCATTATTACATAAAAGCTTGTTATTAAAACGTTTTTTATGAATTTTTTTTCAGTACTTTACATGTTTTATTTACAATAGAGTTACATGACTAAAAACCATTGCGCGCCTACTGAACGTGATGGCGCAGCTATTGAACGTACCGTGATGGCGCAGCTACTGAACGTGATGACGCGTGTGGTGTAGTTGGCTAGACATGCCTACTAATTCGGTCCAAATTTTAATTAATTCATAAAAAATTAATTAGGCATTCAATTAAGTCAAATTTAATTTTAGATTGCATTGTCTTCATGTCTTGACCCACGTGCCAAGTGTGAATCGTATCGGTCAAGTAGAAGTTTCCGAATTTTCACTCCTGCGTTTCGGTCTAGACTGACGACTGACGACTGACGAGGAAGTGAGTTAAATAAAAGCTTGTAAAAACCCCAGCCTGTCCGCAAACGGAAAGTTCGATTAATAATTAGTAAACAGTATGTTCAGTGTATAAAATAAATAAAAGGCAGTGTTTAAAATATCCATGTTTTATCTACCATATTGCACTTTATCAATTCATGCATTTTTTCAGTACTTTAAATTTAAAAATATTACTATAGAGTTTCATGACTAAAACCATTGCGCACCTAATAAACGTGATGAAGCAAGATATATAGAAGCTTGTAAAAACTTTCCATGGAAAGATCATCGAAAGAAAGTCTGTTTAACGTGACTTTCTCTTCCGGAACTTTCTTCAATATAAAAAAAAAACTGCCGTTAGTTCATTTTCTTCTCAATTTAGGTTATTCGAGACTTTGATCTTTAAAAAAACCCAATGACGTCACATGAGGCTGGACTGAAGCGTGAGCTGCGACTGGCCTACACTACACAGTTCTGAACCAGTGTAAACCTCTCGACATTTCTCTCGGCGCCAGAAGACGTAGAACCCGCGCCTCAGGTCGGAGTAGGCGAGTCCAGTGAGTGGAGTCACCCCCGGTTTGAGCATGATGAGCATCATGACCCCCGCCCACGTGCCCTCTGGCTGACCACAGCCGGCACTCTGCTCTCTCTGGCAGAACATGTCCAGCAGCAGCACCAGGAAGAAGGGAAACTGGAGGAGCACGCACGTGAAGCTGGTCAGTAGCATGACCCGCAGAGACTCACACAGCACCGTCCTGTGGAGAGAAGGTCAAGGTCAAACTGGACACACATACACGCTGACACACTCACACGGTACCGTCCTGCGGAGAGGTCAAGGTCAAACTGGACACACATACACGCTCACACACTCACACGGTACCGTCCTGTGGAGAGAAGGTTAAGGTCTTAGTGGGGCACACATACACATCCACACCAGAGTTTCTTCCAGACATCTCTTCGGGGGGCACCGAACGAAATGGAATTTATATAGAAAATATATACTTTTGACAGTGTCCGCCCCCCCCCCTCCCCCGAAAATGGTTGTCCGCCCCCCCCCCCCGAAAATTTCAAGTGCACCCCCGGAGAAAAAAGTCTGGATCCACACTCACACCCCCCACACACTTACACACTGATGAGTGAGACACATCCACATATCAAACTTCAAGTTACAGCAAATCTAACGAGATTTTTACGTTCTGCACCGAATCGACAGACACCCAGCAAAGCTAACGATTAGTGGAATTTACTACCTGTCTTGATTAGACTGAAACTCTGGTTTCCTAGCAACGACTGACAACATGACGTGCATCATGACGAGGGCGGCAACCAGAGCCAAATCGAGGAAGGCTGGGCAGAAAAAGCTGGCGAATATTGTCAGGGTTTGGTAATGTTTTTTCCAAATGATTTCACACGAACCAGACACCTGTGAACAGCAGAGAAATAACGGTCGTGATGTGTTGTCTGAAGTATAGACTTTCTTGACTGAAATACAGACCGCGATGTGCTGTCTGAATTATAGACTTTCTTGACTGAAATACAGACTGCGATGTGCTGTCTGAATTATAGACTTTCTTGACTTAAATATAGACCGCGATGTGCTGTCTGAATTATAGACTTTCTTGACTTAATAAATATAGACCGCGATGTGCTGTCTGAATTATAGACTTTCTTGACTTAAATATAGACCGCGATGTGCTGTCTAATCGATGACCTACCAGACTGAGTCTAGCAGACGACCCATACCAGAACAAAGGCAGCACCAGCAGCAGACCGAGGAGCCAAGGCGTGGCCAGTAGGGCTGTAGACCAGACCTTGACCTGTGAGGTTCGCAAGGTCAGCAGGTAGTAGAACCGCTCGAGCAGAACAGCCAGCACACCGAGGGTGGACACACACACCTGTGTGTAGAAGGTCAGCTCGTAGACAACACAGGTGGTGACACTGTGCCTCCAGGTGCCCTGCACATAGAGCCCGACTTATTTAGATGGTGGGTTAGCAATAGAAAAACTACTGGATGATATATTTGGTAGTGCTTATTTCGGCAAACGATAGAGAAAATACGGTTATTTACAGAAAATAAGAACAGTGTTTATTTGCTCGACAGGATGTGAGAGGATATAAGCACTTCCTCTACAGAATGAAGAAATTGTCTGAGGAAAAACACAACCATTTCTCCAAGAAATGTAGATATAAACGTCAAAAGATAATTAGATTCATTGGCAGAATTGATAGTGTGCCGGCAAGCAAAAGTCTCGGGTTCGAAACTTGTTCTAGCTTTTTGTTATTGTCATAAGAGCAAATGGCATTAATTTTTAACGCGTTATATTTTACTTAGGATAAGTGTCAGGGCTAGGGCTAAGTCTAAGGATACTCTGAAATAATATTAATGATTTTTTTCAGAATAAATTTTACGAATTTTAACTGAATTAATGAAATAAGTATCTTTTGACGTTGAGATCTATATTTTACGTAAAGGTATTTTTATTTTTATTTTTCCTCAGACAATTTTGTCATACCGTTAAGGAAATACGCAAGTGCTCATATACTCTCATATCCTGTCGAGGAAATAAACACAATGCTTATTTCCTCTCAACAGCCAGAAGTTATATTTATCCTCTATCGGTTGTAAGAGGATATATAAGCACGTTGCGTACTTCCTCTATCTTTCGCCGAAATAAGAATTGCCGATAAATAACAAAACCCAAACCCGGCCACGGTGTGTCGTGACTCGCACCGTACCTGCATCAGAGTGTCCGAGTAGAGTGGACACAGAAAGCCGGCGTTGACCAGTTCCACTAGACAAAGGTTGAGAAAACATACATTTTTCAGCTGAGATCTCAACTGTCGGCTGAATAAAATGTTGACTATCTGAAAGTAAGCGTAGTGTGAACATTGTGAAAATAGACAACATGTGATACATGGGAGAATGCAGCCTAAATGAAAGACGTCACTGGAGTTAGCCAACACCTGCCTAGGTAGAGGACATCACTGGAGTTAGCCAACACCTGCCTAAGTTGAGGACGTACCTGACTGGAGTTAGCCAACACCTGCCTAGGTAGAGGACGTACCTGACTGGAGTTAGCCAACACCTGCCTAGGTAGAGGACATACCTGGAGTTAGCCAACACCTGCCTAGGTAGAGGACGTACCTGGAGTTAGCCAACACCTGCCTAGGTAGAGGACGTACCTGACTGGAGTTAGCCAACACCTGCCTAGGTAGAGGACGTACCTGGAGTTAGCCAACACCTGCCTAGGTAGAGGACGTCTGGAGTTAGCCAACACCTGCCTAGGTAGAGGACGTACCTGACTGGAGTTAGCCAACACCTGCCTAGGTAGAGGACGTACCTGACTGGAGTTAGCCAACACCTGCCTAGGTAGAGGACGTACCTGACTGGAGGTAGCCAACACCTGCCTAGGTAGAGGACGTACCTGACTGGAGTTAGCCAACACCTGCCTAGGTAGAGGACGTACCTGACTGGAGTTAGCCAACACCTGCCTAGGTAGAGGACGTACCTGGAGTTAGCCAACACCTGCCTAGGTAGAGGACGTCTGGAGTTAGCCAACACCTGCCTAGGTAGAGGACGTACCTGACTGGAGTTAGCCAACACCTGCCTAGGTAGAGGACATACCTGGAGTTAGCCAACACCTGCCTAGGTAGAGGACGTACCTGACTGGAGGTAGCCAACACCTGCCTAGGTAGAGGACGTACCTGACTGGAGTTAGCCAACACCTGCCTAGGTAGAGGACGTACCTGACTGGAGTTAGCCAACACCTGCCTAGGTAGAGGACATACCTGGAGTTAGCCAACACCTGCCTAGGTAGAGGACGTACCTGACTGGAGTTAGCCAACACCTGCCTAGGTAGAGGACGTACCTCGAGTTAGCCAACACCTGCCTAGGTAGAGGACGTACCTGACTGGAGTTAGCCAACACCTGCCTAGGTAGAGGACGTACCTCGAGTTAGCCAACACCTGCCTAGGTAGAGGACGTACCTGACTGGAGTTAGCCAACACCTGCCTAGGTAGAGGACGTACCTGGAGTTAGCCAACACCTGCCTAGGTAGAGGACGTACCTGACTGGAGGTAGCCAACACCTGCCTAGGTAGAGGACGTACCTGACTGGAGTTAGCCAACACCTGCCTAGTTAGAGGACGTACCTGACTGGAGTTAGCCAACACCTGCCTAGGTAGAGGACGTACCTGACTGGAGTTAGCCAACACCTGCCTAGGTAGAGGACGTACCTGACTGGAGTTAGCCAACACCTGCCTAGGTAGAGGACGTACCTGACTGGAGTTAGCCAACACCTGCCTAGGTAGAGGACATACCTGGAGTTAGCCAACACCTGCCTAGGTAGAGGACGTACCTGGAGTTAGCCAACACCTGCCTAGGTAGAGGACGTACCTGACTGGAGTTAGCCAACACCTGCCTAGGTAGAGGACGTACCTCGAGTTAGCCAACACCTGCCTAGGTAGAGGACGTACCTGACTGGAGTTAGCCAACACCTGCCTAGGTAGAGGACGTACCTGGAGTTAGCCAACACCTGCCTAGGTAGAGGACGTACCTGACTGGAGGTAGCCAACACCTGCCTAGGTAGAGGACGTACCTGACTGGAGTTAGCCAACACCTGCCTAGTTAGAGGACGTACCTGACTGGAGTTAGCCAACACCTGCCTAGGTAGAGGACGTACCTGACTGGAGTTAGCCAACACCTGCCTAGGTAGAGGACGTACCTGACTGGAGTTAGCCAACACCTGCCTAGGTAGAGGACGTACCTGACTGGAGTTAGCCAACACCTGCCTAGGTAGAGGACATACCTGGAGTTAGCCAACACCTGCCTAGGTAGAGGACGTACCTGGAGTTAGCCAACACCTGCCTAGGTAGAGGACGTACCTGACTGGAGTTAGCCAACACCTGCCTAGGTAGAGGACGTACCTCGAGTTAGCCAACACCTGCCTAGGTAGAGGACGTACCTGACTGGAGTTAGCCAACACCTGCCTAGGTAGAGGACGTACCTGACTGGAGTTAGCCAAGCAGCCCCAGAGTGCGAGCAGAATGTGCACCACACACAGCTGTAGGTGATCCCTGTTGTCTGCTAGACCGAGTCCTTGCGTCAGTAGAGTCGAGTTCTGCATTGTCTCCTCCATTGAGGCGTTGTCTTGTTGACTTGACGCCATCACAAAGTTATGCGGTTATGGCGTTACATGCCCATGGTGGGTGTAGGCAGTCAGTCTACTGGTATAGCAAGCGCCCGTCAAGCTACATGTAGTGTACCATTACTCTATAGCCAGGACGGGCAGAAGTCACGTGTCAAATCTACGGGCAGGTCATGTGACAAATCGAGACGCGTACTTGGACTCTCCAAGGTCAAGGCTACAGGGACAAGACGAGCCAGCGAGGTGAGCAACGGGCAGATAACCGAGGATCAAATGGCAGCTCGCTCCACAGGACATGACATGGTCACGTGATAGCCGTTGGCGAACACATTGGAGGTCAAGTAACACATTTAAAACAGCACACCACACAGACCACAACACACACAACCACGACACCGCAACACGACAGACAACACACCCCGTAATGACATTATGTGGGTGGTGTTGAAATTGTGTGGGTGGTGTTGAATCTTTGTATGGGCGTTTCTAATTTAGTTTTGTAGTTGTGTAGTTTCAAGTTTTGTGGTGTTGCGGTCTGTTGGCTGTTGTCGTGTAGCCGATGATTGGGTGTTCTGCCTGGGGGAGGTAGGTGGTGTGGTTTCGTGGTTAGGGAGTATCGAGACTTGTTGTGTTGGAGTATCGAGACTTGTAGTATTGGAGTATCGATACTTGTTGTGTTGAAGTATCGAATCTTGTTTTGGAGTATCGAGACTTGTTGTGTTGGAGTATCGAGACTTGTTGTGTTGGAGTATCGGGACTTGTGTTGAAGTATCGAGACTTGTTGTGCTGAAGTATCGAGACTTGTTGTATTGGAGTATCGATACTTGTTGTGTTGAAGTATCGAATCTTGTGTTGGAGTATCGAGACTTGTTGTGTTGGAGTATCGAGACTTGTTGTGTTGGAGTATCGAGACTTGTTAGGGAGTATCGAGACTTGTTAGGGAGTATCGAGACTTTTTGTGTTGGAGTATCGAGACTTTTTGTGTTGGAGTATCGAGACTTGTTAGGGAGTATCGAGACTTTTTGTGTTGGAGTATCGAGACTTGTTAGGGAGTATCGAGACTTGATAGGGAGTATCGAAATGTGTTCGCTGTTATCGTGTGGTAGAATTAATTGAAATATATTATTTTTTATTATTTTGACCAACGGGTGTTGGGCCTGAAGTGGAGATGGGGTCCTGAGGTATTGAAGTTTGTCGTTTGATGGGATGTGATGGTGTTCTGAGCTATTGAAGTTTGTCGTTTGATTATCGCTGGGATGTGATAGATGTAGGTTTCTCGAAGTAGGGTTTATAGTGCATCGGGTGGTCGAGTTGATCCTATGGTTGGTCGAGTTGATCCTATGGTTGGTCGAGTTGATCCTATGGTTGGTCGAGTTGATCCTATGGTTGGTCGAGTTGATCCTATGGTTGGTCGAGTTGATCCTATGGTTGGTCGAGTTGATCCTATGGTTGGTCGAGTTGATCCTATGGTTGGTCGAGTTGATCCTATGGTTGGTCGAGTTGATCCTATGGTTGGTCGAGTTGATTCTATGGTTGGTCGAGTTGATTCTATGGTTGGTCGAGTTGATCCTATGGTTGGTCGAGTTGATCCTATGGTTGGTCGAGTTGATCCTATGGTTGGTCGAGTTGATCCTATGGTTGGTCGAGTTGATCCTATGGTTGGTCGAGTTGATTCTATGGTTGGTCGAGTTGATTCTATGGTTGGTCGAGTTGATCCTATGGTTGGTCGAGTTGATCCTATGGTTGGTCGAGTTGATCCTATGGTTGGTCGAGTTGATCCTATGGTTGGTCGAGTTGATCCTATGGTTGGTCGAGTTGATCCTATGGTTGGTCGAGTTGATCCTATGGTTGGTCGAGTTGATCCTATGGTTGGTCGAGTTGATCCTATGGTTGGTCGAGTTGATCCTATGGTTGGTCGAGTTGATCCTATGGTTGGTCGAGTTGATCCTGCGGCCACCAGCGTGCAGTACCTAGGGGTTCATCTTGTGGCTACCTGCGTGCAGTACATGTGGGTTCATCTTGAGGGCGGGTTGGGGATGCGGGGGAGTGGGTCCTATGGTAATTGATGGGGGTTGTGGGTTCCCGCCAGTCTGCCTATTAGGGCTGTCTAATCCAGGGGTCGGCAACCTGCGGCTCGCGAGCCGCATGCGGCTCTTTTGATGTCACGGTGCGGCTCTCGATTTCCATGCACTAATATTAATAGTTACATTATTTCATTTTCAAAACTCATAAAAATATTATACTGTAAAGAAAAACAACTTTAAAGAGGAATTTTATTTTATTCGAAATGCATCCCTCTACCGAAGTATTTTAGTTATTAATTTTCTACGGTGGAGCCAGGTATTGGACTGTGGGGAATGAGTAGGGTGGAAGATAAGCACTGTGAGAACCGAAGGACAGAAGCGACCGATTCAGTTATCAAACATATATCTAAGCCAGTTAGTCAGAGTTGAGGGCTACTTGGCTATGGGAGACACCTTCTGAACCAGTGGTGACAATAAAGAAAGAAAAAACAAAGTTGTTGGCTTCCAAGGTGGATTGGGATTGTCCTATAGTCATATTATTTGATATCTAATTTAATCATAGCAGAACTATCTAAAACACTTTTTGTGCGAAACATGTTTTTCTATGAATCAATATTAGTTCATATTTAACGGTATTTATTTCAAATAAACAATTAAATTTATTTACCTAATTCTAATCAAATACCAAAATATTGGAAAAAATAATGTTAGTGGCTCTTTAAAAAATAATCCGGGAGTGATCTCCCCTAAACTTTCTCGAATATTCTTATTTAAAACAACAGGGGATGGGAACTCGTGCCATAGACATGATTTTTACAAGCTTTTATTTAACTCACTTCCTCGTCAGTCTGTCGTCAGTCTAGACGGAAACGCAGGAGTGAAAATTCGGACAGTTCTACTTGACCGATACGATTCACAGTTGGCACGTGGGTCAAGACATGAAGACAATGCAATCTGAAACTAAATTTGACTTAATTGGATGCCTAATTAATTTTTTATGAATTAAGAAAAATTTGGACCGAATTAGTAGGCATGTCCCCAGCTAACACAGTATGTAATACCAGGGTCGGCCCTTCGTTGGCCCAATATGGTTATCTTGGCCATACACTGGACAAGCTTACGCCAGGGTACAGCCAAGATTTGTACATGCTTGCATCCCTTGATACCTTGATATTTAACCGTTTTTATCTTGGCTGCCAAGATTACACTGATTTATGTATTCACTGCAGTAATTTTAGTTATATATGCTTGTTAAACTTAATATATGTTTACTAAAATAAGTTATCTTTTAATATCATGCTCTAATTTAAACATAGCATTGATAACAAACTACGTTGCATGTGTTAAACATTTTGTTAAACTTTTAAAAATTGTGTGCGCTACTGCCGCTGGCCCCTCTCGCCCATTGTCCCTTTGTTCACATTCCTTCCTATTGTTCGCAAGCCAGCATCCCGGTCCTTCGCCATTTTTCTTAACAAAAGACTTTGTATCCAGTCATGGTAAAAAAGGTAGGCCCACTGCAGCCATTTTAGTTCAACAGTGAGAAGCAGTATAACTTTATTTATACAGAATCTGGAAATCTCGTATTTTTTTGTTGGAAACTTCATAAGTCATTCATTAAATAAATGATTAAATAAAAGGTAGTTTATTTGAGGTAATAAAATGTGCCTAGATCTAGAGTCTATAATCTATAGGCCCTAGTAGATAGATCTAGATCTATATATTAATAATACTATATTCTGCTTATTTTGGCATTAGGGTAATCCATAAACGACGTCACGCTTTTTTGGACGATTTTTACCTCCACCTCCCCTCCGTCATACATCGTCACAAAAAGCCAAACCCCCATCCCTAAAATGACGTCACACTTCAGCCTGCAACCCCTCTCTCTCAAAATTGCAGTTGAATTTTTCTTAATACATCGATATTGTTCCAAAATCTTGTCTGAACTCTGTCTATATATAGAGTATTTTTATCAATTCCTATTACAATTTATTAAAACAGTTTTCTAAAACCCAATATAACGTCTAAAATTAGTTTTCCAACAAGGCTTTTTTATAATGCAAAAGTCACAGTGTGAAGTCGCAACATCTGAACCCCCCCCCCTCCCCCTCATCACACACCGTCACAAAATTACGCCCCCCCCTCCCCTACGAGTGTGACGTCATTTATGGACGACCCCTTAGGCCTTAGGCTATAATTAAATTTTACAATAATCTAAATTCTAGACTAAATGATAGATCTAGTTACTAAAAGTTTTAGGATCTAGATCTAGATTAGATCTATGTTTTCAAGGGAAAACTATCTAAAAATTAAATCTAAAGTTCTGATTGTCTAATCTAATTCATAATATCTTAAGCAGTGAAGTTATGTGGCAGACTCAGAAATGTTAATTTTAGGCTAATTATTTTAGTTATGATCTAGATCTAGATATAGATCTAGATTCTAATACTAAATAACAAAAAATCGTAATTAGAGGGCTGTTAATTTTGTCAGCGTTTTTTTGTGTATTGAAAAGTATGCAAGTATGTTTGGGATTATATTGATTTTTTATAGATATATGTATTTATTGGTTTTCAACTTTAGGTATAATTATCAAGCACATGGGGGGGGGGGGGGGGCTTAAATGTTAATAAATTAATAAATAGGGCCTAATCATTCACTTTAACTTAAAAAAAACAACTAAATTTTATTGTAGTAGGCCTATTTGTTTAAGGATTTGAAACTGTCTTTAATATTAATTCATGGAGAGAGAGAGAGGAACAGTAGACACAATTATAGAACAAATTTCTACATGTTAAACAGTGTATTTTGATAGGTATTAATTTTGAAAAAAATTAAGGTAATCTATCGTTTTGGGTACGTAAAATCGCCCGCGGCTATTTATGTACGAAAACGTTACCTCATTGTCAAGGCTTTAATAGATGTATATTGTCATACTTTTGTGTCAAATATTATAGATAAATGAATAATAAACCTAAATCAATGGCTAAATATATCGATATAGGCCAGAAATTAACTTTAAACAGCAGTGTCTGAGAGCAAGATTTGCTATATAAACAGCAGCCATTTGTAAAATAGAGTGGCTTCCCCCTGAATCTGGCGCTAAAAG